AAAGGGGAAAAACTGAAAAAAAGGGAAAAATTTCAGCCGAATTCATATTGGAGACGGTACTCGTCAGATTAAGACAAGAAAATCGTCCGATGTAAATCAGTGGTCACAGCCGAGTTTCTCGTCCGAATTCTCTCGTCTGACTTTCCTGTTTAAACTGAATCATGTCTAGACAAGAAACTCGTCTTAATTTCAAATGATAACGGACGTTTTTCTAGAAGGGACTTTTTTCCGGGGGAGAGCACATCCTCTAGGGCACTTTTGGGAGTATATAATACATTTATATACCTTCACTTTGAAGATTTAAATGTACTTTTTTAGTTTCCGGAGATCATTATACACGCTGTCCCAAGATGCCTAGGTTTTTTACTGAGCTAGCCTTCTCAAAAACCAGAGTTATAGGTTATCGATCCAAAACAAGCAAGAGGCCTGTTACGAGTTACGCGAGAACGAGGCTAGTCAGGTTTTCTGGTGTCAAAATTTTTATATTTCTAAATTTTGACTGTAAAAACTTTGTTTTTGTGTACCTTGCAACAGGTCCAGCGAAAAAGTAGGAAAATAAACAGACTTTAAATTCAGAAGAGAAAATCTGACTAGTCTCGTTTTCGCGTAACTCGAAACAGGCCTCTTGCTCTTTTTCGAATAGGTAGTATAATAATTGATTACGTAGAGTAAATTAAAATGCACATCAAGTGCAACAGCACATCAAGTGCAACAACATGTTTGCATTGCCGCCTTATATTTACAGGCTTAATCATCAAGCATGCAGTTTGACTTTTCCTACTAAATTCTTATTTTAACAATTATTGATAAACAACATATACGCATACAGCAAAATTACTTTTTCATACATAAACAGTCATGTACGGATTTTCTAGAGGGTGTCCCAAAGTTTGAAAGTCCGTCTTTGTAAACTGGTGTTTAAATTTATTTCTGAAATTACTAATCTATTCCCATGCACTGAAGCGAACAGATAGACATATAGGGGTTCCTTGAAAATTGTTATAGTGGCTCTGAAAGGGGAAACGCTGAAGATCAGTTACATTTACATTTGTTAAAGTCGGCAAAATCCTTGTGGGGTATCACGCCAACTATAAATTAAAAATACTAGCTAGATAAATATACACTAAAACTATGGTATAAATTGTTCAATTAAAGTAAACTATTTTTATAAATGTCAACAGATTTAGCAGTGACAGTGTCATGCAGATATGGTAATTTATTCCATTCACTTATTGTCCTTTGTTCTGTCTATACACTTGTCATGCATGCTACTGCATGTTTTATACGGTTTGATAAGAAAAAAAAGTAGTCATTCTCATTTCCGTTTCAGCATACAGGGTTGGATAAGAAAAAAAGTAGTCATTCTTAATTCCGTTTAAGCACACAGGGTTGGATAAAAAAAGTAATCATTCTTATTTCCGTTTCAGCACACAATCCGGGAAGGCTTTTCCTGTAAAAAAATCAGTAAACACTACATAGTCAGTAAAGTCTAGTATACAAAGCAAATTATTAATATTATATAGGTGTATAAATTGTTGGAAAACAATATCGAAAACATGGCTTAGAACTATACTTTATAACATGCAGTGAAACTGTGAGTGTCAAAGATGTACCGATGTGACACTCCTACTGTTTCAATGATATATCTGAAAGGTCTGCTGAAACGGTAATTGGATTACCAGGGTACAAAATTCATCCGGTCCCGCGTGGGCAGTTTATGCATGTCCTTAAGCCGTGCTGTGCGATTAATTATTTATACAGTGTAAAGAGGACTATGTCTATGATAGGTGAGGTGAATGATATTAGTTTTATCGACGAAGGACGGTATCGCGATTGTCACGAGTGGGAGCAAACTAAGGAACAATTGTGACATTGTTCCGAGGGGGGTTAAACTGATCTATCATCGAGCCTCTCATGTGATATCATCGAGTCGCTTTTTACCACATACTTTTAGCTCTAATCAGGCTTCAAATATGGCACATATTTGAGGAAAATTATAGCCTTTAAATAATCCTTTTGGATTATCACAAATAATCCTTTTGGTCATTAATTTATATATACGTGCTGTATTTCGTTTTAGACAGTAATCAGCATATAAAGATTATTTATCATTTTAAATGCATATGAAGTAATACAAATTTAGGGATTTTAGGCATTCTGATTCGCTTTGTCTGAAAAATGGTAAAAATTTAATGATTGTTGTAAATGGCGTCTTTTCGAATTAGTACGTTAATTAAATTTCCTTGCCAAGTTTTATTAGCTCGTGCATGTACGCGAAAAAATTGATAAGTTTTTTTTGACAAGGAGCCTCAGTTGTTCAAAAACTATAGTCATGTCAGCTTTTCAACAAGGGAAAATGCTCGTGTGTACGGCCGTCAAGGAAACTTGACAAGGAATTGCGCAGCATAGGGAACAAGGCAACAATCTTCGAGCCAATCGAGCGTGTTTTTGAAGTTTTTCAATTTCTGTTTGTTTTGATATTCCGGCGGTCATATACTCATTTTATCATGGCTCATATTATCGTAAAATATACTCATGTTATCGTAAAATATACTACTGTGTCTTGATTTACAGTTGACACTAAGTCAAATTTATGACGTTATGAAACACAAAGTCGCGTTAGGATCGATTCTCAGTCCAAAAAGAAGAGCGGGAGATATCTCTCAAGGGCCTATGAGTATCGGTATGAGCATACGTACTGTTTCGATCGGGCTTTTTGACGCTGGACGTGTATACTTTCTCCAGCGGTGGCCTAGCCAGCATCGATAATTTTTTTTTGGGAGGGGCACATATTCAAATATTCATGTTTAATAACAGACTGTAAAGGCAATCGATCTCGGCAAAAAGAATTGATCACGCACAACATGAATATCTGAATATGCCCCCCCCTCCAATTATCAATACTAGCTCAGTGAGCTCTACATATATTTGCAGCAAGAACTTTTGGTGCAAAAAGTGAAGCGGAAGTCTTAAGTTCTTACTCCAGATATATATAGAGCTCACTGTGCCGGCTACGCACCTGGTCGTCAGGTAATACGTGAGGAATGTTGAGTGCTGGAAAAATTTTCCTATATCTCATGCAAATACACAGCACAATGGATGCACCGACGTTTGTGAGTCTTCAACGAGATGTCGATGTCAATAATCATGGCATTGTTTTAACACAACAGCATGTTGCACTTTATGATGGCGCAATTTACACTCGTCATGCTCATGTCGGCGGTATATTTACTTCAAACGATCAACAAACCTATCTTGCATTATCCCCAAAGGCCCGGGACCTGGGTTCAAAGATGTGGGTGTATAAGATACCTTTCTGCGGAAGTAGCGGTCTAAAAGATGTCTAGCACGCATTTAATTTTTTTAACTTTCATAATATACGGATAAATAAATAAATAAAATACACTGATAATCTTTCCATTGATAAAACTATTGCCAGTCAGTGGCGTAACAACAGGGTGTCAAGTGTCGGGGGGCGTCGAGCTTCAGGGGCCTTCGATAAAAATTATTATAAAAAATTGATACCACATTTATGAAAAATATAATTACTATCCACGGACATAGTAAAGGCAGCCTATTAATACAGTATTATGTTATTATGAATTAATCTCAGCATATAGTAATATAGATTTGATCTCTATTCAAATATGCAAGCGAAGATTGCTTTGCGTAGACGCAAGTCGTTATATATTCAATAAACCTTTAATAATAATTCAGCCAATTTTAGTGCAGCAAAGGGGGGCCCTCGGCGGTTGCGTTACACCAAATTAAACGGTCAAATTGAATTGAAATATCTGCTGAAAGATCTGCTGAAAGATCTGTTGAAATGTCTGCTGAAACGACATGATTATATAAAAAATAGAACAATCTATAAAAAAGCTGAAAATGCTTGTCAATTATTTACATGCAATATTGGCAAATGAATACTGGCAAAGCATGTTGGACAAAGGATGATGAATCAACTTGTACCCATGATTTTTTCTCGTAGGAAAAGAATCTGGTTGCAAAGCAAGACACTTTCCTTTTTGTTTCGTTAACAGTATGATGGCATGGTTATTCTGCTATTGGAGTGATATATATATACATGCATTACATGCAGCCACTTCAGTGGCATAGTTCCCAATATCTGAATGTATTATAAATGTACAATTAGACAACATAAGAGTTAGTGAAAGGCCTGCTGAAACGGTAATAGCATTATATTAACGTTGTATAAACAAGGTCAGACAAAAGACCAGTGGAGGCAAATCCGCAACTTGTATTTTTAACTCTGTGAATTAGCAATATGCACAGCCCCGTTTGACTACACTCAGACCAAGTTCACATGGGACCGGAAAAATTTGGAACCGGGCTCGAATTCGTCCAGTTCAGGAGGTGTGCACATGGGCTATGGAACAGGGCTATAGAAGGTGGCTGAAGTGCAGGTATCGCGATTGTCACGAGTGAGGGGGAACGAAGGAACAATTGTGCATGGCATATTGTTCAGAGGGCGATAAACTGGTAGCGAGACTCTCATGCCCCTACCCCACCCCTAATTATCAATGCTGGCAACGCTACTGTTCCTCAGGTAACACTTGAGGAGTTTTCATTGTTATGCTGAGTGCTGAAAAATTTTCCTTTCTCAGATACATCACAATGGATGCTCTGACGTGCATGTGTTGACGGAATGTCGATGTTACACTAACATAAGTCATAGACATAAGAGATTTTTCATGGCATTTTGATGTAACAGCATGTTGCACCTTATGATGATGCAATTTACACTCGGGATGTTCTTGTATTAACTTAAAGCGATCAACAAACTTATCATGCATTTTCCCCAAAGGCCTGGGCTCAAGGATGTGGGTGCAGGTAATTGGTTGATCAGCATCATGCATGGTTGTCAAAATACCTTTCTGTGGAAGTAGCGGTTTCAAAGATCTCAAGCACGAATTCAATTTTTTGAACTTTCATATTGTCCGGATAAATAAATAAAAAAGACAATCTTTCGTTTGCTTGATAAGAGGTATATTTAATTAAAACTATACGTATAACTACTGACATACACGGTTTACTGTCTACGTGAATTATTAATCCATTGGCATTGATGAAAAGTATATTTCCTGATCTTAGCAGAACCCTCTTGAACGGTAGCCTTTGAATCCACTGTTGTATGTTGATAATGCTCGCTTGAAACATCGAGCTGCTGCCTGGTCACATTGACAGAGTCTTTTGCCACAATTAATGTTAAACCTCGCTACAATCAGAGGAACATAATTTATTATATGCACAGATCGAATATTGTGGATGTGCGGTTTATATGGAAGTTGATCGACTAATGCGTTCTAAAAGTTTAGTTTAGCGGTTTATTCGAGTTCTCAACATAATTGATGAGTGGATTTCCTAACAGGCTACTGCTCAAAATAAATTTTATAAAAAGGAATTTGTACTCACAGCATTCAGAGCAACGGTAGCGGATATATGGTGTATACCACCAAGCATTTTTCCAACAGACACCACTCCTTTCAAGGTTTTCATAGCAGCGGTCGTGGTCTTTGCAGCATCTTCATGTGTGCATGGTGTGGAAAAAGAGACGAAATTGCATTAAAAGCATCATACTTAGTATCATACTTATGTTTTTCATACGCGCGTATGCGCACGTAAGAGTTGAAACCCTTATGATATCATCATATTCGACTGAAAAACTATAAACGAATAAATCGATAGAATTTAGTTTTCCGCATAATTTAGTATGCACTTGTTAACCCATTCGTTAAATTATAACAATTTGGAAGCAAAAATCAGCCCTTTATATTATCAACACAACATGCATGCCTGGTACAAACAAGCATCCATGTTTTCCTTCATTCAAAGTTTATTCAGTCCAGCGTGAAGGCAATTTTCTCTGCCAATTTTTCGTGTACAAATGAACAATTAAAGTTTGCTTGTTTTACTGTAATCACGAGCTAGTGAAAAAATTTGCCAAGTAAATTTGAGTTTGCTGTAGAACTATTTGTATATGTGCAGGGCTGTAATAATGAATATTACCCCTTATTACCTGTCTGTGGCATCAACTGGTGTCCCACTTCCTCCTTTGCCACACCAGCAACCATAGCCGTTGTACGACCATGGAAATTTTCTTGTTTCACACATAATCATTTTGCCAAACTGCACAAGGGCTAAGCGATTTACATAGAATAACCCTAGGCGTACGGCGGGGTAAACCTGCGGTGATTTTTTTTCTGTAAAATTTGAAAAATTAGTAAATGGGTTACGATACATCATCATAAGCAAATAAAGCAATCGAAATATTAAGTGAGGGGAAATACTGAAAAACAGGCAGTTTTCTATAATTCACTGAATAAGTTTTTTTCAGTGCGTCAAAACAAAAGGTCTACTGGTCTAGCTATATAGCCCTTTTTCGAAGGCAAATTCGAACAGTATATCAGTATAATTACAAACGTTTTTCAAATTCCCAAAGCTCCAAAGGCAAATGTAGCACATTAATTTTTTAACATTAGCCCCCTTCTTCTGGGGCCGGTTGTTCGAGAGGCGTTTAGCTTAAACGGTGGATAACTTCAAAATGGAAAACAAAATTATCAATTTATTGAACAACTGCATGAGCTGAAATATTTCGCTGTAAATAGTTTAATTGTCAACGAAAGTATATTTAATGCATAGGATGCAGGTTCAGTCATTCACAAGATGTATGAGAGTATTTTTAAACTTTGGCTTTTCCGCCGTTTAAGCAAAACGCCTTTCGAACAACCGGCCCCTGGCTTCATTTGAAATATATCGTCATTGAAATATATCGCCAGTACAAATATATTGAAGTAGAATATATAGTTTCATATATATTTTTTATATTCAAGTATTCTTGAGGTAAAAGACATATTGCCATTTCTACAAATGTTTTCTTGCATACTTTACTTTCGCCTAAAGCGGGAAACCTGTGTTTTGACGCCTTATAAAAGGCTACCTTATATATATGCTACATGTGTGTACGAGCTTAGTTTAGTTTAGTTTAGTTTAATAGGATTTGTCACTAAATTACATTACAATATGATAATGTGTAAGCAACAGGAGAAGAAACAGGATAAAATCCCAATTGATATCATCTCCTTGCATGCAGACCTATATAGCGCAAACCTATATAGCTGTGGCCAAAACAAGCTCTACCCTGCATGTATATAGCTACAACATCGTGTTTAAATCATCGTACCCCTTTTATTTGCAGCAGCGTTTGCAGCCAAGAGAAATGATCCAATGATCAACAACAGAAATGCGATTGTCTTCATTCTCAGTCTTGATTCTTCTGGTTTTGCCTTTATCTTGAGCCTTCTTGATTCTTTCGGTCTTGATTGAGTCTTCTCGAAGGATCGACTGTCTATGCACTTGCATGTCATGCTATCGCATGTTTTATACGGTGGTATAAGAAAAAAATTCAGTCATCCTCATCCGTTTCAGCACACGCGGTATCACATTTGTCACGAGTGAGAGGGAACGCGATAAAACTGATATCATCGAATTAACCTCTTATGTGATAACTCGCTCTTTACCAGATACTTTTAGCTCTAATCAGGCTTCAAATATGGCACATATATATATTGAGAGGAAAATTAGCTTTTTAACAATCCTTTTGATTACATGCAGTAGCTTTCATATTCTTTTACCTGATATATATATATATATATATATATATATATATATATATATATATATATATATATATATATAATTACAATTATAAACGGATGAAAGGTCTGCTGAAACGTCTGCTGAAACGTTTGCTGAAACGGCAGTAGGATTATATTAAAAAATCGAAGAATGTATAAACAAGGTCAGGTAAAAGAGAGCTGGGAATCACATATTTGGCAATTAAGTATGAATACTATACTAGGAAAGTATGTTGGTGTTCAGCTCAAAAACAGGCGGGTATAACCTTATCATTAACAATGTCAATGAGTGACTAAGAACCCGGTTACAAAGCAAGATATTTTTTATCCTCATTCAGTCATTCTATATGAGTTGCATGGTTATTCTGCTATTGAAGTTATCTACATTGATGTATATACATGCATGCATGTCCATACTTGTTTTAATTAAACGCAATATTTCACAGTTGCTGAATGAAAATCGGTACAATTAAACAACATAAGAATGAAAGGTCTGCTGAACTGACCGATGATATAAAGAAGGTCAGATTACCAAAAGACCAGGGGAGGCAAAATTCTAAACTTGTTTGTTTTCTGTATGAATAGTAGAAACAAGTTGTATAGTTGCAGATTTTCGCTTATATTAAGATGACTCTAGGTATAACTGATGGTTTCATATGGCGACTTGGTTTAATATGAGCCAGATAGTGATGACGAGGCGGCAGTTGAGGAGGAGACAAGCTTCAGCACGACGAGGGATTTCTTGGTCCAGGATATTGGATTAATACGGCATCCACTCACCTATCACCTATATCACCAGTGCAATCTGTGCAAAATATTCTGCGACAACAAACGCAACAAGCTAAGTATCAAGCTACTTCAGGACATATCTGCAAGCATAGACATATATATAGACACAAGTAGTATAACCACATGCACGTTGTCAGAAGCAATCCAACAGTACAGTTGTCAAAAACAGATAATTTTACTCAGCCACTTTACAAGATAATTTCTTTGTACTGTATCAACCAATTGAATGTGTGTGCATATGTTAGTAAATGTGCGTGGTTGTCACTGTCAGTATGTTGGCCGCCGATAGATAGATAGATAGATACTCGAAATCTAATTAGAATTGCATATGTTGTGTAATATGATTGAAATCCCATGCAAATCTAGTCATATATGCATTTCTAATTAGACTTCGAGTATCTATCTATCTATCTATCTGCGGCCAACGTTTTTGCAAATGGGGGTATATATATATATATATATATATATATATATATATATATATATATATATATATATATATATATATATATATATATATTTACTATATAATGCATGGAACAATTTAGGATGACGAAAAATAACAGGAAACGATCCTAATTCTATTAGCTAGTTGTTTTTGCCAAAATGTATCGAAACGGGCACGATGTCCAAAGTATTTGGGTTGTGCCAAGTCAGGTTTCAGGTAAACGAAGTACCGTCAGAACGGTTTCCGAACCGGGATTATATGTGAGTGTGCATGTAGAGCTGTATTATAGGCAGATTGTTTTAGAGCGTTTTGAGATTGTTTAGATTGTTGTACAAGAGTTATTATATGTGAAATTGTTGTAAATTAAAAGATAAAAATAAAACCAGCGTGTGCAGGTCAATTTACTGAACGAAGCCAGTGAATTCTGCGACATGTGCTGATTTATTAATTTTTGTTCAAGCGTTCACTGATATCAGACTGAAGGTGTCCAGTGCCAGTGGTCACACTGTAATCGTGCATGCAGTAGTGACCTGAACAATGGATACTTCGCATCTATTTGTCCAGATTATTGTTGGAAAGCTTCTCAACGATACTTTTGAAATTTATGAATTGATAGCCTGTTTTTATGTTTGAACATTCGCTTAGATGACACGGCAAAGGCCATCAGTTCCATACCCTGACGGGTTAGTGAAAGCATCTTTATCGCTAATTTTCGCCATATATTTTATAAAATACAGAATGGAATAGTGCAAAGCAAAAAGTGAACCCTACCCGCTTTGGTGCGCAGCCCACAAAGGTACTTTGCGGCGACAAGCTCGGGTAACTGTGCAAGTCACTGTCATTTATATGTCATTGTTCGCAATATTTTGCCAAACATTGTGTTTCACATATTCGCGCCGCAAATCTCTTCCAAAAGATTTTCCCAGCAAGTTAATTGTCGACCGGTATTTCTACAACAACTTAATTTGTGACTTTGGAAAGTTCCGAAATATTTTGAACTTTGAAGAACTATTACGTAACGTTAATGTTGAACTGTCTCACAGTAAATTGATAATATATTGCAAAGTCATAAGCCTCAGACCTGGGTAAAATGTGCAAGTTATTCAAATATTGATATAATATTCACCATGCACATTGAATTGTTTATGAATTATTTTAACTCTGGATGTCGTTTTGTCCGTTATTTCTACCGAGAAAATAAACATTTAGCTACATATATTGTGTGTTTAACCGCTCTCAGCGGATGTGTGTCAAGGTCATCTTAAGCGCTCAAGTGGTCGTACTTCACCCCGTTTCAACGGCGCAAATTTAGAGTTCCCAAAAAACTTTCGGCGTCATTCTAAAGGCCATGAGTTACTCTAATTGGAAAATAGAACAAGTTTCCAAAAAAACATGTATCATGCTGGATTTATCGCGCTCGAAAATTGCTTAAAGCAGAAAGCAAAAGTATTTACCTACTTTTAGCGTGATGTATTTGGTTTGGCGAACAATGCTGTGTTTCCTCGTCACATTGCGCTGAAGCGCGGCCCTATTTTCCGATCCATTTTCTTGGTCTGAGAGCCTCTCGCCCTCTCCGCAAAAACAAGCTCCCCCAGCCTCAATATTCTTTCAATCGATCTTAAATTATTTTTCGTTAATAACGACCGATAATGATTATTCTGAAAAAATTCAGAATTTTCGATTTTTTTATTTTGAATGACTTCGGTTGTATTTACGCGGAGCCGCTCTTAAGTTCTTACTCCAGATATATTTCACGGAAGTCTTAAGTTCTTACTCCAGATATATATAGAGATAATACGTGAGGGTTTCTTTGTAATGTTGAGTGCTGGAAAAATGTTCCTGTCTCGTGCAAATACACAGCACAATGGATGCACTGACGTTTGTGAGTATTCAACGAGATGTCGATGTCAGTAATCATGGCATTGTTTTAACACAACAGCACGTTGCACTTTATGATGCGCAATTTACACTCGTCATGCTCGTGTGGCGGTGTATTAACTTCAAACGATCAACAAACCCCGCATTATCCTCAAAGGCCTGGGACCTGGGTTCAAGGATGTGGGCGTCTATGCATGGTTGTCAACTGAATACCTTTCTGCGGAAGTAGCGATTTAAAATATGTCAAGCACGCATTCAATTTTTTAAACTTTCATAACCTACGGTTAAATAAATAAATAAAATACACAGACAATCTTTCGTTTGCTTGATAAGAGTTATATTCAGCCTGCTTGCATTCCCCCGTCTGGAATTGAAATTCCCGATTTCGGGCTGTAAGCAGGCTACGTAATTAACTACTGACATACACGGTTAGACATACACGGTTTACTGTCTAGTGTCTACGTGAATCATGCATTAATCCATTGATAAAAAGTATATTTCAGTCCTGATCTTAGCGGCAGAATCCTGTTGAACGGTAGCCTTTGAATCGAGTTGAGTTGAATGTTGATAACGCTTGCTTGAAACATAGAACTGCTGCCCGGTCACATTGACAGAGTCCTTTGCCACATTTTAAGTTACACCGCGCTACAATCAGAGAAACATAATTTACCAATTGTGAATGTATAACTGCGGTTTATATGGAAGTTGATCAACTAATGCGTCCTAAAATATTAGTTCGAGTTCCTCACTCACAATTGATAAGCGGATTTCCTAACAGGCTACTGCCCATGCAATTGATATTTTATACAATGGATTTTGTACTCACATGCATGCAGCATTTAAAACAACGGTAGCTAATATATGGTGTATACCACCAAGCTTTTTTCCAACAGACACCACTCTTTTCAAGGTCTGCATAGCAGAGGTCGTGGTCTTTACAGCATCTTCATGTGTGCATGGTGTGGAAAAAGAGATAAAATTGTACTAAAAGCATCATATTTATATATTTCTATATATATTGATCGGGACAACCTTTTTGATAACGACTGTATATATATATATATACATATATTAATATATATATATATTATATATATATATATATATATAATATATATATAATATATATAATATAAATATATATATACATATATACATATATATATATATATATATATTTATATATATATATTTTTCAGGCTGGTCTCATTAAGTTCTTATTTCTCAGTGACTTTGCATGTATATATACTAAATCAGTAAATGAACTCATTTGGACTTCCTTGTCGAAACAAATAGTATAGTATATATAAGTATATACGAGAACAATGTCAATGTTTTGTAAAACTATAAAATTCCCCAAACAATGGTTAATCCCCAAAACAGATTACTGACTATAGAGTAGTATAATTTGATGCAGTGTATAATTGGCGGCAGGATATAGTGAAACATGTACACTGCATGGACACATGGATGGATGATGGATCTATATTTGTGTCATTCATTTCAATAATAATGTGCAATAAATGCAAACTTGTCTATGCCGCCACTTGTTTGCCGAATTCAACGAAATTGGAATGCAAAAGGTGAAACGTCTGCTGAAACGGCAATTGAATTATAATTTATAAACAGAAGCTTATAACCGACTGCATGCTTCTGCTCCAAGAAATTGGTGACAAAATGTTTCTGCAGTCCGCCAAATTTAAAAATATATTGCACAAAATTTTGGCCGTGTTCTCTCAAAGAACTTATAAAACCGCTCACATGCATTTATACGAACATTTCGATTTGGATTGTTGATGAATTTTACTGTACTCTCCGGATTTTTTCTGCAGTTGCACTTTAGAAAATATTATATATCAGTCTCATAAGGCAGTTCAACCATACAAAGCGCATCTATACATTTCAACACAATCGGTTGGCAAAACTATAAAACGGCTGTTCTATTGATCCAGAGGACGGCAAACAGTGGGCAACATCCAGGGCAACGGCAATTTTAGGTGTTGTACTTTTGCTATATATTTTACAGTAAAAGTAAAGGGCATTATTGTTGAAAGTTATATAAAAATTGGTTTATATGCAAATCACCATGTCACAATGTGTGATGAGAATCCCTTCAGTTTTTTTTCGTCCGACCGTATAAAACATGCAGTAGCATGACAAGTGTATAAACAGAAACGAAGCCATGCAAGAAAGCTCAAGAAGAATCAAGAAGGCTCAAGATCGAAGACAAAGTGAAGAATTAAGATGAAAATGAAGATAATCGCATTTCTGCATGTTGTTGATCATTAGATCATTTTTCTAGTTTGGCTGCAAACGCTGCTGAAAGTAAAAGGGGTACAATGAATTAAACCCGATGTTGTAGCTATACATACATACAGTGCATGTCGAGCTTGTTTTGGCCAAAGCTGGAGATGCGCATATAACTCTGGTTTTTGAGAAGGCCATCTCAGTAAAGCATGAATGCACCTAAACATTTTTATGTAGTATATAGCGGCAACGACTTTCCAATAATACCGGGGCGGCGTATATAGTGATTCAGTGTCTCCGGAATTAAGTTAAGTGGTATATTTAAAACCTTCAAAGCGAAAGTATATAAACATTTATCTCAAATTTATTTCTCTTACTTAAGAGTGAATATTACGATTGCTTTAAAACCATATATCGTAACCAATTTATAAAGTTTTTTCAATAAAGAGCCTCCCCGCTGTGTGCTGAGATGGAAATGAGAATCCATTCATTTTTTTGTCATCTGACCGTATAAAACATGCAGTAGCATGACAAGTGTATAGACAGAAACGAAGCCAAGCCCAAGAAGGCTAAAGAAGAATCAAGAAGGCTCAAGACCGAAGACAAAGTGAAGAATTAAGATGAAAATGAAGACAGTCGCATTTCTGTTGTTGTTCATTGGATCATTTCTCTTGGCTGCAAACGCTGCTGAAAGTAAAAGGGGTACCATGAATTAAACCCGATGTTGTAGCTATACATATACATACAGTGTCGAGCTTGTTTTGGCCACAGCTGGAGATGCGCATATAACTCTGGTTTTTGAGAAGGCTATCTCAGTAAAGCATGCACCTAAACATTTTTATGTATAGTAGCGGCAACGACTTTCCAATAATACCTGGGCGGCGTGTATATATTGTGATTCAGTGTCTCCGGAATTAAATGAAGTGGTACATTTAAAACTTTCAAAGGGAAAGTATATATAAACGTTTATCTCAATTTTTTTCCCTTACTTAAGAGTGAATATTACGATTGCTTTAAAGCCGTATATCGTATTTTCAAATTATATTTTCAAATTTTACAGAAAAAAAATCACTGCATGCATGGTTCACACCGGCGTACATGCACCTATATAACGATATTTTATGTAAATTGCATAGGGCTTGTGCAGTTTGGCAACATGATTCGTTGTGAAACAAAAAAATCTCCATGGTCGTACAACGGCTATGGTTGCTGGTGTGGCAAAGGAGGAAGTGGGACACCAGTTGATGCAACAGATAGGTAAGGGATACTATTAAAGCCCTGCACACACAAGCAAGTCTTCTTTGACACGTCAGTTTCTTGAAGACATCACTTACTCGTGAGTCAGTCAGCAAACAAATTTACTTGGCAAGTTCTTTCACTTGCTCGCGTTTACCTTATACCAAGTTAAAAGGCTTACTTTTGTTGCCGAACACGTGAAAAATTTCCTTGTTGACACACCAGACTGAATAATCGCTTTGAACGAAGGAAAACGGGATGTATTTATCTCTTTTTCCACACCATGCACACATGAAGATGCTGTAAAAACCACGACCTCTGCTATGCAGACCTTGAAAGGAGTGGTGTCTGTTGGAAAAAAGCTTGGTGTTATACACCATATATCAGCTACCGTTGTTCTAAATGCTGTGAGTACAAAATCCTTCGTATAAAATATCAATTGCATGGGCAGTAGCCTGTTAGGAAATCCGCTTATCAATTGTGAGTGAGGAACTCGAACTAATATTTTAGGACGCATTGGTTGATCAACTTCCATATAAACCGCAGTTATACATCCACAATTGGTAAATTATGTTTCTCTGATTGTAGCGCGGTGTAACTTAAAATGTGGCAAAGGACTCTGTCAATGTGACCGGGCAGCAGTTCTATGTTTCAAGCAAGCGTTATCAACATTCAACTCAACTCGATTCAAAGGCTACCGTTCAACAGGATTCTGCCGCTAAGATCAGGAAATATACTTTTTATCAATGGATTAATGCATGATTCACGTAGACACTAGACAGTAAACCGTGTATGTCTAACCGTGTATGTCAGTAGTTAATTACGTAGCCTGCTTAATTTCACTTCCAGACGGGGGAATGCAAGCAGGCTGAATATAACTCTTATCAAGCAAACGAAAGATTGTCTGTGTATTTTATTTATTTATTTAACCGTAGGTTATGAAAGTTTAAAAAATTGAATGCGTGCTTGACATATTTTGAATCGCTACTTCCGCAAAAAGGTATTCAGTTGACAACCATGCGTAGACACCCACATCTTTGAACCCAGGTCCCAGGCCTTTGAGGATAATGCGAGGTTTGTTAATCGTTTGAAGTTAATACACCGCCGACACGAGCATGACGAGTGTAAATTACGCCATCATAAAGTGCAACATGCTGTTGTGTTAAAACAATGCCATGATTACTGACATCGACATCTCGTTGAATACTCACAAACGTCGGTGCATCCATTGTGCTGTGTATTTGGATTTGCTGTGTATTTGTAACATTACAAAGAAATCCTCACGTATTATCTCTATATATATCTGGAGTAAGAACTTAAGACTTCCGTGAAATATATCTGCATGGTGTAAGAATTTAAGAGCGGCTCCGCGTAAATATCAACCGAAGTCATGCAAAATAAAAAAATCGAAAATTCTGAATTTTTTCAGAATAATCATTATGGGTCGTTATTAATGAAAAATAATTAAGATCGATTGAAAGAATATTGAGGCTGGGGGAGCTTGTTTTTGCGGAGAGGGCGAGAGGCTCTCAGACCAAGAAAATGGGTCGAAAAATAGGGCCGCGCTTCAGCGCAATGTGACGCGGGCAAACACAGCATTGTTCGCCAAACCAAATACATCACGCTAAAAGTAGGTAAATACTTTCGCGTATTTATATTAGGCATTTATTTTTTGCTTGGGTTAGCTGTGTCGGGGAAGGCGAGGAATTTTTTCTCACTACCCGACACAGCTAACCCAAGCCAAATATAAATACCTAATATAAATACATAAGAGATGCTTGCGGAGGGGGCTACGTCAGGTTATACGTGAGGATTTCTTTGCAATGTTGAGTGCTGGAAAAAAATTCCTATCTCATGCAAATACACAGCACAATGGATGTTCCGACGTTTGTGAGTATTCAACGAGATGTCGATGTCAGTAATCATGGCATTGTTTTAACACAACAGCATGTTGCACTTTATGATGGCGCAATTTACACTCGTCATGCTCGTGTCGGAGGTGTATTAACTTCAAATGATCAACAAACCTCGCATTATCCTCAAAGGCCTGGGTCCTTGGTTCAAGGATGTGGGTGTCTATGCATGGTTGAAAACTGAATACCTTTCTGCGGAAGTAGCGATTTAAAATATGTCAAGCACGCATTCAATTCTTTAAACTTTCATAATCTACGGTTAAATAAATAAATAAAATACACAGACAATCTTTCGTTTGCTTGATAAGAGTTATATTCAAAACTACGTATACTATATAGCCTGCTTGTATTCTCCCGTCTGGAAGTGAAATTCCCGATTTCGGGCTGTAAGCAGGCTACGTAATTAACTACTGACATGCATATACACGGTTTGACATACACGCTTTACATGTCTAGTGTCTACGTGAATCATTAATCCATTGATAAAAAGTATATTTCCTGATCTTAGCGGCAGAATCCTGTTGAACGGTAGCCTTTGAATCGCCTGTTGTATGTTGATAATGCTCGCTTGAAACATAGAACTGCTGCCCGGTCACATTTACAGAGTCTTTTGCCACATTTTAAGTTAAACCACGCTACAATCAGAGGAACATAATTTACCATAGGCGCAGAAAATTGTGAATGTATAACTGCGGTTTATATGGAAGTTGATCAACTAATGCGTCCTAAAATATTAGTTTGGTTTGTTCGAGTTCCTCACTCACAATTGATGAGCGGATTTCCTAACAGGCTACTGCCCATGCAATTGATATTTCATACAAAGGATTTTGCACTCACAGCATTTAGAACAACGGGAGCGGTTATATGGTGTATACCACCAAGCTTTTTTCCAGCAGACACCACTCCTTTTAAGGTTTGCATAGCAGAGGTCGTGGTCTTTACAGCATCTTCACGTGTGCATGGTGTGGAAAAAGAGATAAAATTGTACTAAAAGCATCATATTTATATGTTATTATCAACACTGCCAGCCTGGGTCCGGTTGTATCAAGCCCGTTTAGCTTAAACGGTGGATAAGTCAAAATTAAATAACACTCTTACACTGATCTCTCTGGAATGAGTCAACTTGAATGTTATGCACTGAATATGTAGTTGTAAACAGTATCTTTGTATTAAGGTTGAAAACATTTAGCTTGCTTGTTGAATAAAACGATAGACTTGCTTTATATTTTGAACTTATCCAGTTATCCACCGTTTAAGCTAAACGGGCTTGATACAACCGGCCCCAGGTATAGATCCACGTTTTCCTTCCTTCAAAGCGGTTATTCAGTCTGGTGTGTCAACAAGGGAATTTTCTCATGTGTTCGGCAACAAAAGTAAGCCTTTTAACTTTTTAATGTAAACGCATGGCTTGTATCCGCAGGGCTTTAATATTATCCCTTACCTATCTGTTGCATCAACTGGTGTCCCACTTCCTCCTATGCCACACCAGCAACCATAGCCGTTGTAAGACCATGGAGATTTTCTTGTTTCACAACGAATCATTTTGCCAAACTGCACAAGCCCTACGAGATTTACGTGCCGATATACCGCTACGAGACCCAGTGATTTTTTTTCTTAAAATTTGAAAAATTAGGAAATTGGTTACGATATACGGTTTTAAAGCAATCGTAATATTAACTCTTCAGTAAGGGAAAAAATTTGAGATAAATATATTATATATATTTTCGCTTTGAAGGTTTTAGATGTATACCACTTAATTTAATTCCCGAGGCACTGAATCACGCCACCCTGGTATTATTGAAAAATCGTTACCGCTACTACATAAAAATGTTTAGGTGCATGCATGCTTTACTGAGATAGCCTTCTCAAAAAGAGTTTGCATCTCCAGCTGTGGTCAAAACAAGCTTGACACTGTATGTATGTATAGCTACAACATCGCGTTTAAATCATCGTACCCCTTTTATTTTTAGCAGCGTTTGCAGCCAAGAGAAATGATCCAATGATCAACAACAGAAATGCGATTGTCTGCACTTTCATTTTAATTCTTCACTTTGTCTTCGGTATTGAACCTTCTTGATTCTTTTGCCTGGTCTTGAAGTTGTGTGAAGAGCTTGAAGAGTGATTTGAGTCCTCTCGAAGGATGACTTCGTTTCTGTTTATACACTTGTCATGCTACTGCATGCATGTTTTATATGGTCGGATGACAGCGATTCTTGGTCGATTGCAGATCTTATGGTCGATTGAAGCGATTCCCATTTCCGTCTCAGCACACAACACGCGGTGAGGCTTTTTATTGAAAAAATCAGTACATACTATATAAAGTCTATGGCAAACTACTAATATTATAGTTGTATAAATTGTTGGAAAGCGATATCGAAAACATGGCTTAATTGGAGCTATTATACTTTAATCTTTATAACATGCAGTGAAACGTGAGTCTCAAAGATGTACCGCGCCGCATGTGACACTCCTAGCTATACTGTTCGAAATATGGTCAGATAAATACTAAATTTATCCATATTATACATAAGATTCATTGTCGGGTCAGTTATTGGAGCAGAAGCAGTCAGTCAATTTTACGCTTATGAAGTCGGGTCATAAATCAGTTCTATACCTTACCTTGGTCCATATTACATTTAATACTAAAACAGGTATTTTCAAAGTCACTATCTTTTTCAGTAATTTGTTTATACATGGTTTATAATTCTGGTACGAAATGCGAATATATAATGTAGTTTAGCATTGAAAAAATAGAAGGTCAATATAGATGAGGAAATTACTTGGGGAACATGTCGCATAAAATGACGTGTAAAGTATTATAATGACCCTTCAGAATCCCAAAATTACTTTTCCTGTCCTGAGGTGACAGCCCATGGGATTTCCTCCGAAACAATAATATGTCGTACAAAGTACAAGTGTCACGACTCAAGAACATAAGTTCTAGGCGGATACTAAGTTGTGTCAATCATTTCTTTGTTATATTTTGCTCCCGTTAAGCACTTGAAGCCTTACCTCACGAAAAGCTTAATTCGATGAAGTTATTAGTAAAATAGTTCATAAGATGAGACGCGGTTCACAAAGTAATAATTTGATAATTGTACTTTAAGTTAATGATAAATATTTTAAGTTGTGAACAACGCCAACCCACACTTGTAACCTACAACGCTGATTGGATAGTATGAATCACACCACCTTGCATAGGGCGTCATCAAGATCCCCTCAAATTTTATTAAAAATTAAAGGAGGCGCACAGCAACAGAACCTTTAGTGGACTAGCGTAGTAAAAAGCATCTGAAACGTTGGAGAAGCTCAACATACAAACCAACGACCAAAGACACGGACAGAAACGACGCATATTTGAAGAAAAGAAGAGAAGACGAAGAGAGCATTAGTGAACTTTAGTCAAACCTTGTAAAGATCTCCTACCTCGCGTAAATAGAAAATAAAGTCTCATAACAATTCAATTGCCGTTTCAGCAGACCTTTCACCTTTTGCATTCCAATTTCGTTGAATTCGTTGATGGATAAATCATATTTTATCCATCTCTCCTCTGTGGCGAATTATAAGGAAAAAACAAAGAGTGAACTCTCTGTACATATTCTTCCTCTGTGGTGAGGGTTAAAGTGAAATTACGGAAGCTCAAGCCTCAATCACATTTATCAAAACTCAAAAGTGGGACTTTAAATCAGTAAATACATTACTTTTACAGAGTTATGCCTTCTAAGAAGAACCCACCGCCAAATGGGTTTTTCTATTTTATGCAGTCACTTCGTCCCGCTCTTAAGCGGGAAGGAGTTTTTGTGCAAAATAATCGCGAGTTGGCTGATCTCGCCGGACCACGATGGGCTGTGAGTTGATATTTGATAACAAAACATTTTTGTAATTTATATTGTTTATAATTACTTATTTTCATGTAGTTTATCAATAAGTATGTGTTTATGTTCATTAGATGTATTAGGTATATAGTGTTTTAAATTCAAAGTATTTGAAATATTAAAAGCCAAAAAATAGTCGTCACGATCGATGGTATGGTATTTGATGGAAGATGACTGTTGATATAATTATGTTGAATCTTGTGTTTACAATAAGTTGAGACATGAAAATGAGCATGTGAGAAGAAAGAGTTAATATTAACAGTTAATGCTATAGACCATAATTTTATTGGGTTTATTACCATCACATTGACATTTCCATAATACCAATGATGCATCTTTACTTTTGACCTTATAACCGAAATGACAGCCAACACATAAAATTGTTTATTTTTGGCATGTTGCCTTGGGAAATTTCTGCTATGGGCCATATGGCAGGCAGGAAAATCGTGATTTTGGTTGTAATATGTATAGAGCGTCCTTTTCATAGGCGGACTGGCCCACAGGGATACCGGGAAATTTCTCGGTGCGCCCCTGATGTACATGCCATTTTGTATGAATAGTGGAAACAAGTTGTGTATATTTGCAGATTTTCGCTTATATTAAGATGACTCTAGGTATAACTGATGGTTTCATATGGCGACATGGTTTCATATGAGCCAGATAGTGATGACGAGGCGGCAGTTGAGGAGGAGACAAGCTACAGCACGACGAGGGATTTCTTGGTTCAGGATATTGGATTAATACGGCATCCACTGACCTATCACCTATATCACCAGTGCAATCTGTGCAAAATGTTCCGCGACAACAAACGCAACAAGCTAAGTATCAAGCTACTTCAGGACATATCTGCAAGCATGGACATATATAGACACAGGTAGCATAACCACATGCACGTTGTCAGAAGCAATCCAACAGTGCAATTGTCAAAAATAGATAATTTTACTCAGCCACTTTACAAGATAATTTCTTTGTACTTTATCAACCAATTGAATCAATTGAATGTGTGTGTATATGTTAGTGAAATGTGCGTGGTTGTCACTGTCACTGAGTGTCAGTATGTTTATGTGAACGATAAATATATTTATTATATAATGCATGGAATAAGCAGGATGACGAAAAATAACAGAAAACGATCCTAGCTAATTGTGTTAGCTAGTTGTTTTTGCCAAAATGTATCGAAACGGGCACGATGTCCAAAGTATTTGGGTTGTGCCAAGTTAGTGGTTTGAGGTAAACGAATACGTCAGAAGACAGAACGGTTTCCGAAACGGGACTATATAAGTGAATGTGTAAGCTGTATTATAGGCAGATTGTTTTAGAGCGTTTTGAGATTGTTTAGATTGTTGTACGAGAGTTATTATGTGAAATTGTTGTAAATTAAAGATAAAAATAAAACCAGCGTGTGCAGGACAATTTACTGAACGAAGCCAGTGAATTCTGCGACATGTGCTGATTTATTAATTTTTGTCAGTTCAAGCGTTCACTGATATCAGACTGACGCCGGTGTCCAGTGCCAGTGGTCACACTGTAATCGTACAAGCTCGGGTAAATGTGCAAGTCACTGTCAGACTGTCAGTTGCAATATTTTGTCAAACATTGTGTTTCACATATTCGCACCACAAATCTCTTCCAAAAGATTTTCCCAGCAAGTTAATTGTCGACCGGTATTTCTACAACAACTTAATTTGTGACTTTGGAAAGTTCCGAAATATTTTGAACTTTGAAGAACTATTACGTAACGTTAATGTTGAACAACATCACAGTAAACTGATAATATATTGCAAAGTCTCAAGCCTCAGACCTGGGTAGAATGTGCAACCAGCTGATCTGGGTATAAGAATCAGCCAATCAGAAGCCAGATCTTCGACAAAACTGAGTTATCATTTCCTTCATTGCATATGACTTCAACACTCGAAAATATCAAGTAATTTTACTATATTTTTGTTAGAACACGTTTATTTTTTACCACCTGTAAATTAGAATTTTTAACCCTTTATGCTATTAGTTAAAAGAATAGGGAGAAATTACACCAGACGGATGATAAGTCAGTTTTGTCGAGATGCTTTATGACGTCATGATCTCAGATCAGCTGGAAGTTATTCAAATATTGATACTAATATTCACCACATTGAATTGTTTATGAATTATTTTAACTCGGATGTCGTTTTGTCCGTTATCTCTACCGAGAAAATAAACATTTAACTACATATTGTGTGTTTAACCGCTCCCAGCGGATGTGTGTCAAAGGTCATCTTTTAAAAGCGCTCAAGTGGTCGTACTTCACCCCGTTTCAAGGGTGCAAATTTAGAGTTCCCTTTCGGCGTCATTCTAAATTAAGGCCATGAGTTACTCTAATTGGAAAATAGAACAAGTTTCCAAAAAAACATGTATCATGCTGGATTTATCGCGCTCGAGAAGATTAAATCTTAAAAACCTGTAAAAAATTCTACTTTATTTCGATTCGGCTTGAAATTTAGCAGAAAGCGGAAGCATTTACCTACTTTTAGCGTGATGTATTTGGTTTGGCGAACAATGCTGTGTTTGCCCGTCACATTGCGGCCCTATTTTCCGACCCATTTTCTTGGTCCGAGAGCCTCTCGCCCTCTCCGCAAAAACAAGATCCCCCAGCCTCAATATTCTTTCAATCGATCTTAAAATTAGTTTTCGTTAATAAGCGACCCATAATGATTATTCTGAAAAAAATTTAGAATTTTCGATTTTTTATTTTGAATGACTTCGGTTGATATTTACGCGGAGCCGTTCTTAAATTCTTACTCCAGATATGTATAGAGCTCACTGTGCTTGTTACGCACCTGGTCGTCAGCTAATACGTGAGGATTTCTTTGTAATGTTGAGTGCTGGAAATATGTTCCTGTCTCATGCAAATACACAGCAATGGATGCACCGACGTTTGTGAGTATTCAACGAGATGTCGATGTCAGTAATCATGGCATTGTTTTAACACAACAGCACGTTGCACTTTATGATGGCGCAATTTACACTCGTCATGCTCATGTCGGCGGTGTATTAACTTCAAACGATCAACAAACCTATCTTGCCAGCCTAGTCCCAGGCCTTGTAAGCGCGCGCTGTATATCTTGCATTATCCTCAAAGGCCTGGGACCTGGGTTTTAAGGATGTGGGTGTATATGCATGCATGCATGGTTGTCAACTGAATACCTTTAGCGGAAGTAGCGGTTTAAAAGATGTCAAGCACGCATTCAATTTTTTTAACTTTCATAATGTACGGATAAATAAATAAATAAAATACACAGACAATCTTTCGTTTGCTTGATAAGAGTTATATTCAAAACTACCCAACTACGTATATTAGCCTGCTTGCATCTCCCGTCTGGAAGTGAAATTCCCGATTTCGGGCTGTAAGCAGGCTACCTAATTAACTACTGACATACACGGTTTGACATACACGGTTTACTGTCTAGTGTCTACGTGAATCATTAATCCATTGATAAAAAGTATATTTCCTGAACTTAGCGGCAGAATCCTGTTGAACGGTAGCCTTTGAATCGCCTGTTGTATGTTGATAATGCTCGCTTGAAACATAGAACTGCTGCCCGGTCACATTGACAGAGTCTTTTGCCACATTTTAAGTTAAACCACGCTACAATCAGAGGAACATAAATTACCATAGGCACAGAAAGTTGTGGATGTATATAAACTGCGGTTTATATGGAAGTTGATCAACTAATGCGTCCTAAAATATTACTTTGGTTTGTTCGAGTTCCTCACTCACAATTGATGAGCGGATTTCCTAACAGGCTACTACCCATACAATTGATATTTTATAAAAAGGATTTTGTACTCACAGCATTTAGAACAACGGTAGCGGATATATGGTGTATACCACCAAGCATTTTTCCAACAGACACCACTCCTTTCAAGGTTTGCATAGCAGAGGTCGTGGTTTTTACAGCATCTTCACGTGTGCATGGTGTGAAAAAAGAGATAAAATTGTACTAAAAGCATCATACTTATGTTATTATATCAACACTGCCAGCCTGGTAGCTACATCCGCGTTTTCCTTCGTTCAAAGCGGTTATTCAGTCTGGTGCATGTGTCAACAGGTGAAAGAACTTGCCAAGTAAATTGTTTGCTGACTGACTCACGCGAGTAATTAAGTGATGTCGTCAAGAAAACGTGTCAAAGAAAACTTGTTTGTATGTGCAGGGCTTTAATAGTATCCCTTACCTATCTGTTGCATCAACTGGTGTCCCACTTCCTCCTTTGCCACACCAGCAACCATAGCCGTTGTAAGAAAATGGAGATTTTCCTGTTTCACAACGAATCATTTTGCCAAACTGCACAAGCCCTACGAGATTTACGTACGTATATACCGCGCGACCCAGCCATTTTTTTTCTGTAAATTTGAAAAATTAGTAAATTGGTTACGACGTACGGTTTTAAAGCAATCGTAAAATTCACTCTTAAGTAAGGGAAAAAAATTGAGATAAACGTTAATATACCTTCGCTTTGAAGGTTTTAAATGTACCACTTGATTTAATTCCGAATACACTGAATCACTATACACTCCGCCCCGGTATTATTGGAAAGTCGTTGCCGCTACTATACATAAAAATGTTTAGGGGCATGCTTTACTGAGATAGCCTTCTCAAAAACCAGAGTTGTATGCGCATCTTCAGCTAGCTGTGGCCAAAACAAGCTCGACACTGTATGTATGTATAGCTATAACATCGCGGGTTTAATTCATCGTACCCCTTTTACTTTCAGCAGCGTTTGCAGCCAAGAGAAATGATCCAATGATCAACAACAGAAATGCGATTGTCTTCATTTTCATCTTAATTCTTCACTTTGTCTTCGGTCTTGAGCCTTCTTGATTCTTCTTGAGCCTTCTTGATTCTTCTTGAGCCTTCTTGACTTCGTTTCTGTTTATACACTTGTACTGTATGTTTTATATATACGGTCGGATGACAAAAAATTGAAGGGATTCTCTTTTCCGTCTCAGCACACAGCGGGGAGGCTCTTTATGGAAAAAATCAGTACACACTATACATTACCAGAAATTTGTGACCTGGTGATTTGCATATAAACAAATTTGTATATAACTTTCAACAATAATGCCTTTCAACTTTTACTATAAAATATATATAGCAAAAGTACAACACCTATAGAATTGCCGTTACCCTGGATGTTGCCCTTCGATGTTGCCCACTGTTTGCCGACCTCTGGATCAATAGAACAGCCGTTTTATAACGTTTTGATGATCGAATTACTTACCTTTGATGTTTCTACGTTCCGCCAACCGACTGTGTTCAAATGTATATATGCGCTTTGTATGGTTGAACTGCATGCCTTATGAGACTGATATATAATATTGTCTAAAGTGCAACTGCAGAAAAAATCCGGACAGTACAGGAAAATTCTTATTAGGAATACGAATGAAGACAATATCTTTAACAAAATTTCTTGGTATATTACCATAAACACTGCTCTCATCCATCTAAAGGTCGGCAAACAGTGCTCCAAGTCTGTGGCTCTGACGTTATATGACGTTTTATATTTTCACTCAATGTATTTTTTACGGTAAATGTATATATGCGCTTTGTATGGTTGAACTGCCTTATGTCATGAGACTGATATATAATATTTTCTAAAGACTGTAAAGTGCAACTGCAGAAAAAATCTTATTAGGAATACGAGAGACAATATCTTTAACAAAATTTCTTGGTATATTACCAGTCAATTCATCAACAATCCAAATCGAAATGTTCGTATAAATGCATGTGAGCGGTTTTATAAGTTCGTTGAGAAAACACGGCCAAAATTTTGTGCAATATATTTTCAAATTTGGCGGAAATACCCAAGGTAAAAAATTCGGTGGCCAAAACGTTTCTAAAAACTGCTCTATCCATCTAGAGGTCGGTAAATAGTGCTCTAAGTCCGTGCATGGCTCTGACGTTACGACGTTTTATATTTTCACTCAATGTATTTTATACGGTAAAACTCGCGAAGGCCATTATGTATGGTTAAATGCAACACAGGTGGTGACAGCCATTTTGTCACCAATTTCTGGTAATGTAAAGTCTATAGCAAACTATTAATATTATACAGTTGACTTAGTTGTATAAATTGTTGGAAAACGATTTCGAAAACATGGCTTGGCTTGGCCTATACTTTAATCTTTATAACATGCAGTGAAACGTGAAAGTCTCAAAGATGTACCGCCGCATGTGACATTCCTAGCTATATATATACTGTTCGAAATATGGTCAAATAAATATACTAAATTTACCTATATTATAAGATTCATTGTCGGGTCAGTTATTGGAGCAGAAGCAGTCGGTTATAAGCTTCTCACTCTATCATCCTGTAACAATAAATTGCCCTCACCATTTAAAATATAAGAAAACAAACCGAAGTTTCGGTTTAATTTTTTTTTCTGAATTTGTTTATAGCCTACATGGTTTATAAATCATAATTCAACTGCCGTTTCAGCAGACCTTTCACCTTTTGCATTCCAATTTCGTTGAATTCGGCAAACAAGTGGCGGCATAGACAAGTTTGCATTTATTGTACATTATCATTGAAATGAATGACACATATATAGATCTATCATCCATCATGTGTTCCAGACTTCCAGTGAACATGTTTCACTATATCCTGCATGCCGCCAATTATATAGTATAACCATTGTTTGGGGAATTTTATAGTTTTACAAAACATTGAAATTGTTCTCACATACACTTATATATAATATGTGTTTCGACAAGGAAGTCCAAATGAGTTCATTTACTTATTTAGTATATACAAAGTCAAGAATTCCAGACCTGTCTGAAAAACCAAACAGTCACTCTATCGTGACGATAACAATAGAAGTTGCTGAATAATGATTATTTGCTTACAATTACCTGCTGAAGGAAGAATAAGTTGTAAAATGTGGTTGAAAAACAACGACTTCCCGTTGACTATATACGAACCTCTTTTCTAGTGAACAAAGTTTTAGAGTGACTATATATAAATATATATGTGCAATACGATGCAAGGCTAAGAATAGCTCGTGTCTTGAGTAACCATAGAATAATGAGGCCCAGTTTATACGTCACATTTTGGACGACTAATGCAATCCCAAGAAATAGTAATATGGTTAGCCTCGTTTAACCTCATCAACCCTTCTATTCCACTGGAGTGACTCCTCTCATTATTCTTGACCTTGTAGAGTAGCTTAGTTGAACACTTGGAAGAGAGCATTGGCCTAGCAAACCAAAGGTTCGATTCCACTGTTCCCCACCCACTGTTCCCACCGTGGTCAAGCTAACCCTCCAGCTTGCCCGGTTAGTAAGTCAGAGTAGTTAGTCAGAGTAGCATGCGAGATATTGTTGTGCATTCAGTTTTACTGCGCCCTAGAGTCCTGGACAACTACAACAGTAAAATAGCAAGTCTGTTAACAATGGAATTCACAAGAATAACAACTGAATTTTCTACAAAAAGAATGTCTACAATCAGAGAATCATAATTCTGGACTGAAGAATCAGTAGCAGCGGACCGCCGGTCTAGGGGCTTACTTGCACAACAACGTTTCCTGTGCATTGATGTGGATTGATCTTATTTAGATCAGTGCGAAACGTAAAATCAGGGGCGTAGGAGTGGTAGGAAATTAGGAATACCCGAGCGAGAAAATTTTTGAAATTTGATTGCTTTAGATCCTCGGAAATGCCCATTTCTTTTTGGCTTAATTTATACTTCTTCAAAACAGCACAAGTCAAAGAATGACACTAGTCTTGCCAAGCTCGCCGGAAGTCACCACGCGATAGCTACGCGCGCGACACAAAACAATCAGAAAAAACACCGAAATTTCACATCTGTATATAGCTCATCTGCGTGGATAAAGTGAAAATACAGAAGCTCAAGCCTCAAGCATCAAGCATATTTATCAAAACTCAAAAGTGGGACTTTAAATCAGTAAATACATTACTTTTACTGAGTTATGCCTTCTAAGAAGAACCCACCGCCAAATGGTTTTTTCTATTTTATGCAGTCACTTCGTCCCGCTCTTAAGCGGGAAGGAGTTTTTGTGCAAAATAATCGCGAGTTGGCTGATCTCGCCGGACCACGATGGGCTGTGAGTTGATTTTGATAACAAAACATTTTTGTAATTTATATTGTGTATAATTACTTATTTTCATATGTTTTCATGTAGTTTATCAATAAGTATGTGTTTATGTTCATTAGGTGTATTAGATAGTGTTTTAAATTCAAAGTATTTAAAACATTAAAAGCCAAAAAATAGTCGTCACGATCCATCGTATTTGAAGAAAGATAACTGTTGACATAATTGTCATGTTGAATCTTGTGTTTACAATAACAGAAATGAAAATGAGCATGTTAGAAGAAAGAGTTAATATTAACAATTAATGCTATAGACCATAATTTTATTGGATTTATTTATTTTATTACTATCACATTGACATTACCATAATACCATGCCTCTTTACTTTTGACCTTATAATTGAAATGACAGCCAACACATAAAATTGTTTATTTTTGGCATGTTGGGAAATTTCTGCTATGGCAGGCAGGAAAATTGTGATTTTGGTCATAATATGTATAGTGCCTCCCTTTCAGAGGCGGACTGGCCCACAGGGATACCGGGAATTTTCCCAGTGCGCCCCTGATTTACATGCCGTTTGGTGCCCCATTTTGGAGAAAAATGATGGAGGAAATGATAAAACCATTGAAACAAACACAGGAAAGATAATCTGATCTAAATCATGTATCAGCTTGAAACTCAACATTGTAGCGGTCAAATTTTAAATGTGGCATGGCAGCACACACATTTTCAATAACTGTTGCTCATGTTAGAGCTAAAAATGGTGCCCCCTTTTTTAGTTTTCCCTGTAAATCATGTATAGGCCAGTCCGCCCCTAGTCCCTTTGGGTAAAAAAATAAAGGGATATTGTATGGTGCACATAATGTATATAGTGCAGTGCATCTGAGTTTTTGTTGGTGCTTCTCCAAAATATATTTTGATCTAGCACCAATTTCTACAATAGAATGCTGTTTTTAGGTACTCTCACCAGAAGAAAGAGAACCTTTCAATGCCCAAGCAAAGAGAGAGAAGCAAAATAGAAAATATGGTCCTCAACCTGATAAAATGGATTGCACAAGACAGTACATCTCAGTAATTATCATTTTACTACATTTTCATAGTTTCGAAAGTATACCCCAGTTTTGTTGATAATCATGTATAAGTGTCTTAATTTTGCTTGGTTGCTTGTAATCATTAGACATGCTATTTCACTGCTATTTCATGTTTCAATGTTTTCCATGTAATGTCTCGCTAATAAAGGGGGGTTGGCTTTTGCATCTCAATTCTACTCATAACATTGGGAGTTTTGTGATTTGAAATTTGCCCAAATTATACATCCTTTGAAAATTCTGAACATAAACTCTATTTTAATTACCATGGTACACATCAATGATTCTTTGCATTTTAAACAGCATGCACAATCTTACTTTGTAGCAAAGGGTTGATACTGTTCAGTTGAATGAACAAAGACGAAGAAAAGAAAGGAAAAGTGTTGTGGAATCATGGCTAGGGAAAGGTAGTGCAGTCTTTTCATTTGCTTGTCAAAAGAAAAGTGTTCCAACTACTTTGTTCTTTTGTTGATGCAAGAGTTGCATAGAGTTTATACTCAAATAAATATTTATATGTTCTTATTTACTGTAGATGTTTCAAATGAGAGATTTTTAATGATTTCCTTTATGAGTTTGTGTGATATGCCAGATGACAAATATATGCCATGTGAAATGGCTATTGCTGAGTATTCCTTGAAGAGCGGCATAACCCGAACCTTGCACAAGTATATTGATCCAGGTATGTATGTTTCATTTCATCCTTATACTTTATTTATTAATAAAATATTGGCAGAGTACATACTTACAAATAGAGTCTGGTCTTAGACTTTTTATTATGTTTTTTATAGCATATATACCGTACGTTTCTGTATTATACCATTTTATAACTGTCACCCCCCCCCCCAATACTCACAATGGAACAGAGTTGCATGTTGGTGATAATGATAAATGTTCATTCAGAACTTGTATAAACAATTTTCAGACCAATTTTACTGACCTAGTACAATATCAAGAGTGACAGTAAAAGATTGCATACGTAGGTTTTAAACGAAACTACCACTAAGAACAAAGTTTCATACTAAATTCCAAAATGTTTGATTTTAAATTATAGGCACAATCCCTCTGGGATATCGTTTCACAGCAATGCAACAGAGTAAGTGTTGATGCAAAAACACATTGTGGATGAAAGCATTATGATTTTGGAGATGATTAGGAAAAATTGACAAATCTTAAGTCTAATCACACAGCGCTAAAACTAATGTTATCTTTTTCCTGAAGGCGAGGCCACGCATCAAATTCCTCCCGAGGGATTATCTACGGAAAACTATCATGACATTTATGATCAAGTCTTGCAATTTGTCAACCCAAGAAAGCTCAATACCTATCCCCCTGTCTACTGTAAGGTATGCACTGTATTTCTCTTTTTCAATCTCTGAAAGTTTGCGGTCATGCCCATAAATATGTGACTATGCACGTATTTTTTTTGGACTGTCACTTATGAAATCCTCGCTACATTAACACCCTGTGAACATCTCTACAAAACGTACCCACTACCTAGTCGACGATGCCCCGAGTAATGAAAGGTTTTCTCGGTATTTGTGTAGGCATCGGAGTCAAAATTGACAGAATTTTCACTTGATTGGCTAGCATCCCGTGCAGGTACGATCTCTCTAAGGCTGTTTTTGTTCGATTTCGTCCGGTTTCGACGTTCACACTGTAAAAATGGATTAGTAAAATTTGACCGGTTCCACATGTTCACACGAGGAAACCGGAAGAATTTAAGCACGGTCCTGTAAGTTCGTTCGGTCGGGTGTGAATATAGTATTAAACTTACTCGTTTTTTGTACGTATGTATAATTTTTCTTTAAAATCCATACTATGGAAATATGCTACATATGTTTTCATAGTATATTCCTTGTATATCCATTCAATATAGATATATAGATATAATATGAACTTCCATACAATTTCCAACTAGCATCCATACTATTACTACAGTATGGGGCTTTCAATTACATTTATAGGAAGTCCAAACAAGATAAAAAAAGTTTATGAACTTGGGGGTTTAGTTTGTGATCTCTTTGCTGAGTCAAAAGACGCTGAGACCAAAGTTGCTCCTTCTAAACACAATGTTATGGAGCTCCTATCTACTACTGTTTTTGACTACGAGTCGGGAGCGAGGTTTGTAAAGTGCGCCATTTCGGGAGACTAAAAGGAAAGATCCTTTTATAGTCTTTATTCTATCCTTTTGTGCTGTTCCGCGACTACACGGGCGATTTTTGACGGCTTAAGTGAATTTAACAGAATAGTTTATTTACGTATACTTCGCCAAGCTTATACAACCGTGTACATAATTCATATAATAAGGAGAAAATCGCCGACAAAAATCGTCCGGGTAGCCGCGTAGGCATGGTGGAGACGATGAGTGTAAACACTGCTGATATATGTGCAGTTGACATGCACATTTGTGACATATTTAACAATGTTTTAGATGTAAATGGCACGAGGAAAAAGAAATACGATTCTGTGCCTCTGGTACAGTGAAACGATACTGGTTAGTTTTTGTCAACATCTTTACTACCTCATCGTGCAACATCGTACTACCTCAAACTTCTGTACTCGTATGCATCAAGAAATCTTCACTCCACTTCCTTTCTGAAATTTTGGCGGTGGTTCGAATTGGCCACCAAACGTCAAAGGCAAATTCAAATTCCTTAGCCCTGACTGTTCGGTTTGAGTGATGTTCACTTATAATTACCTCTTAGTAATGTTTACAATAAGATCTAGAAATGTCCATTTCTACTTGTTGTAAGTGACCGATGAATAGTGCTTGAATTCCTTTTCTTTAGCTATTGCATGTCAGATTTTCTCTGTGGAGCGTTTGGAATTGAACAGACATCGAATCATCTTCCCGAGCGACCTGAAGGAGACTGTTGTGTCGTCTTAACACCGAGAACCTCTAACGGTAATGCTAGAGCAGGAAATGCAAGGTCTCGGGGAAGACGAGTAGATGAAGCCGATATGAATTACCGTGATTATAGAAACAATAACACTTATCAATCTACTGGTAAGATACTTATAATACATATTTATGTCTCATCATCTACCTTCCTTAATTTCACCAAGGAAAACAAAACTGGATTTTATTATAATAATGAAACTTCCTTCTCCTGAGTTTGGGAGATGTTCCCGTAAATTGGATTGAAAACAGCACGAAATGTTTTCAGTGATATTCAATTTCCCCCTCTGAGTTATTGTTCCAGTTATATCAGAATTCACTGCATTATTTTACGGAAACGTTTTTCAGCAGTTTGGACTACCAACGTATTTTACGTCATTTAGATGTGAAAAAGAGACCGTATACAAGAAGTGGGCCCACGTATGACGAAGAGAGTCTCAAGTCAACGGACGTTGTTCCTCCACCAAGCAGCAGGTCAACTGTTCCCACTGGATTACCTACATTTGGGCGAGGCCGTGGTCGAGGTCATCTCATCCCAGCCGCCCAGCCTTTGAGAAGACCAAACATGCCTGGTATCGCTGGAAGGCCTGGGGCACAAGGAAATCAATCTTCTGGTCTATCTGGTCAATCTTCTTCAAGTCCTTCATCTTTATGGTCAGACGAACACGTACTACGAGCAACATCGAATTCTCCATCAGATCCTTCATCAAATCTTTCATCCCCTTGGTCGGGTTCCCTTGGGGCAGGGCGTGGCCGAGGCTTACGCCCTCCTAATACAGCACCCATGGGATGGGCAGGTCCTGCCTCGGCTCCAGACGCGTCAGTGGCGCCTCTTCCTCCAACAGCCTGGCGACAGGGTCCAAGCTCATCCGCACCATGGAAACAAGTAAACAATGTTGACATGGATACGGCATCCGCTGACTGGCCATCTCTTGGCGCCACTTCAAATGGGCAGAGCTCTGGTCTTCATCAAAAGTTCCAGAGTTTTTCGCTTTTCGACAGAGACGAGTATGATTACTGAATATACTTAGATAGCAGAGTCGAGTTGTTGTTCCTGAATTGATATTAACTTATCCTTTGGTGGTCATTGCACGTATATTTGGAAGGACTTTATCGCAATGGAGACCACTCAAACCGTGCATGACTAATGTTCGACTTTTGGACATATGTTATAATGGTACATTACATTGTAGTTAAAATGGCCCGATTCATATACTCGGGACTTGCAGTTATTCTAAGCCTAAATTGTCTGTCTGCAAACACGAAAGTACAGAAAGGTAATCAATAACTAAGACGAAGTTAGGTTGATGCTGTGGTTTATAAAGAATCTGGTAGGGCTAAAACAAGTTAAGTGAAAATTCGTCCTCAGAAGTAACTAAATCTACTTCAAGACGGATCAAAGGATTTAGTATGAACCAGGCCACTGTTTAGCATTAATTTGATATTAGCGTTAGTTTGGTATATTAGCAGTACTTTGCAAGAACCATGGTACTTGCTCTACAAAGAGCAAAGCTGATTGTTATTGGATATAAAGGTAGACTAACTGGGCTATTTTATTTTTGTTAAGATTTTTGACAGTGATATGGACAAATCATAGCTGTTGTCAAATGCATGCCAGAGTTTACTTCTTGTTATATCCGTGCCTCACAGGGCAGAGGCCTGGTGAAATTGTAAGAAAAACGTTTTATTTTATTGTAAAGGTCAATTTGTTTAATTCTTAAGGACGAGGAAGCCTTAGTCATTTTAATTTTAAAAAGTCGTTTAAAATGTTTTCCTAAAAATATTTACAAACCACTCTACATTTAAAATCTGCAAAAAGGTAAAAGGCTATAAGAAAAATGCAACCCAACAGATTTTGTGAATGAATTTAATGTTCCTGCTTAATGTTAATGTTTCTCTCAGACAGTGGAGAGATTAGCATTCATTTTACAACAATGCATAACATGCATTGCTGATTACTAGTATTGAAAACAATTGGAAATTGCTAAAATTACCAAGAAGTAAAAGAGGTTATTAAAATACTTTTATTGCTGTTTGCGTAAGCGCTTCGTTACCAATTAGGGCTATCGTAGCTGACGTCATTCCTAATTGTAATGCTTATAGCTGTATCCAAAAAAGCTATACAGCGCCATTTTTTCTGTGGGTATTCTGTCAATGTGATAGAATACGCCCGGCGTATTACAGTTAGCTGTGCTAGTATTCTGTGATTCTGTGATGGTTCCTATAGACACGGCCCACTGAAATATAGACCCTATCGGACTGATATGGCTACCGTGTGTAAAGACGATTAAATACAGGGGTGTACTTGGTTGTCATTCCCCTTTTAAAATTCATTGTGAAGTTAGGGCTTTCCGTCACGGAGCATAAAGATTTCACAATGACAATATTTAAATGCATTTAGTAGAGTCATATCCCTATCATTCTCTCGTACATTCACCATGTTGCGGCTCCTCTTTTCCTGTTGCAAACTCCCCTCCTTTTTAGCGGCCCAGACGGTCGAATTTGGAACCAGTGTGGAATTTGTCCGTTTGCTCTCCATTTACACGAGAACTATAAGGGCAAATCACTGTGCGGACTTACTAGAAAGTGAATGGTTTCGCGTAAACATGGAGAAAGGTTGAGTTTTGCCCGGTTAACTTCGTCTCAAATTCGTTACCGTTTCGTTACCGTCCGTTTCGAAGTGGCAGCTCTCGGCCACCATATTCACGTGGCCAAAGTATACTTGTTTCTTACTGTTCTGTAATGCCCCAAATTAATTTGAAAGCCTTTAAGTTGCACTAAGAATGACTTGAAAATTTAAAATTAATCTGAAATAAAATATTTCTAATCCACAATAAAACGCTTTTCAAACATTTCGAAATGGCAGCTCTCGGCCACTATATTAACATGGCCAAATATACTTGTTCCTTAGTCCTTACTGTTCCGTAATGTCTCCAAATTAATTTAAAAGCGTTCAAGTTGTACTAAAAATGAATTTAAAAGTTTAAATTGATCTGAAATAAAACATTTTTAATCCACAATAAAAACGCTTTTCAAAAATATTTCGAAGTGGCAGCTCTCGGTTTACCATATTTTTTTTATTTTTTTTCACGTGGCCGAGAACTGCCAATTGCCAAATATACTTGTTCCTTACTGTTCCGTAATGTCTCCAAATTAATTTGAAAGCGTTTAAGTTGTACTAAAAACGAATTTAAAATTTAAAATTAATCTGAAATGAAATCCACAATAAAACGCTTTTCAAACATTATTTCGAAATGGTAGCTCTTGGCCACCATAGTTAAGTTCAAAATAGAAAGCAAATATATCGATTTATTCAAGAAGCAAACTAAATGTTTTTAACCTTAATACAAAGATACTGTTCACAAATACATATTCAGTGCATAATATTCAAATTGACTCATTCAAGAGAGATGTAAGACCTAAGAGTGTTATTTAATTTTGACGGGTTTGATACAACCAGCCCCTGGCTGAGAATAGCTGAGAAGTGAGAACGGAAACATGTGGATCAAGGGCTGCAACTGGCCATAGCCACGTGGAATATAAACGCTGAGTTCGCATGTATTACAGCGGGATTCAGCCAATCACAGGTCGACGCGTCCAGCGACAATTGCCGGTGACATAAAGTCCAGTCAATAGACGTTCATACTAGTAGTGTCAAAGAAAATTATTTAGTACATTGTGTAGAGTTGAAATTTGGACTTTAATTTGGATTTTTCACATTCAAGGTAGGTGATATTACCCACATCCACTTTAGTTACGGTCACAACATTTCTTTTCATTACAAGGGGTCTTATTTTACGATTTTACTATGCTTGTATTTAATAAATATATAAGTATACAGTTAGAAGTAATCGTAGAACTGGTAGAGGTATATGTTTATATATCACTGGTTTATATTTATATATTAAAATCCCAATTATATAAGGACCATAAATATCATAATCAAACAATTAATATCCAAAATCAAATTTTTTACTTTTTATACATGTCATATATTTGTGTACAGCTGCTGGTTGTTTAGGCTATTTCAAGTTTATATACAGGTGATCAGACTGATCATTCTTACTCATGATGTTTCATGACACTAACCATCAAGACCAGAATCCTGTGCAACATACTGTAACCTCCTTATTAGGCATAATTCTTGGCAAAGGTCTTGGCATGGTTGAATGATTTTATGAAACCTCATGGAGGGCAAGGTTTTTTGCAAAAAGTAATAAAAAAATGTAAGCGAGAACCAAAGTGTAACCAAAGAGAATAACAAAAAAACTCTTTAGTCAATCAGTGTAATATTCCCATTTTACAGTTTTACTTCTTACACTTAAAGTTAATTGGCTTTGATCCTTTAACATTTTTAGACAGCCTTAATTCAATTAGCTGTATATTGCATGAAACATGATCTAGACCATCACTGACTTTGATTGGGTACAGACTATGCCTATAATTTCTGGATAATAAGCTATAAACTAAAATACATTAAATACTATTGGCACATCACTGATCACTACTTGAAATTTTACATTCAGATATATTGATCTTTTCTAGATGGTGAGATGTTTTAGTTGTATTCTATCACTGGCACTTCTAATTTTGTATTCAATATCTTATTCAGGTATTACAATGGGCATTTTCTGATAGACATAGTAATATCCAAATGTTCTTTGCAATGAGAGAGATTGTTTTCCTTTTCAGATGGCCTGGCTGTCATGTCCATTGATTTGGGAAGTGAGTTTATGAAAATCGCCATTGTCAAGGTAATATGAAGTGTGCATTGCTACTCTACTCATCAACTATGATGATTCAGAAATTAGAACTCTCTTTTGCAATAAGTACATGTTGTGATAAAACATTTTATAAGGCATTCTGATTTATTTCTACTACCATGTTCCTGGATGCAGGTGCAATGTTTGTAAATTATGCAATTTTGTATTATGATTCTTATTCATTTCTTCAGCCTGGTGTACCAATGGAAATAGCTTTAAATATGTAAGTTGTTTATAAATATTTTGCAACAGACATTTTACATCATGTTACTAGTCAGATCATGAGTAGTGATAATTTGAGTACTTCTTGGTAACAGTTATTAGCATGTAAGTAGATCTTATTAGTAAAGAAACATGAATTTACCCTTAAATTACAGTGAATCAAGAAGAAAAACTCCTCTTGTTGTTTCAATGAAAGATAATGAGAGATTATTCAGTGATCCTGCAATGGGTGTGGTAGGTATCCATGGATCATGGATCATGTATATAACATTCATCATATAATCATGGATCATTATAAGACAGTACAAAACTATTAAAGTCGTAATTTAGTACTTTTATCAAAACAATACATGTACTTCAAAAGAAACATGAAATAAGTTTTCAAATGGCATTTTCTTCAAATGAAAAATCGTCATTCATTTATGAAAGATTATACCATATTCAAAGGTAATATTGCTTGTGCTTTTCAAGTCGCAAACAACTCTTTCTTGGAATTGTTCTCCTAACTTTCAAGAAGTTTGTATTAATTTTAGGAGTTGAATAAAGTGAAGACGTACAGTATATACTGTACCATACTACCAGAAGTTCCAAAACTTACCAAAACACCTTTCAACTTTTAGGCTGTGAAAAATCCTAAATTTGCATACCGTTATCTTCATGATCTTATTGGTAAGAAGATTGACAATCCTCTTGTTGACTTGTATAAAAAAAGGTACGTACTTTGATATTAATTCTCTCGACGTTCCTGTACGAAAATCTGTAAATAAAATTCCCGTGTACATAAATTATGTTTATTGGAGAAAATAAGTTAATTTTGTTAATGTAATGTAAATTATAATGTAACATTGACTTAGCCTATAATGCTCTTTATACAGATTTCCTTTCTATGAGATTTTGAAAGACGATAGAGGTTCTGTGCTTTTCCAGCACGACAGGTTAGTATGTAATACAAACTGCCATGTTTTCATGTTTTTTTTTTCAGTCCATTGGGAACTGTCTAGTGGAATCAGTTTAATGCGTGATCTTATAGCTCGTATTTCATTGTAAACTTTAGTGCAACCACGTTCTCTGTTGAAGAACTTCTCGGCATGGTTTTGAACAACTCGCGGGAGATTGCTGAAAAGTTCGCAGGTAAATGTTTGAAAATGCCAAAAATGCGTATCTCTGAAGCTCCCTCCACCCCGCCAAATACGACACAGGCCACGCAGCGTTTCTGCTAAGCAGTGAATTCTTACCCAAAGCTCTCAGTCGTGTATCATGCCGTCATGGGGTAATTAAGGGGGGTTGCGCGAAAGTTAAAAATGAAACTGCTCCAGAGATGTTGTTTCAACGTGATTTTTGTAGCCACGCAAGGTAATACTGTTGAAGTTATAAATATATAAAATTTATGATTATTTGCTGTACAATTTTTTAGATCAGCCAATTAAGGATGTCATTATTACTGTGCCGCCATTTTTTACACAAGCTGAAAGACGTGCCGTGAATAGGTAAACTATAGGCTTTGCCTTTGGCGTGTTTCGTACCTGTACTGGATTTGTAGATATTTTTGCAAAAGTTATGACGCAGTGATAAATGTAACATACAATTTAAAAACACAGTTTTAAAACAAGGTGCACTAATACTTTAGTCCTTCACCCCCCCCCCTGATAGTTACATTTTTCTGTTGCCTTCGTGGGTTTGAACAAACCTGAATCATATAATTCGTTCAATTATTTCGCAAATACATCATATTAACTGTGATCATAGCTTCTACCTCAAGAAATCATTACGTTTATGATATTACTTTTCTTTAGAGCCGCCTCCATGGTAGGACTAAATGTACTTCAGTTGATGAATGATAACACTGCTGGTAAGACAATTGTCCTTAAGTGAGATTATGTGAGCTCTGTAGATGATTAGTAAAACAGCATGCAGCTCTTTATAGGTCTTCCCCTATACATTTTCACCCCCTACGATCAGTAGCATCGGGGGTGTAGGGAAAACGGGGTAATTAGTAATTACCCCGGCACGAAACGTTTAGCGTTCAATTTCTACCGTTTAAGATAGTGACGTGCGGTTATATTAGAGCTTGGACTATCGGTATAGGGCCGATCCCCTCATTTCATCCTCTAGACGCTCATGTCCAGGGTACAAAGAGCGATAGCGTGAGTGTAAAGCCTTAATTTCTTGTTAATTAATGTATTTGTTTTTGTCTTTAGCTGCCTTGAACTTCGGAGTGTTTCGATATAGTTCATTTAATGCCACTGAAAAGGTATGTTTTGTTCAAGAATTGACACAGTACAAATACTGTGAATTGCTGAGGTTCGCTTATTTTCTGAGAACACATGATTCGAGTAATGGTAAATAAATGTGTGTAAATAAATAAATTTATGTGATCAACGTTCTTTTCCAGATATATATGTTCTATGATATGGGGGCTACGAGTACTACGGCAACGATTGTTGGTACGTTTTACTGTGCGTATAAAAAATTCCCCTTGGGGCTTAAATTGCTTTATTATAAACTATATACTTGGTGAAAAAATTTGAAAAAATTAAATATAAATCGTTATAATCACTATATGTTAGGTTACAGTACGACGAAAGTCAAGGACAGAGGCATTGCCGAAACGGCTCCCCAGCTTATTGTGAAAGGAGTTGGGTAAGTTATGATTATGTAATAGATGCATGTATCCCAATGTCCTCCTGTATTTTACCTCAGTTTTGTTTGTATCTGATCATAAAGTAGAAGATGAAGGATTTAGATAATTGATAAAATATTAATAAAAACTCGTCAAATATACGTATTATTCGAACGGTAGGGATTTTATTATTTTTTAGATTTGACCGTTCGTTAGGAGGGCGAGAGTTCGATTTTCGAGTCAGAGATCACTTGGTGAAACTGTTCAAGGTAAAATCATATGGAACCAGTGGCGTGTTACCTCTTTAATTCTTAGCAAACGTTTATGATTTGTTCAGGACTCATGGTCCACAGGAAATTTTTACCCCCCTGAACATACTAAAAATACCGAAATCCTAGTGATCGATAGGGGGGGGGGGGCGGCGTGAAGGCTTGGTGCGTTGTATCTTCTAAAGGGGGAAAGATTATTTCTTGTATTTTGGCATGAATACATGCAGTGTAAAGGAAGATTTTGATATACGTTATCTCAAGGTGGTGCATGTAATCAACGTAGCCATGCATCTTGCTTCTTTAGGAGAAGCATACAGATCTTGACCCAACAACATCTCCACGTGCGATGAGTAAATTTTTAAAAGAAGCAAAACGTGTAAAACAAGTTCTCAGTGCTAATACGGAAACTATTTCACAGGTATGTTAAACGAGGATGGTAACTTCCTTTGTTTAGAGTTCAAGTACCCTACAGTCTTTAAAATGATATCCTACTATTCCTCTTTATTCAGTATATCTTATATATTATAATGTCTGGAAACGTGGCTAAATGGCTAACGTCATTTTCAGTTACTGAATTAAAATCGTATTAACTATCGTATCTTCTGAGAGAGGAATGATCTGCAGGATTATTTGTGTTCTGTCGTGCCTAGGGTATGGACAGCATAAGAAAATAGCTACTTCCCGTGCAAAATTTGCATCTAGCCCTCACTGGAAGGTTTCCGGCATTTCTACCAAACTAGTTGAAGTTTGCCACTTGCACTCACGTGGGCTCCAAGATTAATGCGTCGTCCGTGATCCACGATTCCACAGAGGCCTCACTCTATAGTCTAACAATTATAATATTCAAATTATCAAATTTCTAACTTTACCTTATCTTAAACAGATAGAGGGCGCTTTCAATGATCAAGATTTCCGTGCTAAAGTAACGAGAGCCGAATTCGACGAGATGAGCGCAGATCTTTACGATAGAGTTGCAGAACCTGTTATCCAAGCCTTGAAGTCGTCCTCGGTTACCTTGGTATGAAATATTTTCAAAATCATATTTTCATTTATCAATATTCATCTTATGTTGCCCGTTCCTGGTATCTTTGTTTATTATTACTTTTGCTGATTTGTTTGCATGGAGTTTGGGGGGTGATTGTCCCCGAACATGATGTGGAAAGGACCTAGAATAGGCCCTAATAAATTGTCGTAATGAATCCTCCCTCCCCAAAGATAAATAAAAAATATCCAGATATGATTCTCGTTTGCTCTTGAGTGTGAAATTTGAATCACTAATGGTTAGTTGAACTGATTTCCTAGCGATTATGATTTTTGGCACTTCGCTCGATGTATGTAAATTCTATATAGAAGTTTAAAGGGTCTTAATTTCGAGTAGAATTATACACACTTCAAATTCAAGCCAGGAACAGTTGATGGAAACATGAGTCAACTATAGGTCCTCCGGCAGGAATCGAGCTTACGCTTTTGCGATGCCGGTGCAATACTTAATGGCTTTACCAATGATAACTCGTATTGTTCTCTTTGCAGGACGAAATTGAAAGTGTTCTCGTTCTTGGGGGTGGTTTTAGAATCCCTAAAGTACAAGAAATTTTACTAAAAGCCGTTAAAAAGTAAGAAATTTCAGGAAATAAAACGACATTCGAGCGTGCAAAATATGTGGTTTTTTAGAGCTTGCACATTAAATAACTTTGTTTTCGTCTTAAATTAGGTCTGAATTAAGCAAGAATATCAATGCTGACGAAGCCTCAGCTATGGGTTAGTTAGTTTAATATACCGCTTTGTGGAATTGGTTTTTGGCGTAATTTAGGAGACTCTACCAAGTTTGGGCGTAAAAATAACGTAGCACAAAATATGTTTCTAAAGCATTTTTGTCCAGGTAATATTCTCCCCCAATCGGCCCAGTTCTCCAAGTTAGCTAAAAAAACAATTCGCCTAAGTGGGTGAAGTTTTGTATTGTGTATCATAAACACTTGCTTGCTAAATTTTTTTATCAGTTCCATGCATAACTGAGTTTAATACGGTTCTTTCTATGTTACAGGTGCCGTATATCAAGCTGCTCGACTAAGTAAGGGTTTTCGCGTGAAAAACTTTGTGGTTAAAGATACCAATGTTTATCCGATAGAGGTAACATTTTTTATATGATGGTATAAACAATTTACTTTTAAAATACGGTGTTTTCAGTAGCACGTAGCCAGCATTAATGATTGGGAGGGAGGCTATATTCATATATTCATGATAACAAACTGTAAAGACAAAGAGAAAATACTTCGTGCGGGTAACATCACGGAATCGCATTTAACGGTAATCTTCTATATCTCTTTTACATCAGGTAACATTTGAAAGGCCACTAAGGAACAGCAAGGGCGAAGAAACGGGTGAATTCAAGACGGTGAGAAGAACGTTATTTCATCAAAATAATGTTGTGCCACAAAAGAAAGTAATGACCTTCAATAAGAATACAGATGATTTCAAGTTTGCTGTTAGTTATGGTGATGTGTCATTCCTTACTGATATGCAACGAAGGTAAGTTCGATATGTCCACTATACTAGCGATTAATGAATTTTGTGGTCTGATTAATCACAGCCGAACTTTGAAAAGCTTTCCGCCATTTTTTAAGCCAAATTAAAGCCTTCTGCGAAGGCAAACGGCTGAAATTGAACCATCAAAACAACGCCGACTGTTTGACTTTGATTGGCTTTAACCAAAAGTTATGGTCAAATGCCAACAGTCTCTTTTTATTTCTTTTTTATTGTTCCGTTGTCAAATCAAACCACAACACTGGGGAGGGGGGTGGCGGTGGAGCGGAAACGACAGAGCGAAGGTTGCCGCAATACTAAACCTTTGAAAACAGTGTCAGCGTGTAGCGCCGACCTATTATTTTTTTGCCAAGATTGCAGATTCATTTCACTCATATACCCTTTCTTTTATTTTGTAGCATGATTGGCAGTTCCCATCTCTTAGACGTGCAAGTTAAGGGTGTTAGTGATTCGTTCAAAAAACACGAAAGCGACAAAACAGATCCAAAAGGAATTAAAGCTTATTTCACACTAGATGAAGCGGGGATTCTCTCGTTAGAAAAGGTATGTTTTACAAAGTACACATGCAGTACAGTACAGCCAAAGATTCACGGGAATACTCAATTTATTTTTAGTTATTGCTATACATTAACACATCACATCTAACTAGTCGGGTTGGTGGGGGAGATTGGGGGGTTGTGCTACACTCTTAGCTACGAGGTTCAGGGCCACTGATATATGACGGTTTGAAATTAGGCAGGGGCGGTTGCTCGCTGGTATAACTTACCCTCTTTTCGGAAAAGAACTATATTGGAGCAACCTCAACGTGTCTATTTTTTCATAGATTGAATCAGTCTTCGAAAAAATTCCCGAACCTGAAAAGGAAGAACCGTCAACATTTGCCAGTAAGTAAAAACTGATTTTGATGTGAAATCTAGTTTCGTATTTGTATTTTTATTTTAATCGAGTAGACCTTGTTCTCAAGAAATAGTGCCAACTGCCAACCCCAAAAGTACCACTTTCCAAAAAATATCATGGTTCACTTCACAAGTATATTTTGTAAGTTCGTTGCTTCGCAGGATGATGCGGGTATCGTCTCCATTGGATAATAGTAGTGTGGGTTTCTTTTAGAACTTGGAAGCAAAATTTCAAGTTTCTTTACCGGGTCCTCTGATACAGATGGGTCAAAAGAAGACTCGAAGGAAAAGGAGACTAAGGTATATTGATTTAAGGAAATTAATCAATCGGAAAACAAATGGCCGACAATAATCAAGAATTTATCCGATTGTACTGTAACTGTTTCTACTGTTTTCGAGGACAGGCTGAAGACTGGAAATATTATAAATGATGCAAATGTTTTTAACACTGTTTATTCAACAATTTTTAGTCCGAAGAAATAAAAGATAATGAAAAAAGTGAGAAAAAAGAAGGTGAAAAATCTGATGAAGAAAAGACGAAAGAAGAGGAAAAAGATAAGAGTGAGAGCACGAAAGATGACGAGAAAAATGAAAAAACAAGTGAAAAAGATGAAAAAACAAGTGAGAAGAGCGAGAAGGGGAGCGAAGAAAGTCAAGACAAGGAAAGCAAGAGCGATGAAAAGAAAGATGAGGGCGCAGAAGAACAGAAGAAAGGTGAAGAAGAGAAGAAAAAAGAAGAAAAGTCAGACGATAATAAAGGAGCGAAAGATGAGAAAGTTAAAAGTGACGGTGAGAAGAATAAGACTGCAGATGAGAAGACTGAGAAACAAGCTCCTCCAAAACCCATCACTATCCGTGAACCTCTCCAAGTAGAATCTGAAATTGTTGATTTGCAAGAGATGGCTACTGATAGATTTGACGTCGCTGTAAATAGGTAAGAAATCTTAAAGTGTGAAGTAATAGTACACGCCGAGTGGCGGGATTTCTTTTTGAGAGGGAGGCAAAGATTTTTTGTAGTCATGGTAGCTATTACACAATGCGAAATATTTGTTGATCTTCTTGCGAAATTTTCATTCATTATATGTACACGCTCGCAGACAGATTTTTCAATGATTTTCTTTCCTCATATGTGTTATTATCACAAAAACTGCACATGACGAATATGTATGAAGAATAATAAAGTCGATGTCTTTCTGTATCTAGACTAAAAAATTTGAAAGCTCGTGATGATGCTAAAATAGCGAATGCTAAGGCAAAGAACTCAGTTGAGAGTTTCTTGTTTGAAACCCGAGATAAATTGTCTGATGAAGAGGGGGAAACTTTGATGACCGAAGATGAACGAGAGAAGCTTGAGACGGCTTTATCTGAAGTATCTGAGTGGTTAGATGACGAGGGATGGGATACAACGGAAGATGTGAGTTTATTAATATCAGAATGAGCAGTTATACTATATTATACCACATTATACCACGCGTACCATTGTGGTAAAGTATTATACGGAACGGGTTGAGGAAATTGGTAGGGAATTGGCTACATTCTAGTATGACTCGAAAATTATGAAACTGCGTGGAGATGACGAAAGTTTCAAAAATAGCATTATAAGGAATATCATAGGTAACATGAAGAGGTGCCCGGAGTCTGATCAGGGATAAACATCGATGCTTTTAGGTTTACAAAGCAAAGTTAAAAATATTAAAGGGAGCTGCCAAAGATTTCTATTTGAGAATATCAGAATTGAAAAATCGTCCAGAAGCAATTGAGAATCTACGTCGAAGTTTGAACTTGACAGTGACGTTTTTACAACAAGTTGCTGTGATGAAAGAAAAGGACGAGATTTTCACGAACAAAGATTTAGAAGATGTCTGGAAAGTACTGAATGAAACTGTTGTAAGTATTTCACACCGTTTTATTTTTATTATACGGATATCATTGTTTTCTAATTCCCATACGGATATATCATTTTGTGAAAATAAGTCATAACATCGTTTTAGCCACTCGGAAGTTTATTATTAATAGTATAATTATGAATAATATTAATAGTGAAATATCCGTCGGACAGAATCAGTGTTGAGCAGTAATCACAAGATCTACATTCATATTTAAGTTATTTTATTTTTTTCTGTGAAACAGGAATGGCTCTATAATACAGAAAAGAAACAAAATGAAACTAAACCATCAGAAAATCCGGTATTACTGGTCAAAGATATTGTACAGAAGACTGGTAAACTGGACCGAGAGTTAATGTATTTGTTAAACAAGGCTAAATACTATGTTCCGAAGACTAAACCAGCAGGTAACAATAAACCCTACTGTCTCTACCCTATTATCAGACTCGCGGTAACATTCAACCGTTCATGCACAGTAACTGTATATACATGCACACGCTTCAGATAACAGTTATTCTTTTCTTTGCACTCGATACGGGAAATCGTTTACTTGAAGTCTTGAATACGTTGGAACTCTGGGCGAAACTACACCTGGATGAAAATTGTCTTTTTTCATTTGTAGATAACAGCACTACTACTAACGGCACGGACAGTGGGGGAAAGCCTGAAAGTAAAACAAAGGTTGATGAGTCTAAAGAGAAAGGTGAAGAAAAAAAGGCAGATGATAAATCTGCTGATGCAGAAGATATGGATGATAAGCAGAGTAAAAGCGAGGGCGAAACAAGTGAAGAAGGCAAGAAGACAAAGAATGAAGACAGTCAAGAAAAAGGAAGTGAAGAAACAAAAAGTGAAAATAGTGAAGATAGTCAAGAAACAAAGAGTGAAGATAGTCAAGATACAAAGAGTGAAGATACAAAGAGTGAAGATAGTCAAGATACAAAGAGTGAAAACACGAAGGAAACTGTTGATAAGAAGGATGACACTACGACTAAATCCGAATCGTCAGAACCCCATAAAGAATTATAGTGAATAAACCAAAGTGTGACTCACTGCGGCGTGGATTGCGGACGAGACCTTGACTAAGCAAGAATGACATTGACCTTGAATTGCAAACCGCTGATTCATTGAGATGAATTTGGTTTAACCATGACAGCATAGTTCGAAAAATTATAATGTTCATGCTAGAGAACTGGGCATAGCTATAGCGCTATACAGGTGTGCAGGGCACGTTTCTTGGCAGAAAAATAAACACGTGACAATTAGCTTCCCAAAATGGGAACAACTAAGAAACAGCTAAAAATAGAAATAGAAGTTTTTTTCAGAAAAATACGAGCAACGCTCTTTGTTCCAAAAAAGCCTGGTCATCTTGTTTGCTTAAGCTCTCCGTATATCTTGGGAAATAAACAGCAGCTAGGAGTTATTTAATTTATAAATACTGTTTTTAAGATTGTTATTCAATTCGTTGGACATTAAATTGTAAAATATCTTCTTTACCTAAATTTTGATCCATAAGAGCCGAAAAGCGCATTGCATAGCGGCATAACAGAAAAGCAAACCATCAGAATTGATCTGTTTAGCAAAATGAACAGGTCAGGCTCGAAAAAGGCGAACGTTGTAAAAAATGCAGAAAAGAGCATTATAAAATTGAACTAAAGACGCGGGCATTATGAAATTAAACTAAAGACAACCTCACATTTAACATTTGAAAAGCGTCACAATATACAAACACAACTTGCATACACATTATCACACCAACTCAACTGGCATAACAATATTTGAAACTTTTATGTACACAAATACAAGACAATAACGTTCCTGCATTCAAAGTCAATTCGATCATTTTAGTCATTATATTAGGCCAAAACCTTTACTATAGGTTATTGCTTTCACAAGACGCTCCTCTAACTGGCTTTTCCTGGAGTAATCAGGCATGAGCATCACGTTGAAACAGGTGTGGGCGGTTGGAAGGCTGAAAATGAATGAATGCACGATTATTATTAAATAATCAGAAAGAAGACAAGTATATTAAACAAAGATCAATTCCATTGTCAGATGCATAAAATAAGATATGATTATATGAAGACCGAGTCATTTTTCGGGCTTTAATCATAGAACAATCACACAACGGGGCTTATATCGACTGCCACAAATGGGTTTCCCCATTTTGAAACTCAGCTTGCCTCGAAAATGGAGAAAGGGATAAGAAAACATGCAAACTTAGACAGGTGTGGACCAAGCTTAAGAAAGAGACTACATTGTAGTCCATACCTGTTAGAATCAGGACCTTGTCTCGCAATAACAAGTCTAAGTTTTGCCAAGCCACCAATAGGTACGCGATCACTGCCTGTGATAAACATCAGAAGTTGTTTCTTTTGTTCGAGGGTGAAGTTGTGAACAATTTCCCAGAACCATCTAAACAAACAAAACTATGGAATTAGAAAACTACGATTCGGAGGGAAAAAAGGTACACGAAGCGGTGTGGGTGTGACGGGATGAATACCCTATATGCATCTTTGAACACTAATTACCTTATGATTGGTGAACTTTCAGTAAAACCTCCTTCATACTCAGTCGTACTCTCAAGAGCTTCAAAATCGAAATCCTATATAAAATTGAGTGGATGAGACTTGCTAGCACAACCATTTCGTAATTCTTCTAGGCCTCAAATCCTGATCAAAATTATGAAAAAATCTCCATAATATATACCTTGCTGCCGCAAACAAGCAGTTCCACCTCCTCTGGTCGAAATAGTTGTTTCAAAGGTGATTCTTTGGTGACCATATCGAAACCCTGCTTGAATGGTCGAAACTAAAAAATGTCATAAAAATAATGCTTTAATCTTTTCATCGAATAACTTGTCCCAACTTGGCCCTTCAAAGCTTCTTCAATCATTCTAATTCCAGTACAATATCAAATTTTGAAAACACTAAACATGCACGTTTGGCCTGAGATTAATTTTCGCAAACAGCGTGGTATCTGGTTTGTTTTTTTGTTACCATGGCAAAGAGTTCTGAGACCAACCTAATTTGTGTTAGCTACACCGTATATATCATATTTTTGCCTCAAAAAACGCTGGGTTTTTTAGGATTACCTAAGTCGAGGAAATAACTGTCAGTACCTGGTCTTCAATGGATTTGTTGAGAATGTAATCTACGTAGAGATCGACGTATTTCTAAATATAAATTATGATGGTACAGATTATTGCTGGATATGGTGATATAATATGCTGGATACGAAATTGAACTATTAAATCTCGATGTGATTTTTGGCACTTCACTCGATGCATGTAAATTCTAGGGGTTTAAAGGGTCTTAATTTTCGAGTGGAATTATACACACTGAACGTCATCTGACGGCATCATGGACTAAAATCCGCTTTTCAAAGTCCGAAAACGCTCATTCCGATGCTTACATTAATGAAAGAGTCGACGATTATGAAAAACAGACAAATCCTGCAGTATTGTATTGGTTATTACCTTCCGGTTTTCGTTTGTGACCGGTATATTTTTACCGTTTTCCATCAACTCGTGAGTTAAAACATTTCCGAAAACATCTGTGTAACTGATTACAAACGAACAGAGGAATGTATTTTCAACATCTCCTTCAAAATCCAGCATATTCTGCAGGCTGCTGGCGATCACCTACAAATTTAACAGTCCCATATGATTCAGTGGGGGGTTGTATTGGTTTGGAGTTGCTAATATGTGTTACTGAAGGGATTGCTCAACGTTTCGTAAATTATGTTCAATTCTTAAAAGAATTTTCAAAAATGTTGAAAATTCAGAAATGAGTTTGGATAATATGAACATAGACTCTCTAAATAGACCGGGTAAATACATACTGTACATATTTTCACTTACGGGATGCGAATCTTTCAGGTCAACCAAACTACCACTTCTACCAAACAGTTTTCTGTACACGACCATTGGAAAATGTACATCTAGTATGATATTATTATAGATTGCAAGACCCAATATTAAACCGATCAACGTGAACTGATTATGCCCGTCAAATGACGTAGGATTAAACCAACACTGTCTTGTTCCTGCATCGTACGTGAACATGCCTAGAACAGATACACATGACGTGTAGTAGAAATAGTTGGATTTATCAATGTTATTTTATTATATGATATATCTCCTTATGATGATCTCACTATAGGTGAGTACAGTGACGTAATCATTCATAGAATAAGCTGCAAATAGACACACGCATACCATAATCAGGATTGAAAATATGCTCGACCACCAACTGAAAAAATTCTTTGGATACACCACCCTCGTCTAGACCTTGTTCACCAGCAAACTCAACAAATAACTGTTTCTTGAGATCATGAGGGTTGTCTTGATAAATCATTTCAAGCTATATATGTGGATAGAAATAATTTACCCATAAATAATATGCCCAAAACTCTGATTGCTTTCAAGAATAGAATACGGAATTAAATAGTTGCGAAACCAAAAATACAAGAGACGTTAATGAGAGATATAGGAATGATAGAAATTACAAGTGGTACGAAGGCGATGGCTAGGACGTTAGCCAGGTTATCGTGCTCCGACTAGAACAGCAATTAAATTAAATGCTAATTTGATCGGCCGATTTAATGTAATTTTAAGCATTTTAAGAATTGCGAAATCTTCGAAATGTTACTGTAGTATTTCATTCAAAATTTAATTTAGGCCTTTCTGAATTCAGTGAAGTCTATTTGATCGAAACTCCTTATTCATAGTTTTAAAGGTATAACACATCAAACACCGATACTTTTTTACAAGAAACCCGGTATTTCCCCAAACAGTCATGACTGTAGAATGCTCGCGTTGGTTTAAAATATGGACGTGGAACGGTACGGTATTTCAAGGGGAATGGGAAGATTCGAATATTTCAACTTACGTTTATCAGGGCATCTTGAATCAAATTGTCTCTTTGTACCGTTAACTTGAGATAGGGAGTTGGCTGTTGGCCACGTAATAAGCTATACAAATGAGTGAGACGTCTCTCTTGCAACATATTTACACGATTATCGTAAAACATCCATACACTCTTCACAGGAGTGGTGAGAATAAAGTTACAATCCATGAAGGAAAAACCCTCTTTTGTTTTATACAAAGTAAAATCTCGGTCTACGGCGATCTCTTCGTTCAATGGCTCGTTGATGAACTCGTCAAAAGGTAGTAGGGGTTCCCTACAGTCCAATGCATCCAAATCAAGTCTTTTTACCAAGGTGTCCTCTTCATCAGACTCGCCCGTATCCATAGCCTCTTCCGTTGAACTCAAGTGATCAAACTTTCCTCCCAAAAGCGAAGCGCAGTAAAACAGTTTCAAACATTTCGTAACATGAGCTATGACTGGATCTTCGTTGACGGTGACGGAACTGCACCTTGATGATGGGCCATCAATCACACGAAGCGTTATAAGATGCTGGAGCATTTCAACTTTCCTTTTCAACGAATCTTTCGAGTGTTTCTTCCACTCGAGGACTAGCTGCACTTGAATATTGAAGGGAAGTAACGACACAGCTTTGCAAAAACACGGCAGAGCGTTCTCCAAGTATTCCGGCTGATTCAAATAAGGATTTTCAAAGATGATGAGAAATAGTTTGAAATAATTGGAATTACCAACATGCGACTTGCGTTTTAATTCAACTTCGATGGATGTTGACAATGTTCCCAGAGAGTTAACTAGAGTATTTTCAACGGCAGGGTTCTGCAGGTTAGACAATGTTTCGTATGTTGTTCTGACCGACTCGAAGTCAACAGCGTCTGCATTGCCGGACTTTGCAGGAAAACTTTTGCTTAGTGATGAAGATTTAGTGAAGACATCTCCAAGAAGTCTAACTAATGGCTTAAAATTGTCATCTCTTTCACAAGCAATTATGAGCTCATTTAGTTTTTCCTCTGTCAAATGTTGCTCTTCTTTTTCTGTAGAACAAGATATGCAATAATTATATAGTTTTTATGTTTCACTAAATACTTGCAAGCTATACTATGTACTTAAGCCAGCCTTAAGATGTATTTTTCACTAATTGTAAAAGAAGGCATAGTGGTGTCAGAGAAAATTTTCCACCACCTTATAAAATATTTCCAGGATTTTTTTTTCCTATTTGGAGATTCAAATTGTTGTAAAAATTTGGATGTCAATCTGTGTATGTAAGAGGCATGTATGGTACACTCAATTTCCAATTACCTTTATTTAATACTTCTGTACATGGACTAAAGTAGTACCTCTGAGGCAAATATATACTAGTACTACAAACTAAACCTATTTATTTATTACCTGGAATTTTTGTTTCTTGACCTTTTGGTCTTTTACCATCTATAGGAAGTTCTGCAACACAAAGATTCGCTCTTTCTTTGAATAACTGCAAAGCGATAGCAGCTCCTTCATCGTTGCCAACAGGTGTTGACCTGTTCTGAGCGCATGATTTGTTCTCACAGTTTTTTTTACCACAACCATTAGTCACTTGATGGTAATACCTCTGAAGGAGGTTTTGAAATAGCAGTTTTTTTCTAAAAAGACATATAATATAAGTTCATGCAAACAGACAATATCAGAAAAGAACCCATTTTCAATGAGTTGGGAGAATCTTTTTGCACCAAAAGAAATAAGAATTACCTGGTGGAAAACAGCTTCAAAATATACAACAAAACAGAATTCCTGAAGCAGCCATAGTTTACACTCTAACTATACTTGAGTTTCTTTGAAGCATATAATTATACCTGTTACATGACTGGTCATTTGTTGGCCATTTATAATCACTATTGACAAAAGTTATGGGTAATGCAATTGGAGGTAATAATAAACCAGTGATTATCCTCTTCAAAACAGTAAACTTGTTGTGCAATGACCAATTTGAGTGTCTCATTAAAAAAAAGGCAAATTTGATTGGCAAAAGAAAGCATGGTTACATAAATATTTGATAAACGCCTAAATCATGCACATACTGTACCTACTTGCCCAAGGCAGTCAAGCACTGCTGTTTTGTATTAATTGCTTTACCATACGACCTAAAGAGTATCCCAAAAGCCAGCTACGATCTTACAAAATAAGCTCTAACGGTATTCATAATCTCTATGTATGTCCAGCCCGGAATGGATTATCATCATGAACGTTCATGCAATGGTATTAAACTATTAATACAATAATTATGCCAATATTATCAGAGCAACAAATTTCGTTCATATAAAGCTTGCTTATCACGAGGCACGGGTGAAAAAGTATCTTGTAATGTTAGCTAAGGTTATATTGACACTTTTGTATCAAAAATTCAAAATAAACAAAGTTGCATTACCGAAACACTGTCTCAGTACCTGGTGGAGCTTGCGTCACTTGAGCACTCAGCGATATCTGGCCTTTTCTCACTATCACAACTTCCATCACCTTGTTTGGAGAACATTGTCCTTCTAAATCCGTAGAACACAAACCAATTTTGTAGAATACAACATAATTCGAGGGAAAAGAAACAGGCATGCCACCATGAGCCGGAAGAAGAAGATGGATAAAGTAGGAATATTGGGGATATCTGATAAGAACGAGAGATAAATATAATGAGTTACTCCAGTTCACATTTTGGAATGCAGATCAGTGTTTGTTGAGCGCAGAGGCGCAGAGCTGCGCCCACTGGCTGCACCATGACTATTTTACCAGCAAGGGGTTAAATCTCTTGGTATTTCATTTCATTTCATTTAAATTTATTTTGTGCCGCAAATCTTTGCAAATTACTTTTTCCAGGGAGCTGGTAAATATTCATGAACTGATTATTTTTTACGGGACAGTTGAGGGTGAAGGAGTCCAAGGACATGAGCTGTTGGTTAAGGAAGATAAGACAGTTTTGAGATTAGGCGTCTGGAACGTCGGAAAACGACACGCCGTATATTTGACGAACCGTGTTAAAGGCCGTGTTTTATTGAAATTGAATAGCAACTTCCATACCTAATTTTAGTTTGCAATGATAACCAATTTGTGCTGTGATAAAAGTAGAATGTGCAGTGATATTAAAGTGGTATTTTCTCAGTAGATCGGCCCCAAAATGCAGGAAATCCAAGTCATGGGTACTCGAAAGGTTTTGAGAGGTTTTGCAGACCCTCTAGAACTCCTCCATCTTTAAATTACCAATTTCCAATTAGTACCAATTGTATCATGTCCTGCCACTCTACTATACTATTGTGATAATATGTGCAGTGATAAAAAAATTCTTAAAATTAGCTATACAACTTGCAGACATTTTTTGCATGCTTTTAATTTTTTGACATACAACATCTATTTACAAAATTCACAAAAATTGAATTATTATCGTTATTCAATTTACTCATTGCCATTGGCATCGATCATACAAATCGATTTAGACATTTACGTGCTTGTGTAGGCATTGGGTATTGAAAAACGCGTAACTCAAAAACAGCCTTTAGACAATTAAGCCTCAGCTTCAGAAGAGAATAAAATGAAAGATGATAAAGATCGTCACACTTGAAACAATCACAAACCCACTCTGCCAACGCTCTTAATTGCCATTTGGCATATATGCAAAGAAGATATCAATCGTTTTTTTTAACTATACTAAAAACTTGGTCAAAATCTATTGCCATTCGCCAGCTAGTACAGGAAACTCTTATAACAATATTTCTTGCAAGTGAAAATGAACAAAAGCTTTTGGTCTGAAAAGATGCACATTTTTATGCCGGTGATGTATTAGGGTTTGCGAATAATGGTGCACAAACGTTTGTTAACGTAATGGTACTAATGGAGTTGCACTTTTTACATTTTATTTTCAAGCATACATTTATGAATCCATAGCATTGAGATGAATATTTGTCATGGTTTTATTGTTTTATTCATCTCAATGATCTATAGCTTTTGTGCTCAAAACGTAAAAAAAGAATAGCCGGAATTTTATTCATTTCTTGTGGAAACATTGTTTGACAAGTGGCATTGGCATTGACATATGCGTTTGTGACAAGTCTCCTGCGGAGGATAAGACAGGCACAGCAATGTTTACAGATGATTAGTTCAAACCGTTTGCAATTTGAAATTTTTGCTTAAATAACATCGATATCTTCGCTTATCGTTCGTCGACATTTGTGATAAACAATGGCTTCAACAAAAGCAGACATTGCCCATGAAGATCGAAAGGTATTTCACGATTTCTACAACTACTTTAACATTGTAGAGCAGCTGTTCTCATCTACACTACTTGCCATACTAGTTAATACTTTCCGTATGTTTTTACAGTATCGTGGGTGTGTATTAGGCAATATAAAAACAGTCGGCAGAGTTCGTATTTATATAACGCAATATGTATGTTTCAAACAGCCAAATAACGATTATTTCGAGCACAATTGCCGTGGGAAATTGCTGTAAACACCAACTTTTGATCATGTTTGTGACCTTGGTTTATGTCATTTAACGGCTGGATATATTTGCAATAGTGTCTTTGAATATTGTATAAATATATCTGAGTAAACCTACTTGAGTTTACCTAACAACAGAGCGGGACGACGCTGAGTTCCCGAAGTATCATGGCGCTAAACGGCATTTGACAAACCAAATTTGGTTGAAAATGCTCTACGGTGTAAACCACATTAAAATTTTATTGAATCGAAATGCTTTATGAATATCCTTGTAATTCAATTTCAAATTCATGAATGATGCTCTGCCTTTACAGCTTCACTACTGTTCGGTTTTGTTGTTTGGTTTTTCACGCGGAATGCGAGCCCAAACAAACGATGTTGGCAAAGCAAAGGGACTTCTTTTATAGGCCGTGGTTTTCGTCCGAAGTACAAAGTGGTATTTCCCGTCGGTTCCGTTCTAGCCTAATTGCTCTATTATTTCCGTGAACTCCTCTTGAAATTTTAATACAAGAGATTAAAAGATCCACACAGTGCAAACGTTATACAAAATAATTTAAAATCTTTACAGGTGAATGCAAATTTTTATGCCGACCCGTTGGCGCTGATTTATTTGATCTAAGATGAAAAGTCAATGACATGAGCTATTCAGTATTGTACGTTCTAATTAATTAAAATCGCCTTAAAATAACAGGATCAATATAATATAGTCTTATAATGAAATATATTAAGTATATATTAAGTCACATACGCAGAAGATTTATTAATCGTCTAGAAATCAATCTCATTTTGGTCTAAATCAACATTTAAAGCTTCACCTCAGAATATATAACTGTATCATGTTACTGCTTTATTGCTTTATGTTTATAATTTTATTTGCCATATTTATATTACAAATCTGATTATATAAAATACATGGTCATATTAAATATATGACCACAAGTATTTTCATTCAAATTGAAACACACATTCATAATTGTTTTTTTCATTTACCAATTTTCAAAGTATATATAGATCAAAATGGCCCTTCTATTGATAATTGTCCTGCCCACCTAGGACTACTTTTGTTGAGTAAATTAAGTGTTGAGAGAGTTTGTTTTATAGTCAGCATGAATGATTGGTAATAAAACACTTGTAAGCATTGATTGATTATCATTTCTCTGGGTGGTCCAATTAGCAACAACATCATCATTGGGAGTTTCAAATCACAATTGAATTTATTGATTTTATACTAGAGATGGATCATGTGTCTTCATGTGGCAAAACAGAGTTTGTCTAAAAATATATCTGTGCCTTAAACCAGGAAAACTGATTAATTTTTTGCAAAGATAAAATACTAACCTACTGGTCTTGGGTGTATGTGTGTTCGTTCATTGTCTTGATGGTTCATCCATCTGTATTTACTAATCGTATAAAGCCATGGATAAAATGTAATGATATGTTAATAAATGGGAGTGGATGCAGTCAAGTTGTCATAGATGTTTGCATTATATGATTTTAATTACCAAAAATTTTGTTACTTGAAAGTTAAGTAAAAATATTGCTTGTGCATGCTCATAAGATATAGGTTATGTTCTGAGGCTTATTTTCTGTTTTATATGCAGTTACATGGATTGCCTGAATATTGCAAACAATATTAAAACATTGTAGTTCCAATAACAGGTTAATTTGTAGTTGATTTAGGGTACCTTGATAATTAATTCAATGAAATTCACTTCCATTTGGTGTTAATTCTATCCAGTGACCATTTACTGATTTTTAATGCTGGAGAAAAAATATTCTAGTTCCTTAACTGGTATTGTCACTAGATTGTAGGTTTAGTCATTCCTTTGCTCTTATCTGTACATCACAAACTGATTTGTTAACAGAGGCACTGGCAGATAAAATAGTTTAGACTTCAATTGTATTAGTCAGTCCAGTTGTTTTCAACATTTCTTAAGTAGGTAAATAAAGATCACTCACAGACCAAAATTCTTACACCTTGCCAGCCCTTTCTTCGATCAGTTCGATGTGCTGATATATAAAAGTGAAAACTGTCAAGTGTATATAGACAAGCTGGCCCACTATGTGCATTCATAAGGGTCTGGATTTTGGGTTTGATTTTCTATGAGTTGGCAGGCTAGCAAGCTGAGAGAATATTGATGATTTTCAAGAAATAAGCTTATCAGGAATAACACCAAGAAAAACTACCGTTCATATATACCCTCTTCCTTAATTTGATGTTTTTGGCAAAAAACCATGTTACGTTTAGCTGTGTTTGAAGGCAACCACTCAGTTCACCATTTTTTTTCAATTTAGTCACGGTTGAAACATTTGTTAGACTATGGCTTGCAGAGAACTTTGGAGTCTAGGAGCACAGTAATTAATTTTATCTATTTCAGGCAGCTGTTATACCCCATTTGAGTGGGCAAAAAATGGCGGACCCCGTGGCCACACTGGGACCCTCTGTAGCTACGAAGTATTCGTAGTGGTCAAGCGGCATTTCTATCTAAGATATATGAAACTTGGCAAATAGATAGAGCCTGCTATTTTAAAATTTCGTCGGTCAATTTTTTTTCGTCGGCCAAATATTTTTCGTCGGCCATCAATGTTAGTTATCAATGAACGTTACATCATATATAAGTTAGTTAAGCACGTTTCGTTAATCCTGATCAGACTAGATTAATAATAAAGCTCGATTATTACAACTGTCTTCGACTTTGTTTTGTGTAGTATGTCGTGGCCCACGAGCGTCATGCGGGTTCTCCTTGTCTAAAATGTGGACCAGAAGTTTGCGTTGGAGGCCTGGACTTACATTTTTGGAGGTAGGAGGCATCGTTTTAAAGCCATTTATAAAAGTGTTCTACAAAAAATTACAAAACCTGTTGTGATTTACAATAGTCCATTTTCATAGTCGCATCTAAAACCCTGAATAAACATTTTACGCTTCATCTGTATTAGCGAAGTATATGAAAAATAATTAAAATCATTCAATCTTGTTACGAAAAAAAACCCCGAATAAAGTCTTGCCCTAGTCAATTTCGTGTTCAAACGAGTGTTTTAACTAATTTTCTACGAGATGCATTTCTTCGCCCGAACAAAATCCAGTAAACTTTGAAAGAAAACTAGGAAATTGTTTTTGCATTTCTGTGCACAGCAGAGGTTGCACCACAGTTAACTGTGCTTGCACGTTTAGAGGAACTTTTCTTTCACAAGGCCAATACTACGAAGAGTGAAAGGTCAATACTGATGACATATATTACATACTTACTCTCTTAAAAAATTATTTGTTTCCTTTATTTCTAATAACCCAACTCTCTGCGAAGACAGCTGTATGCAATTACATTGTGAAAAACTTGTTGCGCACGCAAAGTCGCCATTACACGTCGTGGCTCGTGGACAATACACGATACCTCTTTATGTGGTGGTGATATACTTTTCTTTATGAAAAGACCGCGTTCATTTGGTTGCCTGGCTGGCTAATACAACCAATACAGAATATATATAATTAAAGGGAGGCTTGATAGTGTTTACTATATATTTATATGGAAAACCCCGGAAAACCTATTGAAAACTAAATATGCTATTTGAACAGTAGCTATATGCTTTTTTCACTGTGATAATATAGAGTATATCGATACCATGTTCTGGGAAATTATTTTCTAACCTTTGAGATTCCCGTGTTATTATTGTAGAAAAATATGCAAGACGTGTAAATGTGGTGCGGCCGATCATGACATTAAAAGTGATGAGGATTTTACCCACCAGTTGATTCTACGTGATATACAACAGTTAGTCACAGGTCCTGATGGATGTGGCATTGTCACGGATAAAATAAGAAAGTTTCGTTTGGCGAGTACTGACACACAACCAGACGTTTTTCCCAAAGGAAACTTTTTGTGGGTTCCCTCTGGCGTTACAAAGGAAGTGGTACGTACCAAAGAAGGAATTTTGAAGTTACTGTGAATGAGAATTTTCACCAAAATCAAACTAACCTGAGATAGCCCATGTAGATCATATGAGGAAGCAAGAGAATAATAGACAGCAACCCCCATTTGTCTTAATTAAATCATCATTAAACAATGGCACTCCGTATTATGGTATTCACATATATAATTATATTCTAAATTATAACAATTAAGATTATTAAGGCATTTCTCATGATTATTAAGGCATTTCTCATGTCAAAAACAGCATCTCAATATCAACATATATTGTTTTTGCCACTCGAACATAAATCTATATCTACTCGCCACCGTGTAATATCCTATATATATATGTATATGTATTGCTCTACCTACCTCAACATTCTTAACTACACACTCCTTTGCATCCATCAGAAGACGAAAATCGCAGCAAAAATCAGCTCTTTCAATTCCATAACTCGCAAGATCGCTGGCAGTTTTCATCCAATGAGAATGCTTTGTGACTTAGATGCACTAGCAGCGAGCGTGCAAGTAGGTTTTTGCAATGAGTGGAAAAGAGCGTTGAGGGCATGATCGTGTTTGCATGGTCGGTACACGACCAGAGTTCACTGTACACGACCGACCACAGCAGAATTTTGCAGCGGCATGTTTTTTTTGGAAATAGAAGACATTTTTATACGAATGAAAATTGGAAAAACAGAAAATCGAGTTATTTCAATTTTCACAGGAAATCGAGTTATTTCAATTTTCAGGATTGTTGATGTAACTAAATATCAACACAGAGCATGCTTTATGCAATAAAGTAACTTAAGAAGCGGCAAATTTCCGTGTTTACATTAGGTTGTGTCAACACGGCTTTATAACCGTGTCTCCATATAATGCATCAAACAGCCGCGTTAACTCATTTTTCGTAATCATCAAATGAGAAAATGAATTCAGGAAGACAAAATATTTCTCTCGTCAATAAACACCGACAAAAAAACTCGTAGACGTGGGCGTTATTTCGAAACCAGGATTTAACCAATCAGCGTCCAGAATTTACAAGTTCGATATTTTATATATTGCATCCCACATACAACACCATTTTGTCAAAATAAATGTTGTGATTGATTGCATGAATGAATGAAAGGTATATTAGTCTCATGATTACTTTCAATTTCGAATTCGGAGCGCGCAGCTCACTTGTGCAATGAAAAGCTAAAAGCATCAGGAAGCATCGGTTCGAACGTCTCTTCCGTTTTCTCATTATGAACTAAAAGTAAACTTTTAAACGCGAAGTTTAAAAACAAGTCGAAATAAAGAGCAAAATTTAAATTTTTGTCGCCGTAATGTGCGTTGGTAGAGTGTAGGATAACATTCTTTATGTAAGGTAAATAAGGTACAATGTTTAGTATTAACCAGTGCTTAACATGTGGTTTGTATCTCCCTTTATATAAATACTTTAGTAAATTATTAACATCTCAATTGTTATCACGGATTGGGTATTGCACTTTTGTCACTTAATTCTAACATATATTAATCAAATTGCGATGATGGTAAGTTAGCAACCTGCCATTATTAAAACCAACCCGGGAAAGTTGCAACTCTCCGACAGGAATTGAACCATCGTCAAACGCCTCTGCCATTCATGAGCTGTGCATACTCTTATTTTGAGCCGAAAGCATTTGCTTAGCTAAGTCGTTGCGTTTGAGTAACGATTATAGCACTATATCTATTTGGTATTGCATTAGCGTTAGCATTAGCTTTATTTGAACATGAATTAAATGCCTATGGTGATTTTAACCGCTGTTCTGAAGTATTTCTATTCTCCTTTATTGGCCTCAATAATTGTATGTCCTTTGTAACCGCCTCATGCTACATTGGATAATGAGGGGTTACGTGTTACCTACATAAATAGACGCATCACGCCATTTCTTCGCCATTTTCACGTCCTCTTCGACTTTCACGTTCTCGTGCTAAATCTGCCTAATTAGTCGAGTGATGGTTGTCAATACCTACACTGCGTGGGTATTTCGCTTCATCTAAGTTGAACAGTTGGTTACGACAGTTAAAGTAATCTTATTCACCTTAGGCGGATAAATACATGGCATCTCTGCCAGAAGAGAAAGCGCCAATCAAGGAATCTGATGGTGAAGTATATCGTCGCAAACAGATGATGACACAACTTCCTGCACACGACAATGATGAAAGGTTTTGTGATGCCCTCACAGATGAAGAGAAACAGCGTATGCGGGACTTTCTGCAGCATAGAAACGAGAAGGCTGTGGGAATTGGTGAAGTTGGTGAACTGGCAGATACAAAGGAAACCAGTAAATTTGTGAGTAGTATATCGTGCATGTGTCCGCTTGCTTGCAGAATCCATGGGCAGTCATATTTGAAGTTAGTGTATATGTTCCTCTTTCCGCATTTACCGTACTATACGAAATCACGATTCATCAAATACTAAAATCATAGCTATTAACGGTCGTAATGGGATGACTAATTATGGTGACTGTTCATTTATTGCACTACGTTTGGATATATAAGTGAACTCTATAGTCTACGGCCATTTGGCCATTTCATCATCTTTGTCTTTTTATGCCGAACTGCGTACCAGTGCCAGACACTTTGATTGTCGACTGTGAAGACAAAAACAATAGAAATGGACCGGCAATGCCAGATTTGGCTTTAAATTTTTTCTAAATATGGCGACTGAGTTTTTGTTTCAGGTCACATAAAACTCACTGAGATATAGATAATAAGATAATAAGATAATGAGATAATAAGTCACTCTTTCGGATTTGGGGCTTATACAGTCACATTGTTAACCCTGTATAGCACAGATAAGTTTAGTCCTCAAAACCAAAACTAACATACATCTCGTTAGACATTTTGTATCTTTGCTCACAGACATCAACCTACATAATGCTTGTATTTTAGAAATGCGAGAAGTGTAGTGAAGCTCTCGTCCCCGGTGATGTGGCCGTGTTTGCAGCACGTGCTGGAACTGATATCTGTTGGCATCCACAATGCTTTGTCTGCAAGAAATGTGACGAGCTGTTGGTTGATCTAGTTTATTTCTTCAAAGATAATGATATTTATTGTGGTCGTCATTATGCAGACTTCTTTCGTCCTCGGTGCCACGCTTGTGATGAGGTAAGATGAGCTGTATGCACTATACAAGTGTCTATCAAGGTTCAGATTTGACTTTCACTTCCCCTGACCTATGCGTTCGTGATTGGTCAATCTGATTAGACTACCGATTTGGATTGGTTCATATATAGTAATTGAAAGGTAGCGGTAGTCCGATCTGTACTTGTTCTCACGAGATTTAATCTCTAATAGCTAAATCATTAATCTTGATTAATCTTAATAAATCCCCGATTGAGGTGATATGACAGTAATACAACTAACCTAATGTGACATCTTTTTCGCGGTCGAATAGGAAAAAGGCTTTAAAAAAGATTGATACTGTGAATTTTTTGTGTATTCATATTGTGAGGTTTCCTAGTACTAAATCACTGTCTTCCCTCAGCTCATTTTCAGCAAACAGTTTACCCAAGCAGAAGGGTGTAACTGGCATCTCAAGCACTTCTGCTGTTTTGAATGCGACAAGAAACTTGGCGGTGAGCAATACGTCGTGCGAGAAAACCCTTATTGCCTTTCTTGTTATGAAATTCTCTTCGCGAAGAAATGTGGTACGTGTGGGAAGGTGATAGCAGCTGACGACAAGAGACTTTGTTATAGAGAAAACTTCTGGCATGCCACGGATGAATGTTTCCACTGTAGTAATTGTTCAGTGTCACTGGTTGGAAAGGAGTTCCTTCCAAAAGGTTCAAATGCATATTGTTCTGCGAAGTGCTATAAGGAACACAGAGGACAGTGATGTATTGCGTGCGGTACATAGGTTTGTAAGTTGGAACATAACTCTATTTTTATTTAACAAGATGACGACTTTGAAGGGTTTATTTTGAGATCGCATGCATGAGACGCATAGTTCTGTTTGGGTCTACAAGGCCGCGTTGTTGCTTAAACACTACGGCTGACGTTTTATTGAAATACTACTACGACTTGTATATCATATTCTGTTTACATTATCAATAGGAATAGAACCTGCACGAGGGCCTGGGCACGGAACCTGCACATGTCACTGAATCACAAATTTAGAGGCTGTTTACATGAGCCCTATGCATGAGCCCCATAGAAAGGGCTAGCTCTACCTGTAGGGTGTTTTTCACCTCAATAACGTGCCGACGTCAAATCGTTAGCCCTACAGAGGGAGGGCTAGCCCTTCCATTTTGCGTTTATACGGAAAATTTCCAGCCCTAGTCAATGGCGAGATCTCGCCTGGTAGAGCTGACGCTCCTCTCATGCATGTGAACGAAATTGTTCTTTAGTATGGATTTATGATAGCACGCGGGATCTCGCCCGGTAGGGCTCATGCCTCTTAGGTTAGGCTGTCAGTTTTGACATCTTTAATTTAGGCTGTTCTCCAATTTACAATTACGCATTTCAGACAGACACACCCAGATAAAGTCCAGATTTACTTTAATTTATGTACCTGAAAAGGATTGATATTTCTGTTAACTGCATGTCGTCAACTGAAAAATATATAACTGACGGCAACTTAAAAACTTTGCATCAATATATAACAATTAACTGCCTAAAATAAACAAAACACTTCTCGACGCTTCGAGACCCAAGGCCTCCGTCAGGAAGCCTTCGAAATGTCGAAGTGTTTTTGCCTATTTTAGGCAGTTGTTGTTAAACCTTTGATAGGAGAATATCGCCCTATAATAGTCCGGTCTTTGTCATAAAGCCAAACTTATTTTAGTTCTCCTTGGTTTTACTTTCGACAGAAAGATTTTGATTAATCGTGATCTCTTTTTAACTGGATAAATTATTTTAGCCGACTCGCTTGTGTCTGTTAGTTATTTTAAAATTTTATTCGCATGTTATTCCTTGCTGTTTTGTTAATTATTTGTCGCTACAAATAATTTAAGTGTTATATGCATGGTCATTTAGATTATGAAATTATTTATATAATGCTTCTTAAGTATATGATAACTCAAATGAAAACATTGTGATTATGAAATAATTGTTACAGTATAAAAGGCAAACTTATTTTATTCATCCTAATAAAGCCGATATAAAGTTAATTCACGAAGTTGTCCATATTTTCCATGACCATGGAATCAGATTTCTCCTTTCTCCGTTCACTTCTTGTAGCGCCATTGAAGATTACAGTGCACAACAAAATTATATAGAATATATAGCCGTTGCACTGCGAACATCTATACTATTGTCTATAACGTTTTAAAGAAACATATCTAACATTCCTTCCTCCAGGAAACGTTTATAAGTACTCATGAATTTCGCTACAAATGCTTCCAAATGATAGATGACTTTATTCCCGCGTTGTAGTCTGTGTTCGTAAAATGCTGCCATTCGGGCCACTTCTGCTTTTAATGATCCATCGCAGTTTGTCACCAGTTGTTGAACGAGACCCTAGTAAAATTATCGGCATTGATACACATAATCTTGCATTTTGTAGGCTTTAGCAATAAAACCAAAAGCCTTCATTTGCGTTAAGAGTTGAACTGATTGATCGTCGACTCTTCTGGCAGGATGGTTATTACTAACTTCACCCCAGGGTTCACTGTGTCATAAAATGGCATATACTGACAAGACACTTCATAACATCCTCTTACCTTCATTATTACATCCGCAGGGATACAATGAGTCAGCAACTCGTACAGTCTTCCTCGAACCTCCAGGAGTCTAATTGCATAAGATTAATTGAAAAGGTCCATTGCAATTATCACTACTCTGGTTTAATTAATTAATGAAAGTAATTACCACACAAAGATTACATTCATCTAAATGTAATCTTTGTGTGGTGATTACTTTCATTAATTACACCAGAGTAGCGATAATGGTGATGGATTATATATATATGCCTGGTATACACCTTGCTAATTAATTGAACTTAATTAACTTCAATTAATTGAAAAGGTGTTAAGCATTGGGCAGAGCATTTGGAGGCTATATTAGTCTAACAACCTACACTTTTGCAAGAGAATGCAAGCAATAGCATTAAGGAATTGAGTTGCACAAAAATATACTACCGTTTGGGAGATTGGACTTCCACAATCAATTGAGCAGTTTCTCTAAGGTAAACCTCCCAGTCGGCTTCTTGTATTTGTTGATCTTCGCTGAATGGGTACCTGAAATTGAAATGAGTGTGATTCATGCCTATCTTGTCTCTCGTTAAGTAAAGACAGTGGAGTAAAATATGACCAAGCTGCAGCCATGCCAGAAACATTGAACGTTTCCAATTACACTCCAAGTTTGCATTGAAATGCATTGCCAAGATAGGCATGGCTCTTAGCCTTAGGGTCCCATTTCCACTCTTGCTGCTTAATACTTACTGTTGTACTCTACAAGCCTCACACATAAGTAATGCTTTTCTAAGGTTTCTTCCAGATTTTTCTGCAATGCGTTGAGCCAGTTTATCTGGTAATGTAAGTCCTTCTTTTCTGCACACATAATGCAAGATTTGACTAATCTAGAGGAAAGCAAATATTTACATCATTGAAAGATGTACTTTTAAGATGAGGTAGATGCAGTATAGTCATTATAGTCTTGATACCATTGAGAGAGCATTTCAAAAATAATCTTTCCAAAAGGTGACCAGCATACTTTGAAGGGGGGTTAAAACTTAAATAGCGACTTTTTACCTCTGAATGAGAGGGAGCCGAGACTCTTATTCCAAGACAACGACTTCTGATGGCAGGAATAACTTTGCTGGTTGAATTACAGTAGAGTATCAAGCGACAAGTTGCTGTGAATTTCTCCATTGTTCGTCTTAGAGCATGCTGTGCATCTTTCGTGAGTCTGTCAACCTCCGTAAGGAGAACAACTATATAAGGAAACAAGCAAATCAAACAAACATCCCCAAAGCTACACTATTATAGCAACCTAGAAGAACATAATAACAGACTGATGTGCTTGCCACTATCTGTTTAAGAACTAAGAAGTCCCATATTTAACATAGATGGTTATGTGCAGATATTATTAGAACAATGGACAGAATAGGTAAATTGCTATAATGTCATCTCTCTCTTATGTTAAGTTACCTTTAAATTCTTTCTGCGAAGCAGAATCCAGCTGGTGAGACTGTGCTACTGTTTTTATAAGATCTTGAATTACAACTCGATCATATATTCCAGCATCACTAAATATACAAGTTACCATAATACCAAATATAATATCATATAACAGAATAGCCAAAACTTTGGTGTTCATGGAATTTTAGAGTATTAATTTAGTTTTAAACATATTTCAATGATACTCAGGAAATAGAGAGGTACTAAAGATAGGAATTTGGAATTTTTACCTTGGATTTACTTCAATATGATAGTTACTAGCAATAGTTGAAATTTCGATCTTTTTGTTTGATGGTGTCTAAATATAAAATATATATTCCTTTTAAAGGAGGTCTGAATGTTAGCTGTCTTTTAGCATTACCAGGTGGAGTGAACAGAGTAAAAGGTTAAAAGTTCATCCATGATAAGAAGTTCAATTTAACTCCATGGATCCATCTTAGTGATATGCAACAAGATGCAACCATAATAACTTACAGTAAAGGTTTGTTGCTGAATTTTCAATTTCTCTGCACTAGGACCATAAAGTTCTCTTAAAACACACATTATCCTTGTTTTCTTGCCAGATCCAGAGGGTCCATAAAACATGAGGTGGGGGAAATCTTTGCTGTGAGCCTTAAACAAAATAATAAGTATCAGTATTTAAGGTCTGCATTCTACATTTGGGAAAAGTCACATCTGGATATGGATCAAAAGTTTGGCAAGCTTACACATTAGACGATAGACCTAGGCTACCCTCTGCAACCACAGCCCCTCACCCCACCACTCCTCGCGAGTCACAGAACATTCTCAAATTTATATACTTCAATAATTTCATAATTTCCTACCAATTTCTTGAGATGTGCAGCTAGATTTTTGTGGTAATCTAACTTTGCCAGGGAACTTGGACGATATTTGTCGACCCACAAACTCATATTTACACTGTTTTAGGTTTTAAACAAGCGGAGCACAACAGTAGTTTGATACTGATTACTGATATCATTGACGCAGTCGCTAAATTCCCGCCAAATTTGTTCGTCAATTAAATCGCGAATATTAATGAGAATATTTTAAAATTTTCATCTTATCATCACCAATGATGAATCATCATCGAAAGCCCGAGGGTCAGGGAACACGCGAGCAGAGAAAGAGGCATAAACTCTATCGGACCATCTTCTATTCAAGACCTTCTACTCCCAGGGACCAGTTGTATAAAACTTTTTACAAAATGTAAGATTATGATTGACCATCCGTAGAGGATCAAGATGCGGTTTTCGGGTTTTGACACTTCTCGCCTGCAAAATTTCAGCATCATTTAGGCAACGATTTTAATAACTATGGTATCGATCAGAGAAAATGAAAAACATAAGAAACAATATATATGAATATAAATTAAGAATGGATGGATGAATCGATCATTTGATTATGATGATTATTATTGATTAGAAACAGGGCGCTTATTAGAAACCACTAACCAGTGTTAGGAGGAACTAAAGGGTGAATAATGGATGCAACATTGCATGCAATGGGTACCATGGGATGATTTTTGCTTTTTCTCTTTTGTGATGTTTCTCAACCGCCATTTTGAGACTCACGCTTTTCTTTTATTTTTCTTTTAATTTTTTATGTTATTCAGTTTATCCTTTTCACTTATTACGTTTATCAATGGCTGCAGAAGACATTTGCAGTGAGTATTCTTCATCCCTGGAGGATTTAACGTTCAATTCAAAGCCGCTCATCAACGTGCTGACGATGCTTGCAGAAGAAAATAGCCAACATGCTACAGAAATTATAAAGCTAATTGAAAAACGAATATATGAGGTAAAACTTTGTATCATAAACACAATACGGTGAAATAAACGTGATGTATTATTATCTGTAGTCTAAGATTGGAGATTTTTAAATTATACATTGTAAAAAAGAGATTGTTTGTCTTTGGAGTTTGGTCCTATACGAGTCTGGTAATACTGGTCAAGTGACTCTTTTTCAAGTTTCCATATGCGATTATTCTCCCACCTCAGACCCAAAGGAAAAACAGACAGGGGTCCCAACTACATAATAAACTGTCTTAATACTACCTTTGAAAGTGTGATAAGACTAAGGACATGTTGACAAGTGGAAATACGAGCAAATTGTGTCACACTCTTCATAAGTGCTGTGGCCAGCTGGCTTTCTTTGCTGTGGAGGTCTGGCCATGGCTTTCGAAAATATTTTGATCTGCTATCCCTAAATGCCATATCTTGCACACTGAGATGGGATTTTAGAAAATATTTTGATCAGTACACTGTGCTAGCGCTTCTGTATGCTTCTGCTATAATCACTAGGATTATCCAGGGTCCTGTAAAATGCACAACAGGGGTAACTCTGGTCCGCAGCTTTCATTAGTTGCTTCTAAATTGGAGATGAATTAAGCAACCATTTTCAAATATATACACCCCTAACAAGGGTCTTCTGAAGACCTTTTGACGAGAAAACTTTGCATGGCGCACTAATAGTGAACTCTCCCAACCCCCTTCAAAACTGCTACAGGTTAGAAAATTACCAGTTGGGACAAAATGTGCTGGAAAGAAAGACATTATCTTTATTGTTTAAAGCCAACAATTGTTACAAGATATAAATTAAATTTACTTTTGTTATCAAGTGTGGTGAAATAACAACTAAAAATATATCCAAAAAATATTTTTATGTGAGTGTGAGGGACCTATAATCAAGATTAAAGTGCAATCCAAGTGGCTTCACTGGAATATATATTTATGTAATTTGGTGCCACACCTTGGCACCTTTATGCTGATATCCTAATTATTGATAACCTGTTATTTCAGGTTACTATTGATAAAAAGCTCCCCTCATTGTACCTGATGGATTCTATTGTAAAGAACATTGGCAAAGAGTATATCACTGCAGTATCTCCATGTATTGTTGCTTTATTTACTCATGTGTTTGAGCAGGTATATAAACAATCATTCTATCTTCCCTTCTTCTCTTTGCAAAATATGTATTAGAAATAAGGTGTAGAAGTTATCTGTTTTACAAGGTTACCTAAAAAACTAATCTCTAAATATATCAGACCTGTTTTGGAACACCCAGAGAGGTATCCATATCCAGTGGTTCCATAAGGGTGACTAACAACAATGTGTGTATCTATGTTTATGGAAAATCACGCCTAAACACCATTTACACATATGTCATGTGTAGCTCTTTCTAAAACAAAAAGTTGTGTGACAAATTTTTAGGCAGATGAAAAGATTCGAATGTCCATGTTTAAACTGAGAAATACATGGCCACCAATATTCCCAGCGAAGACACTTCATGAACTAGACTGTAGTGTACATAAGCGTGACCCTGGATGGCCTGTAGTTGAACCACCACCTGCCAGTCCATCTATTCATATTAATCCCAAGTTTCTTTCTAAGGTAAGAGTTTAAAGAAAGATGAATTTTGTCTAAAACTAGGTGTATTACAACATAGCACACTCTACTTCCCTTCTCACTTTCTTTATAATATATTGGCCTTCGTTCTTTTAGGGGCTATTGCCCCCATTGCTCTCCCTCACTGCCGCTTGTGGTGGCCCTGGAAACTTTTCATGCATTTTGGCATACTTCTGTCCTCATTGACAGAGTTATAATTGCTTTTCCCACATGGCAAAGCTAAAGTTATTAAACAAGTTGCTGTTTTCTAGGTGGAGGAAAATGATGAAAGTATGACGAGTTGTTCTTCATCTGACGAAGCAAAGATCATAGAGGAATTTGAACGAAAAAAGAAAGAGCTGAATCAACTGCAAGGAGAGCAAATGAGATTGCAAATGATGCAACTAGAAGAATTACAAATGAAATACGATTTGATAAAAAAGAAACAAGAAAAGGACAGACAAAACCTTTTAAAACAACAAAAAGAGCAATTACTAAAGATGAGATTACAACAAGAAGAAGTGCACTCTGCAGAGGTGATGCATGATCTTTTTCTCACATACATGTGTTTTTGGTTTGAACAATGTTCCATCGGCTGCCTGGGTTAATCTAAATTCTCTAGTCCCATAGCTAATGTTTCATTGGCGTACTGTAACACACTGTGTGCATACTTGATGTGTTTATCTATATTAAGAACGTTTCACTGATTTTTATTGTAAATAATTTAAATTATAGGAGGACTCAACTGATTCCAAACTTTCTGATAATTCTACCGCCGTTCAACAAAGCATCAAAGACCCTAGACTTAAAAAACTTGAACAAGTAACAGAGAGCAAAACAGAGTCTGAAGAAACCTCTTCTGACAACTCTAACATTGAACCTGAAAAAACGAAGGAAGAACCTTCTGCGGTGAAAAAAGATAGTGTCGTTGAGAAACAGGCGGAAAAAGTAGGTTTTGACCAGGAATTTGTTCCACTTAATAAAAATGATGACAATGTAAACCTGGCACCTGCTGTGGCGTATAATAGAGATAGGCCTTTGGGAAAGAACAGGTATTTTAGAAAGGACCCAAAAGCTAAAATAATGAAAAGTGATAGTGACTCGGGCTCGGATTTTCCAGAGAACAAGGACTTAGGTAAGGACGCGCTGGAAGGCAACAGAAGGGGTAGAAGATTACGTGGGAGCGGACATCATGATGCTAGACAGAGACATGAGCATGCTAAAGAAAACAAAGAGAGAAAACGTAATGATAGAGAGCGGGGTAGAAGACGACACCCAGGTGAACGACCAGGAAATCATCCCAGTGACAGACCAGGAGGGACTACAGGGGATCGCACGGGTTATGACCTCGCCGACGGCAGAAATCATAGACGTCAAGGTGACCTTCCAAATGAACATGCGATGGGCCATCTTGACGAACACGCCATAGGTCGTCATGGTGACCGACCTGGTGGTGATCATCCTGTAGACCGTCCAGGGATGCGAGACCGTCCAGTGGACAGACCTGGTGATCGTTACGGCCGTCGATATAAGGATAATTCGGGTCGTCCTGGTTACCCTCAAAGAGGACGTCACAGAGGCCGTCCAGGTCCTGATATAAGACCCAGACATCCTCCAAGAAGGGAATACGATGAGAGCATGCGCGATGAATGGAGTAGAGGTCGAGGGCAACGCAGGTATGATTAAACACATTGGGAAAAAATGAAGTTGTTGCATGAAATCACAAAAGGCTAAAATCGATATACACTGCTTGTGTATTTTTACATTCTGTTGTGCCTTTATGTTTATTTTATTGTTTTAATTTATAGACCACACCGAGGACATATGTCGGAGGGACCGATCGAAGGACGAATTCGTCCCCCTCAAGCAGTTGATAGCACAGGTAGATTAGCAGAAAGACGAGATCAGGGTTTTGATCGACCCGATGGCGTTCCGTTTGAGCGAGGTTTTGGCGAGGAACCGCCGTACAAAATGTCCCGATCATCATCACCCAGACCTTTACTCACTGAAAGAGAGATTTCTGAAATTCGAGAGAGACGTCGCGACTCCCCCGATCATCCTTTAGAGGAATGGCATGATGAACCTGGATTTCACGAGCCGTGGCGACATGGCGACAATAGAAACCCTCCCCATGACTTCTTCCAAGGACCACGACCACGGTTTCCACCTTCCCGAGACGCACCTTTTCCACCTCGGGGTATGCGAAATGAATTTATACCCCCGCACTTCCCCGGGGATATAGAAATTCCTATGGAACTCACATTGGATAACGAATCAGAGATTTTGAAAAGTGTAAGTCACGTGTAATTTGTTATGGAGCTAGGGTATTACAGCAGCGCTCTTGTGCAGAATATGGAAGTTGTCATAACAGCAGAAATTTCATGTTTATTATATCGGTTTCCACTGTAACAATAAAGCATGTCTAATGTACAACAACAGTAGTTGCTACATTATTTGAACTCACGTGAGTTTTTCAGTTTAATCCTATCCGTTTAAAGACTGCGCGTGTATCAACTGTCGTGCTTTGCACTTTTATAACAGTAGAATGTGATAAAATTATATATAATGGTATAAAACGACACTAATTAATTAACTTTCTGCCATCTAGGCTGAACATCGTTTGCGTACGGGTGATCTGTCCAAAGAACAACACCAAGATTTATTGGAGAAGCTTGGTCAGTTGTATGAACTCCAAAAATGGCAACGTCGTCGTAGCATTGATATGCAAGCACAACACGAGCCAGGCCGTCCATCATTCGTACCCGCATCGCACCCACATGCTGATAACCTTACTCCCGCGCATGGCAAACCAATGATATCCGATTTGAATAATGACCAAGGTACTTGGTTCACTCGTTTGATAATGCATAATGCATGGAGAAGTTTATATTGTTTTGATGCATATGGGGCAGTTTATTGTGCAAATTACACACTTGCACACACACTCAGGCACAGTGTGAAAATACACAGCATTTGAAAATTATTGAGCAGCTTGGTAACTGTTACATTAGCCGTCAAAGGATTTAATCGTTCTGGGGCCGGTTGTATCAAGCCCGTTTAGCTTAAACGGTGGTTAAGTTCAAAATAGAAAGCAAGTCTATCGTTTTATTCAACAAGCGAACTAAATGTTTTTAACCATAATACAAAGATACAGTTTACAACTACATATTCAGTGTATAATATTCAAGTTGACTCATTCAAGAGAGATGTAAGAGTGTTATTTAAGTTTGACTTATCCACCGTTTAAGCTAAACGGGCTTGATACAACCGGCTCCTGATTATTATATCTTAAACAATCCAACGTTCGTTTATTCTTTTTACGGCGACAGAGAGAATGGTGCTCGGTGAAGCTGATGTGTTTTCTAATCAAGGACCTGTCGACATGACGGGAGAATATAGAGAACATTCTCAATCAACTGACCCGATGTTGCCTCGTAACCCTGAATCTAATGTTTTATCCGACAAAACTGAACTAGGTAAAATTCTTAATCTGGCTTTTTTTAATACCTGTAAATCAGGAGTCAATGTCTTTATGAATAACAGAGGTAATTTAGTGTTAATCACGTACAATGCTGATGTATCTTCTCTGGCAGATGACGCTCCTCCATCAAACTTAGTAATGGAGAAACAGACTGTGGACGATCTATTTAGAAGACTAATGGACACTGGTATTATCACCAAAGTCAACCAGCGATTATCTCCTGCCAGAGCATTGACACCTCCTGTAGTCGAAAAACAAATATTGCAAGAAATTCCTGTTCTTCCACAAATACCAAAACTGCCGGAAATAAAGTTAACCCTCGATCATCTTCGCAGGTAAATATTTCTGAACAACTGGTCTCCCCCCTCCCCCCATTTTGTCTGCCTTTTGATATGCTGCTAGGTGCACTTGAGTGATAAAAACGAGGTTAATAAAGAAAGATACACCAAACTACGATTCAAACATGACAAAAAAATTACTAGTGTTAATGTTGTATTTATTTACCAATTTGGGCTGGTTGTACAAAGTTAAGTTTCAACATTGTGTATGGCTCAAGGTGGGCCAGCCACGTGTCAATCGCGTGTTTTGTGGGAAACAAGCTTAAGGTGGATTTTGTATCGTTTTCCATAGGCGTTACGATGGTGTAATCATGGAACTGCATCGCGGTAATCAGTGCTCATCGTGCGGTTTGCGTTTTAAAGAAGCAAACAATGAAAAATATGGCCAGCATTTGGATTGGCATTTCCGCATGAACAGAAAAGAAAAAGAAACAGTGGCCGCCCATCGAAATTGGTTCATCACCGCCGAGGTATTACACGGAGTATAAACAGGCCATATAGGTCGAAAGCATCAAGAGTTTCTCTTAAACGTTACAATAAGTCAACCGTCATTAATTAATACTTGATATTAAGTTGATGCAGTTTCTAGAAATTTCTTGAGTTCACATCAGAGACCCCTAATTCTAAGAAAACGGGTGTGCATTTAGAGTTGCCTTCTTACATTTTATCGTGTTGCGTTTCTCTATGGCATGCACACGATTATATGCAGATCTTTTGACGTCCGTTCGTCTGGGAGTAACTTGTTCTTCATGTGGCTTTATTGTGTTCTCGATTTGTAAATAGTACGTTTTTCATTTGTTGAAATTTTACCGATATTTTTTAGGACTGGTTAGAGTTTGAGTCATCCGAGGATCCCAAATTAAAAGGTAATTGCAGCGCCCCAAATGTTTCATTGTTGACTGCTCGTATTATTTCTATCTTTCAGTTTCAAACATTTTTTATATTCAGTTTATTGTATGGCTCGGGATGTCGGAACAGGGAGGGAGGGGGTGACAGCGCCCCCATTGCCTTTCGCATCCAGAGAACGAGGGCAATGAGCAACCTCTTTAATTTAAAAATTAGCATTCGTTGAAACAACGCTAGAAATGTGGGCAACAAAGTCATGAGTTGCGCCAAAATCATCTGTTCAAGTTGTTGTTCAAATCGCTAACCAAAACACTACCTAGCATCATGTTTGCCTTACATACAATGCACTATGCACATTAAACCGAATTAGAAATTATTTCTATACATACTAATACTGTATACCAACCAGTAACAACAAGGAGAGGACTGCCTAGGCAGCAAACTTATTTACGTGTATTCCTTTTTAGCTCGAAGCGCTGTATTTGAAGCTGAATCAGAGGGAGAATCAGAGAAAAGCGAAGATTTACAAGAAGGAAGTTGCCCTGTCCTGAACGATGACACCGAGTCTGAGAGGGTAAGTGTCAGTCATATGCCATGCTTTAACTGTACTGACTTGCATAGTGGTCTCTAACAAAATCTTCAATGATCTATAATAGACTACAGGGTAGTGTACTTTGCAGCAAATACGATGACGATCTAATTTACAGTGGACGCCGGACGGGCTCCACCACAATAAGCAACCACATTTTCATAACCTTTAACCCAGGGCCATAGATACACCGATTGATATTTGCATCGATTCATGAGGTTTTTTCTAATATTCTTATACTTTTAAGGTTTTGCAACCTTACTGTCGTAGATGGTATATATCGCGAGTTTTTCTTTCATATTTAATTAATTGTATATTTTTTTTCAGCAATGTGATATTTGCTTCGAAAAATTCGAAACATATTGGGACGAAACATCTGAAGATTGGCATTACAAGAACGCAGTAAGAGTCGATGGAAAGGTAGAATTCAAAATATTCTAAGTAAACACTTTGAGAATTACCTTGTATGTTTCTGTATTTATTGCCATGCATCAAATTTCAATTTTTGTAGACCTATCATTATTTATGTTACCAAGATACCAATGAGGTAAGATTGGAAAACTATATATATCCCTTAAATACTGCGTTGGAAGTAAAAATAATTTCTAAACAACCATAGCTGCATATTTGCAATTAGTTTATATCAGAGAACCCGCATCTGTTAATGATTTCGCAATAAACTATCTGGTACATATATCTATAGACCATCTCTGACAGCTTGCATGTGAATTAACCCATTTCAGATGTTGCGACCATGGAATAGTCAATAAAACTTAACCATTTCAGACCATGCGTTTGAAATGCATTTAATTTAATTGGCATACAAACTGAAAAGGTCCAAACTATTCAGTCTCACTTTGTTAGCAATCTATCTGGGAATATTATGTGTTCGTATACTTTCGCATTACGTAGGCCGACGAGAGTGACATGGAGACAAGTGATGGAAAAGAAAACACTGAAGATAAAGAAGATGTTGACCAGGATACTTCAGAAAATAACGAAGCAGTTGCGATGGAAAATAATGACGTTAAACCATCTATAGTAACAAAAGATACTACACTAGAATCAGAAGTAGATTCGGTAGTGCAGGGGAGTGATGAGGTAGCCTTAACGAACACCAATAAAGAAGAGATAAAAAACGAGTCTTCTTAAAATTCTACGTTCCACGACACTTCACCATTCTTTACCATTTTCTGATGTCGCTGTATTTTCGTCTGTCTTTCTTATAAGTTTGCCTCTGAGTTGAAAAAACAGCGTATTGCTGTTGGAGACATTTACACGATATGAATGCTTCAATCCTCCATTTCACGTATTTTGTTTTTCCACTTCTGATCGTGGTCAAATCGTATCGCTGTGAAAGTTATGAGAATAAGCATTGAATTAAAATCGACGCAACCAATCTTGGTTGTGAACGTATACGTTCATTTAAAGATAAAAACTCGTTCTTCCAATTCTTCGTGAGATTCTAGATTTTTGTCAGGTTTTTTCCCTAACACGTTAGTTTTTGTGTTGTTCGTTGTGTTTTTGTGTTCTTCCTCTTATCTTGATGTTTGCATCGCTGTATTTGTCCTTCAAATGAAGCGCGCGTGCGCCCTTTACTGTTGAAAACAAGGAGAAAAATAAAATTGAAAACCAAACTTTGCTGTCTATTTTAATACAAATTCTATATATGGCTCTTGCAATATGGCGTGTTCTAAATTTACATAATGTGGTCTGCCATCTTGGGTGGCGCAATCATCTCTCGTTTAAACCATCACTAAACCTGGCTAAAACATTTTACAATTTTTTAAGATCGCAAAATGCGCAATCTTCATTTGCATTTAATGGTTGTTTGCCTTTAAATAAATCATTTTTAATTTCCACCCAATATGGCAAAGGCTACGAATACAAATATAACTTTACTTGCATGCTAGAGCCCAATATTCAATGTAAATCACGTTTCAGCATTCTCATAAATCGACTTCTGTGTATAAAAACACGAAACGAACTTCCCCTTAATTCTTTTGAAATATTGTTATGTGTGGTTTTAAACGAAATAAAGAATTGTTAATTAAACACAATGTCTTGTGTTCTTTGTTATCCGAAAACATTCATTAGTAAGGTTTTCGTATATGTTCTACTATGTGTTAGCAGGAAAAACATTCGAAGGGCACAACCGCGGTGGGCGTGTTCCCTTGTCATTGTGGCATTTCGAACTATGAATGTTTCTTCAAACTCTATTTATAAGCATAGGAAATCCTTGATAAAGGAAAACGTATTGTCGATAATAACTGATAGTGTTAGGAGTGCTTAACTTTGGTTCCTGGGGACAATTGTACGCAAGCTTGACAGCCGTTTATCCAGTAATTTTAGCGCTCTAGGATTGCCCGTACGGCCGTGGTTTGGTTATAAGCATAACATACATTGAACAGGTAATAAGTAACATCGGTTCAGTAATCGCTGACTCGATCAATCTTTGTACTTTTAATGCGCGTTCTTAAAAAGTTAAGAAAATCACAATCCAGGTGATAGTTAACATTTTCACTTGATACATGCAATTAACAAGAAATTAGCAGTTTTACTCTAGATAAAAACCAAAGCTTTTATTATGCGGGTTAATCTCGTTTAGCGGGTGGCACTACATTTTCACAAGACTTGCCACCTGCAACGTTAAGTTACTCTAATATGATCAGAACACATTGTACATTGGAGGACACGCGAACTTTTATGACTCAAATTCATCTCTGCAGAGCTCGGAGTGTGAATTACACAAAACAGGAAGATGCAGGACTGCATTCCATCAGGACAAGGAAAAGGGAATACCAGATTACTATGAGAAGATCTTGCGAAGCAACCTGCTGGTTTTTTGCTGTTTTAGTTTTCAAAACACAAATACACACGGTTTTGGCGTTGCTTTTACGGCAAATAGGCGTATACACGTATACCCAAAACACTAGTCAATTACTAAGGTCTATACTGTGCATTTGGACAGATAAAACATTTGAAATGCAAACAAGGTTACTGCATTGCAATGATTGCATATTCCGATAATAGACAAAGAAATATACCGCAACTTTTCCAAATGAAAATTCAGTGTTTCGTGAATACTTTTATCGTAAAAATTACCTTAAACGGCTTTAAGCTGTCCTAAACGGATAAAGCAATTAGATCATAAGCCAGGATTTCGCTAGGGAGTATCTTCTGTTCTGGAAGTATGTAATGAATCATCTCAGTCGAATTGATTATTTCCGCGCTTAATCATTTGAACTGAATACAAACGCCCGATGTTTACTCATTTCCCTTGCCTGAAATTCAGTGTTTGATATTTGACATCTTAATACTACAAAACCTGCCAAGTAGATGTTTGGAAAACGATTTCGTAATAACCACTATTGTTTGTGTTCAAGTAAAGGCGTGTGCCCGTTGGGGATCTTTTCGTATGATGACATCAACATGTTTAATGTTGTTACTCTATATTTGAACATTCGCTTACGTTCGACATAAAACTATTCACATTAATCGCCGTGAAAGTTTGTATCAATCTCGAAGTAGAAAGAAACGAGATGTCGGGAATAGCATCCCAACGTGTCCTTTTCTTCTTCGCGTGTGTATTAATGTATTCAGTGACAAATGCAGCCTCCGTGGAAAGACGTGATTTGGAACCGAATAATTGGAAATACCACAGCTATGGGGATATGACTGAATTGTTAAAGCAAATTGCTTCAAAATACCCGAAAATAACTCGCCTTTACAACGTCGGAGAGTCGGTGCAGGGACGCAAACTCTGGGTTATGGAAATATCTAACAAACCGGGAAAACATCAAGTCGGCGTTCCCGAATTTAAATATATTGCGAACATGCACGGTAATGAAGCTGTTGGAAGGGAAGTTCTGTTGAAGTTGATCAAGGAGTTCTGTGAAGGATATAATACAGATGCTGAGATAACGAGATTGATAAAAACAACACGAATTCATTTGATGCCAAGCATGAATCCGGACGGTTTTGAATTGGCATTTAATTCTGGTTCGGACAGCAAGCGTGATTGGTTGCTCGGTCGTTCCAATTCCAATAACGTCGACCTGAACCGTAACTTTCCTGATCAATATTTTGGATTAACAGCTGGAAGACCTCAGCCCGAGACCGCAGCGGTCATGAAATGGATTCAGTCGTATCCCTTCGTCCTGAGTGCCAACCTGCATGGCGGTTCATTAGTGGCGAATTATCCATACGATGACTCAAAGAACGGCGAAAGTACGTACAGCGAGTCTCCCGATGATGATGTATTCCAAGCACTGGCCAAGACTTTCTCTGAGAATCACGCGACGATGCATCTGAAAAATCCGCCTTGGCCCTGTCCCGAGGTTCCTCCCGATCATTTTCGTGATGGCATCACAAATGGCGCTAAATGGTACAGCGTTTCAGGAGGAATGCAAGATTACAACTATGTCAGAAGCAATTGTTTTGAAATTACGATTGAGCAAGGTTGTAAGAAGTTCCCACCAGCCGCTGACTTGCCAAAATATTGGCTGGAAAATAAAAATTCCCTGCTTGCTTTTCTTGATCAGGTAATAAGTGAGACAATGATGATTAATGAGCGCCTCTTGCTATTTGCTTCTGTAAGGGCCTGTTCATATAGGAAAAATTTTTCCCGGTTAGCGAAGGAAATTTTCGGCAAATTTGCAAGCGAGATCTCGCCTTCTTATTAACAAATAACATAAACTTGCTGGTGTTCATATGACACAAAACGTCCTCCCACTTACCGAGATCTCGCTTGATAAAAGGCGAGATCTTGGTAAGCCGGAGTATATTTTCCTCTTATGAAGGTAATTTCCCGCTTGTCGGGGCGATTTTCTGTCTGGGCAAAGTTGCAAAAAGACTTCAACCTTCTTCCGGTAGGATTTCAAGTTTTGAAAACCTTCCTCAAACTGACGTTACGTCACTGAGTCAAAAGGCAGCCAGCATAAAGAAATATTTGGTTTTTTGGTGTATGCATGCAATTGATCAATTAGAGTGTTCAACTTTGAAGCTTCCTCACAAACCTCATTTAAAGCAAACCTTCCTCACGGGTGATACCCCGCGTACCCGCAGCTTTTTTGCAACTCTGTCAGTCTGGGGCCAGTTGTATAAAACTCTTTACATAGTTAAATCTTATAAGTTAACTCAGAAAGACAATTCACTCTGCTAATTCTGTCTTTAACTACAGTTAAAAGTTAACTAGTCTTTTATACAACTTACCCCTGGTCAAAATTCTTAATTTGTCGCCAACCTCGACCAACCAGGAATAGTAACTTCACAGCTGAAAACTTTATCCGGAATGCGGGATAAAGTTTCGCCATATGAACAGAACAAAACAATTTGGTGGTTTGTCGGGAACTTTTACCCATATGAACAGGCCCTAACTTCGGCTTAACTTTCAGGTTCACAAAGGGGTGAAAGGTATTGTCAAAGATGAATCAGGAAAACCAATTAAAGGCGCGACTATTTCTGTGAAGAACAAACATAAGAATATGAAAACAGCTGCAGATGGTGATTACTGGCGACTATTGTTACCTGGGGATTACGATGTGACCGCGTCATTACACGGCTATATAAGTTCCACCAAGAGAGCTAAAGTTGAAGACGCACCAGCCACTATCATCAACTTTGTTTTAAAGAAAGCTAATACCAAGTTACCAGCTTCTCAATATGACCAAATGGCGCATGCAGGAGAAAAACCTGGAACTGGTGTGATCCCAGGTCCATTGTTCCGTGCTGGCTTTCCGGGAAATAATCCCCGACCATCAGGTGTGATGGCTGGAAGTTTACCTGGTGGGGGTCAGGGGACGAATGGAATTATGAATCAAGCTGGAGGAGGTAATATGGGCTTGGGGGACTACGGTAACCTGGCAACAGCAGGAGCAGGCGACGGTGCTTTTCCCGAACAAACATTGCAAGACGGTCCAACAGGGATGTCAGATGAAATGTCCAACCCAGTAGGACACTTGGAAAATGGCCTGGATGCCTTACCAAATGTCGGTGTATTTCCAAATGCGAGGGTTGAAGATGGAGCCATCTCGAACTATCAAAGCGAAAATACACTTCCAAAACTGAACAGTATGACAGGAATCGATGCAATGAGTCCAAATGCTGTCGAGAGATTCGCAACCACTACAAATGAAGCAAGTCCTGCGGCCCAGGGTAATAACCTTGATACTATTGCAATGACATCTCCGTACGAATCGAACGCAAGGGATTATCTGGATGGACAATACTCGGCGAGAAATACACAGTTTGGAAAGCGTTAACGCTAGTTTTAACGGGCAACGGATCCTTCCATCATGAAGTTGTTGTTCTAAAAGAGCCGACATCAAACTTGAACCTCTAAATTTGCAACTAGAAGACCGTCCCTTTTTTACCGATATACAGATAATAATTGCTGTCTGTACACGAACTAGTTACAACCCATGCATGCATGCATGAAGGGTCTATTGACATTAATGACCTAGAAATGGACGAGGTGTTCTACAACAATTCGATTACGGCTAAGCCAAGCTAGAACTTTGATTGCTCGCATGTGCATCATATCAGTATATTTAATAGAAAATAGTATAAGTGGAAATAACCTACCAATTACCAACCGAACCTACAAATTACAGTAACCCTGTACCGATCGGAACACGCTTTCTAATTAGCTGGTAATCAGTAACGGGCATTGTTATACATGTATTACACACTGAGAGACTGACAGTGCTAGTTAATCGAGGCATGACAATTAAGGCATTGTTATACATGTATTATACACATTGTTATACATGCAACCACGGATGGAACCTATCAGACATGGCCTTTCGATTGGTACGGGCTAGCTCCAAATCATATGAAGATTTTTCACAAGTCGTAGGGCATTGAAAAAAAATATTAATTGTAGAACAAATGATTAATTATTAAGATTTTGTGTTGTAAGATTGGCCATCATTGTATATCGTTTTATTTTCTCATTGACCTCGGGCCTGTGGTTACCAAGTTTGAAAATGAAATATAATATAAAATTTATTTTAGTCTGCACCATGAATTTCTTTCCGGCAATCAAGGCCTGCGAAACTAGAATGCCAACCCTGATCCGGAGTATACACGGTTAGTGCCCTGATGCTCTATTTGGGAGGCCAAAAAACTAGGGGTCAGGCATAAAGTTCGTGCAGAACATTCTTGTGTAGGATTCTTTGAAGTTAATGATCAACACTTTCGTTGAGCAACATAGAGAATCTACATTGGTTAAGCTATGTATAAAAAAGATTCCCTTTTATCAGAGGGAAGGGAAGCCTCAGAATTTCCTAAGTAAAAACTCTAGTCAGTTTCTTGGCTTTTAGATATTTAATCTTAAGTTAACAAACATGCAGTTAACGAAATTACATGAGTTTTTAAAATTATTTAGGCAATTAAGTTACAGACTACAAAATAAACTACCATCTTAGTCTATACAAAAAACATATGATAGGTAAGGTAAACCTCTGTTTCTAGGCTTTCAGGTAGCCTTTCGTTATAACAGCCCCTTGTACAACATCATTTACGATGAAGGGGAAACTTGGCGTTACAATATATTTTGAAATAATAATAATCGTGCGTAGACATATTACAAGTATGAATTTATCGTCTATCAGCAGGTGAAAACAATAATGGTGAACAGAACTAGTTTGGTACTTCTACATGTACATTTTTCAACGGAGGACGGAGGTCTCCACAAAAAGGACACCGCTTGATTTTAGGTTGCGCAAAATCGCCCATCTAATCGCGAATATACCAAATTCTAGCACTTGGCATACAAACATAGTCAATATTTTCGTTTGCTTACCGGGGGCCAGTTGTTCAAAAGCCGGTTACCTTAACCCTGGCTTCTTTCTTCTAAAGCAAATCTTTACATCGATTTTTAAAATCACTTGTTTACAAAGTTGAATATCTTTTTTCATAAATACTTTCTGGACCGATAGAGGCCATATTTTTAAAACGAACAGTGGTTTAGAAGCACATAATTTATAAACTAAAACACTAGATTAAAATTTAGCCCAGGGTTAGCGCTAACCTATAGCTTTGCACAACAGGCCCCAGTATTATAATCGTAATGAATTATAGTTTTTATCAGAGGCTAGTAAAGTTTCTATACATTAATTTAAAATGTTTTACTTATAGAAAAAGTATTAATGTTAAAAATAATAGACCTTATAAAAATGAAAGCTGCCTTTTAGGGAACTGGTGTGACAATAATTGTCCAGGTCAACCGATGTTATCTATTGCATGCTATTAGCTAATCCAAAACTTCTAAAAGATTAGTATATGTCAAGTATCGGTGGCGCAAAACATAACCCAACAGTCCGAGAGAGAACAGCAGAGGAACATAACTCAAGATGCTGATAGAGTATTTGAAAAATTGCGAGTAATTATGAATTCCAGTAGCAGCACTACCAAAACCGCTGATAAGACAGAGATTGCACAATAGAACAGCATCAGATGTGTTCAGTATTCTGTAGGGTATTATTGTACCACCTTCGCCCACGTAAGGCTGGCACAAAACAAACACGGTCAATGTTATACAACAAACGCTATTCAGCAGACTGGCTTGTAATGGGCTCTTTGGAACAAAATCACTTAAAACAAGCAAGATAAAGCGGCCAACAAAATAGAAACCTGCACACCATTCATAACCATTGCGAAAACATCTCTGGAAGTTATCCAGCAAAAGTCTTTTTAAACCATTATCAATTGATTCAAACCACTCACGACGAATAAGAATCAAAGGGAATATTATACCGACGAACACCACCAATAATATGGCAACTACAGCGAACGGTATGTGGTGGGAGCACAGGTACCTCATAGTTCCCTGGTAGTACAAATAATAGTCATCACCTATTTTAATAGGATAGAGAATTTTAAAACTGATGTTGACAACTGTGGAATATGAGAGTACAAATATGGTACAAAATGCCCGAGCACAGGAGTTCTGAGTAACTCGACGAGTGAAAAAATTATTGGGCCATGCCAAAACCACCTTGTGAAGGACAAACAGACAAATAAAAAAGTAGAAAGGTAGTAGATAGTTAAAGGCTAGTTTTTCCAAGTCGTTCATGTTTGACCACATACATATACCACCAAAACCTGTCAACTGGATATGAGCAAGGCCGTCAATGAAGGTTAAAAAAGGGTCAAAATCTATGTTGCCAGGTACCACCATTCTCAATACTTGATAGAAATATAGCCATGCATTAAGATATGAACTGAAGGGATCAAAATTTATATACATTATGAAAAGCACTATAAGAAATGTTAAAAAAAGGATTAAACCAATCAAATAACCTATCCATTTCTTTGATGTAGACTTGCAATTTTTTGTACACTGATCATTTCCAACATATAGTGTATATCCCTTCTTGCAAATTCCACAGAGCTGACCATCTCTGTTTCCATTACATTGCTTGCTCTTTTCAAAATAGCATTCACCATCAGATGTTAGATTATTTTGAGTGCAATGACAGTAGTGTTCTGGACATGGTACAATAGCAAAGTCTCCACTTGATTCTCCATAGCCTCCCCAATAGCCTTTTAGCAAGAACAGTGTTTGATTCTCATTATCACATCTTGACACTCCATCCTGTTTATCATCACACTTGCAAGATGAGCTATCCCAGACAAATCCCGGAGCACATTCTGTAATTGTTGCGTTGGATATTTTTTGAGACACCAGTTGGCTATCAACAGTTTCCAGACTAATATCATAATGGGTTTTTGGTTTAGCAATAATTCGAAGTGATTTAATCTCATCTTTAGCAAGAAAATATGTTGATGATGGAATAAGTCTTGCTTTATTTGTTGAATGCATTATTGAAATCTTAATAACTCCCATGACACTGTTAGATTTTTCATCAGTAAGCTTGACAACTGGAGAGAAGCTCTTGTCTGCCGTAGTACTCCAATCACTAGAATTTACTTCCATATTTATTGCATCAGTTACTATTTCAAACTTCATGTTAGATTTAGTCCCATTTGCATAATAATAGTGAAAATAATCCCTTTCTAGAACTAAATTATTCACTCGACTTTCATTAGTGTGACGGCAAAATTGTAATGTGGTTGCATAAACAGAGTTTCCAGAATAATCGTTTGGACCTTTGTTGCCTCGGAAGATAACACTAGAGTTCCCTGGCTCAAAATCAAAAAAACATCTATGTATTTTAAGTTCAGTGGATTTAAAAGCAACCATCTGTGGCCCTGGTGTTTTGACATAAATTGCACCACCTTGTAACTGACATGTATTCCGAGTGAAAGTAAGATTTGACCTGTTTGAAACTTTAATCCGGCTTAAACCATATAAAGACATTGCACCACCCCTTTGTCCAGAATTGTTAAAAAATGAAACATCTCCAAAAATTCCAACAATAGCATTATCAAGAACCAGTGCTGTATTTGAATTATTAAAAAATGTTGTATTGTCAAGCAAGATTGGTACACACTTTGAATACAAGGCACCAGTCCCAGAAATCATATCCTCAGCATTTGTAGTTATTTTATTATTTTCAATTGTTGAATTTGCAATATAAATCTTCAATGGTTTATTGCTTCCTACTTCATACTCATTGGTGTCCCACAATGCTGCAGAAAATGCAGAGCCTATAGTTGCAAAATTATCCTTTATGACACAATGGGAGAAATTTGCAAAGCCTAAGTCAGAAAAGCCTCGATAGGATTGCTTAGTTGTTGCATATAAAGCTATACTCCCACCAAGTTTTGCTTTGTTTTGTACAAAATTAGATAATGTGAAGCGTATCCAATTTGGAATGGAGTTAAAACTTTGACTCATGGTAATCAGTCCAATTCTCACAGCACCTCCACCAAGCCTGGCAGTATTGGCAATAAAGTTACATGATCGAAATATGATACTATTACTCATAGTTTTTTGTTGGAATTCAACAAATAGTCCTGCACCCCATTCAGCCTTATTCTTGTTAAAATGACAGTTTTCAAAGACAAAAGTATTGTTTTGGGCAGATCCTCTAAAAAAGAATGAGGCACCACCACCACGTCCAAAAGCATTTTGTTTTTCCTTATTAGGCGAGACAGTATCAGCAATACTAGGAGCAGTATTTTCCAAAAACCATACGTTACTGAAATGGAATTTTCCATATTCTTGATAAATTCGTTGAGGGGGTGTTTTAAAAGGATACAGCCCACCAGATGAAGTGAACTCAAAATAAAAGCCTCCTCCTGGTTTAGTTTGTGTCGTTTTTTTGGTCCCACAATTGGAAATGTGTGAGTTAGAAATATTCACAACGCCTGCAACATCATAAAGCTGTATTCCTATTCCAATAGCATTTTGAATGGTGACCTTGTTCATGGTGAAATTAATGCAGTTCACCAAAAACAACGCGGTGACGAATCGCGGATACTGAAATGAGGTGCTGTTTTGAGGTGCACCACACGACGTCAGAATAACATTCCTCAATATAATATCTGAGCTATAGATGTATGCAAGACCAGCATTCTTTTCACATTCAATTACAACTTTACCACCTATCTCCGATCGTTCTCCGATCAAAGCTAAACCTGTAACATTCCAAAACATGTAACTTTTGCTCAGAACATAATGCCCCCTCTCCACGTATATTGCAGTTTGGTTTTGCTCCTCTAGATTTTCGAGAACATAATACAAATGTTCGCACGGTCGAGAGTCACAACTTTTCAGGCATTCTTTGGTGTCATGACCACTTTCCTTTGATACGCAAACATTGTGCTTCCACTGGTCCAATCTTAGTGTAGGATCGAGACTGTTGTGGTTCAGGCAGAAATTTACACCCGGAAACAACACAAAAACTGCTAAGGTGCATCTTAAAACGATGAGATACATCATATCTCAATAGGTTAGAAGTAATTGATTTGACGACGTTTTCTGCTAGACCTCGACCGGCTCGGCACACAGTCGCACACTTTGTGCGCATGCAGCCCAATTATTCCAGGAAACGCTTTAAAGACTAGATACACAAAAGGTAGTGTATTTCTTGGTACAGAATAGCAAAGAACAGTGATACGAAGTAATTGTCTCTCGTGGAACTCTCATAAATCATAATTACTCATTTACTAGGAAGTGACCAATATCTCACCTTGGCGCGATATTGGGGGCGAATACTCAATACTGCTCGATATAGGGCGAAATTTGGCCACCACAGGGCCACAGAACCAGCTTCCCAATTGTTATTATATATTGTAAAAATATATGCACAAAAAAAACTGAAAAACAGATGCTCAGTTTATGTAGTTGTTTACGTAAGTTTATATATATATTGTCTTCGACCTATAAAGGTCTTATAATTTGCAATATATGCATGCTGCATGACACTATGTAAGTTTTCACATGCATTTGACCTAATGACCTTGTTTACCAACTGAGGAGTGAAGCACAAAATCTGTTAATATATACCGCGTTTTGGACAACTCTGTGGTCTGTGCGTGAAATTCTCTTTGTATTTGCTTATTTGGTACTGAACAAACTGTACTGACGACATAGATGCCAAGGGCAAGGTTATCATAAGTCTCGAAAGCACTCAAAGCAATCCCAAGAAAATCTATAACGAGACTTTTTTAGAGTTCCGACGAAATGCTTCTTGAACATCTTCGGGTCGGAAAAGAAAACCTGCAGTCAGAAGAGTGAATACACTCTTACTTAGTGGAAGAACGAGGTCAAAATCACTGAAAGAAACCTGCTCTAAAAATGTACACGCTAGCCTAAGTGCTAGTTTTTCTGCAACTGGCGTTCGAAATTACGAGGAAACTTATCCGTAGCCTAAAATCTATCTTGGTTTATAGCTTTAACCCAAAAATCTTAAGCGGCACATTTTGATACCGCTTGTCCGGTTCCAAACATAGCCATACACCATTGAATTGTAACAAATAATAACGTAGAGTGAGTTATAAGTGATGATCACCCTTATTGTTCAATATCACTTTTCTATGCTATTTACTATATCAGGAATTCCAGGAAAACACAATCCTAATTGTATGATTTGTATCCTTTCCCAATTCCCAGAATATTAGTGAAAACAAGGAAAACGGTGATTATTTTCCATTATTTTTCCACTGGTCAGGCCTGACCTGCCTGCAGGCACTTAGACCTTCCACAGAGTTCCACTGACTGTATAATTTACAACTTACAAGATGGGCGAGCAGAAACGTAATAACCTTAAAATGCTGTTTTTACTATCATTTTTACATCTTTTTAATGCGATTAATTCAAATCATGTAGGAAATACGCATACAATAAACGTCAGTATGAATGGCTCAGACGATTACAACTGTCCCGGGTTAAAGCAGGGCTGTTCGCTTATAGCAGCTTTGCGTGCTGTTTCGCGTCAAGACAAGTTCAAGAACTCCGCAACGATTCTGATTGATCCAGGAAAGTATACATTGAATACAAATTTTACATTTGAAAATAATAGTAATCTCGCAATCACTGGACACAATATAGTAGACACAGATGTGAGTGTACAGTGTTCAGGCAACGCTACTGGTTTGGCATTTATCAGATGTCGTAATATTACAATTCAGGGTATCTCGCTATCATCATGTGGTACACTTCACAAAAGTGCATCCTACAACAATCCATTATTCTATTCGGCATTGTTTGTGAAAGAATGCACGAATTTCAAGCTACAGACTGTTGCTATTAAGAAAAGTCCAGGTATTGGTGTGACAATATATGACACTAAAGGAAATGTCACTATTCATTCTGTCATTTTTGAGAATAATGGACCAAATTCGTTGAATTGTATGTACAGGAAGTATGTCGACAGGTTAAAAAATACAGCTAAAGCTGGAGGAGGGCTATACATTGAATTTACATACATGGCGTATAATGGAAAAAATTTAAGTAACAGCAATTATTACGTAAAACAGTCAACTTTTAGAGGAAATGTTGCACCATATTCGGATCTTGTGAATTCTACCTTCAAACGTCCAGGTGGGACCAAACATCTTGGTTTCGGTCGAGGTGGTGGATTATCCATATATGTTCGTGGATCAGCAGAGCACAATACCTTTTCGATCGATTCTTGTGTCTTTATTGGCAACCATGCCATTTGGGGTGGTGGATATTTTGTTCAGTTCTTGGACACTGTCAGTGACAATAATATCACTGTCACCAAAACTAATGTTACTGAAAATACTGCATGCTTTGGTGGAGGAGCTTTCCAAATGAGTAGCATTTCAACAATTTCTGGAACTAGTAGCCAGTTTTTGCCTAATAACATACTTAGCTCCTTTTGTTTGTTTGCCAATAATTCTGCTGTGTCAGGGGGAGGAGGGACGATTTTTGGACGAACAAGCCTAGGCTATGTTGATAACAGTTATTCGTTTAGTAATTGCTCTTGGAAAAGAAACATGGCCACAACTGGTTTTGCTTTGACATTAAAGGTATGGGATTATGATCAAGGTTTGTTTGGGCCAAACAGTCCATTCAAGGTGAAACTCTCAGATTGTCATTTCATTGCAAACGCCATGAGAGATGTTGCTAAATACGGTTGGGGCATTGGGGCTGTTTATGATTTTCTGGTTCCACTTGTCTTGACAAATGTCAATTTTACTGAGAATAGTAATACATCATTAATTCTTGACACATCATCGGTGTATGTTTATGAAAATGTAAGATTTACCCGAAATACTGGTTATAAAGGTGGGGCAGTTGGAATGTACGGAGAAGCATCATTTCATTTAAAGAAAAACTCAAAACTAACATTTGAAGGTAATATTGCAGATGAGATTGGTGGAGCAGTATTTGTTGAAACCCCAGGGCCAGATAGTCTCCCAATTGTTATGAATAACTACTTGCAAACTCACGAATGTTTCTTTAAGTACGAAGATTCAACTTTACATCCAGATGAATGGCAAGCAGAAGTGGTTTTTATTAATAATACAGCTCCATATGCAACAGGTTATTCTGTATACACTAACTCTCTACGTGATTGTGTACGTACTGGAGAAGATACAGCCCAGGTACTAGAGTGGAAAAGTTTCCATTATTATGCTCAGAATGCTTCAAACAGCACCGTGAAGCGACGCTTTGAGGTTGTCACAGATGCTATTCATATAAATTCCAAGAAGTCAGATTGGTCTGTTCCCCCAGCACAACTATTTTCACCACAAGTCACATTACTTGATGAAAAGAATAATTCAGTGTATGGCATGATTCGTGTCAGTGTAAATTCCAAAGGTCCATTCCAATCAAAATCCAAAGTCAAACTGGGAACAGCATCATCCCTTTTTTTGGTGAGAAACAGCATTTCATCTCTCTACTTAAAGGGAGAGTCTGGAACAAACTTTTCAATAGACTTAAGAACAGTTGGTGGACAGTTCACTCAGGAAAGGTTAGAAAGTGTGGAGTTGAAAAAATGCAACCCTGGTTTTCTGCTTAGAGGAAATCAATGTGTTTGTGCTTCAGTGGAAAAATTCATGGGTGTGTCACGGTGTAGTGAAGATAATATGGATGTGTTTCTTGTGAAGGGTTATTGGGCAGGAGAGGTTATTGATGGAAGTGGTAAAACAGCATTTGTTACAGCTCAGTGTCCAACAGAATTTTGCAATTGCTTCAAGCCTGATTACCATTCATTAAGGGCAGATGAATGTGTCTATAAAAAAGATAAGATATGTAATGGAAATAGAATAGGAGTAATGTGTGGTTCTTGTAAACATGGGTTTGGTGTTCAGGTTGGCAATCAGGAATGTTCTGCTAAATGTAAGGATTCTGATCTGTGGAGGCTAGCCCCTTTATTCGTTGTTTTGACTGTTATAGTACTCATTGTCTTCAAAATTAATCTGGACATTTTTACGTGTTACTTGAATGCCTGGTTGTATTTCTATCAAGTGATATATCTTGTTCTGGGTGTTCACGAGGACATCCCTTTGGATCCATTTATTGGGTTTGTTGCTGGCTTAGCACAAGTCACAATAAGTGGCTTTGGTGATTGTTTGTGGGAAGGAATGGACAACTTGCAAAAGCTCGGTTTCAGTTACGTGTTGCCTGTATATGTTTTTCTTGTTGTGTTTATAATTTCCTTTTTCGCGCGAAGATATCCTGGTTGCTATTTTGCAAACAATTCAACATTTAGAGCGTCCTGTACCCTTTTTGTGCTCTCCTACTCGACTTTAGCAAGAGTTTCAATGGACATATTAAGACCATCTAAAATTGGTAGCGAACTTCGCGTATTCTATCAGGGAACCGTACCGTATTTCAGCCCATATCACTGCGCTTTTGCCGTACCAGCACTCTTTATTCTCTTCTTCATTATTATTCCATTTCCGTTGATCCTTGTCTTCACTCCATTTTTTATTAAACGAGTAAGATTTCTTAGGTATGTAAATCCCTTGTTTAACACATTCCAGTCTTGTTTCAAAGATGGATACAGGTGGTTTGCTGCCTTTTACTTCTTTTCAAGATTTTTGCTCCTTCTTTTTGCCACTTTTATACCTTATGGCGCCATAAAAGCGCTATTCATGCAGATTTCCTGCCTTGTTGTCCTCACCGTCCAGGTATGTGCTTGGCCATATCATTCCGAGACGGATAACAACGTCAAGAAGATCAACTGGGTGGACACCGGGTTTCTTACGTTATTGACGATTATCAGTATCATCGCTGGACAAGTAACAAATAACACGTCAGAAAGTGCCAAGAAAATCATGGGTACAACCATTGACATTCTCAGTTATTTTCCATTTGTATATGCCGTATGCATTGGTGTAAAACTATTATTAACACATTTGAAACCATGTTTAGAGCGTCGTAATGAGGAAAATTTGCAAACCGTTGATCATTTTGACAATATAGTATCGTAATGGATGTGTGGACAATTTGAAGTAAGAAACGACATTATTTTATACAATTATTCATGTGAAATTAAATAAATTCTTGGACGACTATCTTGCATGAGGGAACGTTTCATTACTTATACCAAGGGTGACCAGAAAATATAGCAAATGTGAGAAACTTTGAAGTAAAAATTGTACTGAAGCTCTAGACACTGAATGTTTGCTATAGTTTTAACGAATGTTCCCCTCATCGAATCAGATGAGTAAATTTTTACGTAAATAGCGTTTTCCATATATTATAAATGCTATACGTATACAAATTAATGGAAATTAATTATACGACACGTTGATCAGAGTTGCAAAAAGAGTTCAACTTTCCTCCGGTAGGATTTCAAGTTTTGAAAACCTTCTTCAAAATGACATTACGTCACTGAGTCAAGTGGCAACCAGCATAAAGAAATATTTGGTTTTTGGTACATGCATGTGATCAATTACAGTGTTCAACTTTGAACCTTCTTCACGAACCTCATTCAAAGAAAAACTTCCTCCGGGTGGTACCCGTAGCTTTTTTGCAACTCTGACGTTGATATACTGAACGTTCTATACTGAACCGTTTGACATTTTTGATTTTTGTGCTGTCAAATTCTGTCTGTGAAATTCTGTCACAAATATATAAAGATATACTTAATACATCAATATAATAAACTGTCTTCTGTCTTAATCAGTCATCGTTTTGGAAGTGCCCAACGCGTATGCCATAGCGCATCTCTCCGCGGTGAAGAGACTCGAGAGAGGTTTAAAGTCTTGCAATCTTTCAATTACAGAAACTATTGTTTCGTCATAAATTGGGCAAATATACAATGCGCTAAAGTGTAATTATTTACACAACAATACGTTCGCATGCACTCTTAATACCAGGGTAAAGACGTTTGTCAACTCATAAATTCTAAGGTTAAACAGGAATTTGCATATTCTACATAAACAAGGCGTTTGCAGTGGAGTGAAGTGAAGGCAAGATCATTTTTATCGGGTATGTTTTCGTGATTTGTCTAATTCGAATTGAATAATTAAAAGACATTACTCATAAATTTCGATTATAATTCTTCGCTGTCACTGAGCAAAAGAGACACAACGTCAATGTCGAACTTTTATCAAACACATGCAGGCAGCTGGCAGAATATATTTATTCTTTTTCCTCTAGTTAAACTAAAATGAAACCGGAGCCAAAGCAGGAACACCAACTCTCAAGTTCAAGAAATGAATTCATATCAACGTACCAGAAAGATTTCACTGGAGAATTTGGACACCCTTCGGGGTCAGCAAGGTATCAGAGCAAATAAAAATACTAATTGCTGGCGTTGTACAAAGACAACACGTGTTGCCAAGCGACTCAGCTTTTCCTTTAGAAATCATCATTAAATGCAATTCAGACGTCAGTGAATATTGTCGTTCGTGAGTGCACGAACAGTTTTAGAACACTTTTAGGTTGTGCTTCTCTATAAACACTCATGATAGCTCACTCCAAAATCAACGAACAATAGCCTGAATTGGCCATTTTATAACACTCAACTGAAGCTACCTCCAAACTACCCTGCGAAAAATCAGATGACCATGCAGGCCTGACATAGAGCTCAAGGGGCACCGACTAGACTATCATGCATGCGCTGACTGCATGGGTATTACAAATACAAGTACAGATGAATCGGGGGTCAGGTGAAGGCATATATGATAAAGTGACCTAACCTATATTTTTTTTAGGCCTCGCTCATCATCATTATATCCCAAAGGTGATAAGATGGAAATTCCAACGTACAGAAATCAATTTTATTCAAAGCCAGTCGTGAAAACAGATCTAATAAGAACAGAACCATCGTCAAGAAACAACCCACATCCATTAAAAGTAAGCCCAAATTAATTTCATTGAACAACCTCGTAATCTGTATACACTAACAGCATGAATTTGAACTAATGAACGCTACGTTCTGCGTAGTTTTTTTTACGTTCTACGTAGTTTTTTTCTTCAATGCGTTCACGCAAGCTGTTATATTACCGGCTGTCGTTATCCTGGTGTAATATGTTCAAACGGTTTAGTGTGTAAAATGGATCAATTGGCGAACTCCAAAGCGCCTGGCCCTAAAATTGAACAGGAAGGCTACCTAACAAAAACGCGGCCACACCCATATTACATACAGTATGAGCCTCATTTACCTTTCTCGGCCTGGCAACGTTTTTAAATAGCCTTCTCACGATCTCATCAACAGCTGCTGTAAAGTTTTAAATAAATATATCATGAGCTGTTAATCAATTTTTGCCTAGTACCGTGAAAAAAGTTAGTACATAATAAGTCAATAACGCCACTTTTACGCTTACGATTGTTCCGGAAAAAGTATTTTCCCCCCCCCGTGAATTTAAGACCTGTCGCTCATCTATTTCATTTGCGGGTGTTAGGGTTTTTAACAGCATTCCAAATGCTTTTCTTTACCTATATTGCTTAACTTTACGCGGAATTATAATTCCGAGGAATTACAGATTAGTATATATTCGATTCAAGTTATTAAACGAACCAAAGTTGCTGCGTAAAATGATTAATTGATACAATTAAAATTAATTAATTGTTGTATAAATTTATTTCACCGCTAGATTTCAATATAATCGATGAAATTATGCCATTTTGGCAACTGCTGTGATGGCCGAGTGGTTAAGGCGTTGGACTTGAAATCCAATGGGGTCTCCCCGCGCAGGTTCGAACCCTGCTCGCAGCGATAATTTTCGTTTTTCTTTAAAATACCAATCAAAGCCAAAACTTTACGTCTAATTTATTTTTTATTTTAGGATTTCCATGCAAGTCACTAGATATTTGACACAATTACTAGAAATTTCAACAAAAACTAAAATCACAAAATGAGAAACAGAATAATTTAACTAGAGCCCAGTACTTCCATAGGAGCCTGTTCGCAGGTTGCAAGTACACTGAGCTGTATACATATGCTTTATACCAGGAGTGAGACCATATCCAATGTATGTGGTGGTGAAACCCTGGGCAAACTAGGAAACATTGTTGCGGAAACATTCATGAATTATGTTCGCAGTGTTTCCTCAAATTTTGCCTGTTCGCCAACGTACACGCACGTAAAAGCGTAAAACCTTCTTAGTTGTGGTATAATTAATTTCATCAATAGAATCCAACCCTATATACATTTATTCAATCGTTCATTTAATAAGTATCATTTGAATGATTTTAAACTTTTACCTATGTAGAAAAAACGCGACATTGGATGATTGGAAAGTAGCCCCAATTGCGTTTTCTTCTGCTTGCCCACCTTGGAGAAAATTGAGAAACATTGGAGGGAAACAACGTTTCCACAACGTTTCCCAGTTTGCCCAGGGCTAGTAAGGTTTATTATAGCTAGTAAGGTTTAGTATATCTCGTTCTCGGGGGCTTTGGAAGCAACTTCAAGCAAATGCAATCAGGAACATTCCTCTTGACGAGTTACTTTAGTTTTTAAATAAACGTTCTTTTAAATACAGATTTTATTTCATTTCACCTAGGTAATCATCAAATTATTTAACGTAATTTATTCCTTTTCTCGTTTACAGCCTTTTCTCTTTTGGAGATTAAATGGAGTGGATGCATTGAAACAATGGCGCAAGCTTCCCGTGGACAGACATGGCATTGACACCGCTTTACAAAATCAAAAAAAGTCAACGTATCAAGTAGATTACGCTGGTATACAAACTGGTAAGTCACTGACACATTCGTAGTCGTATATATAGCAGTTCTGAATTAAATTAGTCGTAGAGGAATCGAAGTATAAGTGCCCTTACCGAGTAAGATCCTGAAACGAAGAGATCCTTACAGAAGGGGTTCAGTATTTTAAATGCAATGACCAATAGCAATGCAAGTATGCAACCTCGTATACCCTGGATAGGATAAGACAATGAGCTGTTTAATGTTTTATAAGCTAGGCCACTTTATTGAAGAATACGTATAGGAAATGCAAAATTTGATAACTGATAGAAATACTGAAGGTGTGAAAGTAGAGAAAAGTTTGACGGGAAAAAATGGTCATGATCGGATCATTCGGATGCCTACAGTTTCCTGCGCGGATCAGTTTTTCTCGCTGATCTTGATTTTGACTAAATAGAAAAATAAACCCCTTGGATTCTACACTAAAACGGCCTGTGTTCACGCCCATGAGGTGAAATATTGAGTGCTCAAAAATAGCGTTTATTTTTGTTACAGGATAAACGCTTGGAATCTGCATGGCCATGGTGAAATGTCATGTACGTTGTGACGCGGAAAACAAGCAAAACATAGCAAACAAGACTGAAATATTTGCGATTAGAACTAAAATGTTTGTATTCATCTCTTAATTTGAATATACAATTAGAAAGCCTGGGTATGAAACTATTCACTTCATGGTCTTCATCCATTATATCCATAAACATGCGAGGCTACATCTGCTTTTTCACCCGAGCTTTCATTCTTACTAAACGCCCAAGAGAGAAATATCCACCGTAAAATGTCTGCAAGGACCATCTCATTTGATCAAAAACATTGAACTGCAGGTCTCTACACAATGAAATAAATTATTTTTATAACTGTGCATGCGTTCAAGAAAAGCACACCTTATTTTGTACACCAAAAATGTCACCTTGCTACTCTGCGTACTATAGTCACTTCAAGTCAACAGGATCAAACATCAAGTAAGTAAATGAGTTTTTTTACCTGCTGAGTTTTAATGCAATTATTGTCTCGAGTATGTGAATAGCCAATAAAACATAATATCTACAAAATAGCATATGGGCATAGTGATTGAGCTGATAAACTTTAGAAGTGGCAAGCAAAACAAACTGGAATACAACTCTTCATCACTTCAGCTTCAAAACTGAAAGGATATTGGACATAGGGGAGCAATTGAGCCTTGAAAAATAATTGTTAGAAACTGGACTTCCTTTTTTTGATGCAAAGGTCAAACGAGATGAAGGTTTGAAAGAGAAGGATCTCTACATGGTTGTCATAAAAAAGCTAGAAGATGTTAAATGAACATCAGGTAATATCTAAGCCAAAATTAGTTAATACACATATACTCAACACTGGAAACACAGTAGCTGTAGGAACTGACCCAGCCTCAATAGAAGTTACTTGGACCCCAATAATACTTACACTATTTTTAGCCTATGATGATGATCTTTTGCAAGATGACAAAAATAATCACCCAGATCACCAAGTTGCTCACAAGGTAGTAAATTTTGGTGGAAAGCTAGAACCTAAAAATGCAAGCAAAAATATTCTTCCTTAAAATTGTCACACTGATAAAAAACTTTTACTATTAGTTTCTAATATTAACCAGTGGATATATATGACCAACTTCATTGCCTTAATTGAGCCCAGGTATTAAATATTTAAATAAGAATGGAGGGGGGGGGGGGGGAAGAATACACTACACAAACCTTTATAATACACTTCCAACCTGCCTAGTTCCATGCCTTTAGTGGAAGCACTTATGATGGTGATTCATAATTAATTAAAGAGACTTTGCATGAAAGAAAAGTGATTCTATTGTTCTTTGCCATAAACATCTACAAACTGCCTACGCATTTGATAAGAAACAAGTACAATTTACTTGTTATTATACCATATAGCAGCCCGAATTTACGTGATAATTTTAACGCCAGAAATGCCTTACATGACATATTGTCCAAAGTATAAAGACCAAAATCACATGTCTAACTTTCATATACTTAAATGTTATTATTTCTCGCTTATTTTTATCTTGCTCCTTATTTTTTTCCATTTGAGAGAACCGTCCAATGAATTCGATTCCAATGTGACCAGATTTTTTTATTATAGGGCTCAACTTCAGGAGACGAAATAAAGGGCGTCACCGCTGGGCGTAACTTGTTTCCAACCACCAAAGTCATATTGACATTACGTCATTTTCTGGTTCGCATTGGAAACTACCACTAACCGAAAGCTATCCCTAACCCTAACTATTATCATACACTTCATACATGGCCCAACACCCGCAGCCCGCGCAGGGGGGAGAACTGGGGTATGGAATTGGGTATGGAAACATGAGGGGAGATCAGTGAATGGGAAATACAGTGGGGAAAGTGGGGAAATATCATGGGAAATATAGGAAAATGAGACTGGGACCGGGTTTCAAATTAGGCAATATGGCGGACAAATTGATCAGATTCTGATAAAATTATAGTTTTCAAAATGGGTTTCATCGGGAAAATTTTAGTATTAGTTGGGTTGGTAATAATAATACATGCAGGTTACTCTTCAGAGCAATGTAAGTGTGGAATTACAAAAATCTCAATCAATGTATCAGACCGGCTTGTGCATTTTGACAAGCATGGTATAATTATTATAATATACAGTATAATGAGTATATTATATTTTAATATATAAAGTAATGATTTAATCCTGCATAATACAATTTATATTTTTATATTTTAAAATGTCTAATATTACATTCATGGTCTTTTGTAGATAGAACTTATTTGAAACTAATTGAAGAAGAATTCACTTCTTTACCAAAAGATGTAAGTACACATAACACATGTAACATGTTCAACTGAGTATTTTGCAATTTTGTTGCTTTTTCATGTATAATTTTCTTCTAATAGAATAATTGCAATATGAAAATTTTCTATTTCTAAAACAGTCTGATTCATTGTAGATTTAGTATCAATGCATTTGTAGTATGATTTGGTTGCTTTCATGAATGCATCTTCCTGACAGTCAGTTATTATTTTAATTATAATATTAGAATATTACCATATAGGTAAATTTTTATACTATGTAGATACAATGTTAGTACTATGCTATTGTAATGCTTAGGCAAATAAGGCAATCATTTTTCTGTATTTATGCAATAGAAATGATTATTATTAAATTATAGTTCTACAAAAGATAAAAGGACTAGCAGATAAAAGGATGAGTTACAGAATAATGTTGAAGCTTGCCATAATTGTTCCAAGCTCATTCTGATCTTTTACTTTTTCTATATAAATCACATTAGGGATTCTATCTAAACTACATGTATTTGGGCATTTCCTAATATAGCATTTCATGATGTTTGCAACAAAATATAGTTACCATAATCTAACAGCCATTACTACAGTACTTACAATATCTCTTTTCAGATTGTGCTTCAATGTATATTTGGCCTAGTATTGGGATCAGTAGGTGCTGTTCAAATGGCAGGGGATTTTAAGGAGATCAAGGCTTCGGCAGAACTAGCTAACAAGTGAGTGTTGAAACAAATTTATAATCTAATTTAGAGAAATATTGTCCTATTCCTATGTCATTTCAAGGAATGCCGGAAAATATAAATACAATATCACTCCACCCAGTTTTGCTGCAATATCACTTCACACAGGTTTGCTACAAATGCAAAATGTTTCCTGGATATGTCACTAAAACAATATTGTTTTTGGAGAAGGCAATATATAGAAAAATATGCAATATTTTAGTTAGTCTAATCAGATCTTTGTACACTGAAGTTCTGTTTTTCAGGATTTTCTTTAATTTTTTATTTGTAGAAGCTGGGAAACTGCAAGTAACAGGCCATCATTTTACTCCTTTCACCATCGAGGAAAAGTTATGTTAAAAAATGTTATGCCTGAGTAAAAATACAGTGGCATATTCTGAAAAAAGTACGTAAACTATAAAAGATAGTTACTGTACACTAGTATTACATAAAAAGAACTTTGAAAATTAGAATATATTAGCATTCTTTATAGTAAATCAACTTGGTTTCTAAGTCATTGTAAAGTAATCAATCATTTTAAGTTATTGTGGTCAAGAAAAGTACATACTTTTGTTTCTTGATGACAAATTGTTAACACTGAGGTTGAAATTTGGCGATTTCAATATCAAACATACTATATTTTTGTGTCATAGAAAAACCTATGGTACAATAGAATGCTACACAGGGGAATTTATGACAAATGTAATCTATAGTCAGTAATTGATTCAGATAGAAGTGGATGTGTAAGGGTTGTAAGTTAACAAAGGTTCAAGTTAACAAATGTGGTATTCTAAACTGTGGTTTATTTCTCAAAATAATAGAGGGTGTAGGCTCCTGTTAGTGGACCTGAGTTATACTTTCCATAACAATATAGCCATGTACCTGGGGTGTCTACGCAATACTTTATATGTCACAACAGTGGGATTAGGTAATTCTCTGTGGGTATGCGTGCAGAAAGGTATACTGATTAGCACATTGTATAAATTATTTCTCTGTTATTAGGTTAGCTAATTGGATACAGACACAGTAGATAGATTTCTATATATTGTTATCTAGCAAAACATTTTATTTTATTTTACTAAGAATAATGTACATTTTTATAGTTTTCTTGTCAGTTCCACTTTTAAACCTCTAAATTTAATGAATACTATAAAAATTTATCATTAGCAGTTATAGGAAAGTTCAAAATCCTCCACAACTTTAGGTATTTTTCTATGTATCTTAATATTAGAACATTATGAAGGTTCCAGTAATAGTTGTAAATCCCTATTTGTCTCGGGTACATAATCAATAGGCAGTTTTTTCAAATTATCTTTCACTAATGATAAACTTGGCTTGTGCTTCAGAAGATGCTGGATGATCTCAATATGTGATTTCTGTGCAGCTTTGTGCAATGCTGTTTGTCCATCAACATCAGCTAAATCCAACTTTCCTCCATGTTCAATCAATGTTTTGACAATGTTACTATGTCCACTATAAGCTGCTCTGTGTAATGGACTAGCTTTCCCAGCACGTGTTAAACTATTTGGGTTAGCACCATAATCAAGCAAGATCTTGCACACGTTTAGGTGACCGTTGCGGGCTGCATAATGCTGTAAGAAATGCATTCACCACTTAATTTTGTTATTGTTCCTTGCTGTACCATTACATGACCCAAGATTGCTATTGAAAAGAATGGGCACATTTAGGCCTGTTTCGAAAAAGAGGAGAGAGACAGCACCACAACACCCTCAGTACTGCACCAGTGTGTAAAGTGTGTATCATGCAAATGAGATAACAGGTGTGCAATTTTGAAGTCTATTTACTGGTATTTTCTTGAAATCTCAGGTGCACAATTTGAACACTCTCCAGTCACAGTTTTGCATTTTTGTAGCCCATTAAAATGGAGTGGTTTGTTCTGTTTTTTCAAATAGATTTCTTTTTGCACCTTTATCTAACTGTTAATATATTTACCAAGGCAGTATACCCAGCACTGTCCAAAATATCTGCGGAACATTTTCTATCCAAGTATTTTTGAACTTGATCCACTTCACCATTCAGTGCAGCAGACCAAATTCCTCTGGTAAAATCCATCTCATCCATGTTTTGAGAATATGGTGTAGAGCTTGCTGTGCATTGGCAGGTGGAGCCATGGTCATGGTGCATGCCGCTAATGTTGGTTGACATTTCTAAACCTAGAAACCTCCCAGTTCCCATCAAAATTTGATTTCTATGTCTCTGAGAAGTGAGATCAGTGAGATGGTCAGTGGTATTTAAATGTCATTACTTCGTGTAGTACAATAGAAATTTGCCGGACTAAATGTATTGTTTTCAATCAAAAACTTTAATTAAAGAAAAAAAGAGTAACAGGGAATGAACGGTTGGAAATTTATTTACACGTTATAATTTACACTTTAACACAACTGCAAATTGCAAACATTCTTTTTAAATTTCTCGCTGTCCAGTTAGGATAAGTCTCCGGTTCAGTATACGAGCCTGCAATACCAAAATGCCATTGTATTCATCTATTTGAATCTTTGAAATTTGAATTGAATGATTCGAACTTTCTGTGAGAACTGAGAAGTTCGTTTTTTTCAGCTACAAATTAAACATTTTATATCTATATTATACAAACATTGTGTATTCCTGTTTTGGTAAATACATTTTTGCTCTCTCAAAACATCATCCAATGACTGGAATGGTTGGGTAGTTATTAGAATTAGTCATAATGAGTGAATGGCGGCGAAGTCGATCACCACATAACGACAGGAGATTTGGGAGAAATAGATCTCGGTCAAGAAGTAATGAACGAAGTAATGGATTTTCGTAAGTAGTACAATGTTTAAAGTATCATTTCTTCGTTATTCAGACAGTTCATGGTTGTGACATGTATAAATATTTTATAATTACACAATCACCCTTGTTTTGTATGATTGGTTTTGGTGACTTAAATCTCTAGTTGAGCTAAGATCAATAACCTGTTTACCTGATTTAAAGTCTATCTCTGAGGTTAAAATAGGCAGGGTTGGTGTTAGCCAGTTACTGTATTAATCAGTGAACTATGAAAGTTGATTTTACCATGATTTTATCCAAATTTCACTGGTATTACCATGGACAGCAAACTATATATGAAATACTAATATTATAAAGATTTCAGACTGCATGCAACAACTGTATTTCTGTATAATCTTTAAACCAGTGTTTTTCAATAGTTTTGTATCTAATGCCATACTAACTCTTGATTTAGTCACAGACATGGAAAGAAATCCCAAGATGAAGGTCAATCAGAAAGGTGAATGTGAAATCACATAAAATAAAATACTGTTTTAATGTAGCAATTTCCAAAATAAATTTCCAAATACCATTTACTATTTCCAAATTACTATACTGGAATTAATAAATGAAATGAAAACTCTGAATCATTTCATTTACCAAACAATTATCAAAAGAAGCCTTTGTTTATAAAGCTTAACAATAAACTAATAAGTCAATAATTCTGCAGACGCCGATTGGAAAGAGAACGGATTTGTGCAATGGGAGTTCCAGGGGCATGGGGTCTATCACCTAAAGCTCCACTAGATGAGTATGCATATTGGTTATTTAACATGTGTTTATAAGTAGTGAGAGCACTAGTGCTTCAAAATTGCAGTCACAGGTTTAATTCATGGAAGATCTGATTTGCATGTTCCCAGTTCAATCCTAAGATTTGTAATGTTCTACTTTTGTGTCATAGCCAATAATAATACATATCATTTTTTAAATATTATAGTTCTGATGATGATCAAGAGGAGGAGAGCCAAAATATGAAGCTAAATGTGAAGCATAAAAGTGATACAAATGGTAAAAATATTTTCTGAGACATAAATAGAGAGGCTTGTTGTATTTTGCAGTTGTGCACTCACATGATGCACACACGCATCTCATCTGAAATTGGGAATTTTTTTCGAAACAGAATTTAGCGGAAGCGATGAGAGCACAGACAAGAAATCTAAAAGATCCAGTAGGAGAAAGAAAAGAAAACATAAAAGGAAAAGGTATGCATTTTTTTAGTGTCCTGGACAAAATAAGAAACATTCTTCATTTATATTCTCTAATTATTTGAAAAAAATCTGGAATACTGTAACTAACTCCTATGTTGCATGCTGTATCAATCAGTAATAAATAAAGAGGTAGTTATTTTTATGTGTTTTAGTAAAAAAAGGAAAAAAAAGAAAAGCTCAAGTGAGGAAAGTGAAGATGAATCAGAAGGTAGGTTTTAGCAGTGACTGCTAAAAAATTTTGTAATTTTACATCAAAATTTTAAAATTGTTTTAACATACCTCAAATGGTTATGGTTATATTAATTATTGCATCATTAACCTTCAATCCTGATTAAAGGATCCTATGGAGGCTAAGTGAGCTTCCAGGCAATATTTCAGTTCTGGCCCTGTTAACTTTTACATTGTCATGGTACAAACACATAAGGTGCCACAGTGGTTGGTGTTCTGCAAAAAATTTTTAGAAGTCTCTAAATTATCACACATTATTTTTCTTGAGTGTTATTCCACTTTCAAAAAGTTATAAATTCTTAGCTTATCTCTCATATCATTTGCACCCTGGGGTTGGTTGTTAAAAAGCTGGTTAGCTTAACCCTGGGTTTAAGCAAATCTTTACATCAATTTTCTTAATCGCTTGTTTACAAAGTTGAATATCTTCTTTCATAAATGTTTTCTATAACAACAAGAACCATATTTTGTAAAGGTTTTAAAACAAACAGCGGTTCAGAAGCACCTAAATGAAAACAGTGGTTTAAAACTTCTGGTACCCCAGGGTTAACACTAACCCAGCTTTGAACAACTGGCCCCTGAAAACTGTATATGAGCCCCTTTTGCCCTTGACCCATAAAAATAGTAGACATTTTTTACTTCTATACACTGTCCCCAAGCAGACTAACCCGCTCTCTGGCTTAACGCTATTGGCTATTTATAGTAATTCAGTATGTGCTTTCCCTTAAATACAGACAGCGATGGCGTTAGTGAGTGGCTTGAAAAACGTAAAGGTATGTGTGGTGCCATATTACGACCCGCGAGTGTCACATAGAATGACTGGTGAAAATCAGATTTCCGTCATCATAATTATAATTACTAACTGTACTACTGTAGTGACGTCAGAATGTGCCGAATCGTCAAGATCACTTTTATATCCAAAATTAAAGCGCTCCTTGTGTAGCAAAAGAAGGCCAAAACGTGACGTAATTCAACAAGATGTGTTTTTCATTATCAGATGACAAAACCGGCGATATTGTTGTTGGTCCAATGCCTGTTGTTAGTTTACAACATGGAAATGCTGATGAACAAATGGAGTAAGTCGTCTGAAATTTTCAAAAATAATGTTCGTTCTTATCATAAAACTGTCCAACATTTTCTAGGAGTTCAGAATAGACGTCTCGGTGTTTTTAGAGACGGGATCATCTTAAGTAACAACATTTTCTCTCCCTATCCGTTCCGTTTTCTCCTCTTTCATTTCCGTTCCCCCTCACCAATTATTCACTTGTGTTGAAAGTTTAACAACAGCACAGTACAAGGTTGGCGTACTCTTTAAGTGAACGAGTTGACTAATAAAAGTAATATTTTGTTACTCCATGTTACTATTAAAGCCAGGAATTTTCAATTCTCATGGTAGTTTTCCCTCTTTAACAACGAGTAGCAATAAATATATGTCGGAGCTAATCTCGCAGTCAATCACATATGCATTTCCCAATATGTTCGCATAGCATGCATTTCTGAAGAACCTAAACATTGCTCCATGCCGTCAAGCTATAGATCTATAATCTTCCTCTTCCCTACACTCCCTAGCTTCTATAACGTTGCCTCGATTATTTGCGATTGTTTCCCCGTCTTTTGTGTAGTTTCGGTTCGGCTTTGTTGCCTGGTGAGGGTGCGGCAATGGCTAACTATGTAAAAGCTGGTAAGCGTATACCACGACGTGGTGAAATTGGTTTAACGAGCAATGAGATTACGTCATTTGAAGACCAAGGCTATGTTATGAGTGGTAGCCGACATCGACGAATGGAAGCCGTTCGAATACGTAAAGAAAATCAAATCTACAGTGCTGATGAAAAGTATGTTGCACTTTACCCAATTAGCTATCTTAGTTTTGCATTTGTCGCTCGATATATGAATGAGGCACAGGCTATATAGCCGAATACTATATTTTATTTTGTTTAGTTCAACAATATGTTTCACTCGGTTACGTACATGGGATGAATAGTGAATATGCACCCCACCAAATTAATTAAGCGGCTAGGAGCGGTCCTATTTACTTTACTAAAGATTGATTACTTTACTAAAAGCCCCCCGTAACCAGCTCACCCGATATACTTTCCCCGCTGCTGTCATTGTGGCGCTACTGTATTTGAGCCAAATGTTACCCCCTCACCGCCTGACTTCCTCCTACCTAATGCCAAGTGAGCTGAGCTCCTACGCCATACATTAGGGTTGGCAGCCAATATTTTACTGTAACGCATTGCAGAAGTTTAATTGACACGGAATTTTTTCTGCAATAAAAAATAATCCTAGCATGCGAGGTTGTGAATTTTTTGGTACTCATTGCTTGCTTCATATATATTTGTTCATTGCAGACGAGCTTTAGCTATGTTCAACTATGAAGAAAGATCAAAACGAGAAACGAAGATCTTATCGGATTTCCGAGAACTTGTCCACAAAAAAATCAACAAACAAAAGAATTGACATATCGAGAATTCACGAAGCAGAATTGTACGCCAGTCACCATATTAAATAGTGTTCGTGGCAACCGAAAAACTAGAAATGAAAAATTTCGGGTGTCCAATCCGCGGCCAATACGAAGGTTTGTTCTTAAAGGTTTGTGTACATTGCGTACTAAAAGCAGTCTACATATAAAAACAGTCTGCGTGCTCAGACACGTTACTAGTGAACAAGCATATTGTTCGGTCGGTATGTGAGCCATGCGTGATGCAGGCATTAATTTTTGGATCATAGCAACCGTGCACTTCTAGGCACGCGGGGCGTGGCCAGGCGACCAATATATTCAATAGAATCGTCGGGTTTACTGGTGTGTACATATCAAACGTGTCGAATTTTTCGTTTTTTAACCTGAAATTTTGTAAATTGTGAAAAATAAAGCCACGCAAAGTTGGCCAAATTTGTGTACTTCTGTACTATGTGCGGAAACGTTGTAGCTAGGCTGTAGATACTAATAGTATTGAATACCAAATTCGCCCGCTTTTTATCGCCCAGATAGTCACAAGTGGTCTAATAGTAATGACTAGTATAGTATGACGAATGTACAATCTTGGCCAAAACGCTTTCAGGGACGATTGCATTTTTTACTCTAAAAATGTGTTCTCCCCCTCGCCCCCCCCCCCCCTCATTCAATGTTGAATTCTAATGCACTTTCGTTTAATGCACATTACTACAATTAATATATTAATTAGGGACCAACATTGAAAAGGGGGAGGGGGGAAATCGGCGAAAATGCGAGCGTAGGTGGTCACAGTAGTTGTGATATCGCGATAGCGTTCGTCGGTCCTATTAACTTTTGGCCAAGTTTGTAGTTTTATGTTCTGGTGCATCATCACCAAAGTAATCTAACAAGTGAAGTCATGCTACGGAATAACTAATCACTTCCAAGATCTGTACATTGTATTTTATTTTAGACCATAGACCTAGTATTAGCAATACATGTACATTATTATTATTAACATTTGAATTATACCCTTGGCCTCACTAATATATTTATATATAGAATTATATGATTAAACTAAATGTAAACTCAAGTCTTTACTCACATACCCATGTATGCAAGTAGATGTGGTAATTTTTTATCAAATATCCTGTAGTCTAACTTGGACTTTTATTTTTTTCCACATTTGCCTCAAACCATTGTGTAAATGTGGATTTATTATCTGATTCATCCCAAATTGTCCTTATTGGTGATTGCAAGATGTTAACTGCAGGTGATTTATCCATCTTTATAATCTGTTCATCAAACCATTTGCTAAACTGAGGTGAGAATGTGCATCCACATAACATTGACAAATTTTCTTGATTTGGTAAGTTATTTTCCTCATCACATTGATGAATGAATGCATCAACTTCATCTTCAAACCATTCAGTAAATTGTACATCAACACTTTTTGTGGAATTAATGTTTTTTGCTTTATGGTTCAAATTTGTATGTTCCTTTACTGGGGAATGATGTTTGTCAGTACTCCGTAGTTCCTTGATTTGTGAATTCCTACAATAAAGTGCTGGTAAAGGTTCAAATGCATTTTGTTCTTTGTCCACAGTTGTCTTTTGTATCTTGTCTTCAGACAGAAATATGTCACTCTCATCAGCATCACTTCCAAAAAGATCCTCTAAAACTACATAAATATAAATGAAATAGTTACATAAATAAGTATTTTGTCATCCAATCATCAAAGCAGACATGCACTAAAAAGATTTTATGATAATATTATCATGCACTTAAACAAATTACTAACCATATTCAATAGGTGCTGAGGGTATTTCATTTTTCAAAAACAATACAGGAACTTTGTCTTTGGATGACGATAAGGATATCTCATCTGAGCTTTTTTTGTCTTTTTTCAGTTTTAACTTAATGGGTCTTTCCTCAAGAAATTGACTCATTGTGCTTTGCTTCATTTTACGTGATTGGTTTTCACAAACATTGGGTGTTATACATGTTGGTCTTACTGCTCCAGGTTTGAGGTGCTGTTGATGATATCTTGCATGCTGTGTTATAACTTTTTTTGATTTGCTTTTTGTTGTTAACCATTTACCACATCCTTGTCTTTTGCTTTCTGATGCTTTCATGCTCATTTGTAAACAACACTTATTCTGGTGAGGAAAATATGTGCTGAATTTATTTTAATAGTTAGGTGGAATGCAGCCCCTTTAATTAAACACTGTATTAAAATAGGCTGATATAAAATTACATTATTTAATATTTGTCTGTACAAAACTTCATAATTTTACAATATTATAACTTATAAGAGTTTATCAGTGAATATGACCATAACTACCTTGCAGTATCCTTATTATATTACCATATGACAATCTTCTAGACGATTTTTACTCTCCAAATGATAGCATCAAAACATTTTCAAATAAACATTTTACGTGAATTTTCAAATTTTCCCCCTCTTCAACCAGTGGTCAAAATCAACACGGGCGCACTTTATATGCAAAATAATGCAAAACAGAAAATGATAGGAAGAGAAATTATCATTATCGTATTTCATTTAGCTTTGTGTTTCACGTAGCAGAAATGCAAATCACGATGGGGATGTAACGATTAATGAACTGAAACGGTATTTTACAACACCGGCTGACTGGCAAGAAATTATGGCAAAGAATTCAAAAGGTTTTGTGCTAGCTGTAGATGTTGGAACGACCAACTTAATTTGTCACGTCTTTGATGATACTGGCATTTCTAAATACGGTGCATCCAGAAAGGTATCCACGTGTGGTTTATTTGATGAATATTTTTTTGCAGTGAAAAGATTACATTACAATAGCTGATATAGGCTAAAATAGTACAATTTTATATACTGTGTTGATCGAAAAAAGATTCAAATATCGTTGATTGTTTATGTATTAATAATACAGTTATACTTACTGTTAAAATAAATAAAATTGAAGTGTGCTGGACTAATCACTAATGCGATCCTTGAGTAATGTTCTAGACTAACTATTAAAGGCAAAATTTGAGGTGTGCAGGTGTTTATGAAGCTTGGAAATAATGCGCTTTCAATATGCGTTAATACTATGAAATTCTCAAATTATTCAAATAGTTACACAGATATGGTAATGATATAGACTTTTAACTTTTCTCCAATTAAAAAACAATTCTATTAAAACTTTTATTTTATTTTACTTTAATTCTATTTAAACTTATTTTAAATTTTAATTTGCAAGTATTAAGATAAATGCTGATAATAATGAAGGAATTGAATCATGTTAATTGCAACATTAGGAAACAAATTACATTTTTGTATACTAGGGGGCTTGTTTACATGATCATGCACAGTTAGCTGAGATGCAAGAAGGGTGAGATGACTTCGAGGTATTGAGTTGAGCATATAACATGATCCTGACAGTCATGTAATCACCCGAAAATTTCATGTGCTTGTTTGGTGTCATAAAGACAGAAGACTTATTTCATTACCTCAAAGTCATATTGATCACAATTCATTGAATCTCAAGTGGGATCATGTAAACAACTCACATGATTTTCATGCCATGTTGCAATAAGCAATTTTTGCAAAGGGCATGGCAACATTTAATCTATCATCTTTCTTTCACGGTGATCATCTTTGGTGTACTAGATTAATTTGCTACACCCAAAGCCAGGATGGGTTGAAATCGATCCAGAAACATTATGGGAACAATTTCTGGATGTTGTGACAGAAGCAGTTGAAGGTACAATTATTGTACTCTATTGATGTTTAAAAATTCAAACTGACTCTAACTGTGATGGAAAAACATGAACAGCTACACATTATGTACATAATCTCAAAGTCAAAGTAAGAATTGCTTTCTCAAATTGGTCATTATAAAGTGACTAATAACTGTCCTAGGCTATTAACATTAACATTAACATTAACATTGTAAAGCGACTATTACTATAACTAATATCAACTTATAATAGACATTTGTTTTCCAAACCTAGGAGCAAATATACAATATGAAGATATTGCCGCCTTTGGTATATCAACACAGAGAGGAACTTTTTTAAATTTTGATAAGTAAGTTAATGCAATTAATTTTTTTGTTAACTACACAATATCATTTAGTGTGAGTGTGTAATATCATCTATCTCTTTCCCTGAATTAATTAAATTTGAATGTAGTATAGACCAGTGAACTCTTAGGGTCCATGCCTCCATGGAGAATGTCAAGTTCTCTAGTTTAACAAGAATGCAATTTATAGTTCATCGGTCAGTTGTTCGGTGTTTTTACAGTTCTTAATTACAATTAGATTTCTATTTCAGACACAGTGGTCGCCCTATTCATAATTTTATTAGTTGGCAAGATTTAAGGGCAACAGAATTAACTGAAAATTGGAACAAATCATTCACTTTGAAGGTAACCAAACTCCAAGTGCTATGCACCCACTTATAAACCATATTATATTAACCTTAGTGGGCATTGCGGTGTATTTTGAGGGCTAAAATGATAAATGTGCCAGCTAGGCTGAAATATATATTTTAGCCTGCTGATCATAGGCGGCTGATCCAATCAGAAGAATGACTTAGAAAGTTTACCCATTGCATAATTTTTTATACAAAAATTACCCTTTATGCCAGCAAACATTAACTCGATTGTTATATTGTAGGCAAACACAAGATTTCACATTCCTATTTCTACATGTGACTTTTTAATTCTAGGGCTTACATATCAGTGCCAGAGCTTTACATCTATTATCAAGAAGGAAACAATTTCTTGCAGCTAGTGTTATAAATTTTTCCACGCAACATGTAAGTATATTAGATAAAATGTATTAGAAAGAAATTATACTATTAGGACTGGGGCATATAGTTGGCCTAACTGCCTAAGGGGGAAGGGGAGGCCCTCAGAGCATGTTGCTCTCCAAACGTTTTAGGTCAGGTAGGAAAAAGTTCCCTTTTTCCAAATTCATTTTTCAGGAACATTTGTCCTCTTTGATCCTTTAAAGCCCGATCTTCTTAATTTTAACTTGCTTCCTGATTAGGAAATGTTTTATGAATTTATGTACTGTAATAATGTGTCAGATTCTGAAAGTGTGGCTTACTTCATAGTTGTACAATGAATTTTATTTTGAAGATATTTTTTGTTGGTGCCAAAATGAATTTGGTCAACATTTTCGATTCACTATGGCATATCAAGTAGTGCTTGAAATGATTTTTTTAATCTTTTCAAGGTTTCTACAAGATTACATTGGGTTATAAAAAATCATAAAGAGGTATAATTTTCAGTTTTGCCATTTATTTGTACAAAATGCACCAGCATAATAAGGTAGTCATTCAAATTGAGGCTTGTGAGCCAAAGCTGAGTGTTTTGGAGTGTTTTCACACTCCATATATAATTTTAATTAAGATACAAACAGTCTGAGCACTAGGTGGAATTTTGTCATAGTCTAAGCACTCTAAGTTTGCAAGTTTGCATTAAACAGTTCAGTTTCTGCTTCCTTACAGGCAATGAAGAAAGTTGGTGAAGGGTCATTATTATTTGCTACGCTAGATACTTGGCTATTATGGAAATTAACAAAGGGTTAGATTGCTGCTATATTAAAATTTACCCCTAGACCATAAGCAGCCTAGGAAGCATGCAGAAATTGTATGTAACATAATTTTCATACATAATTTTTGCATGCTTTTTGGGCTGCTTTCCCCAGACTATGGTCTTGTTTAAAAGTTTCTTGCATCAGTCTGATATACACCTTCATTTCCTCATGTCCTACTTCCAATTTTTGCATTATATTTTTTATGGGTTTATCAACTATATTGAGGCTGCCCTAGCCCCTAGGCCTAAATCAAGTCAGTTGGTTAGTTACTAAATATAATTCCTCTTTTTAGGACATTGTCATGTAACAGATTATTCCAATGCCAGTTCGACAGGCATGTTTGATCCGTATGTGGTAGGTATTAAAGTGGATCAGAATTAAGAAGGAATATTGTCAATTGAAGTGAATATCACATTTTTCATAGATGTGTTGGAGTTCGTTGATGACATCATTATTTGAAATTCCGTTGTCCATTTTGCCTGAAGTAGTGGATACAAGGTACTGTGCAGAGGTCTGTGCAGCCTCATCCCCAGGGTCTTCGGTTCTGTTTGAACTGCATACAGTCAGTCTGTATAATTATTTTGTCCCCTCCACATGCAGACATGCTGAAAGGCCGGGTGTATAGGCATTTCTTGCAATCTGATCTCCATGCAACATGGATAGTAGAAAACCAATACACCTATTCGAAAAAGAGCAAGAGACCTGTAGCGAGTTACAAAAAGGGAAGCTAGTCAGGTTTTCTTCTGCCAAAAATAGGCCAAAATTATTTTTTGTTTCTGGATTTTGAATGAAAGAAACATCGTTTTTGTAGCTTCTGACAGACCCAGCGGAAAAGTAAAAGTAGACATGATTTTGAAATTCCGAAAATGAAAATCTGACTGGCCTCGCTTTCGTGTCCCTCGCCACAGGCCTCTTCCTCTTTATCGAACAGGTCTATGATTCCTTGCATGTCTATTCATACGATATTGAGGTTTATTCCAAGTTGCACCGAACTACAGGTTATATTAGAATGAATTAAAAATCTACAGATCGGACTTCCCAACGTTTTATTTATCAACGTGAATATGGCTTATTTTAGAAATCTCCTCCGTTTCAGATTTTATTTTTATGTCCCAAACAAAGCATGGGTAAAAAAGCCATCCGTAAATACGTAAACTGGAATAGCAGGGTAACACAGGGCTACCGCTAATCGCGGGCCTTGAACAACCGGCCTCAGAAAATTAAAACGTTTTTAAGAAATTGAAAAATGTATTCGTGATCAGAAAATGTATATTTTCTTGTTTGGTTTAGCGGTCTATTGTGTGAAACTCACGAGGATATTTTTGGAACACGAATACCTGTGACAGCTGTGGTATGTTGCATAGATAAGACTAGAGAGTAGCTACATGTAACTATACGAGATAACTAGCTATTTATAAATTAGCTAGCTTTTCGAACAACCGGGCCCATGGTCAATATGACAATAATGCCGGACATTGCATTCTCCCGAATGCGCCATGCAGAATATTACTGTTGCTTGGTGTGACAACACCTGAAAAAAAAGAGGGCTTTGATTAGGCTTTGATTGACGTTGCGAGAAAGGGCCTGTTTTCAGTGTTTTGCAGTTCGACTCTCATATTGGGATATTTTTGAATGCACCAACTCCACTCACAATCCTTCAATATGTTTCAGGTTGCAGATCAACAGGCGTCAGTTTTTGGGCAATGTTGTTTTAATGTTGGTGATATTAATCTCACAATGGGAACGGGAAGTTTCATGAATATAAATACTGGCCAGTATGCACATGCTTCAGTCGCTGGTATGTTTCGTATAGAGAATAAAGCATTTCAACTAAACTAGAGGAAAACCTCTTTTCTTAGACATTCTGTATAATATAAATTACACAAAACATACAAGCATGACTGAACTGAATAATCTAGTCCCTTAACTAGGAAAAATCCACGAAATTGCCCTTTAGAAGTAGAACTCTCGACAAAGGGCTGCGTATGTGGTGACACATCATTTCGGTAATTTAATTTTAGGCTTATATCCATTAGTCGGGTGGAAAATAGGGTCGGAGGTGACGTATCTGGCCGAGGGCAATGCTGCTGGGACTGGGACTGCCGTTGAATGGGCGGGTGAGATGGGTAAGAATGTTGGAACTTCTAATGCGTTAGAATCACCTATTAATTCGACATGTCTCTCATGCGACAGCTTGAAATAGGAAACCAGGTTATCATATAGAATGATTTTCCAATTTTAGCGGGAATTATAGTCTTTTTTTTAGCCTACATTGTCTTATTTCAGGATTTTTTCAAAAGGACAACGTGTCGGAAACATCCGAAATTGCAAGTTCTGTCGAAGGTAAATAAATTACCTGAATCCTCAGTAATCCAGCATGATACACACCCTGGCATTAAACGTGTTGTATATAATAGAGCGTGCAAATCCGAGGTCATTGCTTTGCCGCAGCGAGGTCGAATTACACGAGGTCGTAGCTTTGTACACACAGTAGTGGAAATATAGAAGTCAGGCTTGGTTCGTAGTTGGATGATCTGAATGCTCCGTCCTCTAAATTCATACAGCTACGAATATATCAAATCACTCACATCTTTTGTCTTGGAGAATTTTTTTTTACATTTTTTACCTTTACACGAGTATATTTATATATCATGTTCCAATATTTTCTCCTTAGACTCTGATGGGGTCTATTTTGTTCCTGCGTTCAACGGTTTACAGGTAATTCGTTTGCAACCAAATCATGTCGCCGTTCTGGAGTCTACTTTTAAAAAAAACATGATTTATAATTTTGTCAGGCGCCCATCAATGATAATAAAGCTTGCACCTGCATGTTTGGTATTACACCCTCAACAAGCAAATCGCATATTGTTCGAGCGATTCTGGAATCGATCACCTACAGGTATACTCGCATATAACTACTGCATGTTTTAAAGAAATGGCATGTATAACCTTGATTATACGAATTATATTTGGTACGAAGTTTTGCTACATCGGAGCAATATTGTGGAATAGTCTCCCTGAATAGGTAGGAAAGCTTCAATCTTTCTATCAGTTCAAAAGAGCGATAAATAGATATTTACAAACTTGAACCGGCTTCCATGCACGCGGTAATCTTGAAAAGCAGTAACTACATTAGATTTATATACTTTATATATGTCTGTAACTGAAGATTCTACCGTATTTAAATAAATTGTATTGTATATTTTGTGTAGGATTTATCAACTTTATACCACAGTTCAAGAGGAAACACAAATACCAATTTTATCATCGATAAAGTGAGGCTTGCAAATTATTTTATGAAATCGTGTATGAATTATACTAAGGCATCACATTCGGTATTTTTCAATCCAATATTACTTTACTTTCGTGCGATTGCATGACAAGATTTTAATACGATAATTTTCTTACGTAAAGCTTGTTTCATTGCATGCGATCATGTGCTTTAACTCAATTTCTCAACTTGTAAATTTAACCGAAATTCCGTCTGTATTAATAAGCTATATACTAGCTATCATATATCCATCTCTAAATTCGTATTTGGAATTTTGAATGCAAAGAATCCTTTAAAACTCACAACAGTATGATAATCATGGAGCAAGATATTGCATGTCTTTCCAATAACTTATGTTTTTCTTCTCGTACGTAGAGCTGACGGCGGTGTTAGTAGCAACGACTTTGTAATGCAGTCACTCAGCACGCTAACAGGACAAAGTATTGAGAGACCAGCTCAAGTTGAAATGTCCTGTTTAGGAGCAGCATTTTTAGCTGGCCTAGCTGCAGGTGGGTTTATATACAGGGGCCAGTTGTTCAAAGCTAGGTTAACTCTGACTCTGGGTCAACGCTAACTCTGGGTTAAGCTTTAATCCAGTGTTTTATTGTAAACAAGCGATTTTTTTTAAAAAATTGATGTAAAGATTTGCTTTAACCCAGCGTTAAGCTAACTGGATTTTTGAACAATCGGCCCCAGAACAATTGGGTTTTAAGAGGAGAGGTTACGGAGCATTGTGTATGCGCATGCGCATGTGTGTATGCGCATGCGCATATAATCATGAGCATGCGCACTAGAAACAATCAGAAGTAATGCGGAACGTCGTTCATTTTCCATGAGGGAGTTTCAGATTTGACTTCCACTATAGTGCTATACCAATGCTCTGATTCAACAACAACAACAACAACAACAACAACGATTCAATATTTTCTATACAGGTGTATGGAAATCACGCGATGAGCTTAAAGCAATTCGCTGCTCGGAGAAAATATTTCAGCCACAACGTGATTCTAGGGATGAACACAAAATCAATTATGACAAATGGAAAGAAGCTTTATCTCGGAGTCGGGCATGGTACAGGTGATGCTTGTTGATCTGCCCCCGAGGCGCGAAGTGGCCTAACATTTATACATGCAATACTAGAAGACTTGCATTAATTTTGATACAATGCCAATATGACACAAGAGCATCGTTTTAGAGTTGTTACATATAGTCAGACTAAATAAATCTCGACCAAAAGAAGGCATCAATAGCAGCTTCGAGCCGCACTTGCAAGAGTTCAAAGGGATGATTTTCTGATTCCTATAACGTGTTCACCGAAATTTTCAAGTTGTCATAACATGCTTTTATTACCTACTCGAAAAGCGAGAAAGCGATTTTACTTAGTCTTGAAACCATTTTAGGATATTTAGAAACGCGTTTTGCAATTTCGAAAATTTATATGGTGTGCTGTGGGTTCCACCTCTGCTACTTAGTTAACATACAGGGTGAGTAAAAGAACGGACACCTTTGAAATTCAAATAAGCCGTGAACGTATGGCTGGAATTTGACAATTCCCATGACCGACCTAGCTATGTGTACAATCAACATGCAGGACGTGGTTAATTATACAGGGTGTATCAAAAAAAATGTCCCAAATGTAAAATTTCCGTTTTGCAGGATATTTTGCAGAATTTGGCAAATTTTTGTGTTCCTAGAGATAATTAAGACTTATCTGGTATACCTAGGCCAAGTTTGGTTTTTCATTAACAAAATTAGTTTACCGGGGGGGTGGTTCCTTTCCACTGATATTGAGAGGGCTTGCGCGCGAAAATGTTAAGCTGAAATTGAGATATTATTTAGCTGTCTAAAAGTAGGAAAGCTTTTTAATAAACTGTCAAAGTTTCAGGAAAAATAATGCAAACTGGGAGCAACGCGCGACCCCTAAAAGTGACAAATATTTCATTGCGCGCAGTGGATTAAATGCATGGTTGATTTTAGCGTGACCGATCTCATGCAAGGCTGGGCAGATGTATAAATTAAAGCGAGAAACTGAACAAGAAGACGAAGCGATTTAATAGTAAGATTCTTATTCTTGATGTTAATCCTCAACATTTCCACCATTTCTTTCTAAGCAAACTGCGGCTCGTCTGAACATGGTAAACACTGAACGGCGAACCACAATTGTCTGTCCTGCCTCAAATTATCCATTTCGTTCGAAATTCTTTCTTGGAAATCGCGTACGCTACCACCGGCAAATCTAGGCGAATGGACAGACAAATACTTCGCTGTTCAGTGTTTAGTATGCTCAGACAAGCAGCAGTTTGCTTAGAATGAAATGGTGGACATGCTGAGGATTAACATCACGAATAAATCGCTTTGTCTTTGTCTTTGTGTTCAATTTCTCGCTTTAATTTATTCATTTGTCCAGCCTTACATGAGATCGGTCACGCTAAAATCAACGATGCATTTAATCCACTGCGCGCAATGAAATATTTCTCACTTTTAGGGGTCGCGCGTTGCTCCCAGTTTGCATTATTTTTCCTGAAACTTTGACAGTTTATTAAAAAGCTTTCCTACTTTTAGACAGCTAAATAATATCTCAATTTCAGCTGAACATTTTCGCGCGCAAGCCCTCTCAATATCAGTGGAAAGGAACCACCCCCCCGGTAACATAATTTTGTTAATGAAAAACCAAAATTGGCCTAGGTATACCAGATAAGTCTTAACTATCTCTAGGAACACAAAAATTTGCCAAATTCTGCAAAATATCCTGAAAAACGGAAATTTTACATTTGGGACATTTTTTTTGATACACCCTGTAGTGCGAAAGTTTTTAAACCAATTCAACTAATTAAACGTTATTTTTTATTACAGAGCTTAGAATGCATTTTAACTCCCAAAGGGAACAAACTTTATGTTCAAGGTTAATTAATGGGTTCACTTATTTGATATGCTTCGTATACCCATGAAATATTTTTGGCAATTTCTGTCAGATTACAGCCGATTACACACACATTGCAGCTAATTTGAATTTCAAAGGTGTCAGTTTTTTTTTACTCACCCTGTATATTTAAATTATAGTTTTCATTGCATGGAATTTATATAAAACTTGTAAATAATAAGTAATATGCATATATTTTTTTCTACATTGCTAGGTATAGAAATGTACGAACAATTTGAATGTAAATGCTCTACAATAGAGAATGGTGTTTTTGGGATATTGAATGCCTTATGTGGAAGGCTTTCTATACTTCTTGCGTAAAGCGTGATTGGTTTATTTTTCCTATCCGTGAAATGTGATTCGTTGCGAAGGTTTTTAATCGGTGATTTAGCCCCTCCCCCCTTAGGCACCAAAAGGTCAACAATTATTTTAGGGTAGAAAACCCTGTACAGTCGCAGCGAACGTGTAATAACCCCGCAATCACCACATTGAGGAATGTTATATATACTAAGCCTTCTACTCCCGAAGTCGTCCCACTTTGGTCTCTGGTTATGACGTTGGTCCCTGAGCACAAGGACAATGCCAAAAAAATTAGCCTGAAAAACTCTTTAGTTTTTTAGCATATTTGGTTGGTGTTTGGAACCTTGAAAATGTCGTCGCTTTTCGCTAAATCACCACATTGAGCGATGTCATGTATACTAAGCCTTCGACTGTTGGAGTCATACCCACTCACATAATTACATATTGACAAATTACCAAAAAAATTCTCGCGCAACTTTCGGTCGCCAATGACCCACTGCGTTTCTTGGTCACTGCCAGGTACTTCTTGCAGCCTTAAACAGGGCGCTTCGGGTGTTTGTATAATAACATAAGTTGGTCTCAAAGCACGAGCTGGTGGCCCAGCCCCAGTGGTCAAGGCTACAGCCTACCAGGTTGTAAGGGTAGGTTCGAATCCTGCATGGGAATGGTTCGATTTTTCCAACCGAAATTACTATTTAATTTAAAATTCTTCGAAAAGCATTAGGTCAAATAAAGAACAACAGCTTCCGACAAATGATGCGGTGGTCTAGTGGTTAAGACGTTCGTCTCTCACTCCGGGGATAAACGTTTCAACTCCTGGCAATGCAACAAGATTAGCTGAAAATTTTCGGTGTGATTTGGAAGCTTTTAAACAGTTTAAAGATTTCTCGGTCTTTGCGAAAGACTGTAAATTGAAAAAAATTTGAAATGAAAAAACAAAAAAAAATTATCGCGTTCAAAAGTACGTGAAATTTGGAAGAAAAGCACAAGTAAAAAAAAGTTTTAAAAACATGTGTCTTCTAAAAAGCCTGAAAATGAAGAAAGTCAGACGGAAAAATAAATTGAAAATTTCCCGCTTTTAAAAAAATCATGTTTACTAACTTTACTTACCTTAATTTTTTTTCACGAAAATTTGACAGGGTGATTTTCTCGAGACTGAAAAAATTTAATTTTTTTCACTTTTTTGAAATTCTCTTAAATTTTTTTTTGACGAAGAAGTATTTTGTCTTGGGCCACCTGTGTCTGTCTTGGGCTACCTGTGTCTGGCTTGACACAGGTAGCCCAAGACAAAATACTTCTTCGTCAAAAAAAAATCTAAGAGAATTTCAAAAAAGTGAAAAAAATTAAATTTTTTCAGTCTCGAGAAAATCACCCTGTCAAATTTTCGTGAAAAAAATTAATGTAAGTAAACATGAGTTTTTTAAAAGCGGGAAATTTTTCAATTTATTTTCCGTCTGACTTTCTTCGTTTTCAGGCTTTTTAGAAGGACACATGTTTTTAAAACTTTTTTTACTTGTGCTTTTCTTACAATTTTCAGGTACTTTTGAACGCAATAATTGGTTTGAGTTTTTTTTATTTCAATTTTTTTGTCAATTTACAGTCTTTCGCAAAGACTGAGATTTGTAAATCTTCAGTAAATCACACCGAAATTTTTCATGCTAATTTTGTTACATTGCCAGGAGTTGAAACGTTTGTCTTCGGATTGAGAGACGAACGTCTTCACCACTACACCACCGGGTCATTTGTCGAAAGCTATTGTTCTCTATTTGACCTGATCCTTTTCGATGAATTTTAAATTAAATAGTAATTTCGGTGGGAAAAATCGAACCTTTCCCATGCAGGATTCGAACCTAGGCTTACAACCTGGTAGGCCGTGGCCTTAACCACTGGGTTACCGCAATGACATATATATTAAGAAGGTAGCTATCAACATACAATCCGATGGCCCAGTGGTTAAGGCTGCGGCCTACCAGGTTGTAAGGGTAGGTTCGAATCCTGCATGGGAAAGGTTCGATTTTTCCAACCGAAATTACTATTTAATTTAAAATTTTTCGAAAAGCATTAGGTCAAATAAAGAACAACAGCTTTCGACAAATGATGCGGTGGTCTAGTGGTTAAGACGTTCGTCTCTCACTCCGGGGATAAACGTTTCAATTCCTGGCAATGCAACAAGATTAGCTGAAAATTTCGGTGTGATTTGGAAGCTTTTAAACAGTTTAAAGATTTCTCGGTCTTTGCGAAAGACTGTAAATTGAAAAAAATTTGAAATGAAAAAACAAAAAAAAATTATCGCGTTCAAAAGTACGTGAAATTTGGAAGAAAAGCACAAGTAAAAAAAAGTTTTAAAAACATGTGTCTTCTAAAAAGCCTGAAAATGAAGAAAGTCAGACGGAAAAATAAATTGAAAATTTCCCGCTTTTAAAAAAATCATGTTTACTAACTTTACTTACCTTAATTTTTTTTCACGAAAATTTGACAGGGTGATTTTCTCGAGACTGAAAAAATTTAATTTTTTTCACTTTTTTGAAATTCTCTTAGATTTTTTTTTGACGAAGAAGTATTTTGTCTTGGGCTACCTGTGTCAAGCCAGACACAGGTAGCCCAAGACAGACACAGGTGGCCCAAGACAAAATACTTCTTCGTCAAAAAAAAATCTAAGAGAATTTCAAAAAAGTGAAAAAAATTAAATTTTTTCAGTCTCGAGAAAATCACCCTGTCAAATTTTCGTGAAAAAAGTTAAGCTAAGTAAACATGATTTTTTTAAAAGCGGGAAATTTTTAATTTTTTTTTTCAGTTTTTTTTCTGACTTTCTTAATTTTTAGTCTTTTTAGAAGACACATGTTTTTAAAACTTTTTTTACTTCGCTTTTTTTTTCAATTTTCAGGTACATTTGAACGCGAGAATTTTTTTCAGTTTTTTATTTCAATTTTTTTTCAATTTACCGTCTCTTGCAAAGGACGAGGAGTCTTTTAACTGTTTTAAAGCTTCCAAATCACACCGAAATAATTCAGGCTAAATTTTTTGCATTGGCAGGAGTTGAAACGTTTGTCCCCGGATTGAGAGACGAACGTCTTAACCACTAGACCATGCACCGCATCATTTATCGAAAGCTATTGTTCTTTATTTGACCTAATCCTTTTCGAAGAATTTTAAATTAAATAGTAATTTCAGTGGGAAAAATCAAACTTGCAGGAATCGAACTTACGCTTATAACCTGATAAGGCCGTAGCCTTAACCACTGGGCCACCAGCTCTTGCGTTGATACCAATCTTATATTATTATACAAAAACCCGCAGAGCCCTGTTTAAGATTGCAAGAAGTACACACGTTTCATTTTTTTTAAATTTCTAAATCTATCTAATTTTTTTTTCGATTGCGTCATGATGAAAACATTTTACGAGACCATTAGCGCTTGATATTTTAAGGCTACAATTTTTTCAACGTCATGCGTGATGAAAAAAATTCTTCCCAGGATTCGAACCACGACTTAAAAGTTGCGAGACCATTCTCGTCACCACTAGACCATTTGGTTTTGGGATAATGATTATAATGAAAAACATTCTTATCAGGACTCGAAACATCGTTGTAAAAAGTCCGAGAAGATCCCACAGCGCTGTTCCAACTGTAATTCTGTAAAAATCCCGGGTAAGTTCCCGATATATCTCGAGATTTCCCTAAAAAATCCCGGAATCCCTGTCCATCGTTCCCAGTCTTTCGTAATGATTAGTCTGGCCTCTCGTATTATATGAAAGCTTGTGCGTCAATGTTTAAGAAGCAAAATGAGACAAAAGATCAAATTATACAGCTTAAGATAACTTCAAAATAAGTACGACTTTACTAAAACTAAATTTGTAATATATTGACTATTAATATTGGCCAAATTTCCATTTCTTAAAAATCCCAAAAAACTGAATCCCGGGATTTGCATTTCAAATAAAAATCCCATAAGAGCCCCAACGGTTTCAAAAAATCCCAAGATCTTGGATAAAATTCCGAACTTGGCAACGCTGGTTGATAACAAAGACTCGTCACGTAGATTTGCTTGAACGAACTGCAACATTGCCTGTGCAGCTATCACAAGTGCATGGTTACAGAGGAAACACTCAATGTATTGGTTGGAATGATTCAACACTTTTGTTCAACTAGTTGATGGGTCTTTGAGGCACTGCAAACAGTACATCCTGCCAAACACAAGTGTCGTTTCTTCCATACCAAACTACATAAACAGGAAGGAGAAAGAAGACCATCAGTGTTCACTCCATCCAAGGTGTTGGAAGATTACAAATTCAAAATCGTTTGGCCCCATAATTGTATATGTTGCTTTTAAACTCTAATTATTTTTTCATTATCATCTTCCGACAATTCAAGCTGCTTTAGTTTTCCATTTGCTAAGCCATAGCACGTTCGAATCCCAGCAACGATTTGATTTTCCCCACCGCATTATCAGTATTTTATTTGAAAATTCTCCCAAATAAGGATAAAGTCAAATAAACAACTAAAATAATAGTCTACTGGCCGAAATTGACGAGTTTTTCAATTTTTAAAAATAAATTAAATACCAAAATTTAATGCTTAAAAACCAAAGAGATTAGTCTTAGTAAATAATAGCCATTTCCAGCATGTTAACACATTTTTAGAAAAGTTTCGAAAGCCATCAATTTTGGCCAAAATAGTAAGAGGTGCTCGAGTTCTCACAATTGAAAAGAATATCAGGCGAAAAATTTCGTTCGGTCGAAAAATCCCGCCTAGTGAAAAACCGGCTTAAGACTATCAGCATAATTAGCATCATAGCTAAAACACCTTAAACCCTAGCTGCGCGATTTTGTAATTTTTGCATTTTATCAGAAAGAAATTTCACTGCCGGCAATTTCCCCACACAACACTACAGTAGCTCGAAATAGATCAAAACTGGGGAGAATGCATGAAAATGAAAACAAAACATTTGAACATGTAGAATATAATACTTTGCTGAATTTCAAAATTTAAGAAAAATCTGTTCGGGGGACCAAAGGAAAATCGTAATGTTCGTCAGTTTTTCGACATTTCAAAATTAGGTTCAAAATACCTGCAAATGGTTCGAAAGTGAGAAAAATTACATTCCTGCATGAAAACAAAACATTTGAACACATAAAATCATACTATGATTAAATTCGAATTCAGTCAGGCAAATCAGTAACGGGCGACCAAATAAAGGAAAATAATTTATTGCTATTTAAGATAAAAAGCCTAACTGCAATATATTACTATAGCTCACATGACAACATGCGTAATGTAAAGTCTGTAAAGTGTGGGCTCGTTGACATTCTAAAGTACTTTTATTGCTAGATTTTACTGATTTACAAAATATTCTTTTCTACTAGGAAATTAGGAATCCATCAATATTCTGGCACTGAAGTTGTGCTAAAATAACTTTAACACACGCTGGGTCCGTCATCATTAGTCGTCCGACATGGCCTTGTCATATACCATTTGACGACGTGAATCAGTATAAATAAATGCCCGTATATTCTTTTAAATGCTCGGCATGCAATCAAGACAAGAAATTCTTCTATAGTTATTCGTTTCAAGGCATAAGACACCTGTTTTTTTACTACGAAGCTTCCGTTGACCCCATCACCCCATGGTCCCTATAGTCGTGAACTATGTCACTGATGTAGTGTGGGCAACGTTATAGATCCTCTACCAATGATGTCACAGTAGGCATCTGGAGGCTAAACTAACAACTATTGTGAAAAAACGTTGTTTTGTTGATTGCTTTAGTCAGTAATGTGAACATTAACCGCTCGCATAACAATTCTCTTGTCGGCAAAAAAGGCAAGTTTAGAGGGCAAGTCATATAGGGTATGGCATCAGTGCAATATGGATCTATAGTTATGAATTCTTGCAATGAAAATGGTAAATGCCTCCGTCAAAGGATTATTGATGCTTCACTACGAAATTTAAAATCGGACTAACAATGGGATGGGCCTCAACGTCAAGTTTTTAAGATTGCTCTTCTGCCGGTCGATCCGAGCCGAAGACACGGTCAGGTTGGCTGTTTGGCTGGGGCAGGAAGACTCTCAAATGACGTCATTGATTCAAATCAATCTCCTTCAGATCTGATCATTAAGCATTAAGCGTTGGTTGCATTGCGTTACAATGGATCTTTCCCCTTTTAACTTTCAAGCGCGCAATGCATGACGGTAGTTGATTGTCAAGCAACTTTGAATTGCGATATCGCTCTGCTTTGTAGCGATTTTGTTTGTAAGAAAACCTTGCCGATTCTTTTGTCGACCTTGATAACCAAATACTGTCACGCAATGCGCGCTTGAAAGCTAAAACTAAAAGGGGAAAGGTCTATTGATCACAGTGAATTGATAAAGTCTACGTCATACAAAAACGAGATCTGTATAACATGCACGTATGTCATTTGGTTGACATGTCAAAATTTAATTTGTGCTAAAATCGCATATTTCCTTTCTTTACGTCCTTCCGTATTTAGTTAAATTCTATTAGACAATTCCCCCATATTATCCTTTCAAACAGGAACTTCAGTGGCGGCGTTAAAACCACTTCAGTGTGAGGTTCCGCAAATATTGATATGAAAGATCATTGCGATACTTGTAAAAGGCGCAAAGGGGCAAAGACGTAAAAGAAAGATTTCAGATTATTTTAATAGCTACTTCAGAAATGCCGTTTCTCATTTATGCTTTTTTTTTCGAAGAGCTTTGAGCTCAAGACCTTTGCTTATAATCATTTTCTTCATGTCTATGAATTCAGATACAATCGTATAATGCTCAATTCGACGAATGATCGAGTTTTGTGCACGGCAGTGGCTTTGTAGTGGGTTGGGACACTAAATTAGGAAATACGACCCAAAGAAAAACCAAATTGAAACTAAATTAAGTACGATTCCAACAATACTAATGCCAGAATTATTCATATGCACCAGTTTCTGGCCACAACCCTAAAATTCTTTCAAATTCTCATCATAGTAACTAACATAATGGTAAACTGAGGCCCTGAATTCAATGACACTGTATTGACTGTAATAAACGTCAAGTAATCGAAATAAATAACACCGAAATATTCAAATCACGTTATGTCTTGTGACCACCTTCCACAACAGACGACGACGGTACATATTTTCATTGTACATCAGAATTACCAGAATAACATCACAAAACCATAGTTGTCGATCCTATCTACTATCATGTAATATATTTACCTAAATTTTATCATGCTTTGTATCATATTACTTTACTTCATGTTTATATATTATCAGTGTTTTTCGTACTGAAACATTGAACAGTCATTTTAAAGAAGTGATGACAAACATATAGTCGAGATCGTCGAAAGCGAACTGCAAAATGATTTCTGTCTTTGGAATTACTCCAGTTTTGTGTCTTACGAAAGTGAAAAGTTTGCTAAAAGTATTTAAAGTCCTAAGAACGATTATAAATATATCAAATTTCGACAGATTAGATATGTTTTTGTCGTTGTCTCACTTGGGTGACGGTTGAGTTCATCCACTTGTGTGGAATACAAAAGAATAATTCACCTGCCGTGTTGCTATTGCAAATATTTGATAGTCTACTTCGTATTAACCATAGTTTCCTATCGACCAAGTTATTGAGAGAGTTTAGGTATGCTGACGCAAGTTCGCCTCTTGATTTCGCTATAAAACATCTGTGGCACATTTCCGGAGTCAAAAATAAATATTCAGGACCAGAGGGGGGCAACGAGATTATACTACCTTTGCAAATTTGAATATTCATGCATTTTTGTTTGGCAGACCCCAAGTGTGATCTCGGTCAGGTTCACAATTAAAGTGCGAAGTATCTCATGAGTACTTATTACGTCTTTTAATACATGCACTTTTATTGTTAGACTAGATTGCATTGCATCGCGTTGCATTCTCGTGTCGCAACAATGTACAACGCAGGTTTCGAAGATGATTTGTATAAAGACCGCAACAAATCATTTCGAAAAGCAGTTCGCGCCCCAAAGAAAAACCAACGATATCTAGCCAATGACAGTGAGGAATATAACCTGGAAGACGCTAGCAGCAAGAATGGAGCCGTTCAGACAGAGATTGTTTCTTCACACAAGTCCCCGGAGACGTCAAAATACAACTGGAAACGGTTTCTACCATGGGCCCCAAAGACAAAAGGGTAATATATATATATTTTCCCCTACCGTATCATACCATATATACACAGAAATGCATTTCAAATTGTTAGTTGCCTATATGGCACTACTGTACAGACATTACGTAATGGCAATTTTATTATTGAAGACGAATTCCTAAATTTACATAATCATTGAATGTTTGGAATGGTAAAAGAACCAAGCGTGAAATTAATAGTTGATCAAGAAAATTTCATTTCTAAAATCAAAGCAAAAAAACTGTTTTGTTTACAGACTGTATAATTTCCAAAGATGTATAAAATACCTGTTATTCTAATTTAGGATATAGATGGCATCTCTAAATAAATGATATAATCTTTAAATCATGCTTCATCCGCCTGTCGTATATCAAACGCTACTGTTGTCTAATCTGTACAAATTATCGCGGAGTATTTCAGTCAACAATGTGCCAAGCCACGGTTATTGCGTTGTTTGATGTTAATTATGTTATCGACCGCTACATTTTTTCCAAAAGTGCGACTATCAATTGATGTATGATATGTGTATGGATGACATTGATGCTAGTGCTAAATGTAGTCTGTAAATTGATATCTACAACCACAACTTATTATTTTTACCACAGTGGCTTGGGTTCTTGTGTTTACTCTCGCAGATAATGTTCACGTCTGGTCTATATGTATTTTATGAAGGGCAATTGTAAGATCTATCCATTATCGCATGGAATAGTATTAAGTTAATGGACAAACCCCCGCCGTGAAGAAATTAAGATCATGATATTTTCCATCATTGCACCCATTTCCTTCTCATGCATATAAAGCCCGAGGACGCTTGTGTGAAAATCTTAACTTTGCTTAGTTATACGTTTCGCAGTTATTTTGTAGCTGACTATAAAGTATAAAACCTGGCCACCAACATCTTTACACCAGCTGCAAAGGCCTGCCCCTGCTTGTCTTTAATATGCGTATTTCGTGCGCACCTAGATGCACGGAATTTTCAAATCCTTTTATTTTTTTAATATTTTTATACACAAGTTGATAGATGCGTGCACTAGAACTTGATAGATAAGTTGATAGGTATACATATACAAAACACAGAAATCATTAAAATGTAATGAAGTGAGCATGGTTCCCTTCTCGTACCGTCGTAGGGCATAATAGCTGTATCGTAAAACAAGCCATATGAATGTCGCTGAACAGAGTATGGGCAGGATTTTGTTATTATTACTATAGGCACTCTTTGTCATGTTACCCGACTCACAAAATGGTCATTTTAAAAAGTAATTTTCTTGTCGTGAGCTTTACGGAGAGTTGACAAACGGGGACACAAGGCCCCCTTAGAAGTTAATTATTAAAGTAACTGAAGAGTAAAAATTACGATTGATAATGACCTTGATATATGTTCCAATATAATCAGGGAGCACTTCGCATCAAATGTGTTATAACATGTACAACTGCCTAAAAGGCAAAAAAACCTCGACATTTCGAACTCCGTCAGGAGAGGTAGTAATTCGTCGAGAAGTTTTTTTGTCGATTTTAAACAGCTGTTATTGATACATCGCAAAGTAGCTTGGAACCGTAAGTCTTCTCAGGAGCCGCTCTTGCAATTACATCCAATTTACTAGTCACCTTCGATCCAGGGACTGCTATGCCTATGGCTTCGTAGCCGGAATTTATATGTTTGCTATTTAACAGGTTACTCCATTCTGCCCCAAACCTTTCTATCCTGCAGTGACATACTTTGCGTTTGCGTATATTTATGTTAATGAGAACGACAAAAATTGTTTGTTCTGTAGTCAGTTTAGTAAACTATTTCTTTGATCAAGTTGATGATACGAGCTGAAATGACGATCAATAATTTCACCTTTTTTGTTTCTTATAAATTGTCTGGAGTGCGCGCTTTTGCACTAAAAAAGCTGCAAAAAACCCTATTTCAGTGCATGTACTAAGCAAGAGTTCGATAGGTATATACTTTAAACACCGCATGGACCGGTTGTACGAAAGCTGGGTAGCACTATCCACCGGATGGTTGTAAAATTGCCCGTTAATCGGTACAACCTTGATTTAACCTGGTATTCTTAAATTGCGGGTTCTCTTTTTGTTAGCTCCAAATCTGACATGTTTCAGTAAAACGGATGAAAAAAACACTGTCCGGTGGATAGCACATTCCAGCTGTTCGTACAACCGCCCCAACTGCGTTAATCATGCATTCAATTCACCAAAAGCTTCATTACAATGAGCTATAGTATTTTTCTTAATACACCATGTACAGTAAAATTTCGGGTGTGACAGTCACATATACTCGCCGTTTTTTCAACCCTGGCTTAACTAAGTAAATTCGTTCAATTTAACTCAATTGGAATATATTACAATGGTATAGAAATATCGTGCATGCAGCATTGAAATTAAATATTTAATATTTCGAATATTATCATTGACTTTATTATTTCATACAATTATTAGTTACCCCGCGAAGCATCCTGTAGATGACTGCGGTTTTATTCCGCTGATGCTGTTTTCTTGGGCGACACCAATTATGAAGAAAGGATTTAAGAAACCTTTGGAGATAAGTGACCTCGGTAAACTTCCTCGGAGTGATTCCGCAGCCCACAATTACAAAAGGCTTCGGAAGTTTTGGACAGAAGAAATAAACAATAAGGGTTTAAAAAATGCTTCGATCGGAAAGACAATTTTCAGAACTGGAAGAACAAGATTTTTTGCTGGTGCAATTTTGTTTTTGCTGTCATTGCTCGCTTCATTTATTGGACCGGTATGTTGAACAATATATTTCTCTAATTTAGTCGTGGCTGTTGCTCGGTGTGTTTTCGTGCAAACATTCAGTCAGTATCATTTCGGGGTGCGAATTCCAACCGCTGTGCAAGGCCAGTGTGAAACTCAGTTTCCTTGCAACTTGCAATGCAATTCTACTCCTAGGCATCCAAAGTTGACAAATACGAACATTTCTTATCGGATCTGCATGCCATATAACGTTTTATTAGCTTTTCGAGCATTCGTTTCTAATCAACATCCCTCAAAATTATAATTGTATTGCAAGTTGCAAGGAACTTGCATAGTGTAAGTGTAACAGCGCCCTAATGCTGATAAATTATTTCTTGTTCCAATATATATACCAATGAATTTCTTAAATATTTTGTATGACTTGTCGCGCGAACAAACCGCTTCCGTTCAATCTTCTTAATATAAATGGATGAGATATTAATATAGGCATACTTAAAACACATTCTTTGTGCTACTAAATCCAGTGCAATATCCCTGAATTTAACCTTCTAACCGCTAAGAGTTTCACTTAATAAGCGCTGTTATAATAAATTAAAGACAATTTGCACTCTTTATCTTATAGAGATATTAAGTACTTGTTCTACTTAAGATGTGCAAATTTAATGTTGACTTTGTTCAGGCTCGCTTTAAGTCGCTTTTCGTGGTTTTATTGCCGGATTAATATAGTTATAAGGCATGTATGGTACTCTAAAAAAATGCCTTGTTCATAGACCTTGCATGGTAACAGAAATCTTGTAAACTGGGACTCAGTCAATTAGTATAAGTCAGATGAGAAAATTTGTAATGTGCTACAGCGATGATGGCAGAAATTCGGAATTCTCTTATTTCTATAAATATTACAGTGTGGATTATGGCGAATGATCATTCATGACCTAAAATTTTGCAAGAAACGCTACCTCGGTGCCATTATTTTACAATTGCGAAGGATCAATTTGCGAGAGAAGCGGTATAGTAGGCCACCCTTGGCACCCTCAAATTATGTTTTTCAGCAGAGAAGACGTAGCATTCGTATCCCTTTATTGGTTCTAATTTCAATCGTATTGTAATTATGCAAGCAATAGATATACTTGTGCACCACTTCGTGCTAAATTATATACCAAGGTCACTAAGAGATTTCTTGAGTTGCTTACACTAAATACATGTGCGTGGCTTGTATGTCATGCATCTAGTTGAAAGGTATTTTTCAGTTGAAATGGAATGAACATGACCTTAATCTGAGTATGTATAAGCGTTCATTTAATTCTCATGCCTTTCTTTATGAGTGAAACTGATTGAAACAGCTAGTTAAATTTCACTGACTTAGCAACGACTTCACTATACGAGCAAAATTATTCATCCATCCACCATTTTTGACAGGCATTTATGATCAACAGAATTCTGAAGTTTGTGGAATCAAAGACGGATCCAATTGAGAAAGGAGTCATATTGGTTGGTGCATTATTTTAATTAGCATGAAAAAGATCGTGCCCTAATTTTTGAAAATGTTTTTAGAGGTAGATTCTGGAGGTGCTTTTGCACTAAATTTTAGTATTAAAAATACCCTCTTACGCTACTGTGGATGATGAATAGATTTTCAAATCGCATACAGGTTTTTACAGTCAATACTTTTCTCTAAATCTTGTTACAGGTCGTTGCTTTAATGATTTGTGAAACAGCTCGAAGTTGGATTCAATCTTTGAGCTTCTTAATGAATCTTAGAACTGGTACAAAAGCGCGGGCGATGGTGTGGACCATAGTCTATAACAAAGTGTCGAAGTTGAAAAACGCAGGAGACAAGTCTATTGGAGAGGTTCATGTGATATGTGCATGATTTTATTTGCTTTATCGTTCTAATTGAAAATACAATTGCAATGCAAAGCTGGTGATGCAAATTAAATGAAGAGGGTTGCATGGGTTTTGTCCTTTGTCCCCAAAAATAATCGAACATGGTCGATATGGTCGGTCCTTACAGTTAAATGTTAAACCAGCCACATACTGGCCAAATAAACGATGAATACATAAATGACACTGTTTCCAACGCACCCTGGGTCACTGACGACCGGGGAAAAGCTGTGACCGGCTTCCAAACTCAACAGTTGGAATACGGAAGACGACCTTGCTTTAGAATCCAAACTTAAACATTATCTTGGTTATTTTCCACCAACATCAAATGAAATAATAAAATAAACCAACAATGGTTCTCCTATACCGGCATATTTATTCGGATTGATTTCCGAGTGACTCTTTTTACTGACTCCTACTACATTTTACTGACACATTTTGACTGACAATTTTCTTTTATCTAGTTGGTCAACATTTGTGCTAGCGATGCCCAAAGAGTTTTTGAAGCTTTTACTTTTGGACCTTTCTTAGTTGGTGTGTATATATTGTATAATTGAATCAATTTTGTCAAAGTATTTCGTCCAGTCCCAAAATAGCTACACCTGATAATAATATAATATTAATTTTCGTTTCGTGTTTTTTACAGGTGGACCTGTTGCACTTATTATAGTTATAGCATACACAACATACATTTTAGGACCTTCAGCCTTGCTTGGGTGTTTTATATTCTTAATCTTGTTCCCAATACAGGTTTGTAGAGTGCTGTTCCATATTGCTTGTCTATTTTCCGTCAAACGATTAATGACGAATGCCCCTCCTAGAACATTCTCTATTGGCAACCTAATTTACTACCGCATGGAAAAGGTGCGAGGGACGTTTTGGAGGGTGTGGCACTCGGTCATGCATGGTGGGCATTACAGTTGTTCCCGTGGCATATTTTTAGTGTAGGGCCCCTTTCCCTCAAACGCAGGTGCTAATTCAGAATTCTCTGCGACCAGAAAGCATTAAAAACATCGATGTTGTGAAAAATTATTCATCAAGTTTTATGTTTATATGATTGTGACGCATGGGTGTGCACTAGAACAATAACCCCGACATACGAAATTTCTCAAAACGATATATGTCTTTACACGTATCCCATAATTTAATAACAGCTAAATTATATTGTTATATGCTTCAAAAATTAGGCTGCTGTTGGAAAGTATTCGGGAAAATTCAGAGCAAAAGCTGTCCGTGTAACCGACCAAAGAGTTAAACTTATGAACGAAGTGTTAAGTTGCATAAAATTGATCAAAATGTACGCCTGGGAAAAGTCATTCGCTGAAGTGATTGGAGGTAAAGTACATTGGACTGCATAGAGGTTTTCCACTAAACCAATTTCCCACGTGTGTTGAACATGATATGGATACACTTTTTGCAGAGATTCGTGGTAAAGAGAAGACTGCCCTTAGTCATTCATCTGTTCTACAAAGTTTAAATATTTCCATGACGAATATTGTATCGACATTCGCAACAGTGGTTACCTTCATTGTTCATGTATATTCTGGCAATGACCTCTTAGCCTCACAGGTTAGTTTAATAAGTACCTTGTGCCATCATTCAAAAGTCAACCTATACTAACCGACGAACTTGTACGCAGAGGCGTAACTGGAGAGTGTCAGGGTGATGTGACGAGGCGACCCCAAGCTTAAGGGGTCCCTTGCAAACAAACATAAAATATCGAGTTAACTTTAAAGAGTTAAACTACGAAAGCAGACAGACAGGCAGGCTTAGGATGAAATGATAAAAATGATGAAATGATAAAGAGACCTGTAATGTGAATATTATGTAGAAGGGCATGCATATGGTTGTCAAAAGAGGACACATTCTTGTGTAACATGTTTATGGCCTTTCTCTAATACAACCAAATAATGCTCTGTCAAGAATAAGGCTCGCAAGTATAATATCGTCTTGATAAGCTCTGCCAATGATTTCTTTCAGGCGTTCACAGTGATTGCGGTTTTTAATACCATGATTTTTGCCTTCGCAATTTTGCCATTTGCTATTAAAGCTCTTGCAGAGGCAAAGGTTTCCATGAAGAGGCTCAAGGTATGCGATATTCTTTGCTAGAAATGGTATTATTAGTGGCAATCTTTCCAGCATGCATGCAGTGCTTTGATGGGCAACTATATATTTCTGCAATAGAGTTTATTAGAAATGGAAGAATACGAGCCTTGGACAACAAAACCAGCAGATAAAAATGTTGTCGTAGAGATAAAATCAGCAACTTTTGGATGGAATGAGGTAGGATTTCAGAATACAGTATGGCCTATAAGATGGGAATTAAATTGTGATATGGTTCTAATATGCAGTTCAGAATGAGGATCAGTATAGGAATATGCGCGAGCGGTTGATATTATCTAGTTTCTATTTATTTCAATGTGCAGTACAAAATGAGATCAGCAATATAGTTCAGGCTATATAGTTCAATACTGTAGTTCTTACATCCAGCACGAAATATGTCATATTGTATTTGGTATGAAGCTCCTATACGCGGAACAGTATATTCTGAACGTATCATATTCAAAACGTATCATTTCAGGTAAAACTAAAAGAACAGAAAAAATTCACTCCTGGGGAAGAAAAACCAAGAAAAGGAAGTGTTGGTAAGCATAAAGAGGGTACAATGTAATATATATATAATTGCTTTCGCTGTAGCGATTTCACGAATAATATGTAATTTAAAATTTAGCTGCTAAAGGTAAACGTGACTCAACTGCAGGAAGGGGTGGCCCTCCAGGAAGACGTGGGCCCGCACCTGAAGAATTTAAAACACAATTGGTGAAAACTTTGTTTGACGTTAATGTTACTTTCCACAAGGTAGAAATTCTTACTTTTTATTTTTAGCAATATCTATTCTTCGTCAATCTCATACCCAAAGCCATAAATAGTCAGAAATTCATTCTTGATAGGAATGCCCAAGTAACCTTATCATATAAATTTCCCAATGTAGGGAAAACTAATTGGAATATGTGGAGGTGTTGGAAGTGGAAAAAGCTCTATGATCAATGCAATTCTTGCCCAGGTAAATAGCTTTGACGGTGCTGTCACATGGCTCAGTTTAGGCGTTTTAGCGTTAAGGAACGTATAGAAGGTCTAGAAGTGGTGTAAAAGCCATGGTTAATTTGACTTGCTTTCCTATTCTAGATGAATCTCGTTGACGGTAGTGTTGCGGTCGACGGCTCTATAGCTTATGTTGCTCAACAGGTAAAAAATGACTGACAGTGAAATGTAACTGTAATTATAATTATTTCGATTTGTGTGCGCTCTATCTATGTTTCATTCATTGCTATGTTTCATATCAGTCTATGCTTAATTGGGGGGTGCATATTCATATATTTTTATGTTCGTACAACTGTAGAAACAATAGCTAACAAAAAAAATCATTCGGAAATAAGACGAATATATGAATATGCAGCCCCCCCTCAGAATTAGGCTTCTTGCGATGGCCCTGAGTCCGCCCCGACAGTCGTCTAATTTCTATTTACTTCATCATCAAGGCATGGTTAATGAATGCTACTGTCAAAGAGAATATCGTATTTGGTGTGGCATTCAAACCCTTACGGTAGGTTTACATTTGTTTGCTATAGTGATTCCAAACGTTTTATTTCTGCCTAATAAATATGGTATGTGCGCGAGTTTTAACACCATTATAGAGTACATGATAATGAGGTTCTTTGAGTTATCGATATAGATGGTCTGCACCTCATATTCTTGGCAATAAGATGCTACCAGTTCAACTAAGTGAAATCCCAAGGCACATAAACTGATATTTTTATCTTACATGTAGATATCAAAAGGTGATTGAAGCTTGCAGTTTAAAACAAGATCTTGATATATTTGCACATGGCGACCAAACAGAGGTCAGTTTTGCTCTTATTCGTTAGAAATAGACATGCTCGTAATGAATTGAATGAATAGGGCGAAGCCAGGATGTTGCATCATATCGAATAGCGTTACCAATTAAAACTGATGAATGCAGCATTTGCATTAGAACTCGACCAAATTTATGGTTATGATTGTATACAAATTTAATGTAGAAATATACCTTGTCTTCAGACAAAAGAACTACCAGGATCTCCTTTCACAGCGCCGAGCCGATGCCAAGATGCGCACACATGCATCAAAGTAGAACAAGCAACCTCACATGAACAATGAACACCCCAAATTCACAGTATACTGTACAACAAGTGATATTCCATGTTCTTCATTTTCTCTATTAAGATTGGTGAACGAGGAATCAACCTAAGTGGGGGACAAAAACAGAGAATCAGTTTGGCCAGAGCGGTGTACGCGGACAAGGTGGTAACACTACAAAGTTGCAACGTTCGTTCAAAAACTGTTGAATAAAACTATTGCGTTTTTTCAGGATATTTACCTACTCGACGATCCACTGAGTGCCGTGGACAGCCATGTTGGGCAACATATTTTTAACAATTGTATTAAAGGCGCACTAGCTGACAAAACAATTATCTTTGTAACTCATCAACTACAGGTATGATTTAATGTCAGTTAAATTTTTCAACATTGAAATGCTTCAGGATATTTAAAGGGGATTCGCGAATATATATTCGTGGTCGCACCGACTGTCATTGTTTAACTAAAAAGCCTGCCTCTGTCGACTTTTGATTTTTACACAGTATCTCAGTCATTGTGATAAAGTCATCCTCCTGAAAGACGGTCGAATTACTGAGATGGGTCCATACGAGAAGCTTTTGCAAGATGGAAAGGTATGGAAGCCTTCAGTTCTCCTCTAATGAGCAAGAAGGATACATTAATAACTTTACCCTATTAGAAAATTAGTGCTATGTAAATTAATAAGTACGGGAATCAGCTCAGTAACTATTCACAAATGATAAGTAAGTTAGAAAAGAAATGGATTGCCAATGGTGAAATAATTGATTGAGAAATAGTGATTTTTCGTGCATTAGGCTGAATCTTTTTCTAAGGAGCTGGCTATTGCAAATTTCCCGACGCATCAACAATGCTGTCTAATCTGAGGGGTAGGGAAGGGTGCTGCCCCCCTCTCGCACGCCAATTTTGTCAACCCGCAACTCCACATAGTAGCATCTTCATATTAATCTTCGTCTCCGTACTCAACCATATTAATAGATAAATAGCAGATGTCTCACTTTTCCGTCAGGAATTTTCGGGGTTAGTTCAGAGTTATAATCAAACGTTGGAGGCAGAAGAGAACGAGGATTATGTCGATGATGACGAAGATACAAGCAAAATTCTTGAACAAATTGTAAGAAAGAGAACTTTGTCTGCTCAAAGCATTGGCGATTGTCAGCCAAGTATAGCAGAAGAAATGGAAGAAATAAATGAAGAACCTAAAATGAATGGAGTGGAGAAAAGTAAAGGTGGGGATGATGTCATTTTGTTGAATAATAAGTTGTATATTATGTTATTATGTTTTATAGACACATTGTTATAGACATATTTCGTTGTTTTAGATTCCCTGATGAAGGCAGAGGATCGAAAAACGGGAACTGTGTCCTTTTCTACATACGTTCGCTACTGTAAAGCAGCTGGAGGTCAGTTGTACATTCCCCTTAATGTCATTTTAGATTTAAAATCTGCTCTTCCGCCTCAATCCTTCCAAAATAACAATCGACTTTCAGAAAAATAATACTGAAAAACAACTACCCCAAGGTCAGACGACTGAGAAGTATATGTCCCATACTATTTCATCACCACTACCTTTTTATCGCCGTTTTAATAAATAGCATCACATGTAATGTTGATGAACAGTCTAATTAAGGTAATAATATGTTATTTAGGGCAGCTTTTTTTCAGTCAAAATATCTATTTAAACATTAAACCTATGAACAGAAAATGAGACTTAAAAAACCTAATCGTATTTTATATAAGAGGGTGCTATCAGCTAATAGTTCGTAACTTACGACGGCTGAAAGGAGCAATAATTCTTCAGTTAAGTAGTTAAACCCATTGACACCCTCTTGTAAGTGAGAAGACTAAAATAGTTTTAATCTTTTTGTTGTTCTAGGTGCTTTCGCGGTCTCTGGCGTATTGTTGATGTTGTTTGTCATAACACTGTTGAAAGTCTTTACGGACTTTTGGCTTGGACGTTGGATCAATGATGGAAATGGCAACAGTGTAAGATTTTAGAATTTTTGATCACTGCTCCAAATTTCTAATTTATATATTAGGTAGCACATGTGAATTTTTGTTCTCTTTTAAAGAACCATGAAGTTGCGACCTCGTATATTTTTCTGTTCAGTTTCCATTCCTCCCACTCCCCTATTCCAGCCCAAAGAAGGTAAACATGAACGCAGTAATGATGTCCTCCTCATTTTAACACTTTGTGTATTCTTAGACGGAAAGTGATGAAAATCCTGGAGAGCTAAACGACAACCCCGATCTCAATTTCTATGCAGCTATTTATGGTTCGTCATTGGCAGTTACTGTAGTCCTTCTCGTTTTAAAATGTTTCGCATATGTTAACACCGTCTTACGCGCCTCATCAAATCTTCACAACCAAGTTTTTCGAGCTGTTACAAAAAGTCCAATGGAATTTTTCGACACGACCCCTATTGGACAGATCTTAAACAGATTTTCCAAGGACATTGACGAGATCGACACCAGATTACCTTTCTTAGTGGAAGCTCTAATTCTGAACTTGTCTTTTCTAATAGTCACCATAATCTTGCTCGTTGTTCTATTCTACTGGTTCCTAATAGCCCTGGTTTTCTTCATTGCCCTATTCATCTTCCTAAACATAGTTTTTCGCCGTTCGGTTCGCGAATTAAAACGCCTGGATAACATATCAAGGTCTCCAATCTTCTCCCACATTTCCGCCTCCGTGCAGGGACTTTCCACCCTACACGCCTACGGGAAAACCGATGAATTTTTGGAAATGTTTGAGAAATTACTGGATAAAAACACTTTGCCATTTTTTATATTCATGTGCTCTCACCGATGGTTGGCTGTCCGACTTGATGTGATCACAATTGGTATTACAACGGTTACATCACTACTTGTCGTTCTACTACGAGACAGTATTCCGGCTGCAATGGGTGGACTAGCTATTACCTATGCTATACGAGTAAGTTCTTACTTTCTATATTGCATGCTGGACTTAAATCTTTTTATTTCATATTTTGGCGATTAACTCAGACGACGAAAATCCTATACTTCGCGGCCACGACGTGATTGCGACGTGATTATAGTGAAGAAAAAGCGCATCTATTTCCCGAGGGTCGATTTCTCGAGTCATGGAGCTTCGCTCAGAAATTAAATAATAGAACAGACAAAGCCGAGTGGCCCGAGTCATCCTGCATGGGGACCAGGGCAAACCCTACAAAAAAGGGGCACGGGGCTGCCCATGCAGATTGCACCCTTGCACGAAAGAGGTGCAAACTTGGAAGGCGTACAAGACTTTCATGGTCCTGTTTTCTCGAATTACAAAAACCTTCAAAAGCGCTTTAGGCCCAGATTATATACTAGGTTATACGTCGCATTTTGGTTTCGTCCAATGCAATTCGAACAATAGATAATGAATCGTATAATGTTTGAATTGCATTCGACGCAACCAAAATGCGACGTAGTTCCTTAGTTATATGTTGAAGATCTATCCAGTTAAATCGTTAGTTATTTCTCTTCTATTCAGATGTCGGGACTCTTGCAGTTCACAGTTCGTCTTTCAGCCGAGACCGAGGCAATATTTACAAGTGTTGAACGTCTTGTACATTATATTGATAATCTCAAGCAAGAAGCTCCCAGTTCAGTTCCTGACAAGAAACCCGCAGATGACTGGCCTGACAAAGGAGGTTTATCTATACTGGGTTTAAAGGCTAGTCTCCTTATAATATATATTTACTATTCGTTTAATTTTACCTTAGTCTTAGAACAGAACAGTCTCCTGGTTTATAAAGCTTTAAACGTGCACATTTCTTGCTTGTTTTCGATCCATATGGCGAACATTGTACTTGCATTATTAGCGTATTTTTTTGTTTTAAAGTCATTAGTTCAACCCGATATTGTTTAGGGAACAAAGGCACGACACGCTTCGGATCGATACGGTTTTGCATACTTTTTGGCTATTGTTTTGAGACTCGAGGGTGGGTGGATAAGGCCTGTTTCAGATGTCGAACTCGAACTTTTAATGTGCCACAATGCAAAATTTTAGCTCATTAACATTAATAAGGTTAAGCACATGAAAAGTTCGTATTTTATGATTGTAATGCCTCCCATAGATTTCTCGCTAATTCTCATGGTATTTAAGTTGAATAAGAGATGCGTATTATTCTTTTTGTGGACCAAAGATGGCATAGAGAGGGACAACAATGATGGGATGTCTCAAAAAATTGAGACGAGTTTATGTGTCGAACGAAAAGTTGGAAACGTTTTGTGAGTCAAATTCCTTCTACTTTCTTTCCATTTTCCTTCGCAGGAGTAGCCCTTGGTCTCGCAGATTTTCATTTAATTGAATACGAACTTGACTCACAAAACGTTTTCAACTTTTCGTTCGATACAAATAACCTCATCTCAATTTCTCCCAATTTTTCGAGACATCCCATCATTGTAGGCCCTCTCTTTGCCATCTTTGGTCCACAAAAAGAATAATACGCATTTCTTATTTAACTTAAACACCACGAGAATTAACGAGAATTCTAAATCTGTACTATTTTCTTTATTCTTGTCATTTTGTCTTTTATTTTCACAGATGCGATACAGAGAAAATTTACCGTTAGTCCTAAAAGGCATCACGTGTAATATCAAACCTAAAGAAAAAATAGGCATTGTAGGCAGAACTGGTTCGGGTAAATCTTCTATTGGAGTATCTCTTTTCCGACTTGTAGAACCTTCAGGTGGAAAAATAACTATTGATGGAGTGAACATTCTAAATATTGGTAAGAATAATAGGATGACTTCTAATTCCAGTTGTTTGAGATATAGATATTTAGATTTGAATAGCCAGTTTCTTGAATTGTTGAAAATTACCAGGCTGGACAGGCCAGATCGAACTCTTTTTTAGAATTATCCATCCGATCGCATTCTCTGAACCAAAGCATGTTGTGTTTGTCTTTGAATTTGAAATATAATGTCATTAGAAAGTAGAAACCAATCAAAACATTATATGCAGTCATACAACTCTTGTCTATTATATAGGACTTGACGATCTTCGAACAAAATTATCGATAATTCCACAAGACCCAATTTTGTTCATTGGAACCGTCAGGTAATGAGAGCTAATTAGAATGAATTAGTAATTATATATAATGACGTGTTTGTACTTTTAACTTTTAACGTCTCTAATTTCATCATCTCTCATTTCATCCCATTTATCTAGATATAACTTGGATCCTTTTCACACACATACAGACGAAGAAGTATGGATTGCTTTGGAACGAGCACATCTAAAAGATACTATCAGTAATTTACCGTTGAAATTGCAAGGACCTGTTGTTGAAAATGGAGAAAATTTCTCTGTTGGCGAAAGACAACTGATGTGCATGGCCAGAGCTTTGTTGAGAAATTGTAAGGTAGGTTACGAGCTCAAAAAAACCTAGTTTTTTGTAGTTGAGTACAATTATATGCGTCCATTTACAGGAACTCTAACTAGTTCTACGAAATCTTTTAGATGTTATAGTTAACTTTCTTATTACCAGGAGGAAACTAGATGCAATAATTTGGGTATACATACTTGTCTAATCAGTATATTCCGACGTTCTTCCTGACGGATTTCTTTGTACGGAGAATGTGCTTTTAAAATACGTGTGCCAGGCAAAACTAAATAGATGAATATGCATCCCCTCCCCTTATCGCACTAGCTAGTAGCTACGCCCCTTATTTTCTAACATTTTTGCCAGTATAAGAATTGGAACAATTTGGAACTTTTTGCATGCATATAAATATTTTTCGATGTTTCATTTTGAGATGTGGTTTGATAAAGTTACCTTGAGTATTTGTGCATGCTATGCTCAATGCTAACAAGGAAACACGAAGTCGTGCTAACTCTATCCATTTAGCTTGTTGTGACAATAGCTACATATGCATTTCTATAAGACGGCGACAGCTGTAAATATTTGTCCATAAAGAAGTAATAACGATAAGATGATATGTGTTCGTGCATGCTATTTCCCTAAAATTTTCCCACAATATTTATATATAGATCCTTATGCTTGATGAAGCTACTGCTGCAATCGATGCAGAAACTGGTAGGTAATATATAATTCATGAAACTACTCAAATAACATTGCTAATAGAAGATTGCACTGTTCTAACAAGTGCTGGAATTAGTTAACTATTTCCTTATGCATACAAATACATATAATTTTAGATGCAAAAATCCAGGATACGATACGTGAAGCATTTAAAGATTGCACAATGTTAACGATAGCTCATCGTCTCAATACTGTGATGGATTCTGACAAGATTATGGTCATGGAACAAGGACAAGTAAGCACTGCACCGCGAGGGTCTCCAGATAGGCATATTACTTAGTTCTAATATATGCCTTTAGGCTGTTTTCCTTTGCATTTGTTTTGCCAGCGCAAGCAAAGCTGCCTTTGAAAATCTGCGCATGCGGGCGTCACGGGCTTTAAAAACAAAGCGCGCATTGCCCGCGCAGGCCAGCATGTATTGGATATTTTTTCTTGAAGTTGTCATCATCACCCCCACGACATCATGCACCCTAGTCGCCTCGCCCCAGGTAGTGACCATGAGGTTCTCGCAAAAATAGAGGGCTGCAGCGAAAATAGAGGGTTAACTGTATAGTAACACAGTTTCAAAATGTTTTTACCATATGTTTATTTTAGATTGTCGAATTCGACAAACCATCTGCACTTCTGGCAAACAAAAGCTCACTGTTTAGTTCTCTTGTTGCCGCAACAGAAAAGCTGCATCAGAGCAAGGACAGCTAGATATTGTCATATAAGGATTAAGGAAGTATACGATCGTATTTGTATACTATTATTGAACAATTTTGATCATATATCAATATAGCAACATATAAATCTATGTACTGGAAAAATATTTATTGTAAACAACTGCGAATTCAATGTCATACGTAATCACGTGCAGTGTTAAGCCTGGATCCTATTCATTGTCGTATGCTATAATTTATCGCAGGAATTTAAGGCAGAGTAGGTTGAAAATGAAAGGAAATGCTTTTATTGTTTCTCAACGATTTCGTCTCTTAAAAACCAGAAAAAGTTACAATTATTAACTTTTTTATATGCGACAGGCCCAAACTCAAAGCTTCACTCACTTCCAAATTATACATTCAAGACACTCGCTATATATACTTGTATTTTTTTGGATGTAATTTTATCGATTGCCCATATTTGTATTAAGTGCATGCTCGACTACGATATGTCTCTGACACTAACCAAAGTCAGGTTTATATATAGGAGATTTAGTTTGCGTTTCTTGATAAATATTTTCTGAAGGATTAAATTAGAAACGTTAGATAGATCAAGACATCTGAAACGATTATCTATTGATAAATGGTAGTTTCTTATTTTATAACAATTGAATGCTGTATGCGTGTGTTTTCACTTGAATGTAGACGTTTCAGGTTTTTTGTAATGACGTAATAATTAAGTAACATAATAATTCAATATATTAATTAAGTAACTCTATTTAATATACCTCTTTTAGAGTGTGATAAACTTGTCTTTGTATTTTCGTTCACTATACTTGTTACAAGTTTCTTTTTGAACGCATCCCAGTCAGTCTTTTCTTGAAGCGTTTGTTGATGTTTCTCTGTGGGTAGATAAGGTTGCACCTATATAACAGAAAAATAAGGATACAGAAATAAATTTAATAAGATTATGAATTAGTTGAAAAGAATTTCACAGACATTCGACATGTAAAATTGTTGGTTTTGTTGCGACATAGAACGAGCTGCATAGGAAGAATTAGCCGGGCAAATCATTAGAATCATTACCATGGCAAAGCGCCGGATGTGCTTTCAAGAAAGTGTAATAAAAGTGATCAAAAAGAATACACATGCATATGTGATATACAATACAAAATTTGGTTTCAAAAATTTTGGCTATATAGCCTATGTGACTCTGTCAGTTCGCTAAACGTTGCCCGAATTTCTTGATTCTCGAAATTTTTTGGGTACGCCTATGGCCCTAAGCATTGCTTTAGGTACCTACGTTAAGGCGGATCCAACGCTTTGTGAGCGCATTGGCATGTTCTATGAAGAATTTCTTAGAGATCATAATACACTCCGCTCCTCGGCTCACCTGTGTATGAGGAAATAAATAATCTGTTATCATTCTATATCCGCACTTTCATTATTATATAAACTGTATACCTTTAAAAGAATAGCTTGACTTACCAAACTGACGTTTGCCGGTCGCCCAGGATCCAAAGCGTTGTATTTAAAATCGAGTTCAGACAAACCCTTCCAATATAAATAGGAAAAAAAGTATAGTTAAAAAACTTTAAGATATTCATAACAGATTATAGCAACCTATATAATGTAATAGCGGCAAGAATGATATATAGAGCCTACAACGCGTACAATCCTTTGGACAGTTTGGTTTGTTCATGTTTACAAGTCTAACCTATGGCTAAGTATGACTATGACAAGTATTATTTAATATTCATTAGCTATATACTATAGTCACTATAGTATATATATATATATATCCAGATTTTTTGTTTTGGCCATAGCTTTTGGCGACGACGTAGCTACTTTGTCTAAATACTCGGCCTATACTGGGAATTTTAAACAAATTTCGACCTGTCTTTCTGAAGTTCATTTCGCTATATAGACATTTCTGAAGTGACCCGACAGAAGCGAATACTTTCAGTTCAGATCTTCCGCAATCTTTTTTACCTAATTTTCATAAGAATTCTTACTTCCATATATTTTTCATGCGCGTGAGCAGTATAATTAAAAGTTGTTTATACTTACAAATACTCTTTTTGGATGCAATAAGTCGATTTGAACGAAAGCCGGCTTCGTTTTCGAAAGTCTTGAAAATTTTTCACTAAATATCTAGCAATGGTAAGGACGTGTGCGGTATAAGTACTCAAAATATTGCGAATTTTTTGAGATAAAGTAAAGTAAAAATATATATCACTCACTGATGTTGATGGCAAAGAAAAGGATCTGGTTCTTCCTAGTGAAATGCTTGATACATCATTTGCCTGATTGAAATCCGGCACTATTTTACAACATTGAAAAGAAAAAAGCAAACATGAGTTGATCTGAACGCGTGGTGTCCAATATACAAATAAGATGTTGTTCCGTTGTTGACTTGCATTTTGCTCGATGTCGAAATCCAGTCTTAAAACTTACTTGTTTTTGACTTCCTTCGTGTCATCACAACGCTGTTCGACTGGCTGATTCTTGGAAGTTGACAAGAAACACGTCTGTTTGAAAGACTACTAATGGTGGTATTGCTGCTCTTACTAGAGTTTGTTGTTTTTACGTCGTTGTTCACGAAGTCTGGAAAGACGTCATCTTCTGCTATTGGGGCTACCTCTGATCGTGCGGACTTTCGTTGGGATATTGTTTGACTGTTCACCAGACCTAACCCAGGAACTATTCAAGAAAAGATTATAAAATGATGGGTCATCGAAGTATAATATACTCGAGCAAAAAAAAAACGAAGTGCAATTTCCACTTTATTATATTCATTTTGAAATGATACAAAAAATTATAAACAAATTCAAAAGGGTATTCAAAACTTATTGGCTGAAAGAACCGTAAGCGGTGTAAAATGTAAGTAATTTTCATCTTCGTCAAGAAATTTTGCGGGGCAATAAAATTTTGTGCCATTTTCCCTGTAATTTGATTGGATAGTTACACTCAAATAATAAATCTGATTGGTTATTGTGGTGCAGAGCTTCAATGTTATTGACTTATATATAAATGATGCGATTTATGCTCAAAAATAGTGCGATTTCGGAGTTAATCGCACTATTTTTAAACAATCAGATTGCAAGAAACACCATTGATTTCAAAATGAATTAAATGGTATAATTTTGCGACATGCCATGTCCTTCAAGATGATATTATGCAACTACCGGTATATGAGAGATTGTATTTGAATGAATTTTCAGTTCATTTTCATGATAATAATTAATACCTACTGACGTACCAAAGCAAAGAGTTTTCCTCCTGAAGCTTGGTATGGGTGAACTTTTTTCTTTTCCATTAACGTTTGGTAAATTTGTAAAATGTTTTTCTCCATCTTGAATTCTCCTATTTCGTATTTCTTGCCGTCGCTCCATCGTGGTTTTTGTAAGTGCTTCCAAACTTGATAATTCCCGCACATTCCTTCCAATTGCTTTCCTTGGTTTTACAGCATTTAATCTAATAAGAACTTCGCATACTCCCTAAAGATTTCAGAAAACGGAACTGCAGAAATTTTTCGCATATAACACCATCATGCATTTGCCCGGGATGTGCATGGATTTCTTTCAGGTATGGAGTAGCACTCCCTCTGAGCTTCATTTCACACGAATGAAATATAGGCGATTTTAAAAACAAAAAAGGTTGTTCGGTATAGATCGATGCACACTATTTGCATCCTATTTTCGAGTAGTCAATTTGATAAAAAGATCAAATCTTACTGGTCAATTAATCATTATGATTTAACCACATATAAATTAAATAATCGAAAACCAGGACTTCATCACAGGCACTCAGAACTTGATATTGCAGTGTGTGCACTAGTTTCGACATACACAATGTGTGCATGTATTCATACTGCGGGCTTATAAGGCGTTGGACAGCTACGTTACAACGTTGAAGTGTCATGACCACGTATATACTGTCTCCAATGCTAGCAATGCATGCAAGAATTATCACTCAAGTGAACTTACAGCATCATCATTAATATTGTGAGATATTTATAGAGGCGTACACGTACCGATTTTACAACATACAGCCATGGAGAACTATTACTATTGCGAACAATAACCGTTCCTCTCCTATATATGAAAGAAAAAGGTTGATCGTCGGAAAATATAGCTATACTATGAAAGCAACTACGATCCGAGAATGCATGTAAATTTAAAAAATTGCTATCTTTTCTTTGCCTTTGGGCAACAAAAGTGTTCTGCATGTATATGTACCGTATTTAAGACCTGACCTGAAATAGCAATGTTGAGAATGTTCTGGATACGATTCCAGGATATCAACTGGCCAGTCACGAAGAAAGTCAACTGTCCTGTCCAATAATAAATATAGAATTAGTAACAGACCACGAGGCGTAACGTAAGGTGGTCAACATCTATAATTATAGTTAGTTACCTTAGAAAAGATATGTATTCTTTTTTCCCACTGTCAGAATCTGCCCCCAAAAAGATTTTAGCATAATCCTGTTCAAAAAATGATCCCATCATCAATTTGAAACGTTTCATGAAAATAAATTGATTTCCACAGGAAATTCAAATGCATGCAAGCATATTAATCCTGGTTCTATGTATATATATACCTCTTTACTGACAACGAGCAGTTCAATGTACGTCTTGGAAGTAACGGTAACTTTTCTCAGAGAATTAGTCATGATGGCTGCCTCCTGTGCAAAGTTCCAGTGGGGTAAAAAATATTTGCCACTAGAAACTATGGTGAGGTTTGGCTAAGCATGCACATGCACGAGCGCGCACGAACATCGTTTCCAAAATCGTTTTGGCTTGGACGTTTGCCGCCCTGTTTACACAATCCGAAGGATAAAATACTAAATATATCAAATTAATTCCAACTTCTATCTCCTGCGTTTGTGACCGTTTTTGTGTGGAGACGCGCTTGAAAACGTTACGGCGTGCACGGTGCACATAGCCTTAATACTTCAGGGAAATTATGATTAACAATCAAACTTTTTTGAGTTGTATTACAAAAGAATGATTATCTTTCGTTCTGCAAGCTAAACTGCGTAGCTCATACATTTTCGTAGAGTCAATCCAATATGCATATCAGTAATACACAACAACCAGCACATCTAACTGACAGAGAAATTGATAATTTAGTCTTACACCAAATGCCATCCCTCTCTTGACCACAGAAACCGACTCGTTACTGTTTTCTGCGTCATTTTCATCATCTTTCGATATCGCAGTAGCTGAAGAAAATATACAGAAAAATCCTGTTTCCTAACTTTGATTGTTTATCGATCTATCCACGCGTCTAATGTGAGTTAATTTCCACTGACAGCAACAATGAAATTGGTAATAATTATATTAATAGGACTAGCTTATTACGACGTTAACGTGCATTAATCCTACCAGCATGAAAGCGAATATAGTTTTAATTTTACCTGATCCAAATAACACAAAATAAAAGTTGTCTGCTCGGTGGCCTTGCTGAAGAATCGTTACGTTTGGCGGAAAACTAAGGGAAAAGTAAAATGTTTTTGAACTGTATGATAAATGCTGAATGAAAGTGATCTCGTTTCGTTCTAGGGCTGCTGTTCCCAAGCATTTTAATAGACTTCGCAAGGAAAGCACTAAGCGCGCGGGGTGCGACCTCCGCACATAAGGGTACGGGCCCAAAAAGTTTAGGTATGGAGAGTGGCAGGCGAAAAGTTAACCGACTCACGGACGAAAAATTAACCGATTCATCACTAATTTTGGTAAGAATTGCCTGAATGTTGGTAGAATTTGATAAAAACTTGCCCAAATTTTGTAGATTGAAATGTTTTCGGAAAGGGCAGCTGGCACTCCTGTTTCCCCGTACCTATATATGCTTCCGAAACCCTAGCTCTCATGCAAACAGGGTTGCTTGTTCGGTGCGCCAATCTTGTCTGAAGCAGTTTAAGCCAGTGAGCAGGTACATTGTACTGACTGCCTCTAAATCGTCGAAAGGTTTCATAAATTAGTTAATTCTTGGCATATCACCTTTGAAATGAGGCTTCGTGACAGATTGCCTTCTGGTGGTACAAGGGATATTCCGCAAATGAAGGAAGCGTTTGCAGAGATCGAAACACCTAAAATAAGACGTTTTTAACACGGAATGAAAGAAAAATAGTGTAATTATTTTGACTATACAATCAACGATGCAGGAAATACAAACAGCGCCCGTGTATAGCATCGCCCGTGTATAGCGATCAGTTTGTACGTATACATTTCGGTATATTGCTTTCTGTTAATATTAGAGTTTGTGTCTGTCTTAGGGTACTTGTCTTTAATCGTCTACTGCCTGGTTATATTTGTGACTTGTAGCAGCAATTTTAAAGGGGAGAGTGGAGGAGAGGAGGCAGCGACCACACTTTACTTTCCAATAAGCAATTGCAACGTACGACAGAATGACTGTTTGAATTTACCGTTTGAATTTGTTCTGGCGTTCTTGTATGTGGTTGTTGACTTAAAATTGCTTTGGTTTCACTGCTGAGACGGATCTGTAGGCGAAAAATGACAAGATCAGCAATCAGTATAGCGAAGCTAGCATGCAAGCACGACTTTTTCATGGTCATGCAAATTGCATATATTTCAGCACTCGTTGACTGTGAAAACAATCAAGGAGAGCTGGTAACACTTGGTGGGCATTGTTTTTTAATTTCCATCGCAGGAAAATACGAAAAGGGAAAACAAAATGTGAAAAATTTACATCTGATTGACGAAGTTAGTTAGCCAAGTACCTCGCGGTTTGCTTTAAACCAAGCCGGATCAAATAAGGGTGTTGGAGAGTTTGCATCCTTTCTAGCAGATCTTCCTTCATCTGGAACATGATTTCCAGTGATGTCCGGTACGTCCATGAGATATCGCACTGCATCGTGGCGACCATGCGAACTGGTGGTGTTCGATGAGCAACTATAAACGCATTTTTATACCCTTTGAAGCAGTCAAGTTTCTTGAAACAATTTATAGTAAAAATTACGGTAAAATCACCCTAAATTTCACCTAAATCTTTATACCTTAAGAAAGCATTTATCACTTTTAAGGATGATAAAATCTTCTTGATCGCTTTTCTAAATGTTGCTCTGGCCTAAACAAACACGAACATGGATGAAAATCAAACAGTCTAGGGATTAGGTTGTAATTTTCGCGGTATTGAACGTGTACATTTAGTTAATCACAGTTAATGCATGTACAATTATCATAACTATACTAAATGGATCGTTATGACACTAACAGTTAATCAGTTAATTCGTTTATGTAGCATATTTTTTATACTGCAAGTTTTACACTGCCATGGCTACAGTCGCTACATGTCAAATATACACATATAATTTTGCAAAGGAAACCGCAGCGTAAACGAAATTGTATTGATGAAATGATGAGTAAATTAGCGACTGAATGAAATTAAAAATGTCTTTTGTATGCCACTATTTGTAAGCCTTGTGACATGTGATATACGTTAACATATTCAACCTGAAATTTCTTCTGGGAAAGTGTTTTCCTAGCCAGCAATCGTTCCTGCCACAACTTGGCAAAATGTGTGACTTGTGTTTGATCTCTAGACGGAATGCGTTGGTTTTTGTTCATACCGAATGTGAACGTTTGCTGTCTTTGAACATCTGGCGACAATCCAGATGCTCTTCTCGTTATTCCGTGGGAGACGGATGCGTCCATATTGTTGACGACAATAATTGATTAAACTCGACTATAAAATATGACTGGTCTGTTTCTTTTCAGACATTGAAACTCGACATTATTCCAACATACAATTTGATTTGAATTAGATCGAATTTCTATGGATGGAGGCTCAAAATACGGTTTCATATTACCCATATAGTAATACATAACAGAGTGTTGTGGCCTCTGTGAGGAGGTATTTACCAGAGAAAAATGCAACTGTGGAAAATAAAAGACCCCTCACCCCTAGCTTTCAGAGGGATCTCAACTTTTTCCAATGGGTATATATAGTTAAGCTCTTATCACTCCAGTATTCCATTCACGATGAAACACCCTCTTATGAGTGATTTAAAAGAGACATTCTATGATTCTACCGATTACCAATAACTAAGGTAATTGACAAGTAAATATTTCACAATAACACAAGTGCAACAACAAAATTATTGCTAGGTGTGTACAAATATATGCAAACGCCTGCAGCTAACAAACCGGAGGTAACGAAACGGACGCGAGATTTAATTTATAAGGAATGAAGCCTGAAGTAAGGTTCCTGTTTTTAGGCTGTTAAATTTCGAGGATACATTGATATGTGGTATGTTGTCTATATCCATTTATAGCGCATTGAGTGGCAATGACGAATTTACTCCTTCACAAGTTTTCACTCTGAACGATTGACAGGTTAACAACTTTAGGGTTCAGAGAGGCAACAAAGCACGAGAACTAACCGATAATCTCATTATGGATTGAGTGTGGCGAATAACCTCTGAGAAATTTATGATGAAGTGCTTGATTGCAAGAATTTGAACTAATGAACTTGTTTTTCTTGAAACGATTAGTTACCACATGGACGATATGGAGCACCCAGCACTAGATATTTACTCAATTACTCGAAACTATGGATCCCGACAACTTGAACAAGGTTCCCTTCGCCCTTATAACTTTAAAGAATAGAGAAATAAGCAAGAGATCTCTATTTAGAGATCTTCATAAATCATAAAGTCTGACCATCTGACCATGCAGGCAGAGCATCCGTCAGGACGAATTACATGCATCCCGGACAGTTCGTCAACAAAAAGAATCTATGTAAAATAGTTTGCCCATACGACGTCCCAAGGTGTTCCCCATACCAAAAAAACGATAGCATGGAGTCTATCTATATTCTGACCATGTACAGTTCCGACAGGTCATGCAAAAATGGGCGTGCGGTTGTCTACGCTGCATCCTTTGTACTTATGATGACAATCCTTCTTTCACACATGGATCTTGAGCCAAGCCGTTCCCTATATGATATCGGCGCACATTTTCTATTTATCAAAATCCCTAGCATAAACATTTATATATGTATTCATGTATTTACACTCGGTAGTTTGTTTCGATTAGGTTTGAAAACACAAGTATGGATCAAAAACCATGATAATCTGAGTAAATCAATGATAATCAGTCACGATTGAACTTTGTATTGTGCCAACAATGAGTTATGCACTAATGCAGATATATACATGGATCATGCTCATACCTGGAATCCCAAATTATAACCATTGTAATGCCTCTGTCGACTGTTCCTGCGGCTTCGTATTGGAGTCAATACCTTCGATGCGTTTGTGACACTCAACAACATTTTAAACTCAGCGGGCATAATGACACAATTCAATTCGGTTACATAAGCTTCCAATTGACTCGTTGTCAGGCGTCCAATTCCTACACACGTCAGCCGTGCACTTGTCTCAAAGAAGAGAGGTGCCAACGGATGAAGGACAGAGATTACACAAACTTTGCTGGAAATGTTTATGAATACCCGGATACAGAATTTTGACATACGGTACCCCCATGAGGAATGTTGATTTCAAAATTAAATCGAATAACCATATGTGAGGCAGTTTGAATGCGTAATCAAAACCAAAATATTTGAAATTCTTGAAAATCGTCGACAGAATTTCAGCTTGATCGTGTTTTTTTATATGACTATGTTATATATAACCTTGTACCTCACACTTCAAAATTTGATTTATGATAAAGACTAAAACATTTGAAATATAGGAAGTTTAATAAGACCACTTTATAAAAAAGAATATTAATGTTTTCGTAGAAGTTAGAGGGGGCCTTTCATGTACACACAACAAACAGCAAATGCATGTTTTGATCGCATGTTTACATACAGGGATACAAGGAGAGGCTTTTAGCAGTATGCATGAGAAGTTTTTTAAATAAGTCGGATTAAGAGAGAGAATGTGTCAATTTCATAGTAAATCTTTGGGGTCTTGGCATTGTTGAGGAGATTATAAAACAATCAGCCCTTTTAAATCCTGTAATGTATTATGATCAGGATACCAGTAAAAGTTTTTTTCCCTCTTACTTCCGTTACTTCAGCAGTTTAGGGCTCTTGGTATACGAGTTTGAGATAGTCATGCAGCAACTCAACCGAACTGACTCTTGGGCCAGCTGTATTCTGGCAACCTCACTCACACTGGAGGATCTCACTCCACCGTAACTATTCCAAAACGAGATCTCCACTCGAATGAGGCCGGATTTTGAATGACATGCATTTTCTTGCGCAAATCTTGCGATTAATTTAGAGGACTATCTGAATGGACAGCGATAAACACAATTTCTGTGGGACAGTCAAAAGGTGTAAGAGACTTTAAGATGTTTTACTTGAGTCGGATCCTTTGATGTTTGAACACGCTGCGCATGCGGACATCAGCCGCGCGCATAAGCGCCCTGGCGCGCATGTTGTCTTCTATAAACCCTTCCATGAACTTTTCTGGCTAATAAGGCCTCGGGGTTGTGCGTATTTGGGCCTTTGGAGGGGGGGGGGGGGTAGTTGCATATAGACATAACAAAAAGTATTATTGATTGTATTTAGGTGTTAAAGCAAGCTTACACGAGTTTTCAACATCAGGCGAAAAGCAAATCAAACTATCTAAATGAAATATATGCCAAGAATGACAGCTCATATGAAGGCATCATAAGAGCACTAAAATCATATATAGTGTTGCGATTTTTGTTCAAATGGCAATTATCTTTATCAATGTTTTAATCTGATAGATTTTGCGTTAACATGCAATAATATGAATTTGTAACAAACGAAAATCGAAAATTATCGTACGAAATTATTTATCCTACTCCATATACCGGTATGCAAAACCTCACAAAAGCAAAAATCGCGATTTTAGATCCTATATTACTATTACTATATTACTACTTTTTATGGATACCACTGAGTATTGTTAACTCCAAACAACAATTTGTAGTTTTTTATTCAAACTACATTTCGCCGATTGAACGAAAATACAAAATGTTTTTTGGAGTTACTGTTCTGTTGTATTTTAACCCGAGTTTGAAACAGGACTAATGCGTGTTTGCTTACTAAATAACTCGTCTTGGTCCCAATTAACTTAGATTAAACCCGGGTTGGTGCACGTAGAAGGCTAAAAGGGAATAGTTATTGAGCTTTTACATAATAATAATCATCGTTGGATACCTAACTTTAAGTCTTCCTCATTGGAAAAAAGTTGCTCGTAAAATAGACTGGCTAACGTCCCAATTTTGAATTTAGCTTCTCGAAAACCTTCGCGACTTTCGGATTGCCTTGGTACTTGCTCATGTTTCCAGGATTGGACATAATATCTTGTAAGGCCGCTTGTACCTCTGGGTCCTACGTTGCGAAAACAAAAGTTCATAAAGGAATTGTATACAACGTTCATTTCAGGGCATTTTAGAAAGGTTATGGTCTACATGCAGCGAGATCTCCCATTCTTTACTACATTTAGTTTTAGCTTTATTTTTATCCATTACTCAACCCTTATCCAGCTGATCTGGGTATAAAACTCAACCATTCAGCAGCCAGATCCTCGACAAAACTGAATTATCATTTCAATCAATTAACATATCTCCAGCACTTGATAATGTTGAGTATTTCCTAAATTTCTCTGCAATAACGCCTTTGTTTTTCAGTCAATTATAAATTGGAAATTAAATTAGAAATATTACTAGCAAAAAGAACGCGGGAACAAATGACTCCAGGCGCATGATAACCCAGTTTTGTGGAGGCGCCTCATGACTGCTTGGTCGAGAATTTAGCATTCCAGTGAAGCACAACAAGTCGGGAATTATAACAAACCTGTAAATATCCCATAATTTCGGGATCCTTTAACACATCCGCCATGTTTGGAGGCATTCCACCTGCCGCACCACCTGCAGAACCACCAGCATCTCCTAAGACAAATACAACATCAAGTATACTAGATTCGCCTCTTGCGTGGCCATTGAATAATGCATGATTGCTAGTGATTTACCTGCACCCGGAAAACCGCCAGCACCAGGGAAACCACCAGGAAATCCTCCTGCTCCTGGAAAACCTCCTGCACCTGGAAATCCTCCTGCTCCTGGAAATCCACCAGGACCTCCTGGAAACCCGCCAGCACCTCCAGGAAACCCGCCTGGGAAGCCACCAGCAGCTCCAGGAAAGCTCGATTCCGCTTTTCGTCTTTCCTCCTCTTCGCGCTGTTGTCTTTCACGCTCCTACCACAATATCATTAAACTGATCAAGAAACTCCACAAACAGCAAATGCATTTTGCTGCGGCCTTGTTACACGGTGCAATTTTGCATGAAGAGTCTTCAAAATGTAAGTGTGAATTAAAACTGTTAGTAAAGTGAAATAAACACAAAAGTTTTCAAGTTGTCATGCAAACTTACACATCTCTCAAAAGTAGAATTGTACTGTAATATAAGTTGCGTGAAAAATTGCGCCGTGTAACAGCCTTTACATACAATTCTGCATGGGAAAAACGCGCGTAATTTATTGTTCTTCCAAACCCAAATGATCCCATTGTTGTGATTCTATTTTAGCCACGACTGTAATAAATAGTCATCAATATATATCTAGTGAAAGTGTATAGTCTTGATTCGTTGGCGGGTAGGACATGAGTGACTGCAAAATTAAGATTACAGGGGAACCAACAAAAAGGCTAAACGTAAAAAAGAATCCATACAATAAGAATAACCAACCTTTTTAGCGGCTTCTACTCTTTTCCTACAAAACAAAACTATTTTAAATATAGCAAAACGCACGTTTCTAAATTCCATATGGATTGACTAATAATTTTGTATTTTTCCTCATTCAAAAGTATATTTCAAATATTTCGTTCATAAAAAATATAAGACCTAAATGTATAAAAAATGTAAATAAGGCGTAAAATTCTTTACTTGTCTCATATTTTTCAATACAAAAGGTCGAAACGCGCCCTGAGAATAGACCAGGCATTGAAAAAGTATGAACATCAGGAAAGCGCTTACTTGAAATTTATATTTTGAACCCAGACAAAATCAGAAATAACTTGTGACATTGTACCTTCTTTCTTTTAATTCTTTCTCCTCTCTCTTTCGTTCCTGCTTTCTTTTATGCGCTTCAATCTTCAACGCCTGAAGAAAAAAAAATTGATTGACTCATTGATATAAAAGTGAGAAACAGATGAGATTTCATAATTTACTATTCGTACATTAGGTTTAGCTGCTTTCAACCACTCGTCAGCTTGCTCATCCCAGTCAATTTTACATGCTGTTGCCAGGTCGCGTTTCGCATTCTCCCACTGACCTAGTAACCTGATATTCATGATAGTATTTCAGTTAGGAATATTACAAAAATACTGTGCTGTGGGAGCTGAAGGTAAAAGTTTTTTCAGGGCATGTTATAAAACAGTGTCTTGAAAGAACACAACTAATGCATTCTGTTGAAAATGCAAAAAACCTATAAAAACCTCACTTTTTTGTACATGTAACAACAAATGATGTACACAGTACAGTAAGCCCTGTCATTTATTACCTGAACTAAAATTACCCCTTGGAACTGAATATACAGTATGCAAGTTGTGGTGAGTTCCTGGACAAAAGGTGATCTTTTGAATGCCTAAGTCTAGGATGTACCTCCCAGGAATAAGAACCAAATCCCATATTTCGGAACTTGAGATGTTTTTATTTAGCTTTAATAATTATAAGTCACATTTGTTTCGCTGGCCATGCATGTACAGTGGGGTTATGCAGGCTAGTAACAGCAATGCTGATTCAAAACTTGTGTCATTTTTTATGATATCCAATTCAATAATGTCAATTGTTACTTACATGTACGCTCTACCTCTCCACTTGTATGAATGGGCTGAATCGGGATTGATTTCAATTGCTCGATTACAATCTCGGATCGCTGCATTTGGCTTACCCATACGTATATAACAACTGGAATGATAATAGGTGCATAGAGTAATTATTGACAGATAAATAGATTTTAACATAAAAATAGCAAAGATGATCAACAGGAAACTTGATGTGAATAAGAATGAAAGATGAAAAAAAATTGCTCACAGGCTTAAGCTGCCAGTCAAGGCATCTTGTTTAGCTGTTTAATCTTCTATTAATAGAATGAACTTAACCTATGAAACTTACCTCGCTCGCTTGGCGTAAGTCGGGGCTGAACGAGGATTTTTCAAAACAGCTTCAGTCAATAAGGGAATAGCTTTATCCAGTTCCCCTGAAATAATACATATCCATAATATCAAGTTGTTTTCCAAGTTTTAATTAATTATCACAAAAAAAGACTTCAGTTCGGTTCACCTTCATTCATTGCCATAACTCCAGCAGATCGCTTTTCACTTGCCTCAGACATATCATCCTCTGACACCTGCAAGATTTACAAATGGTTGAATATTATGCAATCTAGAAATTCAATGAAGTTAAGCTATGTCATTGAATAATGTAAACACATCCAGCAGCGACATTGTAGCCGATGCAGTGTATGATTAGGTTCTGGGTTTATCCATAGTTAGTATCTCTGACAAAGGCCCTCGGGTCGAAACGCCGAGAAGTGTTTTTGTCTATTTTAGGTAGTTGTTATACCACATTTGATTGTTTGTTAGAAAAATTAAAAATAAGATAAGGTGCTACCTAGGTTGTCAGGGCCTCAGAAAAGACTTTAAGATCAGATATACACAAAAAACACTTGGGTACTACTTTCACACAATCCTCCCAAAATTGAATGAATACCAAAATTCTACAAAAATTGGTTTGGCTATAGCTGTAACAGTTAAGGTAGGTAGCTACAATATCTACTTTTATGTAACAGACTTCTTTCAGTGTTCCAAAAAACTATACAGTAAATTAAGGGATAGCTTCTCCTGAATTATCCAGTATATGTCCTATTGACCCTGGTACAATGTAGGTTTTTTATCAAATACAAACCTCAAGACTCATATCACCCATTGGTTGTGGTTCATCAGTGTCTGGTTCAACCACACCTTCATTATCAATATCTGAAAAAAAGTTAGGGAATTGACTACATCTTGTCCCCTTCAATTATTTATCAACTTACTCATTAGGAATGTTGTAATACCTATATCACTTTCGGGACTTTCATCACTTTCAGAATCGTTGTCCTCGGTAACAGTGGTTGGACTAGCACTGGGTTTTGGTTCCTCAGGCTTCTCCTGTTAGAAAAGGATTCACAAGAATGACACTGTACAGCTCAATAAGAGATTAGAAGCATGTTTGCTGTTTTTAAATATTGATAACAGTCACACATTTTAGAGCAAATATAATTTTCTTGCTACTAATGTATGTCAACTGGATGTTGTATCAATTTGCAATACTTTTTTTTCTGGAAAATGAATTTTCCTATAAAGAACTTGCTGTTTTAATGGTACCAACACTGCACAGTGTGTTAATAAAGAAGTTATTTTAATTACTAGTTCATTTGCAATGGAGAAATTGTTTTAGGATGAAGTGCAGGATTCCTATAGAATCACTTAGGTCTGAAAAGTAATGAAATTAAGATATTACATCTTCCTCCATCGCTTCAACCTCAGGTTCATTTTCATTCTCATTTGCATTTGATTGTTCAGGTGGAGGCGGTAAATTTCCTCCAAAACTAAAAAACAATAATTATGCAATTAAAATTCACAACATGCAAACATTTTTCTTTTTTAGGAAAAACAAGCAATTGCTAATAATGTTTGAATGACCAGGACAATGTCGGTATGTTTTTGTTACTTTTTCCACTAAGTCAAAGTCATGACACACTTTGTTTAGCCTCATGATCATGTAAATGAAACCTAAAGTATTAGTTTTACTATTTTCCAGGTAACATTCTGCTCATGTATGTGCAATGTGAACAAGCTGCTACCCCTGTAGTGAAAACTATGTGCAAAGCACAAGTGTACATATATATTACTTTCACTATATTGTGCACAAGTTTAAACAGAATGCAAGATTAAATCACCGTAATATCTTTCGATCTTTTATGCTTACTGGCAAAAAAGTCAAAACAAGCATCAGGAGAGAAAGGTCTCAGAGTCTGGGTATATTGTACATAACATTCAAAATTCAATAGCCATAAAATAATATGTATATATACATATAATAATATGTATATATACATATGTACTGAAAATGAAAGCACTGAGTATACTAGTAAGACGACAAGAATCATTACATTACTTCCACAGAATTAACAGCAACATTATTCTACTTCCAAGTGAGGTTTATTTTACACAAAAAAAAACTGGGACATTTTGGGATATGTAAGCAAGCTATATAAAGCTCCTGCTACTTCTGTAGTCACATGGCATGCACCAATTTGTAACCTTATTCAAATAATACCTTTCAATCCAATCTCTGAAGAACTTTAAGTCAGGATTGTGAATTTCTGCAGGATTTAACTTCATAAGATTGACAAAGTCTTTTAGAAGTTCTAACTGATCTGCCTTAAACTTCATTTTGTTTTCCTATAATTTCAAGATCAATGGAAAGAAATATTGTCGCGCAGAATAAACAGAACACTTTCCACTTTGAAAAAAGATAAATTTCCTTTTAAGTTCAAATAATCAAATAAGGTGAAAGTGGGTGATAACGATCCTTTTTTGAGAACATGACGTAAATATTAACAATTTTATTTTGATTCTCTGTGAAAGCATATTTTAGGGAGTCAATCATGGGGAAATGGGAAGAGGTGGAGATGTGCCCTCCAGTATTTGGAATATTATAAAGGGAACGAATATCTAATTGTCCCTCAAAATTTTATCATGTTCAATAATAACTCGTTCACTTAGCAATTCAAATCAAATAGTTTGCTTATCCGGGTACTTAGTTCCTTTATCAATCATAAACAATATACAGTGATAATAATACGCCGATCCTCACTTATCCATTGTATCCCGTTTACTTGAATCACGCACTTTGGAAATTAGAAAAGAAGTCACACCCAGTTTGCTGTTTGTTCGCTTCGGCAGCTTGGTTGCAACATTTGTCTGAACGTTTACTTTTGACGAAGCTTCTGCAAGCAATATATAGCCATTAGCTTCCAACCGTTGGTCCAAACATCACATGTGATTCTCAATTTAGTCGTTTTAATGAATAAATCGTTGTTGTCGATGTTATATATGCGTGATTTTTCCCTAAATACTAACTAAAGGTAATAAATTACGAAAAAATCTTGATGTTAATAGCCAATCGAAACAAGAAAAAATTCTAGAATAATGATGTTAGAAACGTAATTCTATTCTCATTCTTTCATGAGAGATTTATTGCTATATGAATGATTATGAATAAAGCCTAATAAAGTGTATCAAAGTCTGCAAACTTTTCGAAACAGAATATTTAATGAAGTGGCAATTTAGTACTAATTGGTCGAAAGGCGATTGCGCACAATTCATGCTTGTTTATTTCCAGTACATTTGTCATTATTACTTGGTATAATATACTCATACAATCAACCACTTCTTGCTGGACAAAAAAACTACACGGGTGCTCAATCAAACTTTTATTAGCTTCTGATTACAATCGTTTTAATCGTTTTACAATTTTTTAAAAATTGCTTGGGCATTTAAATTTTAAAAATATGTGATTTACACAGTCGAAAATGATCAATTGCCATTAAATTTGTGTCAACCTATGATTTCTTGACCAACCCCCCCCCCCCCTCAACAGGAATTTGTTCGACTAGACCCAGGAATAACTACGGCTACGCCTTATCGAGATTTTGTTTCCAATAGAAATTACAACTTCACAGTTTTGTATATCTCATTTTATCTTGGTGATATCGAGGTTCACTCAACACAATGCTGAAAAGTTTCAAAGAAACTGCACTAAAAATGATGTGAAAAGGGCTGACAAAAAAGGAACAATCTGAAATAAAACATATGTGGTGTGACTAGTTGCATTGAGTGAATCAAACAAACCACGATATCTCCATAGAGTGAAAAGAGATCATTAACTGCAAATGGTAGTTTCATATAAGCACAAACAAAAATATCATTGAATGTTGCAATGAACGAGATGAAATTAATCTGCAGATAATGGAATGCACGCGTGCACATTTAAAATCGTCAGTCCGGATCTCTGGTGCACCATCATCCGAAGCCGAGGTTGCTGTTGTATACTTCTCTTAAGAATACGAAATTTATCTTGAAGCGAATATCTCGACAAAAGAAGACGGAAAATGACCTGTCCTCCCTCCAATGGATCCTGTACACCATTCGTCATTAACATGCTCCAAATTTTGAATGACATCTCCAGTCTGAAAATAACACCCGTTTAGTGTTGGCAACAAAACTTCAAATGACATCAGTCTTATTCGATAATCACCGATTTGTTGCATGTAAAGATTTTGCTCGTATGCTATACGTACCATAATAGTAAGAAGACCTTCTTGCGGAATATATTTATTGCAAGTCTAATAGACTCCATGTAGAATACTCATCTATAGTACCTCGGAACATACTTATTCAAACACACATGTATATATACGCCACTCAATCGACAAGGTATTTTGCTTCACGTTTTTGCAAGGAACTAAGATACAGCCACAGTGTTGAAATACTAGGCGGCCTGCCGGTCTTTCCAGTTCTGTGCGTTTTACTGAGCGGGGTTGGTAAATGAGTAGGCTTGGTCTATGGGACTTGCAAAATACAGAAGTTGCTAAATATATCTGGCAACAAGGTCTAAGATACATCTCAAACTTTCGACAGTTCGCTTACACAGTAAGTACCTTGAACGAAAGATCGTGTTCCGATTCCCCAGCAAAATCATAAAGGGCTTTGGCGTAGGCTTCTTCTATGAAAACCATAAATGTCGATGTAGCAAAAAATATTGCATCATGAAACACATGAAACAATTATCGGCATTCATTTCAGCTATATACTATAATTAGCATTTTATACATTATGGACCATTATGGACAGAGTTTTCACTGATTTAACTGCGAAAAAATCCTATAAAACTAAAACTTACTATCATGCACCAGTCCTCGTGCAACTGCAAACATCGAATGAATCCGAGCAACAAACAAGCATTCAAGTATACAAAATACAGCCATGAACAATGTTACAGTAACTTGTTTACCTTTTGATTTTGAAGCTTGAATTTCAATAAAAGCAGTCGGGAATATTCCTGTCACATCATTAATCACCCCCTCACTCCAGTTATCATCAATCTGGCGGAGTACTTCAATTGCATCACCAACACCGAAATGTAGTTCCCCAGGATTTTCTCCGGTAAATTCATGAATTGCTTTACCCATGCGTTTATCCTAAAGTACAGTAAATTAATTTTATAAGAGCTCCATTTATCGTGAGTATATATATGAATACGCAGCCCCCAATTATCGCTTCTAGTTTTGGCCCTAACTCTCCCACAAATCTGGCAAACAAGAACGAGTTATTTCAGCACAATTTACATGATGACAATGAAAGCAGAAAGACATGGATAAAATTTGCTGACCCGACAACAACTGCATATTAACCAACTAACCGAGCATCGTGTCATCTCGCGGCTGTCATGACAGAATGAAACCTAAAGGCTCGTAACCATTTTTGGTAAAGTCATATTTAACAAAACAACAAAACTATGGACCAACGAAGGCACACTTACTTGTATGGAAATGAGAAAGAAACGCTAATATGTAGCATGTCTCCTAACTGTTCATATATAGCTATAAACTTGTAAAATAATAATGGTTCTAACAGGTAACTTAACCAACCTTAGTTTGTTCTTTCACCTTATCAGGATCTTGCTGTACTGATGAATTTTCTCCTTCTACAAAGGAAGCAGGAAATAACCCTTGTTTCCCACCAAATTCCCCCATAAACCAATCCGCGTTGATACGTTCAATAACTTTGATTTTATCGCCAGTTTTGAATGACAAATCATCGGCACTTGCACCAGGATAGTCATGAGTAGCGGTCACTAATTTTACATCTATGAGAAAAGAAAGAAAAATGCCACTTCCATAAAAAATAACAAATTTGAACAGAAAAATTATATCTACACAAAGTCATAGTATATAATAGGCATATCGATTATAGTAAGTGTATATTACTTTACAGTGGTTATATTGAGTATATGGTAGTGAATAGTAAGATATATAGTTACTTCAGTTACTAACCTTGGGATCCTTTGTCAGTTGCAGGCAAAATTTCTACAAAAGAAGCTGGGAATATTCCAGAATTCCCCGAGTATTCCCCTTTGAACCAATCATTATCTATCCTTTCAATTATCTTAATTTCAGTTCCAGTAACAAAGCTCAAGTCATCCTTATGTTCCCCTTGGTAATCATGAATAGCACGACACCACTCTTCGTTGACAGAATTTCCTGTATTTCTAGTCGGTGCTGGAGTTACAACATCATTCGTATTCGTCGTTAGCGGCAAGTCACGTTCTATTTTCACAAAATTTGCAGGAAATATCCCGACCGAGTTATTCACTTTGCCCTTTAACCATTCTGCATTGATCCTCTCGAGTAGAATGATGATTTGTCCGGAAACAAATGATAATTCTCCTTGACCTTGTGCTTGGAAATCATGACATGCAACGGCATACGGCTCCGATGGAAAGGCTGAGGGATTATTCTACACAATCACATGTACGTTAGATGGTGAAATTGTTGTCCTTAATTATTGATTAGGGTATCTGTATATTAGACAAAATTTTGAACCAGCAAAGTACAGTAGCTAAAAATAACCAAGCTGAAAAGATCATCTTAAATTTAGTAATTTTTTGGAAGCTTCTCGGAATTATATTTCCCGTATTTTACAATATACTTAACAACCAAACTTCGTAAACGTAGGGTGTATTGGCGAATCTCTTTTAAACTGTTGCAGTGATTTTCGTACTTAATTAATTAAACCTAATATTAACCAAATTTATAGCATCAAATTAAAATTTCTTCCACTCATCGTGGAACTTGATACCCCTATAGAATACACAAATAGCTACCTCCTCTTCGGCAGGTTGTTCCTTTAAAGCAACAATGATCTCAACAAAACTCGTTGGAAACAGTCCTTGATGCATAACGTTATTCTCAAGATAACCAACGAACCAATCATCATCAACCTTGCTTGTCAACATAATGGTATCACCTGCCTAAAATATGAAGACTGCTTTTCAAAAGAACAAACTGAGTTGGTTTATCTTTTTCCCACCTTCTTCGCAATTGGTTACCATCTATATCGTATTATGGATGCTAATGAAATACGTTAACGATATTTGCGATAATACGATTCGTGTACATGTTTTGAAAAATTGGCCACGATTGAAGAAATTGCATGCAAACCACCTACATATAATTCGTACAATTTGCAAAGGTGATACTCGCCTTAAAAGTAAGATCGTCATCTGTTTCCCCGGCATAGTCAAACTTCGCCTGGGCACGAGGTGGACCAGACGGCTTAACAGAGGCAGATTTGTCTGATTTCGCTCTTTCCTTGCTGGCTACATCATTTACTTTTGGAGGGGACTTCCTGCAGGTAAAACAAAAGAAGAAAGTATGTTCTGTATTGCAGTGATCAGCTAGGAAATTTCACAGGAATTGTCTATGTCTCACTGTAAAATCCATGAAAACAAATAATGGGGTAATGCAAATTTGGTATTTTTGCTATTGCAAAGAAATTGCCCTGGTTCTTTGGGTGTCGTGTACCAGTCGTGTAAAAATATCACATCTTCTAAATAGTTTGCAAGCAAGTTGTGTTCGAACATAGGCAGACCAAGAGTTCGCTACTGTAGCATAGTCATTGATGGCGCACGATTATTGTTACCACTGTTTGCCTCAAGCTGAACAAGCTGTCGACAAGTATGGAACTTAACAAGTTGTAACAAACTTGTTGAATTAATCTATTATACTTCATAAGACTGCAATGGACAAACAAGAGCAAAATCCAAAACATTCAATGCTGTGAAACATAACACCTGCATGACTCATGTATAAACTGTACCTTTTAACATTTGGTTTCGCAGGAGGAGGTCTTGATGGTTTAGGTCGTGCGCTTTCTTTGGCCATAGGTGGTCTCACAGGTTTAGATTTCGGTTGTTTTTTATTTGTCGGTTCCCGTTTAAAAAACTTTTTCGTCTCTTTTTTCTTTTCGACATCTCTTTGTTCGTCTTTGATCGTATTCGGCGGAGCCTTGGGTCTTTCAGGTTGACTTTCATTTCTGTTTAATTCCTCTGCATCAGCACTTGGCGGGAAACTGGGGCGGATGGGAAGTTCACCCTCCGTCTCTTTTGCTATATTCGATGTATTTTCCGGTGGTGGGATTATGGCCTCGTGTGTTTTTCCTCCGACGGCCTGTTTTGGCGTCTTGGCCGTTATAATCGTAGGTTTTAGTTTAGGTTTTGCGTTCACAGCTGGATCTACCTCACTTGCTTTCGGTTCGTTTTTTGTTTTCGTTTTCGATGTAGCAAGTAAGCTGGGTTTTGATTTAGTATTTGGTTTTGAAACGGATTCACCAACACCGGCATCGTTTGGTTTTGAGACAGCTTTGTCAGGTGGTTTAACTTTTGCATTCACAGATGGGTCTATCTCACTTGCTTTCGGTTCGTTTTTTGTTTTTGGCTTCCTTGGTGCTGGCAAGCTAGGTTTCGATTTAGTATTTGTTTTTGGAACGGCTTCACCGGCATCGTTAAGCTTAGGTTTCGCGGAAGGTGTTTTGTCCACGTCTGCAGATGTATCAATGTAAAATACCGAACCAGAATCTCCCTTAGGAGACTTGGTTTTAGACCTCCGATTTGGCACCGGGGCTTTACTTCTTGACCCATCAGAACGTTTTGAGTTTTTATCTTCAGGTTGAAGATGTGGTTTTGTTGGAGCGAGAGGTGCTGGTCTACCCGGTTTAATTGGTCCCGAGGGGCGTTCAGGATTTGAAGAGGTTCCAGTAGTCGATTGCTGATTATTGTTTATGTGTGCGTTACTATCCTGTGCAGCTGAGTCACCGCTTTTATCATTCTTGAAATGAACTGAAGCAGATGTGCTCCCCTCGTCCATTGGACGAGACGAGATTATGCTGATTGTAGGCCGACCTCTGCATGTAAAGAGAAGTGAATGTATAAATACAGTTAAACATTATTGAAATGACTTTAAATTTCTAAAAGCCCATTTACACTATGCGATTTGTCGTATACAATTGGCACCCTGGCATATGTGACCGTATGAACACACGTACAAACGTGACACTTAAAATTCCACCTCAGTGAACGAAATTGAATGAAGATTATTGCATAGCTGGGCCCTCTTTTGCATTCTTTAGAATCATAATTGCCAATGGCGTATATTAATATCATCAAGTTCTCCCCTACGGATTCCTTTAGTAATTGCACTTTTTTATGAGAATTTTTTACTGGGAGCCATATTTCTGCCAACTGCAACAATCAACTATCCTATGACTCTACCTATGAGTTCAAATGCTAATTGAGTTCAAAAAACTAACTTTGCATTTTTTTTCACTGCTGGTTTAGCCAAATTTACAGCTGGAATAGGTTTTGATGCATTTGGCAGGGTACTTAGGGAAGGTTTCTGGACAGGCTTGTCATCTTGTGGAGTTGGTTGAGGAATTGCCATTTCAGGAACAATAGTATCAATAGAAGGAAGATTGTTGGCTGCAGGATCTTTTTGGCTGTAAAAACAGGATATTTAAAGGTTGCCATTTGCTATACCACTGCTATAGGCATTCAACTTGATTTGTCTGGAGTTGGAAGGAGACTATATTAACACCACACTAGTAGGGTAAACAAGGTGCAGTCTGATGATACGTAGTTGAACAAAAATTGACAGTGTTGGGCCACTATGGAGTAAAATCAATTTATATTGCTGCCCATTTTATAGCTGAATTTTGTAATTAACAGCAGAATTCCAAATTTTGCCAATAGTAACTTTTGCCTACAGTTACTTAATTTAACATTCTAACAGCTATCCGTTGGTAAAATAATTCATCATCAGAAATAGCCTTGTGAGCTAATTAAATCTTTGAAGAGAATTGTGCTTACCTTTCAAGTACACTTTCTTCTGTTTCCCCCAAATCAACACGTAGAGGAATTGGGGGTGGACCTGATCTAAGGTGAACAGATACAGTATGTTTGGGTACTGTATATCATATATATATGTATATCATATAAGCAAATTGTCACAAAAAACTAAGAATTCCTAGATTGGGTTATAAATGTGTGTCATCCTAGCAACTAGCTGTTTTAACTGGTAGAATATTGTGTGACTCAGTGATATTTAGATGTCAAATACAGATAAATATACTTTCACAAATAATTTAACTAGCTTCTGTTTGCATCAGTTGCAAATCAGTTTACAAGCAATCAATGGATTATAATATTGAATTTCAATATAATTGAAATACTTCCAAAAGAAATGGCCAAACATCTTGGCATGCCTCAATGTATATCTTGCAGTATAGGAAGTACACTGATGAGTATAATCATCTGGTATTAGAAAGGTTAAAGATACTAAAAATTTAAATGTTTAAATTGCAAGCTGATGGGTTAAAATGTTATAGTTTCCACTAAAAGCAACTACAATATAGTACTGTTGGTACATTTATGTAGTTGTAATTCACCTTGGCTGCTCCATAATTTTCAGAATTCACACACTTTACATTTTAGCAAGATAACATCATTTTCTATAAAGAAGCAGGAAGTTTTAACTGGGGTCATTAATATAAACAGCGAGATAAACAGTGTCTCAATGTCTGTGGTACGTTGCAATGGCATAACTGGCATGCATATTACTATTTCATTATCAATATTCCCCACAAACAGAATTTTACATAAAACAAAATTATTTATTATGATTTATTATACTCGTTGGCTCTATTAACAAAAAAGGTCCGAAATTCTGACATATCAGTCACATCACTGACACAAGTCACAAATTATTACGCATTATTTTGCTACACCCGCATTCCAAATACGCAAGTGAACAATGCAAGTGTATTGCTTTCATCTAATGAAGTAGCGATCTGCACTCGTAACGTTTTTTGTGAAATGAATTACATTACCTTGCAAAAACGTCCCTCAACGACTATTCCTCATCGTGTGCTAAACATAAAATTCAATATTCTAAGCAATCTAAGCCGCATCTGAATTTTGAAAGTAATTTGATAATTGACACACAAAGTCACAACTCACAAACACGGAATAATCACGAGAGGCTTACACCAAGTATTCTGACTTTACGCTGACCAAACGTATGTTTTTTGGACGAACGAAATCACACGCAATGCCAGCTGGGAAAAAGCGGTAATTTTTAAAAACACAACGTTCTTCGATTAGGATCAAAGATTTGGAAACTTCGAATATTTGTTTACTATTAAGAAGAATTGTCTGTTTCTCTGGCATGATCGTCCAGTGAAATTCGGTGAGTACGTTTTATAGTAAGTAGGAATGTCCCTAAGAGCAAATGTGACGCGTCTGTTTCGAATGCCTGTGTGATAACTGAGCTTGTCAAAGAGACATTCTTTTTATTACATGTATTCGAGAAAATTTAGCCCTACGGATTATACTGTTGAAATTTGCTATGGTGTCTTTAAATGTGGCAATTAATGGAATATGAAATACAGTGCTAATAACTGATATGTGTTTTAATAATTACTGTATTTACTTCCTTCCCGATCGACGATCGGCACTTGTACAATTACATATGTCGCTCATGTCCCTGCCTCCCTGGGCTTCTAGCTTCGTTTTTTCGAAGAATGTTCTGCTCCTGAGATAATTCAAATGATGACTGATGGCTCTTTTTGTTCTTTGGAAATGGACACTAAATATTGCTTGGTTCAATTCTAGCTGTTACCATCCTATCATTCCTCAGGCAAACCATTACCACTATAACCAGTAAAATATGTTTTTTGATATTCACAAGTATTAAGCAAATGTCTCTTGAGGTTATTACATGCATTACAGAATGCATCTCATCAGAGCTAAAAATTGACGAAAGAGAACGTTTTGTTTTACAGCATTCTGATTTTTGAATCCTACATGAAATGTCTGACAAAGTAATTCCAGTGAAAGTTGCATTACGAATCCGACCACTCATCAATAAAGAAATACATGATGGGTGCAGGGAGTGCCTTGAAGTTGTCCCAAATGAGCCTCAGGTTATCATTGGGAGTGATAAACCTTTTACATTTGACTATGTATTTGGTTCCACATCTCAACAAGAAGAGCTATACAACCAAGTTGTGGAGCCATTGATGGATACCTACTTCAATGGATATAATGTGACTGTATTAGCTTATGGCCAAACAGGGTCTGGTAAAACATATTCCATGGGTACATGTGCAACAATAAATGCATCAAATGTCGATGATGAGATGAACAATGCTGTGATACCCAAGGTTATTCATGCAATATTTGCAAGAATTAATGATCAAAAGGAAAAATGTGACTTTTTGGTGAAAGTTTCATTTCTTGAGGTTAGTTAAAATATTTTGAGTTCTTGCAAGTAATATAATAGCACATAATTTGCACCTATAGCTATCCATATGTAAGTAATTGACTTGCTTTAGTTTATCACTTGGATCAGCTGGCAAATGTGGCTTACCTAATAAATTACCACACTGTACGTAGTTTGTGCAAGTAAAAAAAATGAAATCATGATTCAAGGAATCTCATATATTTTATTATGTTACATTCAGATTCACAATGAAGAAATAAATGATCTTCTAAATCAAGGACCACCAGATGACAAAGGTTTAGCAATCAGGGAAAATACTTCAGGAGAAATAAAGGTAAAATTGATTCGTAATACTTATACTAATCGCTAATGCTGGTAAGCAAGCCAACACAGCTAGTTGCCTTTCTCTCCAAGGGTTTTAAAAGGGTATGCAAAGCATGCATATACAATGCACTTGTGACCTCTGTACATTGTAAATTCAACAATTATACCATGAGCTGATAGCTCAAGAATCAACTTTTTAGATAAATGGTTTGAAAGAAATTATAGTTCGTTCAATAGAGGAAATGGCATCATGTCTTGAGCAAGGTTCAGCATCTCGAGCAACTGGTGCTACTGCAATGAATACGAGATCATCTCGATCTCATGCAATCTTTACCATTGTGGTTGAACAAAAAGAAAAAGCGGGCTCAAGGTGAGTATCGTTAGAAAATAATACAGAATTAGAAAACATTTCCGTAGCATTAATACCATATGAAAAAGGCATGTTCAAGAAAATTCAATATTGCAACAACAAGACAATTGAAATTAAATTTCTTCTCATTTTGTATAGGGATGTTAAAAAGGCCAAATTCCACCTAGTGGATCTTGCTGGTTCTGAGAAAGCGAAGAAAACCCAAGCGACCGGTGAAAGATTTAAGGAGGGTGGGTAACAGCGATTTTTCAATTGACACTAAGTAATATTCTGCATGCACTTGAGTGAAATCACTTGAGTGGAATCACTTAAATGGAATCACTCTCACTACATATTCTCCTGCTTTGTACATAAATGGTAGCTCTAGTTGTAGTAGGTTGATTGCTACAGTATTTTCAGCTTGACTTGAACTTAAATGCAGATTAGTGAAGGAAAGAAAAGTTATATTTCATTTCTGAGTTCTACTGTAACTTGAAATCGAGCTGCAGTAATTGGCTAATTGCAGTGAGTTTCTGTGGCTCTGTGCTTACTGCTCTATAGTAGCATGACTCTTATACATGAGTATAAGAATCTGCAATTGCGTATCGTGTACTCTGGCCTATTCATTGACAGTGCAAACGAGTGAATACTGGGGTTACTGCATGTAAGCGCCCTTATTTGAACTTAGCTTATCCACTCGATCACATCCATGAAAAGTAGATAATCGTACCTAAAATCGCAATAACACAAATCGCCCGTGCGTATACTGGTAGCTTTTATATGAGTTAAACCGACTAATTTGAACCTACCAATGACGGATGATGACTGCATGGGGTGAGTTGCGTGATCTTAATACATTCATAGTCCTCACCACCATGAAAAAAACTGACGACGTATTTTCAATTTTCACTGAATTACCAGATTTTAACTCAAATTATGTCTTCTCTTTTGTCAGGCGAAATCGCTTCACGCTGAAACTAGGGGCGTTCTTCCCAATACCATGTTATTCATCGTGACGTCCAATCGTCAATCATCTGTAAAAGTCTTCCTAATGCACGATTATCGCATATCATATCTCGTATCTTAAAATCCGTAATCGTATTTGCTTTTTGACACGTGCAATAATCGAATTATGTGACCACCACATTAATTAATCGAATTATGTGATCACAATTTCAGGTGTGAACATAAATAAAGGCTTGCTGGCCCTTGGGAATGTTATCAGCGCATTGGGGGACGAACAGAGAAAGACGCATGCGCATGTACCATATCGTGACTCGAAGCTTACTAGACTTCTTCAAGGTACAGTATCACAGTAAACACGCATATTTCAGATTATTTCACTTCAGACATTAAAAAAAATGCACGTTTTTCCACTATTGTCAATATCGCACATAGTTTCGGTTTTATTTAGCATGTTTTCCTTCCTGTTGAGGTCTACCTTGAGAACTTTAGGCCAAGATAAGAGGCACTTCAACATTCGCCATTGTAATTTATACCGAGATAAACGCACCTATCAACTTTTTAGGTTGGCAATGATTTGCCGACCTGATTTTAGCAATTGACGCAACCATGCATTTGAGGCGATAATAATTTACTTTTTTACTATGCTAAAACGTGATATTTTATTACGTACGTATGTACTTTGGAGTAGCACGCGATAAAGTTTGACCTTGTTCTTTAATTATCTAAACAAATTATGCTGCGCAAATGCGTTTGTAAGGACGTCATTGCATGGAAACAGATTATAGAAAAAAACAACCTAAGACCAAGGTCAAATGTCGCACTTCTCATGCGTCGAACGCATTAAAAACAATAGATAATTAGCTGAAATATTGTTTTAAGTGCATTCAGTAGTCGGTACATAAGAAGTGCGATTTTTTTACCTAGGCCTATAATAATATAGTACGGTATAGGTCGAATTTGGGTCGACATTTTTGCCCGACTGAATTTTTACTGCGTAATCATGCCTGAGGGGCTTCCATCAATCCCGTAGAATTGTGTAATAGCATTCCGAAAATTCTTTAATATTGGAACAAAACAACAATTCTGTTGATATATGCTTTGTATGGCATCCTTCATTGAAGTAAATAGAATAGAGATACCTGTATATTGTTTCTTTTTAAACACTCCTTAGTCAGCTGTAGTCACATTATAATTAAACAATGCCAACGGTCGTAGATTCCCTTGGTGGTAACAGTAATACTGTGATGGTTGCATGTGTCAGTCCAGCTGATAGTAACATGGAGGAAACTCATAACACGTTGAAATACGCCGACCGAGCAAGGAAAATCAAGAACAAACCTGTAGTGAATCGTGACCCGGCCGCTGCAGAACTCTCAAAATTACGGCAGCAGGTATGGCAATTAATGTAGACGTTTTTGTTGAAGAATGATTTGAAGATTCATCCTCTGTGATTGATATCAAATATACTTAAAAAAATCTTAATTAGATTCAGGTATATAGCTTATATATGAAGAACCCCACGATGTAAAGTATATTAATTATCACCCTGTTAATTCTACAAGGTTGCCCCTCAAGGTCGCCTATATATTTTCTCTGCACAAACATAAAATGGTGATCAGAGAAGTGTATTTACTCCTGCAGGTTCAACTATTGCAACTTCAGCTGCTAGAAGGACAGTTCATACACCAGAAAGGCAACGAGAGGTAAATCATTGTATAAATTAATGCATAATCTTATATCCACCCATAAACCCATCCGACGCCAAGGGATGCAGATGGTACATAAGTAAAGGCATTTTCCATCGACAGCAAATTCGGATTATTAACTCCGAATAACTTGTGACTGCATGTCTGTTTATTAACTTCCACTTACAATTGGTCTCAATTTCTAGTGGCCCAGCAATGAGCTCCAGCGATATGCACGAGTTGTTTGAGAGAAATAAACAATTAGAGGTTAGTTTTTGTCGGAAATCAAACCTTTTGAGCACTATCAGGGTTTTTTCACGTCAAATTGATCTCTTAGACGGAGAACGAACGATTGACAACGGAGCTTCACGATGCCTTTGATCAAACAACGGCTCTTTACGAGAAAGTAATGTTGGTAAGTAATATTATGCATTGCAACTTTAAATTTTATTTGACACTTCTTCTGATAGCTGTGTTATTCATCAAGTGCGTATAAGGGATTGCATGATCACTTGGTATTGCCCCTTTTCGACTGCTCTGATAGGAGCATCGACGTTTAGCTTGATCTAGCAAGGTATATATCATTCTAGATACGTATGATGACATTGATATATTGTCTAGGTTGAAATGGCGAAAGACAAGTTGCAACAGAAAGCAGATCAATTGAAAGAGAAAATACAGTTAGTTACCTTAACTTGAATGTTGTATGGTCTGATAGTAAAAAAATTGAACGAGCTTGCGAAAGTGAATTTCATTTACCTCAAAACTCAAAAGTACTCATAAAAAGTATACTCCGTCGATTATCCAACATGTTAGTTGTCTTTTCTGGTGGTTTGCAACAATATGTTTTTGACAACAGAATAATGGTCAGCTTTTCATTCCATAAAGTTTTCGTTGAAATATATATCAAAAAAAGACACTCGCGTGCGATCAATTGCCGGTGATTACGGACAATAAGACTTATTGATAAGCACATATTGTAGTATCTAAGCTGCGTTTTTAGACTTCATTTTTTTTGACAGAACTCGTGGTCTTGACATTTCATTTGACCTCGACGAAGAAAAGAAGGAAAACATGGAAAGTATTGATATGGTTAAACATATTCAAATGAAAGTTGAAGAATTGGATGTAAGTTTCGTGATTATATTTAGAGTAGAAACGATAATTAAATTGTACTCTACAAAGAATTGAGCTGGAATTGACAATTATACTTAGGAGGAGGAGGCCAACATGTGCTCATCAATTGCACCAGACCTTGAGGTACATTATTGTATACATTGTTTGTACATTTGTGCATGATATGGCCCCACATGGCCCCACATGCGTCATTTGTTCAACTAATTCTCATCACATGAATTATTCATTTCGAATTGAAGTGTATTGTTAGTGGATATAGGTACAGCGGTGACCGGTGGCCAAAAAAGTCACCAAACTGGCAAAATTTTCAACTCGTTTTAGGGAATCCGATTTGAAAATTGTTTCATACATTATTTTATCGAATCGCTGTTAATCTACCATAATTTTTTCGACACCCTGAATATAGTCGTACATTGCATCTTAATCACAATATCTATCTCTCAAGAAGTTTGTTTTTCGACCGAATCGTGATCTATTGAAAAATCTTCTCGCAGGAACGAAAATCTTTGGACAGTGATGGTGCGGAACACCCTGAAGTTGCCAATAGTTCGTTTGCAGCTCAACATGCGCTACGAAAAGCAGAGTTGTGTAAACAGTTGCAAGAACTAACCAAAGCCTTGGCAATGAAGGAGGAAATTGCTAGCAAGATGGTCGATAACGAACGTATTAATTCAATGAGAAAACAACATGAGGTAAACATACAAAACGATGTACTGATAGTATAGTAATAATCGTGTGTGCGGATATTCAAAACACTGTTTACCGTTGTATACTTTTTCCATAAAAAAACAAACCGTATAATTAATCGAATCGTTTAGATGACGGTCAAGGAATTGGAACATATCATCGGAAAACTCGAAAAAGAAAAAGCAGAGTTAAATTCTGCTTTGAATACTAAGAAAGCAAATCCTTCGTCTTTGAAGTAAGTTAGTGTACTGTACTATACGGTACTGTACTGTACTTTAATAATATACTGTACTTTACTGTACTATGCTATACTATACTATACTATGTTATATAGAAAGGAAAAAGAAAGATTGCGAGAACTCGAAGCACAGCTCTCCGAGTATAAGAGGAAACAGGTATGATTTCATGCATGTAAATATATATATATATATATATATATATATATATATATATATATATATATATATATATATATATATATATATATATTGCATGCATCATATTTAATTATTTAAACATTTTACATTTTTCTTTCGTACATTAGATTGAATACAAAAAATTACAGAAAACAAAAGAACAGGGTGACCAGACCATAACAAAACTGGATAATGAAATCAAGGTAATTAGACCGGCTCAGAGAGGATTAGGTAGAACTGTAATAATCCTCTAATCCATCCTTAAGATACTCAGAAATGTACGGAATAAAACAGTAAACAGATAGAATCACATGACACCCTTAGAATTTTGTTAATAAGAATTCACTTATTTCAACCTCTTTACGAGTCCCTGCACATGCGTAAGAATCAGCACTGATATCAGGTCAAAGGAAGTATATCATACAATAATATATACTATAGATGGCTCGAATCATGTACGTATAAGACGCCCGACAGGTTATTGTAAAAAGGTATACACTGCATAGGGAATGAAACAGATGAAAGTGAAGTTGATGCGACAGATGAAGGAAGAAGCAGATAGATTTCGGCAGTGGAAAATGAAAAAAGATAAAGAGATCAACCAGTTGAAGCAACAAGTAAGATTCAAGAAATAACAACATGCAGCCGACGATTTCAAAAATTAAAAAAACAAAACATAATCCTATAAGATTAACATTGCTTGCTAACACAGCGAACCCATTCTTGTCTTGTTTAATTTTTATATTTTTTGCTTCCGAGAGGCTAATCTTAAATTGAGAGTAATTTCAAAACAGATTTTGACTTCTAAAACCCACAAGGTGTTGTAATTTATAACAATCGCTTGTACGTACAAGTGGAGAAGAGTCCTTTGTCAAAACGTAGCTATTTGTTTTTTCAAGTCTAATTATTTGTAAAGTGAATTCACTTATATGTAATTATATTATTAGTTGTCTTTAATATTCCTATTTTTGCTTCTCGTCACAGGGTAGGAAGAGGCAATTTGAGTTCAAAAAATTAGAATCTGTTCATTTGAAGCAACAAGCTGTTTTACGGCGCAAGACAGAAGAGGTGAGGGCTTATATTCAGCTTTTGATCTTGGTACAACAAAATAATGATTACAAAATCATTTGTTTATAGGCGGCTGCGGCGAACAAGCGATTGAAGGCCGCACTTTCAAAGCAAAAGGAAGCATCGGAAAAACGAAATCAATCTTTGCAACATCAAAACAAACAGTCTGATAGTGTCCTTGAACGAATGAAGGTAGAGCAGACACTTTGTTTTTTACACATTTCAGTATTACTATCACTATTAAGTCAGTTTTCGTGGAAATTATTCTGAAAATATTTTGGACTGGAACGTAGCAAATAATTTACACTTCTGAGTTATCCAAAGCTTAGTATAGCTAGGTGCATGACTGCATGATCGTTTCTTTATCGTGCTTTAGTCGTGGCTGTCCCATGAGGTGGAGTTAATGGTTAGCGCGAGTGAAGCTCGCAGAGCATTGAAAGAAATAATCGAGGATAGGAAAACATTATCGCAAGAAATTTCTAATCTCAAGGCAAAATTACTAGAAAAAATGGACGAGCCATCAAAAAAGGTAAAATGCGTTCTCCTAATACGCGTATATTGCTATATAAATTTTCACCTTCAGTTTGTGTCATCTGTATATGGTCAGTCGTGTGGATTTCGTTTTGCAAATTAGTTATTTTCAAGCTTTGTTATATAATAAATTATTATTATTATTTTGTATCTTTAGAAGATGTCACTTGGCGGTGGGGAACATGCGTCACTCGAAGACAACGAAACGTCCAGCATACAAAAACAAATTCAGGGCTTAGAAATTGAGTTGGAAGTCAGGTATTCGCAAATTTCTTATCATCTGTTTTCACAAAACAATTGTGTGTAGTGTATGGGCATCAACGATAACTTGTTATTGCATTCGCTTATAGGAGTTCACAAATTGCTGACTTGCAGAAGAAGATCATCGACGCGGAGCAAGGTAAAACACCACGGACGTGTTACATGCATGTTGAAACATAGCCATGCATGTGTAAAAGAGCAATCCCTCCGCCTGGAAGTGCGTTCTTACACGAGTAACAATACAGTCTTTGCATTATCTTTGATTTCGTCTGGAAAAATGCCTCATTGGTTCAAAATTTCCTTGGAAATTTGGGGTCATTGCATGACAAGGGAATATGTTTTGTTCAATTCGTCTTTGAATTCTATCCTCGATGACCAACATAGATTGATATAGATTGGGCCATCAATGAATGCATGCGGAGGTTTTTTCAAGCAGTCCGCGGGATGACAAATGATTCATTGCCAATTCCCATGAATACACTCTTGTGAACTGCATGCATAAACGACCGACCCGAAAACAATCCTTTTAATACAAATATATTATGCATGCAAGTCATGCATAATGCTTAGTGAAACAGTAAATTTATCTTCAAGGTGAAAGGACGAAGTATAGATGGAACAATATCCATACGATGGCAGAAGCTAAAGCAGGCCTGAAATCGCTGCTTAACTGGGTTTGTATTTTTAGCAACCGAATGATGCCGGTCGAATATTTTACAAATCGGAATTCACTGCATCGTTGTGTGTGTGTTCTTCACATGAGTATATCACCAATACGGCACTTACATTCAGTTTCTAATACGCTGTAGGTTGTTGACTCCAAAGTTAAACAAGGCCAATTAATGAAGGAAAAGGAAGACTGTCGAAGAATGTCAGTGGAAACAGGCTCAGAACTCGAGGTAAACAGTCATGCCCGGATTTTAAGGGGAGGCGTTCTCAAGAGGCTCTTTTGATGTAGTACTCATACAACTTGTGTTGTTATAGCTATACCATGTTGCAAACTGACAGCTGAATAATTCTTATAGAGAATACGAGAAGAGTACGAGAACAAGCTTTCTGTTCTCCGAGTGCAGAAAGAGGAAAAGACGCTTGAATTAGAAAAGAGAACTCAAGAACAAGTACGAAATAATTTTTTGTGTTTTGTGAGACATTAACTGCATGCGAACTGTGAAATCTTGGTTATAGCGGCAAATAGTTGCATGAATTCATGCAATCATGAATTAATGATGTTGCCAAACTTTTCACTTTAATTACTGACGGCATTGCCAATCGGAGTCGTGTATTTTTATTTTCGTAGGACAGTTGCCATATCCAGATCGTTGCATGGTCATTGTTTATAATTATGCTACTTTTTATATAGATTGGGAAACTGCTTAGTGAGTTGGAGAGAGAACAAGCGACGAGTAAAGAGCAGGTGAATTTTAGTATCTTATCTTTTGGAATACGTCTGGGCTTCCATTGATACAATAGTATAACGTAACAATAATTCCATGCAATAATTTCATACAATGCTCTGGCTATTGGAGAAACATGAATGAAATAATGCTGTATTATGTATAAAGTCTCGTATATTTTGAATGTTTCGTTTTTTGGCTGCGATCTTTGATAACAAATCGTTATATTTTGACGTGTATATCTTATTCACTCAAAGTGTACTCGCGGTAAATGATTGCATGTTAAAATGATTTTTTAGCTATACAAGAATCATATTCACGGTACTTTTGCATGAAGAATTATGCGTAGGTGCCTCTTTCTGCACACCAGTAACTCTTTCACTCGTTCACATCTCTTAAAAGAAATGAATCGCATATGAACTCGCAGCTAGAATCGCAACTGTAAAGTATATAATAAGCTTTATTAACACAGACGCGTATTTCTAGATGGAAACAATCAGAAAACTCGAGGAAATAGAGACAGAAAATAGCAGTCTTCGCTTGGTATGTTTTTGTTTTTACTCAAATCTGAACTCCTAAGGCAAGATATGAGCTAATCATGCATACATTTAACAGCTTTGGCCAACTCATTATTTTCATTGATTTTTTTAAAAACATGCAATTTAGTTTATAATTTAATGCATTTCTTTTAACATTTAGAAGTTGGAGGCGTTTACTCGCGTCCTGTCGCCGGAATCGAAAATTACCATAGAACCAAATGTTAGGGAATCAGAGGTAATAATACTTCAGAAACGGTTATTCTCTACACTGTATAGTAAAAACAAGTTTGCTTTTATTTTCAGGCGATTGATTTGAGTGATATTGAAATGTATTCACCTCCGATGGATAACGATGCTGACTATGTCCCATCGACCGATGGAGAGTTTGAAACGCCTGTCTTAAAACTGAAAACAAAACAGAAGAAATCATCTCTTAATGCTGCTGCCCTAAACAAGAAGACTTTGCTATTTGTAAGTTTTGGTGGCGTCAAGTGTAAAATTGTCACAAACAGTATTTTGTTTTTTGGATCGTTTGAACAGACCTTTGTACAGAAAATACCATTTTCTGTTTGTAAGTTTTGGTGGCGTCAAGTGTAAAATTGTCACAAACAGTATTTTGTTTTTTGGATCGTTTGAACAGACCTTTGTACAGAAAATACCATTTTCAATGACTTCACTTTATTTATCATACCGATGCGTCTCTGCATGGCGTCTTTGACGGTAAAAAGTCCTGTAAATTGGATTTTTAACTATAAAAATGTCTTATTTTCTATTAAAAATGAACAAAATAATCCATTCTAAGAATCTCATTCGGTGTCAGTGGCAACTCGATCAATTACAACATAGTCAATTACAACAGAGTCGTTTGGAAACCTGGAATCATTCAAGTCTAACACGTAGCGACGTGGAAGACGACGTCTTAGACGACGTCACATCGTGTTTACACCGTGCACAGAGCACAATTTTTAAGAACCCTGTTGTTCTTTACCTTGCAAATTTGTTGGGGGGGGGGGGAGATAACAAAGGAACGAAGACTTTTCCCGAGTCTGATTTCAACGACTTTTTTCCGTGTAGGTATGTTCATGCAAGGGCGACTGCAGTACAAAAAGGTGCAAATGCAAAGCTGCAGGCAGCAGTTGTGCAAAATCGACATGCAAATGTAATGTCAATGTGTGCAGAAACAGATCTCAGGTTTGTTTCTGTTTATTTTACCTTTTTCTCACGTTTACATAGCTAAAAATACTTATCTCGGTAACAATTGCATGATGTTTGAATTCAGATCATATTTAATCACCATAATTTGTTATTTTATCTCAATAGCCCGTAAACGTTTTAGAAACCGACGATAAAGGTAAGTTCACTTAATAAGCCATATTGCATGCATGTGTCAAATCGTTCATACTCATCTCCGACTTTCTCGGACCGAAAACCAGTTCCCGCTCAGTCTTTTTCGCATGTTTCAATCCTGTATTTTCTGCATCAAATCTATTTCGCATAATTTCCCTAATTTATGTAATTTTTTTATCTTTATAGGTCTTCCTGTTACAAAGGCGATTAGCAATCTTATATCACCTGAACCAAGAATTTCCAATAATAACCTTCCTAGGAGTGCATCGCCGCGCAGGTTAAACAGTCCATTACCGAAGACATCAAAAAGCGGCTCTCCGGCGAGCTTTGTAAAACCAACAAAAACTGTTGGCGTAAAGTCCTCCAGACGGCGGTCTTCCAAGTACCATGTGCATAATCAAGGCAGAACGAAAAAGCTTCTCAGCATAAGTAAAAGTACAAACGTTCTCACTCCAAGTAAACATTTTGTCGCGCCAATGACAAGTCAAAGGAAATCAACTTCCCACTCCAAATTTCTCGGTGCTAAAACAGTTAAACCGGCGACTTTGAAGAAAGATGAAAATTCAGAACCCGAAAAAGAAGTTATTTCATCATGATTATAATATTTTCAAACCTGTTAAGCCCCATTAAAAATGGGTGGTTGTATTATAGATAGAGAAAAAGCTTGTAATTACAATTTTCTTAATTTCAATTTTGTCTGTTTATTTTGCTCAGTATTATATTGATTAGTTTTTCTCACACACACACTTTTGGGGTATACTCCAGCTTTATATAGCTCAGTTAGCCCAGTGACAGTGGTTACTGACACCACTAGTCCGATAAAAAGTTACGTCAGTCGTGAAACATTATTTTCATATCCAAAATAATGAATGACGAAGAATAATATAACACTAATTCTGACGCTTTAAAGAGTGAAATTAATTTTTCATTCGGCGCCAACCTTTGTGGCGCCATGTAAGAATCAGCGCTACCACTTTTCCTTTTTAGTAAAACTGGGACATACTAATTGCAGACGGCTGGTTCACTGCCAGAAACGTCGTCGATGTTCAATACGATTCCTTCACTAGAAAAGATATTTCCCCTGTAAACAAGTTTCATAAGGTTTCCAGACATATATGAGAGCGCTAACTTCTGTTATATAGTTTTATCATATCATAAAGTCATACTTATAGTTGTTTTAGTACAATGCCATGCAGTCAATGGATAGACTTTCCAGACAACCGTGTTTACACATAGCTATACTACCTAGTATATAGAAAGAAGGTATGGCCCTTGATTTTTGCTTGACATTTTTTGGATGTTTAATAAACGGGGATATGTCGCTCACGGGAAGGTGATTTCGCTTTGAAATGCTAACCTGCTCCTTTATATAGCTCCAGCTTATGACATCGCTGAACGCTTTTTTTATTGTTTACTGCCAGGACAAGAGGCTAGGAGGCGATTATACGAAGTATATGAGAGGGAATGTGGATGCCTGCGTGATATACCAAAGATAGATGTACAAAATAATGAAAGTGCATTCTAGCGTCGCGAAAGCGTGTTGCATGCGTGCATGTGGATAGATTTTGAAACCGATTCATATATGTGGATACTCTCACCACAATATCACACAATAATTGCCTGCGGGGAGAGTTGGCAGTATGGACGGGCGAGGGAGGGTCTTATGGCAATGAAGTAATGAACATAAACCAAACACGGATCTGGACTAGCATAGAAAATTAATATTTTTAATTTGATTTCATCAAAAACGACCATACATGGAAAATGTTTCCAAAATAAGTAATAACCCTTTGTATTCGCCTTTGCTTGCTTACAGTGGAGTATATACTGCGACGATCGAAATCCATTTTACTTGAAACAAATACTGATATCTCTGTAAAGTGATCTTAACTAAATGCTTTCTCTCTCTGTTGGGCTTTTTATTTGAATCGAGTTGATTTATTGACGAAAGGCTTTCTGATTAGACCACAACCGTGAATGTGAACTGGATCTAAGATGTGCAAGTTTTCAGCCCAGTTAGACCAGCGTGCCTCGGATAACAACCACTAAATTTTTTTCCAAGTGAGCAAGTCCAGAGATTCCCATCCGCTGTTTCTCAATCAATGTTACTTTAACAGTCTTCGAATTCGTCCGGTTGAGGTGTTCACAATCTTATCTCACCTGACTATAATAACGTTCCCAAGAGTGCATCGCCGCGCAGGTTAAACAGTCCATTACCGAAGACATAAAAAAGCGGCTCTTCGGCGAGCTTCGTAAAACCAACAAAAACTGTTGGCGTTAAGTCCTCCAGACGGCGGTCTTCCAAGTACCATGTGCAAGTGATATACCAAAGATAGATGTACAAAATAATGAAAGTGCATTCTAGCGTCGCGAAAGCGTGTTGCATGCGTGCATGTGGATAGATTTTGAAACCGATTCATATATGTGGATACTCTCACCACAATATCACACAATGCCACCATGACGGAATGTTTTATTATATTGCCTGCGGAGAGAATTGGCAGTATGGACGGGCGAGGGAGGGTCTTATGGCAATGAAGTAATTTAACATAAAACCAAACACGGCTCTGGACTAGGCAGCATAGAAAATTAATATTTTTAATTTGATTTCATCAAGAACGACCATACATGGAAAATGTTTCCAAAATAAGTAATAACCCTATATTCGCCTGTGCTTGCTTTCAGTGGAGTATATACTGATCTAATCTGGATCTAATATGCATGTGCAAGTTTTCAGGCCAGTTAGACCAGCGTGCCTCGGATAACCACTAAATATTTTTCCAAGTGAGCAAGTCCAGAGATTCCCATCCGCTGTTTCTCAATCAATGTTTCTTTAACAATCTTCGAATTCGTCCGGTTGAGATGTTCACACGGTAAAAATGAGTGCAAATCTTACCAGTTCTCAAACGAGGAAACCGGACGAATTTGAGCACGGTCAAAAACTCGTCCAGTCCCATGTGAACGTAGCCTTGCTGCAAAGTGGAAGCGATCAAACACTGTAGGCTAACTCTGGCCTGCTGGAGGTGATGTTGAACCAAACCCGGAACATCATAACCCGGATGCCCCAAAGCATAAAATCAAATTTCCATTCTAAGCCAAAATATGTCCGGGTCTTTAAAGACTGTTTATTTATAAGGTTTTTGTCGATTAATATCGCGAACTGCATTTGGTATAAGTTTTCTAATTAATTCATTTAGGCACTTGACTCGAACTTCAAAAATGGGCCAATGCCAAAATTAAATGCGGTTCTTACACGCATTTGAATGTAAGTAATATACTAAATGACGCGAAAACACACCTTATACATGCATACTCCCAGGAAAGGTGGTCATGTATGAACTAGAGAGGTCTCGATGACAAGAAGCTTTTAGCGTAAAGATTATTGCTAAAAATAAATCAACAGTATATACAGGGTGTCTTAAAGGTACCCATAGTCATACTGTCATACCTTTTAAATTCAAAACATCTCAGTAGAAAAATGTCTTTTGAACACAGGCAATCAATTTTTGAACTTAATTACAACATATATCATGGGAGTTTTTTCTGAGACTTTATTTCCGCGATCTTGAATGTTGTAGAAATATCGTGATCTATCGCCGCACCCAACATGAAAATTTAATGCCCTGTGAGCCAAGTGGGCCGTAACATCGTGACATGCAAATTCAAATTTTCATCGTAAACAAAGAATCTCTTCCGCATTTCCACGTAAAGTACAATTTGATTGGTCAGGTAATAAGACACTCGAATGCCTGGTATGTCAGCGCGTTTGGGTGCGGAGCATTTAAAAGGCAATATAAACCCCAACGGCCGCCGTGAATCAATCAGTATCAAGTTGATTAGAACCTTCGTGTCATTCTTTTGATAGAGGGATAAAAACAAGACATCGAAAAGAGCGTTTCACAAAATGGGCAAATTGTTCGTATTGGTCTTGCTAGCTGCGTCTCTAGACATATGTTCTACGCGTCCGTCGCAGAAGGGTAAAAAAAGCGGCTGCTTTCCAAGTAAGATTGCGTTTGACATACATATTTTGGTTGATTAATGTGTCAACAATGATAGTTCTTCATTTGTGTGTAGTACAACAATTTTGTGTACTATAGGATGGGCAAAAACATATAAAAGCCAAGAAATGCTGTCGATGAAGCTAGTATACATAGGATTTCAAATAGTACCTTTTCAAAATTCTTTATAACTTGAGTATTAAATATTTAACCTTGTATGCATGGTAATCGAACACTCATGTTTTCATGGATAAGCTGCTCTGTATGATGATAGATAACTGATTCACGATTGCCACTTGGTGCATGGGTGGTTATATAATCAATTTTTGTCGCTGAGCCTGTGTCATTGTGGAAATGCACGGAATGAAACCGTCAGAAAATAACGGTTATTTACAACCATTTGAAAATATGATGGCTCGCTGCACAAATACGAATATCGTTATGGTTAGTCGCTGTTGGGTTTTTAAGACAGAAATATTGATCATGGATAAGATTCACAGCAATTTGTTCAATAAACCATAAAGTTGGGTAAAAGTTATTTCAGATCAGGACAAAATCACTGGCGGGTGATAACGCTATTACGAATTATTGACTTCTATAGGACAAAGTATTGACTTCCATTTCTTTGCATGACTGAGAACAGACACTCTTTGCCGACGGCTATTTTGTAGATACCTGTCCCATATGTTGCCTGCCATAAACCTCGCCATAAATCCTAGCAGAACTGCAGAACTAAACTGTATATTGGTGAAAAATGTCATGGTAAACGAATATAGCGACATTTAAATTTTAAACTTTAGCTAATAACGGACATCTTGAAGTAGCTTGTTTTCGTTTTGTTGTTACGATTGGCTAATTTCCAAGACTTAACCGATTGCGGTCCCGTCATTTGTCACAAGGGTTAGGGTCGCCATGTCAGTCAATCACAACGATATTATGCATGGTTGGGTGAACAAGATCGTGGTGAGACCTTAAGAAGTGTAGTCCTCCACTGTTTTTTTGTTCTGTTCAAATTACTATATCACTGTATACGAATCAAGAAGGTGTAGGGGTGAATGAGGACTTTCGTTTTTGGTTCAGTTAAAACGGTTCAAAATATTAGGCGCGTTTTGTAAGAGAAGGATTAAGATCATTTGAGTTTTCAACCTCGTACTCGAGGTTTTCCTGGGTACGAGGTTGTTGAGTTTTGTCATAAAAAACAAGACGGGTGAAGACGCGATGCATTTATACACGTGATTTAATATAGTCCAGTGCTTCAAGTGGGCAAACGGTTGGGGAAATTAGGAATGGAATTAAAGTTTCATATAGCTGTCTTATCAGGGCAGTTCTTTTAAGAATGCAAAAACACGGTATAAATACATTTTGACTCAAGTGATAACTATAATTTCGAAGAAGCCAGTTTTTGTTTCAAATTAGCTTAGTCGTCATGGTTACCACAGCATTGGAAATGGCGTCATTCTTGTTGATCGTGCTTTCAACAGTTTGTAATTTTTAACTCCATATCATCAATTCTCTCCCGGACGAAGATAATAGGCAGTCGCCCAGTCGCCCTTGATGTGATTGGATGACCTTGAATGTTTCGACCAGTATGCGTGGGACGGGTTCTGAGTTGGGATTAAAATAATCGATCATCGTAAAAAAAAACAACTCGTATCATAGGTCAACCAAATAGACAACCGAGAAGTGAAAGAGTAATGATCTTGAAATAAATATAATAATTTTAATCTCGATCTTATATAAAAATTACGTCGAAATATTATCTGATAAAATCAGTTGAAAAGCTTCTTTGATGAACACAATTGCCGCCTGGATAATATTGCCTCTTTCTCAAAGAACGGTATTATGGACACCTAGCACCAAGAAAAACCTCCAAGCTTGTGACCATAACGTCACGAGAGGACCACTAGAAAAGAGTTTAGAAATGAGTTTGGAAAGCACAAAGTCTTTCACTTAGCAGCTGTTTACCTGATCTTTGCAACCCAAGATTAAAAAAAGCATGAAATGATTTGGAGTTATTAAAACTTGTCTTGATGAAACAAAACAAGCACGACACTACACCAGGATTATATTATTTACTTTTTTCATTTCATTTTAATTTCATTTATTTCATTTCAAGTCATTCTACGCTTCGTTAGGGCCGCCCAGAGAATTTTGGGGGCCCGAGGCAAAATTCTCTTTCGGAGCCCAAATTCTCCCGCAAAAAACCGCGGTCACAAAGATAGATAGATAGATAGATTTATTAACTTAAAAGCTTGCAGCCGAAGTAAACCTACAGCTGAAAAACGTTAAGTTTTACACTTTAAAAATATAAAATTATCAACTTTGAGTTAGCTATAAAAATTATGTAACAAAATCAATCCTAACGTTAATTAACCAGCATACAATGTAAGAAAATTCCGTATTTTGAGAATATGTGAACAGAACAAAGCAGATTTGACCGTTCCCTCCCCCAAATATTTAGGCACGATTGTTTTTTGACATGGATATTTTATTATAGTGAAGAAAATGCCGAATTTCACGATGGTTTCGTTCAATGCAGATGTCACTTTGACGTGTCCTAAAGGAAAAAACATTACGTTTTTAAAACATTGCGAGCCTCTGAAACCGGGTAAAATAAAGGTATCTGGGCGCTTTTTGACGCTTAGAAAGTTTGCGATGATGGACATTGGACGGTACACGTGCCAATTCACGGATGCAAACGGACATGTCCAGCAGTTCCATTGGGTTCTCCATTTCAAGAAAAAAACGACTCCTCAATATAGAGTGAAGCCAGTTAAAACCAACGTGGTGATCTATTGTCAATCGTTTGTCGGACAGAATATCTTCTACTCGGCAAAGAACAACGGTACCCAGCACCTAAGCCCAGTACCAAACAGTCGTCTGAATAAAAATATAACATCAAAGGAATACAAATTGCTCGATTTGACGATCCATGATACAGGATTTTACTACTGCGGTAACAGCGCAACCGGAAAGTATTATTTGGTATTACATCTGGTTGTCACAGGTAAATGTTTATTGGCATATTGCTATAAGTTGTACTTGATGAAACAGAATTTTAAAATATTGGTGCCTCAAAGTCTAAGGAAGAGACAGACACGCACACGAGTCGCGAGCGACAATTGCATTAAAACATGAAATATAAATCTTTGCTTTTAATATCTTGTGTTTGTTTTTAGGGTTGCCAAAGGTGACCACGAGTGGAAAGTTAGTTGTTAAACGGGGCGATGATGTTCAATTAAAGTGTGTTTACACAGCATCCGAAAAGATCGCGTGGTTTAAACAGGGCGTACTCGTTTCTGAAAATAAACAGGTCAAACTGGTCGATTTGGCCAACAATACGCAATCTTTGACATTAAACCTCCGGAATGTCAGCGAAGCTGATTCAGGCCGATATCGCTGCGGTGTGTACTTAAATAAAACTGTATTCTCAAAAGACTCAGTTGATTTAGAGGTCTTTGGTAAGTGGTCAAACTAAACAGTACATATACTGAACATATATATATATACAACATTTATTTCTCATATTTAGTATTTTCTATATAAGTGTATGTTTCAATTCACACGCAAATGTATTTCTTTTTAGCGTTCTTTAGCGAGGTTGGAATATATGGTAGTAGAAATATGTACTCGACTATAGTGATCCTGTGCCAAGCACACGGTGCAAATGTGACGTATTCACTGTTAAGAAAGCCCATGGATAATAAAGACCAGCATACTTTTCAAGCAGTTCCAGAAAATTTATATCAGAAGTTTAAAGTTCCTGGAATTTTCGTATTTCAGTTTGCAAATTCGGCAACAGAAGGCTATTACAAGTGCCGTGCTACTTCGCAAGGTGTATCCATCGAAAGAGAATTTCCCAATCCATTATGGTTATCAAACACTTAAATCAGTCGCTTTGTATGCAGCTAAGGCCGTTCCTTTCAAAACCCGCAACTCTTGAACTCTAGAGCACGAAAGTGCTGATGGGTTAAAATGTAGCATTGTTATCCCTTATTTCAATCCAATCTTTTAGAGCAGGTAAATTTTCTGTTGTGAATCATGCATTTCGTCTTAGATCTTCTAACAAACCACAAATTACAAGTTACAAGTCAAAATTACCCACCATTCTTCGCGAGCTCAGAGTCTAAAAGTCTTGCTAGAAAAAAACTTTAGTGCATTAGCTGTATATATATTATACATAATATCCAACGTACAATATATACATATACCGGCTATATATATATTTAGCCGAAGTTACTTATGTGTGTGAGCGATAAGATAGATAAGATTAATAATCTCTTTGTCTAGTTTCCATTTGGTAGTAATTGTCGTGTCAAAAATAATTTTTACCGTTGAAATATAGTCCAGAAGTAAATTTGTCTTTATTTCTGTATTCAAATTGGTCATGTTTTGACTGCGCACACATAGAAATGTTCTATCACATTAGCAACCTTGACATGTTCACGACAATCACGACTATAAAATTAATGGCAACACAGATAGAACCATGCAGGCATTACGAAAGGCTGAATGTTACTCTTAAGCATCGAATTTTGAAGTACAGTATTCTTACGTCATTATCATAGTGCACCACCTATTACTTTATTAGCAAAATTTTGTTTATAATAATAATTACGATAAAAATTTCGCAGCAATTTTTTTTGCAAACTGATCACATCACCGGATTTCAGATATGGCTTCGCGTCGCGCGAATAACTTCTCCTATAGTGCATGGATGACGGTCCTTAAATACATATAAACCCATTTGATGATATAAATTTGATGTCCCAAAATGGCTAACATCACTTGAGCGTTTTGTTTCCGGAATATTTTTTGTTCCGTACTTCGTAAACTACCTATACTACTTGGACCAATACAAGGATTTTACAAATTTACCAAAAGGAATATTTTAAATAAAACGCATGGATGCAACGGCGTTAATATGATTCAAATTTTAGTGGGAAACTATTATGGTGGGGCATATCACGAAGATTTTCAAAAATTTACAGGGAGTGTTTTTTTGAACTTGAAACATAATATGCAAGGAGTCGCTTCCACTGCTCTTTATTAGTACGCAAATACCATACGAACCTTAGCTTGCAGCCGGGGCTTGAACATCCATCGGCATCGTTAAGCCGAACAGTTCGGCTTAACGATGCCGATGGATAAGCTTAAGTTTAATACTCTCATACATATTGTTAATGACTAAACCCTGCATCCTATGCATTAAATATGCACTCCCTTGCATTGAAAATTGAACCATTTACATTTAAATATTTCAGCCCAGTGTGCCCAGATATTTTATAATTTCCAACTTACCCACTACTAAACGCATGTCGAACAACCGGCCACATGCAGGGGTACAATTTCTATACATATTATAACCTTTCGTAACCGAACTTTGAAGTATTTAAGTCAATAGGACGCTCTTTTTTGCTGAGGTGTTGCAATTTTTGCTTGCTCAGATCAAAATTTATAGTCTTTATATAGCTGGAATCGATTTGAATATCAAACAAGACGGGGTTTTAATCATAAAATCTTGAAAGTCTTAGGTAAATTTTTGTGATAAATGGCTCTATTATAATCTCTATCCAGTGGATAATCCGGCTTTAACAACATATATCATTGCAGACATTGCAGTTGATTATCCATCCCTCTTGCCACATTTGTCTTCCTGATATCCCCTGATGACACGCTTTTCTCGCTTTTCTCTGATTTTCGCACAGTATTAACTGACGCACATTATGAAATTGCAAGTTTAACTGTTGCATGTTGCAGGCTATACCTAAATGCATCATAATGAGATCACGGAGCATTGATTATTGTGCAATAGAAGGCAAAGCAGAACAATGTTAATGTCAATAACATATGCTCACAAAAGAACCCACCATTTGTAATCTACGATTGACGTAACTGTATTTACATACGGTTTAATTGCAAGTAATTGCGAAAATCAAAGTCGGCTTTTGGAAGGAACCACTCTAGTCAATATTATATTGGTTTGGTTCATTCTCGCATGCTGATGTGTTTGGTCGATTAATTAACGGCGATGACGACCAACGAGCGTCTAGCATTACACCGTAAAAACCGAAGAAATAAAACCCAACTGGAAGCATCTCAAGAGATGGTAAATGCCTTTGACAAGATAAGTGTGTCCGTAAGGAGAGCGCATAATGTCAATCGATGCCAACAAGATCATCTTGACAGCAAAGTATGGACGCTAGAAACCGAACATCGAAAATCAATGGGTTTACTAGCTCTTGAGCAAAGACGATTCATACGGGCGCGAAAGACAAATATACCACTGAAACTAGAAAGGAATCAAAAGCTATCGAATCTTAGTGTGGTAACTCAAAATGGCAGCGTAAAGACATCAGTTCGGTTGCCTACTCTTGTGGGCAAACCAAAATTCTACAGCGACGATTCTGTCGAGAGCTTCAAACGACGTGCGTTGAACAGAAACGACCTTGAAGGCTCGAAACGTCGTTATCCAGCGAAAAAACAAAACTTCAACAAACGTATTCAATTGCCGTCAATACAAGAAACGCAATTAAACAAAGTCGGACAAAATAAAGAAAAAGACTCCAATGAATCTGGGAGAGATCCTACGGACAAATGGTTGTCCAGAAATACCAACGGGAGGAGAAACGTCATCGACAAACAGCAGTACGTCGCTTCTTGGGATCTCAGTGCCAGTGAGGAAACATTCAAAAAGCCTGGCAAATGTGACAACCGATTAGGCAAAACATCATCAGCGCTTAATTTTGAGCGGGGTACGGATGAGTCAACATGTACACAGGCTCAGGTTAATAACAACGGCAGTGTGATGGGTGAAATACCTGGTAAGAATTGGATGGAAAAAAGTAAGACGAGTTTCAGCGTTGAAAGCAAGGATACAGAGCATGAAGCTCCAAGCTTGACAAACACGAAAATCTCTTCGGTTCGCCGAGGCACGAACACTACAAGTGAACTGAAGTCAATTTTAGACAAGACGACCGAGATTCGGGTGAGGCAATTTCTGAAGTTGCCTTCGATAGGAGGGATTTGCGAAAGTCCTGAGCCAACACACACGGATGGTAAAGATCAGAAACCAAGGTCACACGGGAAAGAAACGTCAAGTGAGGATAATTCTCATATAGGAAAACAAAGAGCCATCAGCTCACTGTGGAAAAATCTCGTTCATTGCAGATATCTACGTATAGGGGAAGAGCATCTCCGTGAACATAAAATTACGAACAAAATGTGCGGGTGTAACTGGTGTGCCATGATGAGAAAATCGAGAGCGTGAACAGGAAATATATTCGTTTTTGCCTGCGTATTTTTAAAGCGATATCATGCACACGGTCACACACTACCGTTTTTAGGACGACCATGCGTTGGTGAGCCTATTTAGTGTTACACTATTTGGATTTGGGTCATCTCTTGAAAATCAGTTCAGTTGTGAATTTTGTGTAACGTCAACTTTAACTAGCTTTACCTCAGGCAGAAAATGAATGCAGCACTGCACGCATGCTTTTACTAAAAACACGCAGGCTACATTCTATATATACGTCATGCAGAAGTAATTTACATGGATCCCCGACTATATAAACTGGTTGAAGAATGCAATTATACAACCCAACTGTGCCCATTGGCAGTGCTTGTCAGCAAAGCTTAATGCTTACAGCATTTGTATAATATATCAACCATATCCAACCATATTCAACCTCAACCTCCGTCGCAGGGCAATTTCCCTACGAAAGACCCTGGGTTGATTCAATCATTCATGAAGTACAGACCACGTTGTATACTTTTATTAATTCATTTTAATTCACACGTTTTACTGAATGAAAAAGACACTGCAAATAGACAACCTTGTTATTTTAAAAACTGAAATTTACTCAAAACGCCCCAAGTCCTAATATATCGTCAACATTTCTCGTTGTGTGTTCCAGCGCATTCTTTGAGACGTAAGACATTTCAGAGTTTGTACGGGACTCTAAATCCTGTTTATTTCCTTTCCACATCGAAGGCTTCTTTGCCTGGGCAACTAAAATGGAAAAACGTGCATGAATTACAAAGCAGAGATATATTAAAAAAAAATTATATTGCAAATATCTATAAAAACTACGCGCACACGTATGTTCTGCCTATATGCAGCTCTTAGCCTCTTACATTGCCCATTCGTGCTATGATTCATTGGAACTGATGTTGTAACTCATTACTCATGTGAATTGTAACGATAACTTGGTCGCCATCTTTGAAGCCAATTTGACGGACCAGTGCCATGCAGTACATTTCTCTATTGTTTTGTTTTCACTCCTGACGATCGCGTGCCGACAAAAAAAAAAGAAACTATAGAGTATATGGTCCTCAATCCGGCTCCAAAGATGGCGGTGAACATGGCAGCCAAATGACCGTCCAGTCTTTATACAGTTCACTGTTTGAATGCTATTAAAGAACGCAAAGAACAATGGGAGAACAAGGAGTCTGAGATGTTTGCCAAACACGTGCGAACAGCAAAACCTTTTATAGCTAGGTTAGCTTATTCAGAAAGTCGCCGATCAATGTGCTTCGAAAGTTAGAACTCAGTAGCTGATCGAGGTTTATTAAATTACCGAGGAGCAGACTATTATAATGGCATCATTATGATGCTGGGCATCAAGGTAAATACGTGTATATTCTACCAGTACAGCGTTGTTCAATTATATATGTGTGCAGTTATAGCACGTTTCAGCCGATATTCAACCTTGCGAAATGGACATTGCTGAAACAATTCCTTGAGCATGGTGAATTGCATTCCAGCACGTGTGGCAGACTTTCATCACCACCAATCCGTATAGACCAAAGCTATCACTAAAAACCTTAAGAATGTAGGACGAGGACGCGCTTAAAACACTCATTCAAATAATTGCTTTAGTAAAAAGTTGTTGTGAATTATCAATCGCATGTATATAAGACGTTGAAAACGTCATTATATTGGGTTTGTATTTAGGAACAATTATATGGAGCCTATATGTAGACTTGGTGTATCTTAACTCTTGAGGTCCCTAATTGAACATTGGAACGCATGAATGTGCGTGAATGTGCGTTAGGGCTTGTTTTTATTCAGTCATAATTGTCGTGAATAAGTCCCTTTCGCCGATGAGAGGTAGCCCGAATGTAAATTCGTCTTTATTTTCTGTATTCAAATCGGTCATGCAGTGACTGCACACTCGCAGCAATATATTCTAATACATCAACCACCTTGACATGTTCACAACAGTATATTAACGACTAAATAAGAACCACCTTTAAATGGTAAAATAATAAACTGTTGAATATATAATTATATATATGTAAATTAAATGATATAGTCCTATATACCTGTGACGTTTAGTGCAGCCATGACATTAAGTAAGGGCCGAAATGGGACTGTCTCTGACTCCGAATGATCACTGCCTGAACTTTTCAGTGAAGAAACTAAAAAATAGGATCAAACTAATTGCATGTAACAAAGTGAAGTTAATTATAACGGAGTAATATATATCATATATAAAACTCCCATATCGTGTACCGTAGCAATATGACAACCATTTATAATAAATTGAAATGAAGTATTTCAATCCACGCATGCAGTGAACATGCATGTGTTCGATCAGGGCGCTTAATATGCCTTATACATTCGATCAAAGCATTGTACGAGAAAGAGATGTTAGCCTCAATAAGTTGCCTCGTACGGTTTTTATTTACTATTATACAACAGTCTATTACTATAATATGTATCTAAAATCACAACGTTGTCGTACGTGTAGTGCGCTATCATAGAATATTACTGCATGTAGCTATACCTGTCCTTTGGAATTCATCAAAACGCTGACTTTGAGTGAGAAAATCTTTCGAGTCGTTTCGGAAGTGATCATCTGCAAATTATAATACGAAGAGGAAATGAAGAAATCTGTTGAACCTGCACGAAGGGGTTTAACATTAATATGGCTTTGCCAGCGCAGGAGTTCCTGCTGTGCTTATTAATGGTAAATAGCAAACCTTCGATCAGCAACTTCGAGACATATCTTTGACAAAGAATTCTGTAAAATTACGATAGATCAAATATGAAATGCGGAATATAGAACAATCTATCACTAGCGGCACATACTGTGAAACTGACCTCGAGACACCCGGACTACTCCACTTTTCCAAAAAATGGATGGCTTTGGGCTAAAATATATGCGTTGGATAGAGTCATATGAGAAAGCCTTTTAAAACAACATTCCCATATTTTACCCATACAATATCAAGCTATACAATATACTCTATATACCCTACACCATATTTGATGCACAATCACATCATACCAACAGTAATAGCTATACTTTGTATTATTATAATCACAATAAAGCGAGTACGTTATACAGCTTTCTGCAGTACATAGTTTATTCATGATTTTTTTAAAATCAATTCAACCCTCTTTGTACAACTATACTTAGGTGTTTACCTAGAACGGGTAAATCTACAAAATTATAGCGACCTTAGAAGCAATAAACAAGAAATTGGTAGGCGATAAATTTGACGTCATGCAGTTGCATGGATGTATATAAACAGCTGTAAGGAGAATATACGATGCACCGACCTGATCAAAACTACAAATAAGCCGAGATATCAAATGTGAATACGACTCGTCATCTCCAACATCTATCAACAACAGTATATTAACAATAGACGTATCATCTTCATTATTATCCGCACGAATAAAACTGAAGAATATACAAATGCCTGCCAAAGCCCTACCATGTAAAAGTCGATTCATGAATTCTGTTTCCAAGCTGAAGATTTTATTGATTACATACTGAATAAATAACCTAAGGAAAATAAAGAAGTTTTAAAGAAATATGATCGGCAATAAACCCTTTCGATAATTACGTCAACATTATCGTTCTAAATTTAGAATCACCTTATTGAGATGGATTTTAAATTTTACTCGCACGAGCCACGTGCAAAGATACAAAACATTGTTCTTTAATACATGCATGAAAAATAATTTTTAACTTTGACCATAAAATGCGAGAATAAGCTGGAACACTAAAACGAGGCTACCAGCCACGACCGGGAGCCTCGTTCTCGAGTAATGGCTAATTTTCATACTTATTTGTCAAAATAAAAAATTCTTTTTCATGCATTGGTTGAAGAAGGATGTTTTGCATCTTTGCACCTGGCTCATGAGAGTAAAACGTGAAGTCCATCGGTAATCGTTGAAAGAAATTGGAGAAAGGCCACGAAATTGTGCAGAAAAAGCAATTGACGAAAAAACAATATATCTAATATAATATTTCTACCTTTCCTCAAGACAACGAAATCCCATAAATACAAAGAAGGTGTGGAATCCTACATGATGAAATAATTGAAATACGAAAAATATAATATATCGATCCATACAATTTCAGCTACCGCGTCGCTGTGTATTAATAAAAACACATACTATACATGGTTTCTTACCAGTGGGTATAGGAAAGTGAATTTGATTTACAGCCATGTGGTATCTTTCGAATAACATGAGAAGTGCACGTTCCCTACTCGTGCCTCGGGTATTTCTTGAAGAAAAAATACTATAGCTTTATCTTTTTATTTAAGAAAAATAGTATATGATGAATGATGGACAATATAATAATTTCAAACATATCTTACAGTGAATGATCGTACGGATGAGTGTCGTCGGAATAATTTAGTCCCGACCAAAACAAATCAAGTAATTTGCTAGACTGTTTTTTCTAAATAAACAACAAACGAATATTGAATCGAGAGCGAACATGCAGCATTTGTACAGATGCTGGTTTTCCAACTTAAAATGTCGCCTACAAGTGCATGACCTTGCTCTAGACCAACAAGACGAGTTAAAATTTATATACAAATCACTAGCTGTATATAATGTATATCCCCTCCCTAGGTATATTATGTATCTTGGGAAATGGAGGTAACAGCTTTCTATGCATCAGACTTTTTATTTTTTAAAATCAACATTTCTTATGTTGGCCATTCTTGGAATTGATTTCATATTCTTTCAGGCAATCAAAATTACTTCTGTTTTGACAAAACTTACTTGACATGCTATATATTCCATGGCCATTTTTTGAATTTTCATTTTTGGTACTTCAGAAGGAAGATAGCGATGAAAGAATCGTGTCAAACTATCTAAAACCTAAAAAGAAAAGTACACAGCATTTTCACGGATTTTGTATATCGATGCGTAGAGTACAAAAAAATGCACCGTGTGACAAACCTTCATGCTTCTCCCTTCTTCTTTTTCCACTGTGGCGTCATCACACCGAATATATTCCAAGTATTCGGGTTTGTATTCTAAGAGAAGAAAATGCAGCGATGATGTCTTGCATTCTTACTTCGGGTACATCTTGTAGACAACGAGACCAATTTTTAAAAGTGGTTTATACACAATTGAGTTCTAAAAACGATTTGTAAAATACCTTTCGAAAACTCAGAATTTCCTTGTATTTGATTTTCAACTAACTGAAACCTCCTAAATGGGTGAAATATTCTATATTTACGATATAAGTTCTAAGTATAATCATGGACAATAAAATTACTAAATAAAATGAATAAAGTCTTTTAACTATCCATGGTATAACGTAAGTATAATGTTTACAATGCGTACAGGCCCACAATACCTGAACTTCTGAAAAATCGACGAGAAGCCGCTTTCGGCAGTCTATAATTATAGCCGGAATTCAGTGTGATCTTTCGTTATCGCAGCAATAAGAGTTTTTTAACGAATAAAGTACCGAAGTTTTATATCATTATCAACTTTATAGCTAACAGTTTACTTTTCCCGCTTACCGAAGACGAGTCATTGGTCCTTGGTATTTCTTCCTGCATTGAAATTTTCTTTAGCGAAAATCTTAAATACAAATAATATATAATTATTGGATGAGGTTGAGCGTGATATTGAGAATTATTAAGGCAGAGGTTGGTGTTATCTGACAAAGCCATAGGCTGATAACGCCGACCGAAGCCTTGATAATTCCCAGTATGACGCGAAAACCGAATTTAATAATTATTTTATTATTCACCTGATTAAATGGTAGTAAAGAAGTTGAATAAATTAGTAAATTAATAAATTAAACGTCACAATTACAGAATACCAGGAATTATTTGTAAATTTGACGTCATAATTATAAATACCAGGAATTATTTGTGGGTGGCTAACTAATCAAAACGGATATTGCATATAGTGTACAGTGGATAATAATAAATGTTGCATGTCTATTTATACATTATACCGGTTTAATTTACATTAGCCGGTTAGGTATAAAAAATTACACTATATAGGATAACATTAAACAGTTAGTGGTATAGCAGCAGCATTTAGTTCTCGCAAAAGGAATACCGTATTTACTCGATTGAGCGCCGCCCCCGATTGAGTGCCGCACTAATTATTTTCAAGTTCGGCGCACCATCGTAAGGCGCAGGTCAGCCGTGAAGGCAGAGATTCCAGTGATTTGTGCGAGGATTTGTTTTCTGTAAAATGCCCAAATGCTCGCTGTCAAAGTGGGGACATTTAGCTACATCTAACTTTCAATTCTATTCATTTAAAGTTCTTGTTACAATTCACATATAATATTTTCTAAAGAGCGCCGCCCTCGATTAAGCGCCGCATCTGAAGTTCTAAAAATTTAAAGACCGCCGCGGCGCTCAAACGAGTAAATACGGTATTAACCTTAAGGTATTCCGTTTTATCATATAGCTACATAAATATAGATCAGTGTGAATGTGTGTAGGTATAAAATTGGTTTACTACCAACCTATATCACAGACGCGGTCTACTAACCTATCGACAGAACTTGCGAAAGACAGATTTTGCCTGAGAAATATCCAAAATTCTAACTCTTTTCTTTTTTCGTCCTAGAAGTAATTAAAGAACTTCTTTTTCAATAAGGGTAAAAAAAAGCAACAGATCGGGATCCGGGCTTTTCTTATGGGCTACGAGAAGATAAAAAAGAACTTTTTCTTCAAAGATCGAGGTAAGATCTTTCTTTAAAATGAGCGGAATTTTGGCAGCCAAGGAATAAATTTATCCTTTTTGGAAGAGTATCAACAGAAAAACCATGGCTTGAGCGTCATAACCGAAACCATAGTACACCAGCCCTCAATGAGAACGGCAATATATGTCGTTCGTTCGCAATCAATGAATCCAGGATGCGCCTGATATCTTCTATTCTCTTTTTCAAATTTCACATATATTGTTTCTCATGTCAGCCAGCCAGATATATTTGAGGCATTAGCACTTGAAGGGCTTGCAGTCCTTCAACGTGTTCGATGCTTGCATGATAACGATGATCATACCTTAAACGTTTGGTTGAGGATTTTACTTGACTTCATGGGTGTGTATGAAATTTGTGCGATCTTTTCACCCTTTCGGTTCTGGTTAAAAAGGAAACGCGAAAATTTTTACAGTCAGTGAATCGATAGTTCCGAAGTCGATAAAATGGTATTGCTGGTTTACCCTTATTTTTAGTTTAATACACTTCACTCGGATTCTTCACTCGAAGAACCAGGCCCAAACTTTAACGGTTATTGTACAATCAGTAATGAGACATGTTGCTCTCTACTGTACCGTCTCTAGATGTCCACGAAAAGGTTCAGTATTCGAGAAAGGCAACAGCTTGTAAACGGATGCCTCAACTTGAAATTTCATTTGAAAATATGTTGAACCTGGGAATCAGAACCAATACTGAAAAATCCATGTTCATTATGATTATAAAAATATAATGTTTATATTATCATGGATAGTTAAAAGACTGATTTTACTATCCATGATATCATTATATACGATTTGCTAAAAGTTGGAATGGAAATATTTTTGCTAATATTTCAAATCTTATCGCAACAGAGGGTCTGCATCCAGTGATAACCGAATGACCTATAGCACATGTCTTATTTTCACGTTGTCAACGGTTAGGAATTTATGCATTTCAGCATATATGTTCACCATATATTATCTTTACTATAAGTAAGTTATTGGACAGGAGTGGGAATGACGGCATACAAAAATAAACTGTGGATATTACAAGGAAATTCGGGACAAAAAACTTCGTTGTTAATTAGCGAATTATAATATAACGAATTATATACCAATGAGATATTCATTCAATATATCAACACACTCTGGATTGGCAGGATCACATGCCAAGTGACCAAAAATCTGAAACAAGAGGAAATATAAAATATTACATTGAAAAAGCGGACACCATTGATTTAATATTTCTCCCATTTGCGCTAAGTTCTTAAACCTGAATTTGACTTTTGATTTGACGAATGATTTATGAACATATATTGACGAGTATAAATAAAAAGTATATAGCTATTTTGCACAGGTGATTTCATTTTTCTACAGTCTATGAATGGGGATATACGAAAAAGCAAACTATAGGATATGATCACAGTCCACTGGGAAGTTTCTTTAATTATAGCTACTACATTCAACCAATTCAATAAAGTCGTCCTTTGTAAACCTTGAATTTCACACTTGAAACGCACTCTAAGCGCGCCAAGAATATTATGATCGATTACATTATTCTTAATTCATCTCCCATTATGCTCTGCGAGCTCCGAATTTCTTGCCGTAATAGAATCGATCTTTCTGGGGCCGAAGAAGATTATATACCTATATTATTACGTACTTGCAACATAATATCTGGATCCTGAATGTGCAAGATGCTGAAGTGCAGCAAAGCTAGTCTTGTCGTGTCACAGTGGGTGCTGAAAAAAATCACTGCCTTTATAGCTCGGTATAGACAACTGAAGAATTACTTACATTACATAAGTACACATAACCATGTTTTATTACAGATTCCTCGAACACAGACAGGTGATGGTATAAAAACAATACAACACCTTAAAAAGCAGTCAGTCCAGTAGTTATTCTTAATATTCAACTTGAATAACTTGCACAGCCTTGGCTCAAACAACTGAAGTTCTAAATAAAGTGGAACAGGAATGCACAGGAATTAAGACGCGTCTGCATGTTGTTGGCAAGGGCGCTGACCAATCGACTTAACCAGGCATGCAGCGAGGACAAGCCATGCAAGATTTCTATATTTACTGTAATTATTGATAAATTCTAATCTTTAAACACCTACGACAGGTTAAAGTACGAAAGACCCTACGTACGAGGTGGCGACAGGTTCAGTTTCCTACGACAGGATATATATTGGTATAACATGATAGCAACACAACAGGACTAATACCTTCTTGCTGGATCGCTTTTCTTGGTTTGCTGTTAAAACATCTAAATTCAGAAAGTTGCTCATCCGAGATTGACAATTCCTCGCTGTCTGGCCCTGAAATTGTGTATTTCATAATAACTATATGGAACTATATTAATAGCACATCGCGGTTCAGCTATCTGTGCATGCGCTAGCTGTGCATCTCGTATTCACCCAACGACTGCTTATTAGTACTCCATGCAACGACGGAAAAAGGAAAGTATACAGGCATCGAGATATTTTACTACGTTCTTCATGTAATGTAGACTCATGAGGTTTCAAGGGTATTAATTTCGAGTGGAATTATACACACTTCAAATTCAAGCCAGTAACAGTTGATAGGAAAATGAGCCATTAGCTAATTTAAAATTTATTCAGAAAAAAACGCAGTGCATGGTTTCCGTAATGCAACCTCTATAGTTAAGCTGGAAAGCTTTGCTTAGGATAAAATGAAGGAAGGAAGCTTCAAATTCTTGCACAAAAGTCAACAATGTTTCGTATAATTCCTATTCGAACAGACAAGATCAAGCTTGAGGTCGTTTTCGTAAGGGGTCAGCCAAATGTTTTTAGGGTTTCATGGGGCAAACTAAAGAGCCCTTTGTCGATCGAATCATGCAAAAATGCGTAAGTGAATGTGGCGACAGAAAATAGGTGAAATGAAATGGCGGGAATTCAAAGGACTGGGATTAGTTGTCTAATAAAAATCCATTTCTCGCTTGAAACTATTTCTTAAAATATTCGGCTTCAAATTTATGCCAGAGCTATAGATTTTATAACTAAACATAATTTACAACATTTGGACTAATTTGGACTAGATATAGGTCCGGTTTTCATTGCTAAAGTCTTTGTGATCACATTAAAATTTTAAATTCCTTAATAGCGACGAAAAGTACCTGACAGAAAAAGATGATGACATGGCGGGTGTTCGGCGTTGCAATCCAAAATATGAAATACATATCCTGGTAAAATAACTGCGATACAGTCATCTTAAAATAGAACAAGTAAAAAATATTAAACATGCGTCTGTATTTAAATATTGACTATACATGGACGCATGCACAGTTATTATTTTTATGGCATTTAGCTAACGATTTTTGGTAATCCAAAAACTTGCTTTTCTGGCAATACTTTTTATTGCATATATATCTTTACAATTCAGTAGACATCAACTAACACTAACGCTCCCTTTCGTTGACCTATGGCTAACATGATAGAGTCAAATCTCAACCTTTCTAGTACTATAGCGAGCCAAGAAACTGCATTAAATTAAGAATTGCTGTATACAGTCACCCAAAAAACACATGCACTTACTCAACATTACAAAAAGCAGTCTTGCTTGATCGATAAGATTACTGGGTACAACGTTCGGAACCTTGCATCTTAGAATTGCTCCTAGGAAACAACAAAGCATGTATTTATGTTAACAAGCCATACTACAATACTTGTATTCATCGCCGTAATGCAGAATCAACATCAACATGTACATTACTGTAATATATACATGCACATGCGCATGCCGCTTGGACATTGTCTGAAAACAAAGTAATGCATACCATGATGCAACATAAATATCGAATACTCCAGGACTGATTGTTGAGGCTCAAATTCACCACCACCATCTGTAACGTCGGTTGAACTTGCCGTATCCTAAGATGAGTAAGATCACATATTAATATATGACCTGTATTATAATCGGTAATATTTTGACAAGAGAGACAACTGAGGCACTACTTTTCATCGCTCAAATGCTAGTGAGGGTATTGCAAACTCTCCTTGGTTATATAAATTGCATGCTGAGAGGAGTTTTGTTGAAAAATTAATCATCGTCGGTTTTTTTTGCCAATTGAAATACCTGAATTGGTCTGGTATCCTCATTCAAAGGATGTTGATAGCAAAGGAAAAACGATCCTAGAAAAATAAATGTTCATTTTGGTTCCACATGCTTGCAAATGGATTGCGAGCAATTTTTGATGGAGAAAGCATGCACTTACAAAACATTCGCAACTATATAAGATATGATATACTCAGAGCTGGTGGCAATTTCATTCTGACATCAAATTAAATACTGCTCATTAGGAAGTGTTGCAAATGATAGAAATATAGAAAACATTCAAATAGATGGCACTGTGAGCAAACTATTTTTTCACGTGGGAATAAACAGAAAAGACAATAATTAGATGCAACATTTTAACAAATTGTATCTTGCTCTCCAAAATCGTCAGCTGGTTAAGGCTTTTAAAATTTCCCAGGTTTCGCATGCCGATATTCTGGCTGTACGCATTTTGTATAATATAGCCACAATATAGCCATGCAAAATGCAAACAAGGCTTTTGTAAACATTTGGACTTTACTCCATTTTATTAAACCTTCAAGGCCTTACCATCTGGAGACGAAACCACTTGCATATTTACATCACTTTCTAAAGGTAATTTTGAAAAGAAAGAAAGAAATATATCGTATAATAAAGACATATACTGTGTCTGTGGGTTTATCGTATTGTAATTGGCTACGCTGCCTAATTTAATTGCATTAAAATTTGAAAATACCTGAAACAAATTTTGACAGAGGCTTGCGGTCGTACTGTAACCTACACAAACAGGTTTGGATTTACAACATTTCTTTGACAAAAGGTGGTGATGCCAGCTTTTTAATCACGAATACCGTGTGTACGGGTGATGAAAAATTAAAAACGGGCGGGAAAATATTAATAAACTGATCAATAAACTGGTTAAGTAACACGGCTCACTGTATATTTAATATAATTCGATCTTTTCCTATATAGTAATCCTGTATCGAGGTCCAACGTGGTCCTAACTCATAAACATTTTCTATTTCCTATTTCCTCATGCACGGGGATGGATGCAAGTGCGTAAACATTCTTCTAGTTAATAACTACCTTGTATTTGAAGGAGACCCAACCGAAAATGGGCAAATTAATTTCATCTATAATGAAAAGTACAGTAATAGTTAGAAAACAAGGAGAATCTACGATCGAAATTACACATCTCTACCCATACAGCATAAGGCCTAAACATTACCAAAGTAATTTGTTGGGCTGTGTATTTGAGAGTTTTATATACTACAGATTTTAGAGGTATAGGGTGAATCATTACTGAGTTTTTGGAATACGGTAATCATATTCCTCATAAAGGTCATCATCATCGCTCGTGAGCTATTGTAGGTAGTTATATTAAAGCCTATAGTTCACATATGTCGCCTTCTTTCGACGTCGTCCGTGACAAAAAATGGTAGCTATATCCAAAATAACAAAGCACTTTCCGGCAGTATTTACCGTAACAACGCGAGGGGATGTTTCACAAAATTGAATCGCAGAGAAAATAAGATCTGCACTTTCATCATCAGACTAGAAAGAGAAAAAACTCCTGTAGCAATGTCAATGTGGATAACTTCCTATAGTTATAGGCATGACATCATCATCGTTGAAAAACTGGGGCAACCCCCTTATAACCGTTGCAAAAATGCATCAGGAAAATTTGATTATTGTATTCATACCGGTTATGCTATAAGTGGATAAATCGCAAATCATGCACTATGCGCATTGAAACGATTTCCACACAGTTTTGACCATAGTCATAAGTCAATTATGTTTTTTTGTAATATAATTAACACATACTTGTACAGAAAAATCTGTGGAAACATTTACCTCAGAATAAACATAATATAAACGTTTCCGATGTCGCTCGAACTGCGCCCACACGAACCGTTTTACCAAGTTTTCCACTTGTGGTTGACTACTCATTATCTGTCAATCGAGGGACTTTGTATAAGTATAACTATAGTTAGTGACTGAAAAGGCGTATTCTGAGGTTGCTAAAAATGTAGTTTATTCATTGAGCCTTTAAGCCCCCTCCTCATTTGCGGGAACATCTCGTTTTAATTACTATTAGCATGGGGTGTTTTAAGCAGGAGTGGTACATCTACATCTGTAAAAAGTCGTCATTCGACAGCTACCTACCATTCCACAATCAATTCTTGCCAGAGGTATGTGATACAGGTCAATTGCTGGAATGAGAGAGAATAGTTGGCAAGGCGTGTGATAATTTCAAGCTTACGTCTGCCTTAATTTAATGTAGTCAGAAACAAAACGTTCGCTAAAAAGGGTTTTCACCAGTACAGTAGGAATGATACTATATAAACCGTATTTTGAGCGAACGCTATGGTGCGATTTTGCGCCATTTTGATTTTGCACAGTACAGTTTCTTTTTCGCATGCAATATGGTGCGATTAATTTTACATTTTAACTATAATTATATTCAAATATATACTACGTCCATGCACTTAGTGGTTACAGTGGCGTAACTAGAACGATAATTTGGGGGGGGGGGGGAACAAGTGCAATAGATTACAATAGAAATCCGTCGGGCAAAACTGAATATATGAATATTCACCAGCCCCCAATTATCGTTCTAGTTACGCCCCTGAGTGGTTACATAGATAACCGAAGATGTGTGGTGCGAGTTGTATTAAAAAAATAATGAAAAGTGAAACCTCTTTGACCTATAGTAGCTCAGTTGAAAGAGCAGTGCACCAATAAACTATTTAAGGCTGCAGGTTCGATTCCATCGTGATCAAGTAAAAACAATTGTAAATTTTTTAACCGGACATAAATTGTACAGTACTAAAGTTACAGGCAGTATGGTTTCATGATCAATTTAATAGTTTCCATCTATCAATTATAAAATTTTATTTACAATGAAAAACTTTTTACACACATTTTGTATGATGAAAGAACAGCATATGACTCTCCCTGCGAGCAGATCCACCATACAATGGGTACTTTCCATGTAGAAACTAAATGCACAACAATTATTGTATAGCATTTACAGCTTGAAGGAACCGGATTCACATTGATTGGAGTTTAGCAATTTTGCATTAACTGGATAAAATGCCATTACCCTTTATGTTGTTTCTGTATGTAGTATGTACTACAGAGATTCAATCTAATTCTTCTCACCTGCACTTTCTGGTAATGTGGTTGATCAACAGCCAACTTAAATACTCTGTTTTTTGGAGATATTTCCGCAATAATTGATTTGTAAGTACCTTTAATAGAATAAAGACACAGTTCATTTGTATGCGTGCCGTGATGGATGAGCTAGCTACTCCTACAAAAATATTGTAGAATATAAGTAAATTACCAACACTTTCTTCAGCAGGATTAAAATCATGAGGTTTGAGTTCAATAACAGTAAAAGCTGAAAAAAATGAAAATCCAGGAATAGTTTCTTACTCATAGCCAACCGCGAATGCAGCATTTCAATGCAACTAAGTTATGTACGTAAATCTGCTATATCAATCAATAACATGTCAAACAAAACAATACCCAGCAATGTCCTCTCTTCATTAACAGAAGCTGTCACAACATCTACCTTCCTGTCATGATCAAACAATATCTGCAAAAATGGTTGTATATACATATAATTTTCTCAATTTTATGAGCTAACGGCCATGATACCATTGCTCATAATCGTTATAGGTATAAAAAGTACTTACTGATGATTTCTTCGTGGTTAGGTCATACAGACAAAAATATGTGATTTCCATCTCTGACTAAATATAAAATATTTATATATTCTCATTTACATGTAAAAATTGTAAACCATCTAGTAATTTGTAATGATCTCGTATACTTAGATCCTAGTCAGGTTCCGGAGTTATCATTTCTAAAATTTTGTGTACATATGCATGGCCACACAACAGTGCTTGAACTTAATTCAACTATATTCATCCAATTTATAGGACAAACATTAGGTATATATCAATATCATATGTTAACCTTTGTTTTGTCTGGTTTGCCATCCCATGTGAACAGCAATAGGTCATCACTAACTTGTCCAACAATATGAGCATTGCAACTTTCTTTAATGGCATCCACATCTTAAGTCAACCAATTATAAAATAATATAACTATAGTCTATAATAAATTTTGTTAGGTAATGTGGATGCATTAATTAGCTTTGTCAGATACAGGATAGGATGACAGCTGAGGAAGGGCAGTCACCGGGGTGGTGCTAGCTCTACTGTTTTGTAACTTAATAGCACACCAGCTGGTCAGTGTGGAAAGTTTGTATAGTGCAACTGAGATATCGGGCGTGCAATTTTGATGTCTCCTATATATACTAGTATTTTTTTGAAATCTCGAGTGCACAGTTTGCATACTTTCCAGTCAGACCAGCTGGCGATCACAGAATATGGCAATCAAATAATCCACCTTTTATTCCATAATCATAGTTTATTCTGCCACTACAGATTATACCAACTGCTTGGTCCCACCAGAAACCCCTCCCAAAACCTCCTGTGCCTTAAAAACAATGTATGCCTGCCAATTGCAAGGCATTCAAGCACACTAAACACCTCTGGATCCTTTATATTCCCTGTGCTGTATGTAGTTAACAGCTTCACATAGACTGTAGTATATCTTTGGATACGCCATTCATATTGTATTGTAGTGGTGTAGAGTGTACCTTGTACATCCCTTTTTCTGAATGTTTTTTTCACTCTCTCAACTATCCAAGGAAAAATATCATCGTCAAAATCGAACACTTTCTCGAGGTTCATCTTCACACGATAGCATCTCCCTTCCTGGAAATTCCTTTCGTTACATTTTATAATTTTATTTCTTTACTGTAAATATTCAAATTTAAAAACACTTCTGTAACAACTTCCTTTCTCTATTTTGCATACTATATTTTGATCTTGTGATTTAAATTGATGGATAATGAGGAGAAAGTTGTGATAATTAGGGTTGATTTGAGGTTCTCTCGTTGTCATGGCAACATTGGGCATGTGAGCTGTTCTGAAACAGTTTTGTAGAAAATTCTGACAACAACATCATAAATGTGTGTGTTAAAACATCGAAAAGAAACATTTTTAAAAAACAATGAGTGACCCAGATGAGAAGAAGGAAACCTTCAGTGATACTGACTCTGCTATATATGCCATTGCACCAAAATTATCCCAAGAAGAAGGGCAAGTAGATGTATCGTCAAGTCCAGCTTTTCAGTGTTTGGATGATGTGAGTTCAAATAATTTCTCGAATTTCAATGCTTTGTATTTTTGGCTTTTGCCAATAGCTCAATACATTAAATATTGTATCCTTTCTTATATCTATTTATTAAAATTGATAACGAAACGTCGTAACCGAAGTGTTATGTGTCTTATATAACTAATAGTCAGGTGTATGGGAATATAAATATTAGATAAAATTGTTTGATCATTGTGATCATTGACTATCTTTATTTTTGATAGTCTATGTTGTGATCAATTTCTTTAAAATGTGGATGAACGAGGGCTATATTGCTGTAAAGTGTCTCGGTGATTTCAACAATTGGTTTTTTGCTGAAGATTGAAAACTCGGCTCTATTAGAATCTACCTTACTCATCACCATTCAGTCCAAAGTATTTTAGAATATACTTTGGAGTTTGGACTGAAAGGTGATGACTCTCAGTCGATCCAATCCCTTTCTAATGTTTTTGTCTGCACAATCATCTATGAAGATAAAAATAATAGAAATGGACTGGCACTGCATGAAGCCTAATTTGAGTTTGAATTGGCTTCAAAGCTAGATGGTGTTCAGATATATAAACCTAATAGGAAACCTATCAGTTATTGTCTCAGGCTTTATATTAATGACAACTGTGGACAAATACCACATTTGATGCAGAGTTGTTTGAAAATGCTGTCATGCTGCTTATGTTGGCATTGTCCTTGACCATTATATCAAAATACCTCTATATAAATCCCCAAATATCCTATAAAATCATCCTGACATGCTTATAATGAAAATCATTCTTAATATGAAATAGAAAGTATATGCAGTTAGGAAGTCAGAAATAGCATTGTTTTGGATAAAATTCTACATCAATAAATGCCTATATATGATGAAGTTAAGTATTTGTTGATATATTATATTTATGGTGCTGAGTTAGTGTTACCAGGCATGCCAGCTGAAAAACTATATAACTTTAGAACATAAAGTATCAAATGGACTAGATTATCCAAAATATTATTTATTAGACTCATCTTGACTTAATAGTTTGCTTAACCCTTTTAGCTATTTCGTCAAGGGAAATTGGATGGCGAGAAATTAGCGAGGTTGAAGTCTATGTACACAGCCCATCATGACCTGCTCCAGACGACTAGAGAGTCAGAAAGTGCTTTGTTGGGCAAAGCCAAAGATTTACATCAGGAGGTTCAGAAACAAAGAGCTGAACTTGAGAAGGCTGACAACTTTCCTGAAGGTGATGTAACAGAAGTCAGCAGAGTAAGGCAGGATCTTTTGAAGCATTCTAATGAACTTGCACAAGCAGATGAAAGACAATACCAGCTCGATTTCATTTTGGGTGGATTGAAAGAGGAAAAGACCATGTTAGAGAGAGAGTATGCTCGCATGCCCAAGGAGGAGGAAATTGAGAAAGAAGTGAAGGAAATCAAAAAGTTCAATGAAGATATAAAACTGGAAGTGGCGAAAAGGAATCAGGAAGCCAAGACTTTGAAGGAGGAACTGGAAACAAGGGATCGTGAAGTGAAACAACTTCAAAGCGAATATGAGAAAAGTTCTTACGAAGAACAGAATTTTAAATCTCAACTGTTGGAAGTTCACTCTCAACCTGCTCATTTGATGAAACAGGTTGACCTCATGTCAAGACAGCTGAAGTAAGTCGAGTCTTCACTTCACATTAGCAATCTTGTACTCCAAAACATCAGAATGGTGCCTTAGGTCTGTTTTATACATTGCATTTTGGTTGTGTCAAATGCAATTCAAGCATCGTACATTAATGCAAAGGTTAAGGCCTGATTCACACAATTGATCGACTGAAAGAAACATGCCTTTACATCCCAAGTTCTCATGGAATCCATTTGGACACCATCATCATACACTCAGTGAAATCATTTCTGGCTAATATCAGCTCATTTCAGGTGGGCTCAGAAGCAAGTGAATTGATAAAACTATTCTGTGTATTGTAGAGAATTTGACGATAAAAGAAAATCCTTTGAATCAAGCATTGCTGATGTGAATAAGGAGGTAATGAAGACCGAACAATTACAAGAGTTGTCAAATTTATATACTGCATAATTTTGTTACGTTCATTGTATGAATCAATGTGGATGGAATCGGTGAATTATATTTCATGTTTACAGCTGCAGTTATTGGAAAATAGAAGACAAAATTTGGATGATGAAAAAATGGAGTTGTCTATTTCCCTTGACAGACAACGTCATACAAATGAATCAAAGGTAGGTACTATATAATGCATAATATAATGATTATGTATACATGTACAAATTTACACAAACAACAATTTTAATCATTCTCGCCATAATGTAAAAGTGTGAGTCGACATGCAAGTGGAATTGCCGCACTCACAAATCAGAGGTTCAGTCCAAGAACATTCACAGAATTTTTGCAGCTTGCAGTAAATTTTCGAGGTTCACATGAAGTGCGCGTATTGTCCCATTATAGATTTAGAATTAATTATAAACTTGAAAAACGTTTGATATTATTTATTACTTAAATATGGATTACATAAATGCGGATTTTTTTGGGAGAACATCGTAGTCTAGGATACCCCGGGACCGCGGTGGGATTTTTAGTTTTGATAATGCTTTTATTTTACGTAACAATTTTGTCGAATTGTAGTTGAGGTGTTTTTAACCTGTAAATAAACGATTTTGAATTGCAAACATCAATTTCGATTTATGAATCATTTCATTTCTCAATTAGGAACGAGATGTGGACATGTTTTTGAAAGATCTGGAGTTTTCCAAAGAAAAACAGGCTGAACTGATTGGTGATCGGTAAGTCCCTTCTTGGCCTAACTTTCTATTCATTGTCCTCATGTAACGAAGTGAATGCGCAGTTCAAAACTTCAATATATAAAACGAAATCTTTAAGCTAAAGTGTTTATCTTGCGGAAATTTCCTGTACTTTTAGAGCTACGGTTGATATCAACCTCAAACATATTTCGCTGGAGAGGAAGACGGAACATGATATCCATTGCAGGAAATTAAGGGAAAAAGACAGAGATCTCAAGTACGTAAACGGATCATATATGATAAAGAGTGTTAATGAGGACTAAACCTGTTATAATGTTCTATGATCTTACTAAACGTCATTGCATGACTTATTACACTCAATCCGGCATGATCACGTTGACGTTTTATGGTGGGTGGGAAAGTAATCCGTTCAATTGATAATACTGTCAATTTTTAAAAGCAAGCCTGATGTTTTTGCTATTCTCAAGGAATCTTAAGAAAGGTGAACTTCAGTTGAAAGTTGCAACCGATGCTTTAGAACAGGTGAAACTGGTGTTTGCAAAGGTGAAATCACAACTGGACACTGCTCCAAAAGACGATGGAACGTTGTTTCAAAAGCGAAAAGAGTTACAGAAAGAAGTGGATCTAGCCAAGAAAACGTTGGCACAGCAGGTAGGATATGTCTTCCATATACCACTAAACCAGAGTTGCGAGCGCACAGGAGCTACCTGTTGTTGGTTACTGTTAGTTAAATCAATAGGAATATACTCTAAGAAAAGAAAATCGCCCGCGTTGCCGAGGCTTAAAGGAAGATACAAATATCTTTTAAAAATTTTGCCTAATTTGTTTCATTTTGCTTAGAACGGGTATACGTCACATGAACGAGCCAGGGTTGAACAAATGATTTTGGAACAGGAAAATCTTCTTCGCGATCAGTCCAATCTACGTCTGGACGTTGTAGATCTCAAAAGACTCGCAGCGATAAAGGTAGAAAATCTTTTCCTTCTCAGCCAAGACAAAGCCAATCGCGCCACTCTTCTCACTGTCGGGGGGGGGGGGTAAAACAGTATTATCTATTGTTTTTTAAGCGCTCGGCACATGAGAAGGGAAACGTTTGCCCATAAGCGACTCCTCGCAATATACCCAAAAGAGATACCCTATGCATGTGTTCACTAGATCGTTCAATGTCGGGGAAAACAGTGATTTCGAGGGATCACAATTTACGTTCCAATGCGCTGACTAACGTTAACCCTAATCGAAGCTCCTTCCCACCCCCTTTCCCCTTAGCCTCACTGATTATAAGACACTTTCTATTCATCCATCTGCATGTAGTTATATTCTCTGCTGTACACTTTAGGCTGACGAGAGGGAAAGCAAAGCACGAGATTTTGTAAGAGCTGAGGTAAGCATCTCCGTTGTTTTTCTTCGCTGCTTGCTTCCTTCCGTTTCTGCTGTGGTTTTGCTGCTGTTTTGTATTTTGTGTTGTGTTGTATTGTGTTGTGTGTCACTTGTTTTTATTGTTGTTTGTCCTGCTACGTTGGTCGCTGGCGCTGTTCTTTATATTTGGGAGTTGTGACTTTTGATGTTTTATCCTTGTGATGTTTTATAGTTGAGGTACCAAAGAGCCCAAGAAGATGTTAAGACTAAAAATCTCCACATTCAGGACAGCGCCAAGAAGTATTCTGAAATGCAACACAAGTTCGTATAATGTCGTATAATTCTTAATGGAAGCCTGTAAAAACACATCACTGAAGCCTTGCCAAAACGTTATTATTAAACTAAACTTTCATTTTCCGGTTGAAATCACAAGAATTAGCTGAAAATAATGTTTTTGTTGGACGTTTTCATTATCACTCTTTATTTATTCTTGATATATTTTTTAAAGACTTTCAGATTTTGCTAAACTCTACGATGTAATAAAAAATGAAAGAAACAAGTGCGTTAACCTTATCCAGACTAGCACGCAGGTATATACATAAATTTCTTTGTATATTCCCGAATCCGGGCCAGGAATTAACCGATTTGATAACCTTTTTTACTCTATTCTTATTCTAGAGGGCGTCTGAAATGCGTGAGAAAATTAAGATATTGCAAAATGAAATTGAAATATTAAGATCAAAAGTTAATTCTAAAGATAGGTAAGCTAATTAGTAAATTCTAAATTAGTTAAAGATACCGCGGTAAATTGCTTGAACTTTGCCATTTCTGTTACTCTTAATAGACATTCTCTAATTAGTTATTAGAAGGCAATTCGTATGTTTGAAGATGTAACTGAAGAACGTCGTTTATATGTAGCTGAGTGTATCATATTAGCTATATCTAATTATATGTATAATATGTTTTATGCTATAGGTCATTGCAAAAGTCTCACTTGAAAAAGAACAACGCAATAGCAATCAGAGATAGTTTAAGAAATGAAGTCAGCAAACAGGCTCGAATTGGGGAGGAAAACAGGGAGAAACGTGATCAAAAGGTTAAAATTTACGTCTTCAGGTTTTTGCGCTTGAATGTGCATATATTTTTTAGCATTTCACAACATTTCTCCCAAAATCTCAAAATTTGTTATTCTTGATAATATATACTCATTCACTCGATATTATATTTTAGCGAATGGACATTGCAAAATTAAACGATTTAATCAATAAAGCCGAAGAAAACATGGTCCAGGTATATTAAGTTGAATACAAAATTTGCCTTAAGGCGGTTTTCCACTAGGCGGAATTTTTCGATCGAACGAAATTTTTCGCTCAATTTTCTTTTCAATTGTGACTGGTGAAGCGAATCCGCTTCGGTCGACTTCTCACAATTGAAAAGAAAATTGAGCGAAAAATTTCGTTCGATCGAAAAATTCCGCCTAGTGGAAAACCGCCTTTAGTCATAAGACACAAATATTAAGATATTTATCTATGCAGAGAATCATTTTATGTGATCTCTTTTTCCATTTATAGCTACGAAAACGCTACGAACATTCTATTCAACAGAGAAACGATAGGTACAGTACACTTGCACTTTTATATAAATGTGCATGTATAGAGGAAACTCAGCCCAGTCCCATGGTTTTTCGTCTGCGGGAAACACAGCCCGTGAACTCACAGGCCGTGCAGGTCCCCTTTACACTCATTCCCGGTCGACCTGCAGATCTCGCGAATATTAAGGCGGGAGCAAGAAAGTGAAAGGCCATGGGACTAGGCTGGAGGAAACTTACTTTCAAGCCCTGGCTCAATAATTGATAACTTTTGATAGGGGAATTAAGCTCATTGAACGAAATGAGGAAGTTTGTGTTTTCTACGAAAAGCTCAACGTACAAGGTTTGATATGTTGACCTGTTTGTTGTAGTATTTTGTTGTGCCTGTATACTACACATTGTTTCGCAGAAAATTTATTTTCAAGTATGTTTTCTTAGAAACCTTGCTGCGGAATGGTGACATGGAACTTCGAACAAGACAGGAAGAGATTAGGATTCTTGAATTGGAGGTAAAATGCGGATCTGCAAGGACAAGCGTATCGCCGAATGCAAATAAAACAATGTCGTTCGTTATCAGAACACTGGACGTTTTTCTGATCTTCGTTCTACCTCGCAGGAACAATCTTCCTCAATCCAGCGTACGAATAAAAAAAACTCCTTATAACTGTTTTACTTTATCAGGAGTGGAAGGAATATTTTATGTTGTTCCTTCCAAACAATAGATTGTCTTCAGATCGAAGCAAACTTCGTAGTTATGAAATAAGACACTACATCATGAAACTGCACAGTCATTTTCATTCATATTGTAGTATGATGTTTAAAATAGAAACACAATCTTTCGGCGTTGCAGAGATATTTAAGAGTTTTAAGGTTGCAATGAATTGGGACTTATCGTTTAGAGACGAGACCGTTGTTTTCTCTCTGTCACGAGTGAAGATGCCAAATTGAAATGTGGAAACATCACTCTACAGTTAGCTATTGCACACACTGTAAATATTCAATCTGTATTTTTTTCTCGCAGGTGGCGGAACTGAAACGTTTAATTGCTGTGGCAAAAAAGACGCTGCCGAAAAAGAGATTCTTAGACGACGAGCTGGTTACAGCTCAAATTCAGGTATGTCTATTTTCGTGCAGGTAGTTATGTCTTTTAGTTGTCCAGGCAAGGAGAGAGTCCTTCATTGCCATGAATCTGTGGTCACTATACCGTTAATTAATCCGTTTCTATTTTACAGCTGCTTCTTTGTCGAGATCATTTGCTGGATTTAGAAAAACAACTTGAGACTCCATCAGAAGATGGTAGAATAAGAGTGCTGAAGGGTGATGATCCCAAACCAGATGAACTGACTGCAAAAGTTGAAGAGGTAATTAATCACTTACAGAGCTCAATTTGCATAAAAATGTCAGTTCTGTGCAGAAATATTCTACATATTTGTACATTCGTACACAGAACGGACATGCATTAAAACCGTACAAGAGGACTGAATTGCATTTTTCTCTATCAATGGTTTTGTTTTCTAACGTTTTCAACAACTTTTGGAACAGCGTTCTCTCCTCTTTTGTAATTTGTAATTTAATAAAATTTTCAATCATTTTGAATTGCAATACAAGATAAAAAAAGACAAAAAGCTGTTTGAAATTAAAAAAAAACACCTCCTAGGGAAATACGAAACGACACTATCTTCGATTATTTGTCGATGCTTGGTAATGATATGCTTTTGTGTAGTTGGAATTGCGGCTTGCTGAAAAAGAAGAGAAACTGCTGGAGAAAGATTTGATATTTGAGGAAGTAAATAGATTATCAGAAAGGACTAAGAAGAGGGCAGAGACGGGGAAAGAAGATACATTAAGTCTCGCTAAAAAGGTAACGAAACATTTGGTTATATATAATATATAAGAATTTTGGTGCAGGTTGTTTCATTTTTCCCATTATAAATTATAAAAGGTGAACGAGTTTCAAGCGAAGATTAAAGCTACAACAAGAAAAATGATGGCGTTGGTCTCTGAACTGTCTATGAATCAGGTAATCTACTCATCATGAACAAATAATACATGTATATGAAATATGCATCAGGGTAAGGAATTTTTAGTGCATTCATCCTGATTATATAATCTTGTCATTTCTATATAATAGTTTAAAATGTTTATTTTGACTCTAATTTTTGATCAAACTCGTATTAGCTAAATTTTGGTCTTATGACCGCGAAAGAGGTACTTTTCATTCGTTAAAGGTATAGCGTGTGCATTCTTGGTAGCCAATATATGTACATAGAGATTGTTGTTCTTGATATATATATTACCTCTGGATAACAGGCAAATGCGTTGAAATTGCAACAAGAGGTAAAAGAAAAAGAAGCATTGCTTGAACAATGCTACATAAGAATGGAGGCAGGAGAAGCGCCGGACGAGGACGCGGAAAAAACATGGATGAAAATGTTGCGGGATGAACAGAGGAAGAAACAGGAAAAGATTCAACGCGCTGAGGTAACTGGCAGGACGATAAATATTTTACACTATATTTTTAGAAACATCTCCATGTTCTTAAATGATACTAAATTAATTCGAGTGAGGGCATGATGCATTCATTTTGTTTGGATTCATTCCTTGGGAATTTTGTCGTACACGTTTTGTCCTGCAAACCAGGGCCACAGCTAGCCTGCCTAAAGGGTGGGAGTAAGTTAGATTTTTGTTATTATACTAGTAGTACGAACAATCACATTCAAAATCAATTATACATCACCCCCTAAGCTAGGAATGTGTAATCAGCACGTATTGTTTTCAGATACATCATACATACATAGTATTAGGAACTAGTAAAGTTCTAGGAAAGAATCGTGTCTTGTAATACTTTAGGTTGAAGCACTCCAGGAACAGTACAAGATCGCGGGTGACGTGTACACAACAGCAGAGCCTCGTCCTAATGCGTATATTCCCGACGATGACGTGGAACTGCCAATTCCTCGGCCTTATGGCGCTCTCGCGCCGTTCAAACCCACAGAACCAGGCTCGTCTATGAGACATGTTAGAAAACCAGTTATAAAACCTATCGAAATTTAATCTTTGTTATTCGATAAATATTTAAAGCTGTATGTAAATGTAAATTGTGTACAATATTATATAATATACCTAATAGACAAAGCATAGCATATTCCTCGCAGAGTGGGCCGTCGGGCGAGGTTTAAAGCCGCGTTTACACTAGAGGCCTAGATCTGGCCTGGATCAGGTCTTGGACAAGTCTTGGTAATATGTGCCAGGTCCACACTGTCTTTCTTGCTGATGGTATCCGATAGCCAATATAATTGACAAAATACTTGTATGGATTCTGTACAGCTTATACTTTTAAGTTGAAAATTGGTGATAGGACTAGTTCGGCGTTCACATGCATGCATTACAAAAATCATGTTCCAGGTCAGGTCCAGGCCACCTTTTCTGTTGGCCTGGATTTCGTGGCGTATAGACCAGATCTAAGCCTGGTTTAGGCCGGATAAACACACCTAGGCCTAGAACTGGTCCAGACCAGGTCGAAGCATGTAGCTACTACACGGCTTATAAGACCCTAACCCAACAAGGTTGCAGTCCCGTTGCACACATTCTAGTCTAGCCACTCACTTGATTCACTGATCCTTTGGAATTTGATAAGCTAATTTTGAAGTCGGAATATACATGAGCTAACATTTTCTAATGCCGTTGAACTCTTCACAAACCGAATGGCTAGGTATACCTATGATAAACCTATGCCAATCCGGTCCAATCGTTAGTTGGCTACGCGCAAGTTCGTTTTTAATTTGATTTAAACTGGTCCAGATTCACAAACGATGGACTGCGTTCAGCTTTGTCCTGGGTATCCAAGTCCGAACAATCTTGTCTGCTATTATCCCTAGATTGTGCACTTAAAAATTGTTTCATGCAGTGTTCAGTACTGAATATAGAACCAAAAGGCCAGTGGAAATAAGAAAAAGACCCGTAATTCCGATCTGCTGGGGTCCTACGATCGAGAACACTATCAGACCCTGCTACAAGCTGGTGAATTATTAATAAAGCAAAGTGCCAAAGTTCATGTTTTCACGATCAGGCCAACAATGACTCCCTCTCAACGTAAAGCTACAGCTTTTTTCATGCACTTTTTTAAGTTTCCCTTTTATGCATGTTAATTGTGGCGCCTAGCGATCGATTATAGAGTCATTTTCGTCATTGCCGGCTTTCTTTTAATATATATTTCACAATAAAGTACATGCATAAACATTACCAACAATCTATTGTCGGAACGCAGAGTTGATCATCGAACCGAAACAAAATTATAAACAACTCTAATTTTATAAAGAGCAATAATATATAGTCAGTGTCTTGAAGCAAGTAACGTTGTAATAATCCAAATTAAATTGCTTGTTCTATGTAAATACACAAGTCAGGCACCGTTTCTTCGAACTGTCACAAAAAGTGTTGTGACAAAGGGCTGGTTACACAGCCCAAATTGAGGTAATATATTGCCTATTTGTATATTCATGCCTTTTTGTATTTCATCTTTATTCCTGAGTCCTGCATGACTGCATGAATTTACCGACTTTTATTGTATAATATTATCAGTATAAAGTTTGTATTTATGTAATCCATGAGGTCTGGTTGGTTGATTTACCTAGTAAAGTCAAAATATGTCTTGTCGGGCAGCTCTGAATATATGAATAAATACCCCCCAGGGACTGCTCCCCTCCCAATTATCTTACTAGTTTCTGTCCTAGATAGGAACGTCATGTTTGGGCGAAACCTTGCTTGGGCACCAGGGTAACCCGAGTGACTGAGTGAGTTGTTTGAGCGCTCTAAAAACCAGCATATCTGAGAATGAGCCTCATGAGAAACAATCGCAAGTATATATATCAAAATATATAGGCATGTGAATGCATGTGAATTCAAAACGAGTAAAACAAAAACTGGTTGCCCTAGCTTGTAACCTGTATGGTTCAGGGAAAATTAAGGAGCTATACCTTTGGGTAACCATGCATTTAAGCATACAAACGCACCCTTGTCACAGGTTTTGCTGAACTAAATTTAACCACTGGTCCACTGAAAAATCTTCTTTCATAGGTGTGTATGGTTATTGGAAGATGGCATTTGTGAGAAAAACCTACTACATTCAAGTTCTTTCCGCGATTGCGTGCATTTTGGTAAACCATGCACTATATTCGTTACAGATTTACCCTATATTCATTCGATTATGATAATATAAAAAAATCCGAAAAATATATTTTGCACAATGCAGAGATTGACCGGTTTACCTCAGCAATTCTTTCACCCATTGTTATTTAATAACAGTATAGATGATTTTCTGTACCTTAGTTCAGAATGAATAAGGAAAAAGTAAATCGACGTAAAATTGATTTTAAAGTAAATATTGCATGTGTATACAAGCAAGCAAAATTGCATCTGAGATTAAATTATAACGTCAGACGAAACGAAGAATAGGCACGTTGTCCCGCGGTTTGCATCTCGTAAGAAACGAAAGAAAGAAATATAGATATAGCCTAGTACTATAGTCAATTTTATATTGACCGAAACATGCATGTTAGAAATATAATGATAGGTCTTTCAGATCTTTTTTCAATATATGCCTGAATATAAATAAACATGCAGTTTGCAGTGTCTTTGTTGCCAATGTCTTTTTTAATGGTGTTTGCAGTGTCTTTGTTGCCAATGTGGTGGAAGTGTGGTTAAAGGACCGCAGATCAGTCTTAAAGAAAAGGAAGAATGCGACGCCACGAGGTGCGGTAAAATCTGTTAGCAAGGTCAACAAATGTTGTTACGCTCCTGTTTGTCTCGCAATTTGCTTTCGTGAAAGCCATGCAGAAGCTAGGATAGACCAGTGATGCAAATCCAGAATTATAGCTGTCTTTGTGACCATATTAAATGGTTCTGGTTGGCAAACCGTGGTTTGCTTAATAGTTTATATACAGCTATTATAACTATATAAAAAATAAAATCCCATCCTCCCCATTGAATGTATACTTTGGAAACAAGATTGATATATATCAATAATTGCTTAGAAATAGCTATATATTAGAAATAGCTATAATATATATATATATATATATATATATATATATATATATATATATATATATATAAATATATATATATATATAATAATTGATCATAGAAATTGCAGAGACAGAATGCAAAGATCTATCAAACCTATAGACTATTGTTTATCTATTAGTGCTGTGATCACACACCAAGATCTAGAAGACGTACAGTGGTTTGGGAAATGCGTTGTCAAATATTACGGTTTACAGCCATCATCGCCAGACGCAGAATTAAAAAAACCACAGTTCAGTGCTTATTTAAAGAATCAAATCCCTGACAGTTTTGAGGTGAGTAAGATGACATAACACACAACCATTCGCCAATAGCCCGGCGCTTAGAGACGCCAGAACTCATGCAGTACTTAGTATAGGGAAAGCTGCCACTCTTGCGTTTTTAACAGCCAGGCATGAATCTGCATGCTTTAAGAAAGTACAACCGTCTGGTAAAAAAATTCCAGAGTTATAAGTAACAAAGAAAAAGCAGGATGAGAAGAAACTCGACTGCTTTGAGAACATTCTCTAGGTTCAGTGGGGTGCATCTTACAGGAGTGCTCTTTCACGAAAACTGCCCCCTCGCATCGTTCCGGCGCCCATTGCACGACAGTGGATACACGAATTTCTTAAGGAAGAGGGTGTATATATGCATCATAGACTATGCATTTATTTATGTTGAAACAATTGTTCAGCAAACGAACGCCACAGGCACCATATATTTAGTGAATAATGCATGTGTGTACAATTATTATATTTAGTTTCATTGAGGTTTCTGCCGATTTCAGAAAACTGGGATGCGTATCCAGCGTTTCTTCAAACGCAATAATGATTGGGCTAAAACTAAAGCCAATCCACTGTATAACAAAGTTGGCGACAGCAGCAATTTACTGATTATTAGTAAGTAGACGCCAACGTTATTGTAATAAAGTACTTTAAGGCACGTCTACACGAATGGAGACGACTGATTATCAACCACCAAAATTCGTTGTTGACATCTAGCAATGCTGCATTAGCCAGGCCGGTTCGACAAATCGTGCCAGTTTTTTTTAATTACATTACCGATTCTCTCGTCCAGAACACACTACACTATTAGTAATTGGTCCCTTTTTCAGTGGAAATAGTATGGGCAACTGACTGATCTGAGCAATAACTGAACCGAACATAAACAACGATTGTCTAAACCGAAAGTATGAATTAGAGATATGATATGTCCGACTGTAAAGCTTGTCAATGCACAAACGACAACGTAGTGTGATAAGACAACGCTTCCTCAACAAGTGAGACGAGAGATGGCTAATCTGGCACCTTCTATTTTCTGTATATAGCGGATGCCAGATATTTCTATGTTACCTATCTGCTCTTTGTTTTGAGTGGAAACACCCTCAAAGCTTGCTCTAAAGACGCGAACGACAAGATTATAGTTCCGAAAAATGTTTGTTTTCTTCCACCTTATGGCACAACATCTGCCACATCAGACTACGATGTCGGTTTGATCGGGAGAACCTCTGGAACATTAACTGTTAAATTCAATAACTACTTTCAAAAAGTATTCCAGAAACCATCAGAACAAGTGTTTGATACAAATATCTATGGATTTTCATTGGAGTATGCTATACCACAGGTGTTCACCGGGTTGTCGTTGTTTTATACGCGAGTTCTGCCGCAGCTTGATTTTGAACCTCAATTTCAAATGTTGGAGTTAGCTGGCGCTTACATGAAGGTAAACCATATATGCTTTAATTGAAGGAATAATGAGGCGGGAAGATAATCTTGGGAAAAAGGGCAAATTTTGCTAGTATTGTGAGAGTAAGTGCGACTGTGCGAGTTCCGACCTTGTCCTTCCTGGATTGACAAACATCCCAGTTTTTTTATTGCTGCCCTTGACTTACCCTATACAGCAACACTTGATACTTGATAGTTGACCCTACACACTTGATTTAGAATCAAGGAAGGTTTAGTCTGGCATTCAATACCCAAGTAAACTGATCCAAGTAAATTTTAATATCCAGTATTTCACTGTCCATGTTTACACAACAACCCCTGTCACGTCAACAACCAAAATTTTCAAAATTGGAATAAAGAAAAGTGTGTATGTTGGAACCGTCTTCGAATCTACATATTTTGTATTGACTGTCAACATGATTTTGGTATTCTCATCAAAGCCAAGAAAGTCAATATCGTGCAAGTCTAAAACGTGGGCACAGCTTACTGCATACGCTGTATAAAATCTCTGTAAATCAGCTACTGTCAGCTTCGAGATGATTTGCCTAATATGGTGCACTTTGCACCATATTAGCTTCGAGCTAATATTGAATAACAGAATAAGGACCGACCTGGTAGACTTTTTTTGACTTTTCACTTTTATTATGGTCATTTCTTTCACTAAATTCTGCTGCATGCACCCTTCGTATACTAGATGTATCGTTATAATCAAGTGTACTTCGCGAGTTTGGAGAAGTATGCTGAGGAACAATTGGGTGGTCTAGGTGTTATAAAGGATGTCAGGAATCGCAATTTATACTTCAAGAAATGGATTCAAAGATTTATAAAAATGGACAAGAAGAAATCGCTTAAAGGTGGCGAGGATTTACGCACTGCACACAACGAGGAGTACAACGCTATCATTAAGGATGTGGAAAAATTGTTTGACTCCCAATATACTGGCGACGTGACGAAGTATGTTCTTGAGGTAAGTGCGTGGTAGTGAGTGGTTTTTGACTAATAGCTCATGTATAGAAATGAGAGCAACTGTAATGATATTAATGACAATACGGCCAATACCGGATGATAACATAATTATTATAATACCGGAAAATAAGAGACTAATCCGATGGTAGAGATGGTTCGGAGGATGATCACGAGGATGCTAATGACAATTCTTTACGTTTCGACATTGCCATCTTAGATATCGGCGTGAATTAGAATTACAGTGAAAATACCATGCATGATGCATGAAATAGAAACTTAAAGAATCTAAAACCGAGACAACTGGAGTAATTAAAAAAGGGGATTGTATGGGATGGGTAAAACAAGAAAAGTCCAGTGCGAAAAAAAGGTGGGGAACTACGGTAAGCTACCCCCGAGGGGGGTGTTGGCCCCCCTCCACCTTGATGTCATAAATAATGATGTTACACGATGCAATTTTTCAGGGAACTTGCAATACAATTCTACTTTTTAGAGATGTCTATTTGGCAGCTATACGACTTGTGTTTATATGCACTCCATGCATGGACGTTTTTACACTTGCATTTTGAAGACTCTTCTTCACTAATTTACATACCTTAAAAGCAGAATTGCTTTGCAACTTGCAAGAAAAATTGCACCGTTTAACAAGGCCTTAACTGTTATTTGTCCGGCTTTGCGTCAATTGATTTTACTTACTGATTATACGCTAAACTGAAACTTTCTTTAAGTACAAAACCCAAGACTATTTTCAGTTATAACGCCATCATAAAATTGTAGAAAAGGTAACCAGGTTTTGACAGCATGATTTCAATTTGTTATGCCTAGATGAGCAAGGCTCTAATGTATGCAGCCGAAGCCTACCACACACGAGGGGCGATACGTCATGTAGTCGGGGTACTGCAGCTAAAGCTCAGTAAAAGCATACTAACTGTGATGGACTACTGGGTGTCCATGATTGAGAACTGGGCGGATGCTAATAAAGCATTAAATCACTGTGTTGGCTCGGCAGAGACCTGCCTTTTAACCATGTGTAAATATCTCTTTCGCACATTTGACGCCATGAAAGGAATTCACTTTACACTAGTGAACCCGGTGGGTGTTCGTAATGCACTACTTGAACCTATCAAGAAGTTCCTGCCAAAGTATCCAGTATTTGGAGGTGATAGCGACCTCGAGGTTTTAACACGAGGTTGGGTGGCTAAATACAAAGGCAAGGTGCCTGAGCTACCATATGATGCCGCAAAGCTGTTTCTCACGAAGGTTGGTTGTACTGAAGAGGAACGACCACCTGCCACAAGTCTCTCGAAAGCGTGTTTAGGCAGAATGCAAAAGCTGGTGGAAGCCTACGATCACCTATTAGTAGCTACAACTAGAAAAACAAGCACAGAGAAAGTCATACTTTTAACAACGAGCGGGCAAGTAAAGACTATGCCTGTGTAATCAGTATAATTGATTGATATTTGGACCAAATAATACTACTCATGCAGTTTTGTTCAGTCGTTGCATCACTTACATCACTTATCAGTTGCTAGAACTGATGAGCGTCAATGCATTCAACTTCCTTGACCTTATTATGAAACAAAACATAACACGCGAGCTCCTTTAAGGAGATCAATGAACTGCCCAATATACATGTTATATATGGTACTAAAAATTTTAATTTGAAGTGTTTGCATGTTGTTATGATAATTTTCGTGAGTGCGTACTAATTAACAATTAGACAACGAGTCCGAGTTGTCTATGAGCGAATAGTCAACGAGGCGAAGCCGAGTTGACTATTTGCTCATAGACAACGAGGCCGAGTTGTCTAATTGTTTTAGTATAAACTATAACATTAATTTACAACTAGGAAACACAATATAAAATTCTTGTTGGCTTGCAAACCATTCTGAAATTTATTTCGTATATTAAAGGAAGAAAATATTTTAATTGTTGTTCGCGTAAAATGTTTTAAAATTCAGTTTAAATATAAAAATTCAATTGAGTATACGTTATTTTTATGTATTTTCTTACCCTTAAAAATTGCAATTCCGTATTTTGTTGCTTTTTTTGTTTTTTCTGGTACGGAATTGTCCAACAAATCGTCCAAAAAATCTTCAGATACTTCGGCGAAACGCGAATTTTCCGCCATTGTTTTGAATTTTGCTACTAGTAGGCTATCACTAATAGCCTACCAGTAGCGTAGCCAATCAGAACGCAGGAAAAGTGATAGCCTATTAGTCAGTTTATACTAACAGCATATATTCAGCACTTGCAACAGACGTCATGCATAGTACGTATTGTGGCCTTTTTCGCCATTTGGGTGGCAAATTAGAATCCACTTATTTAATGCAACTGAAATTGTGGCCCTGTGATTTACAGTTATGGCAGCTATTTTTAGACGGTCATAAAGTTCGCAGGGTTGGTAGGGATGTGTTGAAAACCGCTCTTGCATGCGATCCAAGATGGCAGACGCCATGGCAGCGTCTCCGTGGTGTAACTTCGCATTAAATGTGGCTAAGTAACTGTTTAGAATATTTTTTTTATGCGGTACGTAATTATAACCATGGCCATATGTTGGGCGGTCGCTTTATAACAATAAGCCACAAATTAAACTTGCTGGCCCTTTCATTATCGGCGATTCGAGTGGCTTCGAAGACTTGATTTAATGAGCGGAACCTCGTGAAACTCGGCGCACGAACAAAACACGAAGACGTCACCATTTTACAACTCAAAGATCAGAATACCCATGCAGAGCTTTTCTGGAAGATAAGCTATACGGCATATACCCCCCAGTGGCCACCCTCACGTGGCTCTCCACGAACTACTTTTTGAGTACCAAAATAAGGATGTTCAGATGAAAGTAGGGATGTTCTCTTCAAATTAAACTTGCTACGTTTAGATGGAATAGGAACACAGGAAACAAAGTCAAGGGCAAAGAATACAAAAAATAAAGCCCCCACAAACAAACTAAGAAAGTGTCTGACCCTGAGACCCTCGGCTTTCAAGTGCATGACTTCTGTTTGATTCCGCATGCGAGAAATTTAAATTAAAACAGCATGATGCTAATGGTATAGCGTGGACAGGACGTAAGGAAATATATATCGCCGGAATATATGCACAGCTTGTTACTTGTACACCAAAAGTGTCGAGTATTGAGATTTGAGAATGCGATAGGCTTGGCACTTTCGAGCACACTCGTCAGTTGTTAGGCAATTATACAATTTTTTCTATTGATGAATACATTTAAGTGAATATGCGATAAAGAAATTATATCAGTAAAGAGTATTTTTATCGACTTTTTAGTCTATTTCGTATCCAGGGACTTTTTGCAAGAGAAGAGACCTTGCAAGGGTACACAAGGTCGTAATATCAGCTTTCTTGTCAATTTGGAGCGAATTATGATGATGATGAGGAAGGATCGACGTGCGTGTATGCACGATCTTTCAGCTCAATTTTATATAAATCGGCAAATATCTTAAGGCCAAAGTGGAAAGCAGCTTTACTTACAACTTTTTCTGCAGGATTCCGCTGGGAGAAAACATCGGACAAATCTACCGGAGAATAACTCTTAAACATAAGCCCATCCGTTAAGCTTTTTTCACTACATAAATCATTGGAAACCTGCATGATGCAAATTGCCTAATGATGGCGCATGTTAATTGCTTGTGCTAAGGTCATAGGGACTTTTTTAACTTCTGGTTGTATGTCAGACATGTCTCCTCCTAGATCAAAATTAGCTCAGTATATTGCTTCATGTGTGCTACATCTGCGTTCACTTTCGTTCGTAAAGGCCATCGAGGGTAAGATCTATAGTATTTGTATGCTCATGCCAGTAGGTTTGTTGATCATACTGCAATATGATCGCATCGCGGTGAATGAGCACCGATTCCAAGTAACCTGTAAAAAAGTGTTGCCTTGATTTTCCATGCATCGCTATTAGGTTCTCACGCGACGCTTTTTATTTTTCAGTCGAGGAGAGTCCCATGCATTGTTTTCGTACACAACTTTATTAAACTTCTTTAATGAGCAAGAAGCATTTGAGGGCATTACCATGCAAAACTGGCCAAAATCAAGAAACTGTCAATCTGCATAGCTATACTTGGAATTACGAGACTTATTGAGAGACGAGACTTTGACATGCTCCGACAGGTTTTGAGGTTGGATATCGACTGATGCGTGCGTGTTTTGGCTGTTTTGCTGCTATATATAAATAGAGACGCTTATTAACCCGACTCGCTGCGCCATCTATCGCGTGTATAATAATGACTAATTAAAACGGTCATGCCAAAATGTCATAACTGTGCCTGTTTTATTGTTTTACTTTCGAAATTCTTATAATGAAAGATAATACACCTTGTTGAACCTCGTGCTTTCAAGTGCCATCCATTGTTTGTAATATGATGCGGTAATATAAAACGTCGACCCTCTTACCAACTTTAGTATCACGAAGCATGGCTTGTGTACGGGTTCAGGTACTTTTCGGTCTGCTCTGGATCATTTCTTTCGCAGCGAACAAAATTGATGCTACCAGAAAGGTGAGAAATGTCATATATGTACTTATAATCACGTATATTCGTTACATCTCTCCGTAGGAAATATACGAATGATATTTGTCTCGAAAATTACCATACCAATTTACGATTACCTGATGCATGACAACAGTGGACTTTAATTTTTGATCCGATACAATCATACAAAATTTATTGGCCGTGAATCGATGAAGTATCAGTAAAACTTTCGTCCGCCAAATTGAGGCCATTTAAAAAGATGTGAAATGATTGAACGAACAACGCATCATGCCAGTTTTATCAGTGACTAGTGTTATGTACTATATTGGTGGACTTAAAACAATGTCATTGTTATTGAGGTACTCGTATTATCTCGTATTAAATAACCCGAAGTTGTGTACTCATGACATGCTGCGGCGTGCTCTGAGTGGCGTATTCACTATTCAACTATGTCTATTGTTTTGATTTGACTTGGTTTCTTATCTTTCTTCCCAAATGATACATTAATGTTGATACGTTAGGTTCTGAAAATAGGAAGTCATTTCTTCGTATTATGATTTTAATCAAAGTGTGTCCTAACAGTATTTATTTTGATTCGCGTTTTGTCTTCTTTACCAATGCATGACAAAGGCAACAGAATGTTTGAGTATGGTTTGCAATGTACCATTATAGCTATTGATATATTTTTTAAATGTGTCATATATAAAGGTTCGAAGGGTCTTAATTTCGAGTGGAATTATACACTTCAAGTTCAAGCAAGTAACAGTTGATGGAAAAATGAGTCGGAAATGAGAATGAAAAACTATAGGTCCTCCGGCAGGAATCGATGCTTTTCGCGATGCCGGTGCAACGCTTTTGCCACTGTGTCCTATATATAGGTGATACATTACAGCCGATTTATAGAAATTTCATCTTTGCTCAACTGTATGAAAAATACATAATTGCCCTGACCAATAGGGTATCGTGGTGAGCGATTTGTGATTTTTTAGGTGATTTTTGCCTGATGTAAACGAGTGAATTCGTGTAATGAATGACCTGTTTATATATAGCTAATTGCATTATCTGCATGTAGGCGTAGCTACGACTATATATATATATATACAGTAGGAGGCAAAAGTTTGAGTCCAGTCGTTGTAGAATTCCAGTATTAAATCCTGGCAGCGTATTGGAGTTAAGACATGCGTGCTAGTGTTTCAGTACTGTAAACTATATTAATTGCACACTGTTTTGGTCCTAATGATCTAAATTATAACAAAATAAAGTTCTCATTCCTTTACACTGCCCAAGATGGGTAGGAAAAAGGGCAAAGTGATGGTGCACAAGGACAAATAGTTCCATTAAGTATTGAAGGATTCTTTCCTCGTAAGATCGCAGAAGAAGGGAGAATTTAAAAAGGTGGTATGCAACTAACCTTAGAGAGGTTCGAAGAAACTAAATCCTACTCAAGCAAACTTTTAGCTGCTTTGGTCATGCTCGGTTTGGCAATATTGAAAGATATAATAGGATCCTAATTAAAGAAAAGTATCATCCAATTCTTCAAGGACATGGAATTTCATCTGGTACAAAGATGATCGCACGTCTAACTACATGATAATCACCCTAAGCACATGCACATCTTCTATGTGCCAGAAATCGTTTAGAAGCAAACTCATTCTGGTGATCTCGTTGTCATGGCTTTCCACCTCATATTCCAGATCTAAAACCTATGGAGCACTTGTAGAACCGTTTTAACCGGAAGAGGGCGAGGCACAGACCCGCCAGCCAGGCTGACTTGAGGCAAGTGGTCAACGAATGCTGGCAAGGTATTGAACGTGTGACATTAAAAAACCTATGGAATCTATGCGAGCAAGAATAAAGGTCATTTCAAGAGCAAAAAAGAGGGAACTAAGCAATGACATGTAAATGCATGTTTGCACATTAAAATACGTAAAAATGAATATCATAACATCTCATAGTTGTTGTACAGCATGTATTTTTCTGTTTACTTGTTTACTTTTTTCTAGTTCACTTATCGGTAAGGTTTTCTGTAGAATATTAATATATGCTGCTGAAACAAAGAAATACAGTCACTGGACTCAAACTTTTGCCTCCTACTGTATATATATATATATATATATATATATGAACATTGATAACCTATCTATATACCACACTGACACAAAAGACAAGGCTGTCGGACCATCATCGAAAATGACTTCAGGACATCTCCGACCAAATGGGATCAGGCTTGAGAATGATCTTTTGTGCGACATGCAATTACGAGAAAAGTGCAAACATATACACAACCACCATGCATAAGAGAGCTGCGATAATATTAAACATTCAGATATTAGTTTCATTGCATGCATGGTCAACGAGTTATTCTCACAGCGAATATAATTCTAATATCTTGTTAGCGTATAAATTTATACTGAAACTGTTGCTATGCAATTATCTCCCTACTAATAAGGCCGGTATTTCAGGAGAATAAGGAGATGTTATTGTTGCGGTGCATGTATTATACTCAAGAGAAATATTTGTGTGGTGTTTCCCGGGTGCATGGAGTGGAGTGCATGAAACAACTAAAAATTCAAACATCTAAACTAAAAACTCATCAACTAAGAAACCTTTGAATATGGTTTCCTAGTCCGCACCGTAACTTTGCGAAATTTACACCTATTTTATAGTGAATGTAATTTAAGTCTAAAATTTAAGGCTAAAGTTATTAACTTTAGGTTTAAATATATCAATACATAGATCAATATTGATATCATTGTCAAGTGTACAGTGTAGACCTTTTTTGTTTTATCAATAATTGAACTCTTGTGTATTAAGACCTCTAAAATTGGCTCTAAAATAAGTCTTTACACTCGGCTGAGACTATATGATAAGGAACATCTTTTATATCGTCGGTCTTAACACCATTTGTCTGACTTTTCGAATTCTAGCACTATATACATAGTTCAGTAATTTAAGTGGACATGCATGACAAGCTACTCGGACGGATGATCTTTTTTCAGTTTAACCTTTTTTGAAAGACATTTTTTTCTTACAAGATGTAAATAACTTTTAACCCCCACCCCTAGCTCCTCCTTCTAAAAGTGTTGCTTCTCGTTTATAATGCCTGTCTCACCGAAAATACTCGCCTTATAAATGTTGTTTTAGAGGTGTGGATGGCATCGACTTGCAACTAATACATTTATAATATTAGAATAGACACACCTTTTTCATGTACTTGCATGCATGTCCTAATGACTGTTTCCTGGACTGTAGTCATCTATGCATGCATGAGTTCCTTTTAAATGTTATAATTGTCAGTATTGTTAATAAATTCTCTGTTGAAGACGAATGGTTATACGTTTTCGAATACGAGGTTTTTTAGTGAAATACCTGCGCTATTACAGCCCTATCATCAGTTTCGCATCCCCATTTCAGTATCTAATGCTTTTTCTTTGCATGTATCACATCGATATAAAACAGAGGCATCAGTTAAACAACCTTTAGACTTTAGACTTTAGACTCAGTATAAGTTGCTAGTTGCTGTTTATATTATATTTGAATAATACATGTGATATATGCTTGCAATAGCATGACAAAGTTCTTGACAATCTAATTAAATTTGTTAAGGTCGAATACAACTCGCTGAATGATGGCAAAAAGAAGGAAGAAATTCGCATCCGACGAGAAGTTAAAGATAGACGTCGTAAGTTCTCACAAAAAATATTTTCCGAAGTTTTCAGAACGTTGCCTATATAGCAGGCAAGTTCATAATTACGGACGCCATGTTGCAAAAGAAGGAAAACACGATGGAGAATTCTTTCCCAATGGTAATCCATGCAATACAAGGCAGTAAAACTGGGTTAAGCCCTTTTTGCAATATATGGCCCCGTAATTAAAAAGTTCCTATTTACGCCTTTAGCCGGTAATTTGGTTAAATCTGTGTTTCGTGTAGCCCGCACTGAAGGTATATGCCCGCACTGAAGGTATATGCATGTATTTATGGTGTTGTATATATAGCTATGCCGTTGTCTATTTTAATCGATGATCAAAGAAGTTGAATGAAACGGTAACAAAATATAAGCAACGCTGCATGCAACATACCATTATTTCCCCCCACTTCACTCCACATATATAGTTACGCTTATTTGTCAGCGTACATCAGTTTTCATGAAAACTCACGTTGCATGTATTTTACTACGCAATATCAGAAAAACGGCCTTGTATCATGAAGTGTCCAACGGCGGGAGCGTCAGAGTGTAAAATAAGGCGAAACTTGACAATCACAAGTGGATCTCTTCAATGACAGCTAAAATCTTGGCAAGGAACCAATGTCGACATCTGGCAGATCCAGTATCACACTAAACAGATCCCCTTCCCCCTCCTCCCTCATCCTGATAATGATATTAGCCCAATATAGGTTCCGCGTCTGCGAAGACACGAGTTTTTTTCATAACTAAACTTAGTTAAGTGGTTAGGAGCGGTTTATAATAGTTCATTGACTAATTAGGTTTTTACATTGGTTGCAAGTTGCCAAGCTCATTATAAAAATCTTGCGAGCCACCTGGCTCGGTGTCAAGTACTACGCGAAGACGTGTCTTGGAGGGTAATTGAGGGGTGTATATTCATATATTCATGTTTGTTCACTGAATAAAACGACTAATACTAGAGTAAAAGGAAATTTTCATCATTTCCTTTATACAAATGCTCCAGGTTCAAGTGTTCATATGTCGTGTCTCCTGTAGGAATTTGATCAATCTTATGTGGGCATTGCCCTGAACTTATTTTTGTCAATTTTTTTCTGTATTGTGCATGAGGCACGCCTTTTGATTAATTTATATATATATAATATATATATCGATATTTAAATATATAACACATTTAACATAAATGCGTCACTGACCGCAATATGAAGTGCATACAAATACTTCTAGGCTATAGCCAGGATCCGATTGGTGCAATGGTTGATGGTGCAGCCTTCTGATCCAATCAAATTTCGTATTAGATATTTAAATATATAATACAATTAATATAAATGCGTCACTGACCGCAATATGAAGTGCATACAAATAGCCTTCTAGTCTATAGCCAAGATCTGATTGGTGCAATGGTTGATGGTGCAGCCTTCTGATCCAATCAAATTTCGTATACCTTGATTTACGTTGCTAAAAATCGTTCCGCGGAACGCGTGTAACACCATGCTGGCATATTTTCCAGTTACTAATTCGACCTGACCGTGTACTATAAATTGCAGTAACTTTTTATATGCGAAGGTTGACCATGAGTTCAAGTCTCCATTGCGAGTTTGCGTGCGACCATTAGAGAGGCAGCCTAGCCGATGCAGTCACGTTATACTATCCTATGTCATACTAAGATATTATACAAATAAGATTGTGGACGTATCGCATTCGAAGGGCTGCCTATGCTGCGACAAGCAGTATTTCTGCTCGCTCTAATATTCTTTATTCGTATTTCCTTGGCAGCTTGTGGAAACTTTAACAAAAGTATGATTGACCCAGTCAACGGATTCTCACCGTTCACAACACAAGATTGCGATGTTCAATTTCTTAAGGACGATGGAAAGTATATGATGAAAATTAACTGGAAAACACCAATAGGTAATATATTATATATACATATATTATATACATAGTATATATACATTATATACCAGCAGATTTAGTCAGAATTTTACACATTTGCTAAAAAAAATCGACCATGCATTAACTTAGGGTACCAAAACAAGACCGGCAAGCAAATTGAGTTGAAATTGAATTGCTATCATGATTGTCGTGATTCATCATACAGTACAATGAAAATGTACACGAGAAACTAACTTTTTGTTTGGTTTAGGACCAAATAACAATACTCCAGTTGCGTATAGTTTTTGGTGGTTCGTTTTTCGTTATGCGAATGTTGAAGCTAATCATCATACATGTGAATTACTGTCAAAAACTGTGAGTGTCATTGTTTATTGGTGTTCATTTATCATGCTCCATTTCATCATTGCCTGGATGATTAAAGACGTTGCAAGGGTATTTTACTGACTTGCAATTCAAGCAGTGTTTTTAGTGACACAGCTATACATACATGCATGTACATGATATAACTAACATCCGTCTTTCAAAATAAATTTTGCATGGATCTTTCTATAAGGATATTCGAGTAGGGTGGGCACCATAAAATCAGTATTCTGGAAACACCTGATTAGATTTCTGGAAACAACTAAATGTTCAAATTAGTTCTGGAAAACAAACTTTAATTACCTAAATTTAAATTAACACGTTTGCATGTTTTCATTTTTTTCAACTCAAGAAAACGTCTTTAGTTTTACACACCTCTGACGACTGGGAAAAGGATGAGACTATCTATTTTGCGGTTAGTATACGATCAGTACAATAAAGTGTAAGGTTATTTCTCCTGATGGAATATGGGATAAAGTTTTTATGTAAACCACTGAGCCAATTCAAGTGTAAATCCATACATCAGCTAACGACCTATTATATAGAAACGAATCTCAGGCATACTTCATCAAGGGCATTATCTTATAGTTATTTAGGGTCACGCGGCAATTAAAATTTTTGTTTTACTCTTTTAGATTTTGCCGTTTCCCGCGAATTTAACTGGTGACATAATAGAGTATAATTTTATCTACACTCCTAAATACACAGGTAAGGCTATGACAATATGTCTACGTAGACTTAATTACTCAACAAACTTTTGTCGCTATATATATACACGTAGCTACTAATAACGTCAAAACGTCTTGTTCCAGAAATTGGCCTGGGCTACCAGGGTTGAAGCTTTTGTATTTTTGTGATTAGACTGATGTGCCCAACACAAAAGACAAGATAAATATGACTATCATTTTTCTTTCTTTGTGATGTAGACGTGAGACGTAATGATCCCATCAAGAAAGGTTAGTTATACTGAACGGTCGTTTAACAATCGTTCAAACAGTTGTTTATCAGAACAACGGTATAGACCGTTGCAAAGTTAGAATTCCTTGTTCTAACCAGTAACTATGCTCTAACATATTGTCCCTGATTGGCCACATGTGGTGTCACATGCATTGGTCAAAATGCTCCCACAAACGTCTATAGAAATGGTCCTATACCACATCTTGACCAACCATATGTTCATCGGACACATTAGATAGCTACATTTTATTGATCTTCCATCTCGTAGAACTCAATTCAACCCAAAGCACACCAGTCAGTACGACAAACAGTACGAACACAGCGACTCGGAGCACAACAACATTCACTGAGACAACAAACCGTGAAAGATCCCTTCGAACTCAGAAAAAAGTTTTAGAAATTTTTTTTCCGGCAAGTAAAAAGAAGCGAAGTAAGCATAAAGAGATCTTCACAATCGTCACTGTTACCATAGCTGCAACAGGTGCTATATCCCTATTTGGTTTCCTTCTCGTGCTACGCTTCCGAGATCGAGTGAAATCCTGTTTATTTAAACCAACGCCATCAAGTAAGTATTTTACAATATGCGTATTAAAATTCACGCCAAATACCGTTAAGGGACTGCACACTGACGAAGGCTTATAGATCTAAGCATGGACGTTTTCTTGTACATTTCAACCAGTTCCTTAACTACATTTGTTAAGACGTTATTTGAAGATGCTGCATGCAAGACCCTGTTTGGAACATAATTTAGTGGGGGTAATGGGGGTAAATTGTATATTGCATTTATTGCACAATACGAGAAATGAAGTGACCGGACAAGTAGCTACGAAATTCTCATGGAAATAACAAACATTTCTAAAACAAATACAAGAACAGGACGTAACTTTTTGTCTTTATTCCTTTTACTGTAATCTTTTTTCAGTGGAAGGTGTTAAAATTTACACATCATTCCACTATAATTTACAAATTAACCATGCATGCATAGTGCCACATTGTAATTTTAAAAGGATATATAAACGTCCTTACAAAATGGTTCTATGGTAAATGTATCCCCAAAACGACTCTTTTGTGGTTGGTTGACTTTAATGATACAAAATTATCCTATCCTTTTATCATATTAATGTTTTAGTCAGATGCTTTCCAATAAAATCGTTATCAACATAAAGAGTTGCAGGTTTCCACAAAAATAAAATTAAAATTAAACCCACACCTATTGCTTTGGCCAGGTTTACCCTCGGTTTAAGACGCGCCGCGGTCTTGCTAAGGTTTGGTAATGTCTGTAGCAATATCTCATAAAAACGTTTTCTTAATTTAGAAGTTTCCAGAGACCCGGACCTCATTTATGCTTCCTACATCTCGGAAAATAAAGGACACACTGAGAAGGTTGTTGACTTCGGTTCATGGCTCCGAAAGCATGGATATAATGTTCAAATGGACATTATGTTGTCTCCGAGCAATCAGCAAGATCTAAAGGAGCTAGGACGGCTGCGATGGGGTGCAGAGCAGCTATCGAAGGCAAGGAGTGTTTTCCTTCTTGTGTCACCATCGTATCTTAAGCTGTGCCGTCTTGATGTAGGCGAGACCAATGCATCATCTTTGACCCTGGAAGAGAAGATCATTTTCAGCGAGATTACGCAAATGCGCAATGACCTTTCGAATGATGCTTACATCAGCTCCCGCTTCATCCCGGTATTATTTGGTGTGAAAGAGACGGAATTGCCGTTTTGGATCAGGCAACGGGTCGTGTATAGCTGGCCTGATGACAAAATGAACGACAGGTTGTTGCATCGCGTTAGAGCAGAGGTTTCGTATGAAAACGAAGATATCATTCAAAACAACATTTACTCAACAAAAGCATAACTTTAATAGTTTCTTCTTTTTGAGTTTTAGTTAGATAACTAGGAGTCTGAAGGCGATTGTACATAGATCTCTTTAAATAATAATTTTTTAACTGGATTCGCACGTTAAATCGTACTGAACTCCACCCTCGCCAGCGATAGTGGTTAGTTAACGTTTGCACTGAGTAGAACGAACTTTTTTACATATACCACTGGCCTCTGGTGGTTAGGTTTAGGGTTAGGGTTAGGGTAAAACTTTATTGCATGGACAACCTATTCGCATTTCAATCTGTATTGTATCATAATTTTATGTTTCGTTTGTCCACAGTGTAAATATATCTTCTTTATCAATACGTTGTGTTTGCAAGTCACACAAATACGCATCAATTCATCTTTGTTTTCATATAGCGTAAAATTGAATGTGTTGCAACCTCCCTGGGTCCTTTGGGTCTGGATCCATAAGGTCTTCTAACGAGAAAAAATGCTTTTGTGCCTGTGACTCCTAATTAAATAAACACTACAGACATGCACATTTCAGAGTGACTAAACTCTTTCGTGCATCGAGATTCGAGTCTCGAGAGTGAAATGTATTACTTGGGGGAAATTCGGGTTGCTCTTTTTTGACTGTACCGTATGTCCGTCGAAAAAGTACCCTTAGCCCTTAGGCCTAACAACAAAAGAATGATTTCAACAGAGGGTAATTTTTGGGGGGACACACGGTATAAGCCCGGGTTTGGTATTCGACTAAATCAAGCATAAGAATCATGCATTAATATTCAAAAAAAAAGCTTGATTTCTAAAGAGTATTACGCCATGGTACTAATTACCTGCGGAAAATTCTATTGATTCTACAGTATTGTTCAACCACGCCACATGCTCTTCCATGCGGTATTGACTTTAGCAGAGTGCTGAGACATTTATCTGAACAATACAAGCTTTCAACATTTTCCAGGTTTGTTTGGGACAGCCTGCATGTATGTACGACCTTCACGCCTGTTTTCCACTTCAACCGTATTCGGCAGAGAAACGTTATCGGCCTATTTTTTTGTTAAAAGTCACTACGGTTTACGTCGTTAAGTCATCAATAAGTTACGTATTTCATTGTTCAAAGTTCTAACCGAGGGTTTAAAAACAATGATATCCACGACGCTTCACTAGTCACTACGATACGGTCGAAGTGAAAAACAGCCCTAAGAAGAACCAATATGGAATTGTTCAGCACGGTTTGCTCAAATTTCAAACTGGCAGAACGGAGCCTAGTTCCAGGAACATCCAAAAGTGAAGAACTCGATAATGCAGGAAAGTATATCAGTCCAGTATACTCACTTAGACGAGTTTCTGAAGACATGTGTTCAAAGAAAAGACAAGAGTAGACTAACGATGCAGTCTTGCTGACGGCGTGTGGTAAGTATTAGCGAGTTGTAATTTCTACTCGACATCATATGTCATTCATTATGTACCTTTAACGAGCAGGACAGCAGCAAGCGCTATTTAGACGACAACGTGATTACTGACAGCAATAAACATTTTTGTATTTGTATAACACAGACACTTTACTCGCCAATTTGACTTAGTCTTAGTAAAGAATACATGTCTATAACGAGACTTCTGTTAATTAAACTTCATTTGTTTCGCGTTAATTTTGCTACACGCAAAATCATAGATAATATAGCTATGTACAATGTACCGCAAGGCATTTTGATTGTACTGAACGCCCCTTTTCTTCGGCTAAATATCCTTTTGTGCTATACCACCACCATGGCCACTTTGCATATAGCTGCATGTCCTCTGAGCGGTAGGAATAGCAAAGAAGGAAACAAAGAATGAGTAATTTGTCTGAAGTACTGACGCCTCTCTCTATGGTAGTCGGAGGAAATTTTCCTGCTCGGGTGTTAACTCGGGCGAACATGCTTTTATGCTTCGGAATTAACATAAACACTAGTTCATATTCATTCAGAATCATGGCGAACCTAAATGGTGTTGGTACTTTATAGGGGCGAAGTACCGGGGAGGGGCGTAGAAACATGTGGGAACGTGTCCCTCTCAACAACCAAAATGTTATGCGAATTTCCCCGATTTTTCAAGACGTCCTCGCTTGCCGCTTGCGATATTCGTGTAACAGGAACGGCACCTAATGGTAATACAGCGACAATTAAACTGTTTTATAAATTCATTAGAAGGTAGAAATGTTGCATTGGGCCGTTAAATTTACATGCATAAATATTTACATATTTTTCAAAAGAGATTGTGTGAACAGTTGCGACCTGATTGGTGTTTTGATTTAGATTTTGCATTTATTAAATATTCAGTGTGTATCGATTACTATAGAGTGGTGCTACAAAATTATTTTGAAAGTAAACTACCTCTACAAATTTCCCATAAAATTCCTGTGACACGTTATCGTGTGAAAATGTACGTATACATTCATTGTACATTCTACGCAGGAAAAAAATTAAAGAAGTACACACCCAAAACTAAACTGTAGGTTCCTGGGTATGCGTGCAATTTTTGATGAGCACACCAGCGACCTTAAGGAATTCTATCTTCATAAAAGCAACAATTTCGATTATTTCCATCCCATCTTTATGTAACCTACAAATTGAGTTGATCTTGTGCGGTGTGAGTGGTTCGGGAGGGCAATGTGGCATTATTATCTCTGCTTGCTTGACCGTCAGATCAAATTCTTTTGCGATGTCACTCGCGGTGTGGCCCCTGTATTTCCTTGCGCAGACCAAATACCGGACATCTTTGCTGTTTAGAATGCAATCCGGGTGGAATTTATCTTTTTTTGCCAGATCTTCGATCGCTTTTTGCATTTTGGCTTTGGTCACGTAAGGGACACCCTGTTCATCATTGCAGCTTCTGGAGTCCAGGCGAAAATGCGTTACAGTTTGATCCCAGAGTTCGGAAAATTGACCATCTCCATTCTTACAATGTTGCATCATGTACGACGTTGCTTGAATCACGTTACGATAACACGCTAGCGTGTATTTAAGCCCAGCTAAACCTTTTATCAACTCGCGTTGAAGATCAAAGGTTGCCTGATAATTCGCGTGTCTTATCTTGCTCAGGAAATTGTTAATTGCAGTGACCGCATTCTTCATGCCCTGCGATTGGGTGGCTGCTCCCTGTGCTAGTGTGCGGAGCTGTTTCAGGATTTCAGCGAGGTCTTTCTTATTTAGTTCACTTCTGATTTTGTTCCATCCCTTAGAAAAAATTGATGCAACAGAAGTTAGGAAAATTCTTCCTTCGAAAGGCTCAAACAATTATAATTCGTGAAGGTCTGACAATTAAATTTGAAGTGACAAAAATATGATGAAAACGTCGTGACAAATATTGCTGTCAGAAATATCCTTTAGACAATCAGAAAATATAATTTCTTCATTTTACTAGCCAATTTTTCCAGTCCTCGCGAAGGGATTAGTGTAATTTGAAACTGAAGTAAAGTATACTTTTGAAGAGGCATTTTGCAGTTTCAACCGAGAAACTAGTTAGTTTGACAACTAGTTAGTCCTTTTCCGCCATTTCAAATCACCTGTTAGCATAGTTTTAGTATAGTTTATCTATATGTAGTAGGTGATTCAAAAATATCTCGAACTGGCTGAATTTTTTGTCAATGAACTACGGAATAATAAAGAAACTACTTAAGTATAGTAGTGTCACCTGAAACAGTTACAAAATACATATAATGATAGTTAGTGATTGTTAACTCACCTCAACTGAGACCCGCCTTTGGTACTGTCGAACATTTCCCAACATCCCATCCATATCTCTATTAGCCTTTCTCATATTTTTCACTGCATCATGAGCATTATCACGGATCGATTGACAAGCTTTTACTTTCATTACGGCGGAGTAAATCTCAAGACCTAAATAAATATCACACACACGTAATAAATATCACACACACGTATAAAATGCTGCAACTCCGAACCATGAAATAGTAGACGCCTTCGGTTAATCTTTGTGTATAATCGTGCATGAGGAAATGAACAGACCATTGAAGATCATTACAGGCTTGTCTTAGGGAATCTTACATTCAACTTTTTTGCATTAAACTTTTACGGAGTTTCATTTCATTAGTAAACGAATTGGAACATACCTATACTTATGACTGCTAAGACTGCAGCAGCTCCAGTCGCTATCTTTCCTCTGATTGGCTTGAAATTAGATTTGTATTGTGCCTTGGCTGTGGCCTTGAAATGCGAATTGATGTTCGTCTTGCTTACACCGAAAAACTTCTGGGCTGTAGGTTTAGCATTTATCAAACGCGATCCTTCTGATGTTTTCAGAAAATTGGACATCTATGGGAATTAGAAGGGTTGAAAAGTTTTTCAAAGGTGAAACCATTGCAATAGTTTTCATTTAGTTTTTGTGTTATCTTTGATACAAACCACTGCAAAATTCGTTTAAAAAACACCATTTCAGTTAATTACCTTGTTAATCTTATATGATTTATATGCCCTTGATATAAGCGTTGATCCTACTTGTCCCACCACTCCACCGACAATGAGTAAAGTTCCTTCAATGGAGTTGAAAGGAGAATCGTATTCCACAGAGAGTTGCTCAGCAGTTAGACGCAACACAGTTTCGTTCTTATCTCGTATTTTACTCTGCAGTGTAATACAATAATATAGTGCTTATTGATAAACAACTGACAAAAAAATGAACCAAATTCATTGTAGTGAAAATGCGACCGTTTTAGGTTGCATTAATTAATTTGAATTTTTTCATCAGCTTTACGTTCTGACAATTTTAAAGCTAGAGCAAACTTTAGGACACGTCGGGAAGACATTGTTTCCTAGCGGTGTTCTGTCATTTTTCCTAAGGTAAGCATCGCTATTAAACATCGTCGAGAAACATCAGCACTCTAGGATTAACTTATCACCCCATGCGTATAGAAAAAATTTCTATCGCCTAAATTGAGCATTAGCAACCGGAATAAACAGGACAACTGATGTTCCAACTTCAGTCCAACAACATATAAAGTAACCAGACAAGAATTATAAAACCAGGCCATGCATGCATAAAACTGCTACTGATCCACTGTTATAATCTTAGAAAAAGAGAACGTGAATACCCCTAGTTTTTAAGAAAGAAGACTTTTTTCTCGAGGGGAAAATCATTCAATTTACCTTGAGTTCAGCAGATTTGTTGTTGAAAGCAATGATAAGGTTGATATTCAGGGCTTCAACAAGCTCTTCTTCTACATCAGCGATGCGATCTATTTCCAACCACAACTCGCGATTCTGAGTGTTGCATTGTTTTACCCATTCTTTTGTATTTTCAGCTTTTTTGTACGTGAAGAAAATGAGATATTATTATGAGATAAATCATTAATATAAAAAATATATAGTCGCGGTCTGGATTCAATATGCAGACCACAATATCGTTTTGCACTTTTTTAACAATTAGCAAGTCTTAACAATGGCGACTTAGTTTGTCGCCATTCATTTGCTCGTTTTATTTAGTTCTACTTACAAAGCAGTATATGACACCAAGTTTTCATTGGGTTGCCCTGTGCATGCGCAGGAAGCTTACGCCCTTTTCATCTTTTCCGTTCTTTTTACCTAACTGCCTCTTTCCATTCTGCGTGGCTCACAAATTGAGTGGAAAGTAATGTTTACAACACGAGCGGCCGTGTTGTAAACACCTTGTGAAATGAACTTGTAATAAATAAGATTTGAATAGCTATGCAATGATTTCCATATCTATTCAAACTAATTTGTATATGGTATACAGGATGTGCATGTGATCTGATTCACGAAATTTGGTTAGGTACAAACCTCGTTAATTATTCATGATTGCACAATATTAGTTTTGATCCGACAATTACGTACCACTCGTCCACATATTGTCAACTTTTCGACTCTTTGTTGACAAAGTTTTCTTTAATCTGTCAAATTCGTCTCGGTATCTGCAAGCGGATGGGTAGACACCGCAGCATCCCTTGATGTGCAAATAAATATCAAAACCAAGGTTTGCCAACGAGGCCGCGATGCTGGCACCAATTAATATGGCCACTATCACACCACCTGTAAAAAGACGCATGAAGTGTATGCAGAGTGTAATTAATATTGTAATCAGTGGAAGTAATTATACTGAATTACGAATCGTTAGGAAATGCAGCATGGAAACTGTTCCGACTTTTCAATAGCTGATCTTACGTTTTTCTCTTCTAGTTGATAAGTCAGAAGTAGTATTTGATTGGTAGAAATCGTCTAAAAATATAAATTAGATTAGACATTTCGAAGCCATTAATCAGTATTATATGCTAGAAAATTTTTATATTTGGCTTACCCACGACATTTTCTTGATTGTCGACGAAAATAACTGGAGACTTTCCCAAATTCAAATGTCCATCTTGATTGTCGGAACCAACGGAGAGGCGTTCTGTTTTTACACAAAACTCATCAAGTAATATTAGCAAGCAAAAACCAACGGCAATCCTCCAGCGATTTTGCTGTCTAAACATCCTAGGAAGATAGCGTTTCACACGATTGATCATATAAAAAAGGTATATTTCAATTAGGAAAGTGCCTCGATTATAGATATAGGTCAGCTACTATTAACACGTTTCGTGTACCATGCATTTGGGCAAGCCGCAATGTGTAAAGTGTCTTTATTGAAATTTGTTCATATTTATCACTCAAGTTCAAGTAAGCATCCTTTTAGTTCTTTTAATTAATGTAACGTATATACGGTTATAAAGAAAGAAGAAAGGACGTTTATATAAAAACACACCTATTCCTGTATTCCAGCTGCAAACTGACTATTGACTAATCCAACATATATATAGAACAACTAGCTTATAATTAGGCACAAGACGTGTGAGTCGTGACCTTGTCTTAATTGTATTTTTTTATTACAAGCTGCCCAAGATCAAGCAGAGCTTCCTATATATGTGCCAAAACTAATCGGGTCGCGAGTAGGAAAAATTACCGTGCATTTACTTTTACAGACCGCATTTGCTTTTCACTTTATCGTATATAAGATCCCCACCTATAACTTGCAATAACCATTTTTGGATTTAGATACAGTACTTACATTGTTGAGAAACACGAACTATGAGGATGCTGCACACTTCGCTAGACCAGCAGCGACGACTGTTATCCAACAACTTTCTTCGTTTATTTCCCCTGCTTCCTTTGCACGAGTCATTGGAGTTCATTTAAATTTCCTGTTCAGTGTAATATCAGAGGGGAAATGAGAACGCGTCATGAAAACTTGCTTCCCCTACAAGTGCTTAACATTATCAATGCAAATTCTTTTGGTGATAAGAACTGAGAAAGGGCTACAATCTGGTTCCTTGTATTGCTAGATTTGCATGCCAGATGCTGTTTTATTTTCTTCCACAGTAAGCAGAGAAAGGGGCTTTGTTGCCTATACAGGTGCACAATTGGACGGTGCATGCAGTGAGATAGTGAGGTAGTAGTGACTGGTAGTAGGAGAAGAGGCAACGCAAACCCCATCGCTTACAAGACTGTTCACACCAAGTAAACATCCGTTTCAAAGCGGATACATGAAAAATCATCACCTGAAAGAGTATTTTCTGTAGGAGTTGAAATGAATTCGCAAATCTGAGGTCATTATAGCCCACAAACAAATGAACATAGGGGAAATATAAATTTAAGCCAGATCAACTTAAAGACAAAGCACATCCGTTATTCGTGTTTTTAGCACAGCAATGTTTATTATGTTTGGCTATGATCCATATATGATGTTATTGCAGTATTATGATATTGGTTTAAGCTATATATGAAGTAACGTTCGAGAGCCGCCTTTGATCATTACCTAGCCCTCGTGAGTGCGAGAGCAAAATTAGGGGCTGATTACATATAGTACCGAGCATGATTAACCGCGGGAAGACTTGTTTGTTTAGTGCATTTAATCCATATTAATCACTGAATAGATGTAGAGTTCTTGCTCAATGATTGACAGTGAAGTTTTTTTTCGTGGCATTTTTCACTCATCTGCGGTATACTCGACCCCTTTATCTTGGTATACTCGGGCCCTTTACCTTGATTCTGACAGAATCCTAGCAGAAGTCCGGGGAACGAGGTTGTAGTAACTCTACAAACCTAAAGGGCGAATGAAGGCGGCCCATAGACCATAAATACCAACACCCTTTTGGCATGTCACTGATGCTGTGTTCGTTATTCTTATTTACCTACGTTGCCCTTTTCAGCTTGACGATTACGGGACTCACGTACAGTAATAAAAGGCAGCCATCAACCTCAAGCGCTGCAGCCTATTGGTGAGAAGAATCGCCTCGCAAATGGTAAGATAATGGTGTTCGAACCCCGGGTAAAATATTGAAAATTCAAAGTTCAAGGAAAACGTTCGAGATCACAGCTGGTAAAACTACAGATGGGAACTACAAATACGACTTAAACGTAATAATTTTATTAATTTTTTTTTGTTTTTTATCAATGAAGCTTACTGATCAATTTGTTTCCGTACTTTTAGTGAAAGAAGTCGATGTGTTCAACGAAACGATCGCCAAGAGTTAGTATTAAATTATTTTTATTAATTAATTAATCAATTAAGATAATTCATTCTTCATTCTACATCTACAATATTAAAGCATGCATGCATGGTTGAAAATAAGCAGCGGCCCATTGCCTACGGATCTTACAATAACGAATTTTTCTTACATAAATTATTTCATCCATGAATGATGACAGTTGAATTAGAAAAACCAAATAGACATCGCCGACAAGCTCCTATATGTCTGCGACAGTCGCATAATAAAACATTAGCATATATCGCGTCTCGTCGTTAGATATTCTTACACATCATACAAGATAATACGATTTCCTGAGATTGATATTGACTGTCGAAGACATATAAAAACTACCCTACATAAGACTATAATGTGAGCGTTTTCTGACCACGATGATAACACTAGTACAGCGTAGGTTTTTTGGTTTGTCTAAAAATATCCCGTTCTTTATATAATTAGTCCTCCAATGATCGGAATGCTTGTTGCATTTGGTCAAATAGCTCGTTAAAGGCAGACTTTATTTTGGGCTCTCCATCCTTCACTGGATCCTAAAATGCAGATTCATAAATTACGATTCATTCACAAAAGGAATTTAGCCGAACGTCTCACTAAGTGTCGTTGACTCTTTTGTCAGCGTCATTGAGTTGTGCCCCAAAATATGTATTTTGACAAAAATCCGGTGGAGCGAGAGAGCAATGCATTTAATTCACTTGTTTTAGCTCTTGCTTATAGTATTGACAACAAGGTGGAATTTCGTTTTAAACTAATCGGCATATTACATTTTTCAGGCAAAGCCGAAAAGAATGCCTACATTTGACTACTTCATCGTAGTCAAAGTTTATGCATTCTGATTGGGTAACTGAAAATGTAAACATGCAAACTCGCTGATTGGTCTACTCGTTGATTCTATTACTATTGCGTGGTGATAGACATAGTTTACAAAGACCCATCATTATTAGAAAGGGCGTACAACTTGCATAGTTATAAAGAGAAAGTACTAAACCTTACCTTGAATTTCATACTACTCAGTGCATATAAAATTTCTCCCATATTTTCCTTGATTATACTCCAAGTGATTTTGTTATCAGCATGAGCGGTTGTTTCGACGGAATGTCGGGCCTTCTCATAAAATGCGATTATATTACTCAGCATACCAACTGTCTTATAGAACGGGCAAAAACGATCATACGGAGTGTAGCCATTTTGTTGAAGAAAGTCGTCTTTGATCAACTTGGCAACTTCTAAGGTTATCTTGTCAGATTCTGCGAGTGAACCCTACAAGATAGATATTGACCAAATTGAGTATTATAAGTAATGCCATCAAACATTAGGACGGCATAAAACATATGAGACTGGGATAAAAATGAGCAAAAAAACTTTACATGAAGTTTCATTAAGTGCAAAATTACAAAACCCAAACCTTTCCAACAAGTTGAACAATTTCGGAAAGGTCTTCTTCTTCCTGAAGTATTTCTTTTACCTGTTTAGAATGACACAGATTCGCAGCGGTTATTGACTACGACATGCCAAGTTGAACGCAAGTATTATAGGGTAGGTTATTACGACACTTCAATTATTCACTTCTTAAACCGATCAATATCGAAAGAGTAATAAAATCTCATCACACGGATCAAATACAGGCATGGAAAATACACAAAACAACAGTTACTGTATGCTGTTTCCAAAAGCCTTGATGTCATATGATCGGAATGCACAGAAGAAAACCTATTTTATCTATTAAAATACATATTCTCATATTCTGCACACAATCATAGACAAGGGAAGGAGTTGAGATGTGAGAACATTGTACTCGTGCACAAAATATGTTCGACTTTAAACTATAATATCTATACACCTTTGCTCGTAACGCTATGAATTCTGGATAATTTTTCTCATAGAAGTCATCCAATGCTCGTAAATATTTGCTGTAGCTGATCAGCCAGTTGATTGACGGGAAATGTTTCCTTTGAGCTAGTTTCTTATCCAAACCCCAGAAGACCTACGAAAGGAGAAAAAATCCGCTACCAGAACTCGCATTTCCATAAATGCCATTTCGGCAACGCACATTCGAAATCTTCATGTATGTAAGTGGTGAGGATCGTTTGATATACAAACCTGGACAATGCCGAGCGTTGCTGAGGTAACAGGATCTGAGAAATCGCCACCAGGCGGTGAGACTGCACCTACGATGGTCACACTTCCTTCTCTCTCCGGGTTGCCAACACACTTCACTCTCCCGGCTCGCTCGTAGAACGATGCAAGACGTGCACCAAGATATGCAGGATATCCGCTATCTATAAACCAAGAATGAAACCTAAATATGTATACCTCATGAAACGGACGCTACTTTACATCCATCCAAAATAATACAGTATACGATCAGCAAGAGGCGCCCAGGTAAGGTATGAAAAAACAACGTCAAACAAAAATGTATAACTGACGAAAGAATTACGGATGAAAGGCTTGACATCAGACAATTAGTTTTCAAGAATTGGTTCCATGAACAAGTGACAAAAATATTTCTTCTAACCTGCAGGCATTTCAGCTAAGCGGCCAGAAATTTCACGCAGTGCTTCTGCCCAACGAGATGTTGAATCCGCCATCATACTCACATTATAACCCATATCTCTGAAGTATTCAGCAAGTGTGATACCTGCAGGAGGAACATAGCAGGAGCAAGATTAACTGAGTTAAGAAAGTAGGTTACACGATAAGCTAGTTACTCGGTACATGTCATATTTAACGGAATGTAATAGAACAGCAAAGTAGATGCTGACCAGTATAAATCGAGGCTTCACGAGCTGCGACAGGCATGTTCGATGTGTTTGCAACCAGAGTTGTTCTCTTCATAATAGATTCAACGACGCCACCAATCTCCACAGTGAGCTATGTTTAATGAATATACATGTAAGTACCTGAATGCAATTTTCTCAATGCAAGATTATCACCCTCCAGTCATAATGCACCGCTATCACATTTTCGATACTATCAAATTAACCTTCTAGGTTGAATATTGCCACGTACTGTACTGTACAGTAAAGTGTGAGTGAAATAAAGGACCAACATTAGACAAAACTATATTACTGACAGTATAATATGTCGATAGAATTTCCTTCAACATGCACTAAGTCATTTACCTCAGGAAAATCGCGAAGTACTTCAGACATCTCATTGCCTCTCTCACCACATCCGACGTAAACAATGACATCGGAGTTTGAGTATTTAGATAAAGATTGAGAGATGACAGTTTTTCCACAGCCAAAAGCTCCAGGGATGGCTGTGGTACCACCTTGGACACATCTAAGTACGGAAAAGTTCACAGGCGTTGTTGAGTAATGTTGACTGTCTGTATATGTGTGAAACGAATGCATAGTTTGAACCATAGTTTTAAGGTCGATAATGTACTGTAACAATCGTATTTAGGAACACGGTAAATCTTTCTTTTCCTTTTTTGAGGGAAAAACCTAATTTTGGTCACATCACGGTTGCACATTGCTAAATATATTTATGAGAACCTTCCTAAAAACTGTGATACCATTGCTGTGGATATTTTGATATTGCGTCGAAGGGGGTAAAAATTATTTTTGCAGTAACTTATATCCAATTGTAGTTATAATACCATAAATCTACAGAATAATTCTAGTAAGAACTTACAACCCATTATTTATATAGACGTCAAAAGTAATAATATCTAAAGCTTAATTGGACGAAAGTGGTGAACAAGTCTTCCATGATAAGAATGGTACAGGGATAACCTTTATCTTATAACCACATACAGGTACGTTGTTTTTTTAATAAAATCAAATGATGAAAAACAAAATTCGCCGTAATACTTACGGGAATAGTGAATCAAGAACACGTTGCCCTGTTAATAGAGGATGGTTTGCAGCTAGCTTTTCAACAACTGGTCGCATTTGACGTACTGGCCAAATCTAAAGCATTCAATTAAACGATTACATTAACTACAGACCACCCTCACCTAAAATACCGTATCACAGTAAAACATCGCAAAAATCGATCTTACAGCACATATGGACATTGTAGAGAAACGTTTCTGGAGGTATCCCAGGACATATAGATTTATCTAAGTTTCATAGAAGCATTGCGGAATATGCAACTTTCATGGATAGTGATACAATTTCCATATACTAAGGATGTATAGACTCGGATGTAGCTAGCTACTAGCTTCCAGATTTGAGTGCATTCTACAGATATGTCAGTGACCTGTAACATGGTATGTTCCTTTTCTTCACCATCAAACTCTGTTTTCAGAACAACATCCTGCGGAAGATATGTATATATTACACATAACACATACACGTATAATAATAATAACAATGATAAACACCGTGTCGACCGTAATCAAAGTGAAGAATATAGCAATCTAATTTTCAGGGTATTGTGTCGGGGATGGGTTCGAATAAAGGATGACTCGCATCAATATAATTCATTGTAAAACATCTTATTTTTCCATTTAGTCATGTACAAGAAACTTACATTGAGGGTGTAACTGCCAGGTGATGCGATGAACGTTATGGTACCTCTTTCTTTTGGATGAAGCATGATGTAATGTTTAAGTAGAGAATTCTCATGAACGACGCCATATATATCACCGCCAGTTATGTGATCTCCAACCTACGCGTGGACAGAGTACAGTATACACCTATATTCGTACATTGTGGACAAAGACCCCGCGGAGAGATTGTACAATACTGACCATATATTGTATGTATAATGGTAGGTACACATCGCAAAAGCTACAAAATGAGGTGGGCATGCAATGTACCCTAGGTATATATGGTCTTCACTGCTAGAGCTTGTTCGGAAAACGACATTTGGAGTGTCTATCCTAGCTATAGGTATTTACAGAGACTGAAGTTTGGTCTGTTTGGATTGATCCAAATCAGTGGATTGATCACATAAGAGATGTTACGAAGGTATTTTAATTAAAGGAAAAATACATCATAGACTTAAAACATTTAAATACCTTAAATGAATTTGGTTCGAAATCCCACTGTGCAGTTCGACTTAAACTGTTGATGTTAACACCACGTGGAATATAAATGCTGTCCGTTAGTTCATTAATATCCTACAAGCATTAAAAGTCACAGAGGTGAAGGTAGACATACACTTTACATGGACCATTAGACTGGGGACAAAGTTAGTAACAGGAGCTATAATAACTAATGACCACATCCATTACTCTTCCTCGAATATGCGAGGAAAATGATGGTGAAGATTTTGTCCAACAAACTGTTGTACATGTAAATTGCAATTTTTTTGTAGTCTGTGTTATATGTTTTTTAATAATCATCTTGTCCTCTTGCAGCAGTTTTTTCCTAATATTAAATTATATTAATGCTAACCTTCAAAGGCCTCTGAATACCATCGAAAATACTGCCTAAAATTCCTGAAATTAAAGTCGGGCAATAGATGGGTAAATTTTGATTCAAATTGCTGAAGAGAAAACTTCAAAACAGGGTTCCTTGAAAGCATAAAAACAAATCTTCAAATGCAGTGTGGAATGCAATGCATAGCATATTGGAAAATAAGTGATGGAACATTATTACTTAATTAAAGGAAATTCCTCAGAACAGTACATGTCGGAGAGTTGTTGTTAAAATATGTCAAAGGTAACAGAAATAGCAAAGATATGTATGTGCATGTTCACAGATTGGTTGAATTAGCTATTTGTTAGGATTTCTCTAATAGTTATTTTTGCATACATACATACAATATCTCAAAGATTGGATAAGGCATGGCGACAAGTACAATTATATTAACATGATTTATTACCAGGTCCTAGTTCAACAGATAAAGGTTTTCCAGTTCGCAAAACAGGATCTCCAACAGAAACACCAGCTGGGTATGTTGTTAAGAACATTTAGTGCATTTTGGAGTGAAATTTCTAAAATATCGTTTTTAATATTACATGAATGCATTAACAGGGCTCTTATGGAGAATCATATTGCTCTGCCTTCTTTTGGCATGAACAACTTGTTTTAAAGCTTTTTCTACTCTTAATTCTTGCCATTGATTTAAGCGGGTTTTTTCATATGAATAGGCTAATTTATAGTTATGAACACTTCAAACACCAAGTGAAAAACAAACATGTCTGGAAACTAGCCTTCTCTACAGCAGGCAGGTAGGTAGCAGTTTTGCTCTCCAAAAGCTGATGTGCCACTCCCTAGGCATTTGGATTTAGCAAGTGAAAAAGAATGAAATAACATGCAAAAAGAAAGCATTTAAGCCTATTAGATAAGAGGATACAGGTTTCTTCATAAACTTGAATGGTAGCAAAGTCTCCTTCTAATCTAATTATTTCTCCCACAAGCTGACTGTGCCCAACACGCACCTACATGCAAAGTAAATGAGAGAATGACACTTCATCTTGTCAATAATACTGCTGCATTCTCAATATAAAGTAGACACTGTACTGGTATGTGCATTAAGAATTAAATCATTGGATTTGACACGGGAATAAAATTAAAAGACAGGTGCGAAAGGAGCTTTATTTCTTTGTCCTGTAAAATTTTTATATCATCATTTTCCTACTCTGCACATACTCTTAGCACTTGTTATATAATATTCACTAGCCCCACCATTTTGTTCCAGTTAAATTCATGTGGAACATATATAATATATACTGTGTATATCGTTGTCAAAATTGTGTGTTCCTGAGGGGTTTAAAAATATCAGACCATTTTAAAAGGAGAGACATTTAAAATGACCTAATCAAGCGTGTAGGCTTCCTTCATTATTTATAATGTCAAATAATCTTAGAGAATATTTCATAGTGTAAGCTTTTTATCAGAACTTACCAATTCATACATAGCAGAACCACTCATATAATCCGCTGTAACAACTATAATAATATGAATGATAAGTATTCATGATTTCACGTCCCATACTAAATCAATAGTCACAAGACTGCACCAGCTCATCGCTGGAAATGAAAACGTAAATCTCCACTCAAACCATACCTGGCCCAGAGACAGCGTGTACATAACCATATTCTGAATCTTTTATAGTTAATTCTTTTAGTGACTGATCCATGATGCACTATATTTAGAAAAAGATTATCTAACTACAGTATAAATACAAGTAACTTTGAACTGGTGAATTCTTGATCAAAAATATGATCATCTGTTCTGTCATGTGAAAATTAGGTTTACTCGCGCAACAGGTTAGCACCTTCGGGGGTACCCAGAGGTAGTGTAATGCAACGTGCATATGTACTTTTATACCTTCACAAAATGCAGCCCACGATGAGTTCAATGTGAACAATATCAGTCGACTTAGTTTCGAACTTCAATGTTTAAGACTGTCTTCCAAAGAAAAATTATTAAAAGATGTAATAGATTTGACCAATCCTCCCTCCCGGCGTAAAACAGAAGAATTTTGTAGGTTGCACCCAGTCCCCCAGCATTAGAATCAATCAAATGAATCAATGGAATCGGTAGAAATGCAAGTGCAAGAGAAAGCTAAGCAAACGTAATGGAAAATCGAAGTGGTTCTAATGTTTTATTTTGTTCATTATTAAGCAGTTGGAACTTATCTACTCGTCTTCTAGGATGTTTTCCTGCATCTATTTCCATCATATTACTACTTTTCAACTTATTAACTTTTTCTCAAGCTACAGACTCTAAACCTCAATGTAGTGATATTCGGTTTGCTCAGTATTTCAATTGCTCAAGTAGTAACTGTGTTTATGGAGAGGAATCTTCGGTTAATTGTTCTCTGGCTGTTGACAAATCTTGCGAGGTGAATTGATTATAATTAGAATAGCATTATACCTTAAATGTATCCTAACTTAAACTTATACAGCCAATTAAGAATTAACTCCATTGTCATTGAATAATCTTGTAACCTATCTGGTGAATAGATTGTCCAAACCATCTTATTCAATAACTACATGTAACATTTTAATTAAGCAAGTCCAAATATAACTGAAAGCAACATTGTTAGATAGTGTAATTAGGTTACAGTATGTGGTACAGTAGTGTAGTCCAGTGTTTAGGCTGGAGTCAGAAGACATGTTGCCATTTGGTAATTGCTTAGTTTTCTGTTCCTATATACTCAAACCATAACTTGTACATTTAGATTGGGATATGATTTGTACATAGAGCATGCTATAGTAACTGTATTGGACTTCAATAGTCCGCAGGGGGTACGGGGGTATGAGGTTGATTGGGAGGCTGGATTCATGTTATGAATTAATTTAGGGTGAACGCTCATTCATGAAGAAAATGAAATGCAGATATTGTTATCAAACAGAGCCAACAGAGCATATATGCAATATAAGAACAGATTGTAAGGTATAGTAGATTTAATTTTGGGCGTTTGTTTGTGGAAACACAACATGAATTTCGTTTTGCAGAACTTTCAGCCCGTAAGCCAGGACATGCATCATCCGTGCAAAGCAAACTTTTCGTAATCACACATAACTCAAAAGTGTCTGCAAAACTAAATTCTGGAGTGGTACTTAACATTTGTTGTTGTTTAAATATGTATACATTGTACAGACATTAATATTTAGGCATTGGAAATACCAAGAAAAAGAAGATATAGCACAAATTGTACAGTTAAAGAGACCACTCTTTGTCTTGGTATGTGTTGTAGTTATTGTACATCCAGCTAGGCCTCCAATCTATTATTTTCTTATCACGCTCAACACTTTTGGAAGGGGGATTTTGTATCCATCTTCTGTGATCTCTTTCAAAATCGATTGTTTTCACTGTATGCAAACATCCATATATAACCCACCCTCTCTACCTGTTTCTGTGGAGGAATGAAGGTGTTGAACAAGACTTAAATACAATTTATGGTAGAGTTGAGAAATCACATTAATATTCCCATAAGCTTTGAACAACTGGCCCTGGTTTCCCTTGTGCAGTGGTCAAATATTTCTACATGTGTAGGGAAATAAAGACAAATTTACATTTGGACTATTTTAATAAGAGCTGTTGTTGAATAATGGTCAACTCGACTCACTAACCAACTCATGAGTGAACTCAAACAAACTGAAGCTGCCCAACATTAATTATTGATACCACCATCGATACTGAGTTTACTGGTCACCCCTTTTTTTATTTTAAGGAAACAGAACATTTGGTAAAATACTGACATGTAACTGGACATCCGGTTATCGATGGTCAACAGCCGCACTGCTCAGGTAGGTACACACAATTTAACTTGTTATATATTTTTTTAATTTGTTGTTGTTGATTTCGTATATTGTTGATTTCGTATATTGGTTGCTTTCTGTTTCAGTTTAACCCTAGGTGGTTTTGGTGTTGACAGATTTTACCTGGGATACTGGAAAGAAGGATTGGCAAAATTATTTAGTTTCGGTGGTCTTGGCGTATGGACGCTTGTCGACTTCATTTTAATTCTTGCTCAGTACGTGGGCCCTTCTGATGGTTCCCTGTATATATTTTAGGTAAAGCCGTAGGTAATACCGTAGGCATAATGTCACCGTTCTGTGGCCTGAGTGTGGTTTAGTGAACGCAAAACTGCGTCCGGACCATTTCACATCAGTGAGAATAACTTGTTTCCGACAATTACGAAAGAAAGCCGGGACGAATTCTCGTTCACCATTCATCTGTCAGACTGCCACGAAACAAACTTCGTAAAATTGCCTGCTGCATTGTCGGGTAAATTTAGTATTTATTTTAAAATAACTCACAAATTCAGTAATTCATAATGATAAATTTTCGTCATGCAATAGGCTTTACCCTTCACCCAATGATCTTGTCAGTTTTTTGTCGAGTACTTTTTCGTGTCGAGCCAAAGGTTATCAAGAAACAAGTACTGTACGTTCAGGTGACCGTATGGCATGTTACAATGAAATATAGATTAACATGAAAACAAGCCATTTGGGAGAAAAGAATGATTGGCAATGTCCAATGTATAATTGGCAAAAGTATAATTTATTATAAAGATAGGAAAAAACGCTATGTCATTATTACTACCTTATTACTGTGTACCATGAACCATGGCCTAGTTTTTATGGAATTATGGGCTCTGTGGCTCGAAGATTTCATTCCTGCACGAGCATATTCTACAATGGTATCGGCTATCGCAACAGCTCCTCTCTTTGTTTGGACAAATCATGTATAAAGTTATTACAGATTTGAAAAGTTTATTGAGTAGTATCAAAATGGTTTCAACGCAACCTGGATGTAGTAGTCTTCATTATTCTCTGCCATTGCCATTATATTCCCTACAAGACGAAGTACTGCTGAACATCTGCCACGTTGGCGGAATTATTTAAAGCCTTCGAAGTTCGAACCGAAGATTCCGAGCATCAAAGGGTGAGCAGCGTTTTCACAAATTATATTGATTTAAATGGCTGCATTTGAAGAAGACGATAGCTTTCTTTTGCGGTCGACAAACAGAGATTTGCTCTCCGCTGTTTTTAAAGATAGTATTCCAGGTTTGCAAGAAGCGTTGTTGCTTGTTTCAATATAAAACTGACAAAATATTATTTGTGGTATACAGTACCGTCAGTACAGTATTATTATTAGACTTGATGATATAATTTGATGAACATTTTCGTAGATAATTGGAGAGATAATCCAGATTTTACCTTCTACCTGTCAGAACTCAGCTCATCAAACTTGGACCGTTTGGGTAAGTATTAACATCGATTCCAACCGCAAGAGTATGAATAATATAGAAAGCTTTACCATTGCCATTCTTTCAATATACTGACAGTGAATATTTTCATGACGTGAAAGATGAAATGTTCCATTCAAGGAGGGAAAGCTAAGCTGAATAGAACAATCCATCTTTCACCCAATAAAAATATTCTTGTTGTGATGGTGCTACAGTGTAATTTGGATTTACCAACTGGCAACTGAGTGTGTTTGGATTTACCAACTGGGAATCTAACTCTTGACCTTTGGTTTGCTAGTCCCCGGCCAATAAAAATGAATACATTATTTGTTATAACATACATATATTCTGACTCATAGTCAAATGCATGTGAGCACAATAAAATAAATACTGTGAGAGTTAATGGGTAGACCATGCAATGGAAACCTCGATTGCGCAGTCAGTGAGATGGAAATGTTCATTTAATTCCACATGACCTAAAACAACCAATTAAAATTAAGACATTGATAAATTAACAAGGCATTATATAACATAATTATGTTATTTAATGAATCATTTAATAACATTCCACAAATCAAGTGACGCTTGGTATCACTGTTTTAGTTTCAGAACCTGAGAGACTATCAGAGGAACGTTCCCAGCTGTTGGAGCAGACACAGGATCTTGCATTTAATAACTATAAAACCTTCATTAAAACAGCTGATTGTTCAAGAGAAATTTTTCAAGATGTTAGTAAAGTTAATTCTTATGTATATATAAACATTATCTTCATATCTCTTAGTTGAAACATTACAAAGTGTTAAATCATTTTTAAAATATCATCTTCTAGTTTATTCATGTAGAAACACAAGTTGACTCCTTATTAGATGCACTGCCATCTTTTATTGATAAATGTAAACGATTCCAGGATGCTGGACAAGAAATTAACTCGCGGTAATAATTTGTTTTGCTTATATTTAAAATTTTTATCAAATATAGATCAGTAATCTTTATTTAAACATGTTGAATAATTATGCCTTGTGTATAATCTGTGCAATGACACAGTAGTTAGTTGTAATGATACTGCTGCTACACCAACATGCTCAGCTGACAGTTGGATGTGATAACAGTATGGAATTTTTTTAACACATTATTATTCAAAGATTTTTTATTATTTTTTATAATGTAAATAGTTCTCCTTAAATTGAGAAGTAGTGTATTTAACCATTTAATAATAAAGGGTAAATCAATTATGATTTTTGGCACTTCACTCGAGGCAGGTAAATTCTAGTGGTTTAAAGGGTCTTATTAATTTCGAGTGGAATTATACACACTTCAAATTTAAGCCAGGAGCAGTTTATGAAAAATGAGTCAACTATAGGTCCTCCGGCAGGAATAGTTCAATGCCAAGAGCATTGCACCAGCGTCGCAAAAGCGTAGCTTCGATTCCCGCTGGGAGGACCTATAGTTGACTTATTTTTCATCAACTGTTCCTGGCTTGAATTTGAAGTGTGTATAATTCCACTCTAAATTAAGACCGTTTAAACCTCATTTAATAATAATAATAATTTCTTGTCCCACATTTTAGACGTTACTCCAATTCTATGATACTTGGTAGACACACTCAGTTGCTTGAAGTACTAGAAATCCCACAGGTAAATATTTTTTCCTTCCTGAGAAAGGAGTTTTGTTAGAAAAGATATTTTGCAAATTTGACAGGATTAGGAAATTATTGTGTATTTTTAGTGCAAAGTTTCTTTGAAACTTTGCAGTATTGTGGTGAGTGGCGAAAATTCACATCAGACAGTCAGTCAGTCAGTCATAGTGTAAACTCCGGGGGGCGGAGTGTTTTTTGTTTGTCGTCTTTGATCCTATGTGGGTGGGTATCAGGAAGTTTGTTTGATCAAGTATATAGTTTTCTGATTTGTATATTCTTTTAGCATTTTCCAATTTAAACAAAATATGAAAGAATTACTGTGGTTATTGTAAATTTTATAACATTCGTTACGATGATATGTGTGTTGTTCCCCCCGGTACACGCGATTTCATCTTGAACAGCGCATTAATGCGCATAAGGCCGCGATTAATATTCAGAAGCGCAAAATACAATAAGGAGCGATGGAGCGACGAAGTGTTGTTTTGAAATATTTTACGCGAAAAGCGAGCAAATGTTCGAGAATTTGTGAACTCATTAAACGCAGAACCAAGAAAGAATACGTCCACATCCACTATCGTATTTTAACTACACGCAACGGCATAACATAATATACACGACTTATTTTGATAATGTACTTCACGAATCTAACATGTGTTGATAGCAATTGATACTGCTGTATAATCGACTATGGAGGTTAAAAAATTTTTAACCATAACAGTGCTTAATAATTACTATTTGTTATAGAGAAACAATGGAGCGAGACAGTTCTGTTTAAAATGTACAAATCTGAAGCAAAATGGCGATATTACTAGCAAGTGCCGATCAGTATTATCAGGTTAAATGGTATGCTAAGGTGCTACACGACATGCACTATTATTACACGTAATAAACACTATATTTGAACTGATCCATTGATGCGCGCATCGTGTTATAAACACACGCATCGAATATTACACTGCGCGATTTATTTAGATCGTATACTTCATTGAATAGAGTGCTAGACAACACAAACTTCATGAAGCATAGGATTGTTTTGTATTTTACGTATTGCAGTTAATTCACGCTAAAATGTTGACAATTAAGTGCTAATATTATTTAGTTCGTTTTCTTATAGCACAACTTCATAGAGCTATATTTATTTAGTGCTTTGTATTTTATTTAGGTAGGCTATAGTGCGATTGCGCGCATATGGTTATGTAAATAGACGGATCGGTTTTGAATATATACAGGCGTCCAATCAGTCCAAAAGAAGGGCAAAGTAACTATTACATTAATTACGTTAGACCATGTTTCATCTGCGCGACCACATTTTAAAAGTCCCGTACGCCTATGCACAAACCAATTTTACTGTCATAAAAAATGCTTCAAAATGAAAACTGTGGATCCACACAGTAGGCATTCAAGGCTAATTATATTGTTATGGTTGATATCCATATATAATATCGCGACTATAGTAATGTAATTTGAGTATGTTTGGTTATATTTTCGTGCTGTCAGGACAAGTGATCGATTCACGCATCGGTTATGTAAATCATGCAAGGTTTATTTACTTTAAGGTTTATACAGTATAGTGCAGTTTGAAAGTATCTTGTGGGATTCTTCTCAGAAATATTTTATTATAAAATGTTTACATCATTTCCAACACCTCGCGAAACACACCCCACCTAGGCCCCAAATCTATATCAGAGCCATAGCCCCTATAACCAAACATAACCACAAAACCCCGAACGGCCCCACCAAGAATAACAAAAGACACAACCGACCAAACACCGCAAGACGGACCCCCACTCTCACAAACCCTCTGAGCGCCGACCGGCCGAAACATGAGCGCGAGATCACCTGGATAACCGCGCATTTTTGCACAATCACAAGTATAACAGCATTTGCATTATAGCCAAAACTTTGCACTATCCTTGGATCCCTAGTTATATCAATAGTTACTAAATTATATTAATCAACAAAATAAATCTAATTAAATTTACGATTGAGAGCCATTTATAAAAAGATTCCCAACATTTCTTTCTCTTTGCCCAAGCTATCACTGTTCACGTACACTTAGTATTTTCTGGTTAATTCTATACAAATCTGTTCATTTTTAAGATTTGTGATATTTGTCAATGTAAATTCTTGTACTAAAATATTTTTAATGCTCCCTCTTTTCATATATAGGTAAGAGTTTCCAATATTTGCACTACATAAGGCTATGGTACTAATTTTAATAATTTTATAATCTCCCAATGCAGTTAATGGATACATGTGTACGAAATGGTTACTACGAGGAAGCTCTGGAACTGTCCACGTTTGTGAAGCGGCTGGAAAAGAGATTTTCCAACATCACTGTCATCAAGAACATCATTTCGGATGTATTCGCTTCGAGTCAACTAATGCTTATTCAATTGTTGCAACAACTGAGAACTAACATACAGTTGCCACAGTGTTTGCGGATAATTGGTTACTTGCGAAGACTCGATGTGTTCTCTGAAACTGAACTGAGAATGAAATTCTTGCAAGCCCGAGATAGTTGGTTATCGAGTGTTTTGTCTGCCATACCTCGCGATGATCCATACCACCATATCAGTAAAACTATCGAGGCTAGTCGAGTACATTTGTTCGATATTATAACTCAGTACAGAGCAATTTTCTCTGACGACGAGCCTGGCATACTTGGTGATGATGAGGATAGTTCAGCGAACAGCAGCTTGTTTCATGCCTGGATTGTACAAAAGGTACAGTGCTTCGGATATCATTGCCGCATCATTTAGTATATACGATACGGTTTTGGGTTATAAATGTTATGGGAATGGAGACGAAGAAGACAATACTGTACCTTGCTTGTTCCTCGTAAAACTTCAAAATAACTTGTTTGGCAAAATATCTTTAGATATCCGCGTTTTTGTCCACGTTACGTGATGATCTCAAGAGAGGTGTTGGAAACAGATCGGATTCGTTGCTGGGACAATGCATGTACTTTGGATTATCCTTCAGTAGAGTCGGGGCAGACTTTCGCGGGTTGTTAGCTCCTCTTTTCCAAGAGGCTTCATTCTCTTCATTCTCTTCAGCAATGGATGTTGCCACGCAAAGGTAACCGAACGACAATGCACCTTTTGCAAATGCATCTTTGCCTAGTGATAGATTTAAATGTGAATTGTGTATCACTTTTATACATGATTTATACTCTGTCCATTTCAGTGGCGTACGATACACGATAATTGGGGAGGGGGGGGGGGGAAGAGCACATATTCATATATTCATGTTGTGCAAGATTAATTTCTTTTAACAGGTCTGTTAACATAAATATATGTGAATATATGAATCTGTGCCCCCTCCCCAATTATTGCGTCTTCTACGCCACTGGTCCATTTCATTCATCACGGACAACGCGTGTGATGATAGCGTGATAATTATGTCTCATTTGATATGAGGGGGAGCTTGTGTAACATCACATTCGCTGCTGTATTAATGACTGTGCATCAAAAATCCCAATTCCTCTAAAAAGTTGTTGTGAAAATTACATGACGTTTATTTTTAGCTTCAAAGAGACGATGAATGGCTACCACCCTGTTTCCTTTTCTTCGACACTAACATCGACTATTTTGGGCTCAACACCAAGCAAGGTTAGATTTTAAAAGAACTGGGCCCATTTCATAGATTAGGCTGCATACATACATTGAAAGCAATAGAATTGGGGGTGTGTATTCATATATATTCATCTTTGCATACCACAGGAACAATAGCGTACAAAAGAAATCAGTCGAAATACACCCCATCCCCAATTAAGCGTCTATAGCTGCTACCCTGATTACTGTTCCTCAGTATAATTACAGTTATTATCACGTGATATTTTGTACCGTGGATAAATAGAGCAGGCTTTAGTTCCTCAACGTCAATCAACTTTTCTCACTGAACAGACCAGTTTTTTGTCTTACTGTAACATGTCTTGTTTTACAGACGAAAACGTCAGACGAGAATATATCACCGCCAATTGTGCTGTTAGAGCACCCACCATTGGCATCATTTACAAATGCTGTTCTGGCTGCACTGAATGATCTTCGACTTTGTGCCCCACTTGGCATCGCTCATTCTGTCAAGATGTGTGTGGAAAACTCTCTCAGCCTTGTTGTTGCCGAGACAACATCGTTTTACCGGTAAAGTGTGATAAAATATTGACAAGTAACTTTCGCTGCTGTTATTTCAAGATCTTAGCACTTGTCTAACAATGTACTGGATATAGCTAATGTACCTAGCAAAGTCAGTTAGGGCTTGAGTTTATACCAAGTCCCAAATCAAATTCAGATGTCGCGCTACCGTAACGATAAGGTGGCATTTCTCTCTGTTCTATACACTGTAGGTATTTATCAGTGTTCTATACACTGTAGGTATTTATATATATCCAGTGATTATCAGATCAGTGATTTGTATGAGATACCACGGCTGTTCGTGTAAAATATTGATGAGAGTAAGTTATTTCAGCTCAGAAAGCCATTAACCATAAACCAGAACGTTGAAAAAACGGACAAGACATGATTTCTCTACAATTTTTAGACATTACTCTACTTTTTTGTTTAGCGCGGAGGAAACTGCCTTGACCAGCGAAGAGAAGGAACTATTCCAGAAATTTTGTGTAGTCCTAGCAAAGGCACTCGTGCCGTATCTGAACAGATGCGTGCAAACACTATTTTCATCAAAACCAATAGGAAATACTAAAAATGTGTCCTCGTTCATTTCCATGGATGCTGACAAACTTATTGCACCGTTGTTGCCAATGATGCCGAACACTGCACCGGAGCCCACTGTGGACGCCGAAATCAAGCCTGATGAAGAGACTGAGCCCATTTCGAAAGAAGAAACGACTGAAAACCACCATGTTCCTATTGACGAACCAAATTCTGATGATATCAGTAATAACGAGAAAACATGACAGTTGAAGCAGACATGTACACAAAGATCAAAAGACGACAATGCAAAAGTCACGGTAAATTAAAGTATCCTGTGCACAGCCATTCAAAAAAGCCGACAAATTCAAGAACCATGCAAGTAAGATTTTTCTATGTTTTCGAAGTCTGGTCATTTGATTCTTGTACGCATGCCTTGAGTCTTTTACGTATGCACATGTATGTGTCAATAATATTACTCTAAAAATGTTTTTGCTCACTGCGCTAAATTTTTACAAATATCAACCATCACTATATTTGCAAAATGAAGGTAGTGCAAAATACCCACCAGCTAGATATTCTCGTATTGTGATTTGTGATCACAATATATCTAAATGATAATTTGATGTTAAAACCATGAGAAAGTACTATATTGTTTTGAGAATTTTTCTTATAAAGCGTCGCCGCTTCAATTCTGCTCTAACCTAGCGACCAGGAACAGATTTTTTGTGGCCTTAGTAGGAGTAACCAACACATCTCTGAAATCAATTGGCTTGGCCATACAATGTTTAGTATTTATTTATCACCTAAAAATTTTAAATTTCATTCTAACGTTTAGTAGGAAAGGAGAGGTTTACAATTATGCTGATCGCGTAATTTACTGTATATAATATATATACAGTATATAGGGGCTTTTTAACCGCAATCCAAATAACGCGATACCTAAATAACGACATGCACTGGAGTTCAAGATTTATATATTATAGGGAAGAAAATCTTAAATTACCTATATGTGCATCATGCATGATGTAAATTGTAAATTGAAAAAACTACTGTAAGTATCGGTATATATATATTTGCAATCATGGCGATTTTTTAACATTGACTTTTTCATATTTATATATATAACAAAAGACGATTATTCACAGTGAGTGATGTTTTATTGCATGCATGTGTACGCGAATATTGTATTGTAAAATTTTTAGAATTAGTGCAAAAAGGTGCATTGCCGTTTACATAAAAACATTGTAATTTACAATACAATTTTACTGTTGCATATATATTACACAACTTTTTGCAACTGTATGAATTTATAATTTATCGAAATAAAAACTAATAAATTTAATTAAACTTGTATGATGTTTTTAAAATTCTCGGTCGGAAAAGAATTAACTTAACGACTATGTAGTATTTCATAAGCCTGTCCTAACCCTAGTTATAGCGTATATAACATAACATTATCAAAGTTCTAATCAGCGACAGCGTTTTAAGCGAGATAGGAACCGCGTGCATGCACAAGTGCGGTGGCAAAATTGCATCGAGATTTTTATACACAGGCTAAATATAAAATATCTCAAGCGAATTGAGCGAATGAAATACAGGTTATTTAACTGTTTACAACTTCTTAATGAATGTTTTTACCACATGGTAAACGAGAAATTGAGTTTTCACAATATCGCCCGTCATGCGGTCATCCTCATTTCCATATGAAGCCATCGTGTGTTCGTTCCTATATTTATATGTATTCTTTTTTCAAACAACTTCATTTCAAGTACTAATTGCTTGAAGAAATCGCCTTTGAACAGTGAAAAAATCAGAGTAGATTCGAACGTTTGTAAAATCGACCAGCACCCGTATTACAGAATAGCAGAGGAGCGAAGCGGGTTGATTCAAAATGTTTTGAAGCCGTTTAAAGAGGTTTGTTATACCACTTCTCACAGACGGGCATTTAAAGTTGTCGTTCTCTTGCTGCTAAAGTAATATTTAATTACCATTTTCTTCAGTGAGTATGCGCTTGAAAATTGTGTTTCTAACCTTTATACTATAGCTAATGTATTTGTCTAACCGATGGACATGCATACTACTGTCGGAACGCTGTAATTTACACAAAAATAATATTTGTAAATACAATTCAAAAAAGCAGCTGTCGTGGCTGTGGCCTCGTGGACATTTTCTCTCCTTAAATGATTATTTATTTAACTATTTTCGCCACGATCAGCGCTGTTGTGTAAAGTTGATCGGATTATTTCAATGTCAACGCTGTGATCTTGGTCGAGATGAGGTTTCATCACGCGTTCATGCCTGAGAATTTTTTCTTCGGCTTCAAAGCCACATATTGCACATACGTGCATGTACAACTTTAATTTTCAATTCACTATAATTATATAGCCTACAACTGTGTTAATCCTGAGTTCTGTTCTCACGATTCGATTTTGTTGCCTGTTGGGTCCAACTCAGAGTCTCAGTTCTGATGTATAGAATGTAGTCTGTTATTGATAACACAAATGTTGCATTTGGCTTTGATTTGCTGCCCATATACATCGCAAGCCAACAGACTATACAGAAGTGAATTTGATGCGACAAAATTGGATCGTTTGAACAGACCTTTATAACATATATATACTGTATATCAGCAAATATTCTTTTAAACAGGCACAAAAAAATTAGCGATACTGGTAATTAATAATATAGATTGTTCGTGCTGTGGCGTTTTAACGTACATAATCTCGATTTCAACTATAACATTGCGATGGTCAAGATGATATCGAAAAGTCGTATGACAAACGTACTGTTATCATTGTTTCGAGCTTTATTATGTCACGACTTGGCGCTTCAGTTCGAATATAGATGTAGATCATTGTCGTAAATTGCACATGCGCGCCTAACTTGTCTAATTATGACATCACAATCGGTGAATAGTGTGTCACACAATTGGAGTGCGCTTCTTTTTGCTTTGTAAAGGTTGTAGTAAATGCAAAAGAGAAAGAAAACGTTTTTGGTATTGCTAAGTTGTCTGACATACGTCTTTGGAGAAGGTAGGTTAACACCAAGTGAACTTATTCCTACGGGAAAAAGTAAGGCTCATTTTCACGCGTTTTGACACGCACGTTATGGTGTAAATCCTTATAGTGTAGATCGAAAGAACTTAGTCTTCACCGTATTTTGGTATGCCTTGGCTTTAACATAACTCAGAAATATTTAAAATTTTTCGTGGAAAGCAGCCCTAATACTCTTGAATCGCATGCAGAGTATTGCTGGGGTATTTCATCATTTCTTTCGTCAACCACACAATACCTTTTTAGATATTTATATTTTATATTATATGTGAAGAAAATGTTAGGAATATAGTAAGAAACCGCTGTGTTGACACAGTCACCGTAGATTTTATGTAACATTTCAGGTAAGAGTTAACAAATGGATGGAAATTTCAGTGCGGCATTATATTTTATATATAAGACCCGAATGATGGTTAATGATATAAGAGTTACTGAATGGAAAAAAAAAGTTTAATGCATCAGACATATAGGAAGATTATTTAATGGCCCTACGATTAAAAAATCATTGCATGTGAATTGATTTTTAGACTGTACAAAAGTTTGCGGTTGAGGCTCTCCTTTGCGAGCTCCTTGACTCATTCTCATGTTTGGTCGATATGAAGTTAATATGCCAAATCCTAACATTGTTCGAAACTAAATATTTTAGAAAACATTGAATATCCACAAACATCCACTACACCTAACAGATTTACACTCGAACTACAGGGGCAAGCTGGCCGCCCTGTGCAAATTCCGTGCAACGTCTCGCCGTATCAAGAAGAAATAAAATGGATTGAATGGAGAAAAACTAACTCCAATACCCTGCTGTTGGTAAAATACCCGAACTATCAGATTTACATCAATCCCGAGTTCTCAACGCGCCTGGATATGGATCAATATGGCGGGTTATTGATAAACCCTCTTCGTCATCGAGATTCGGCCACCTATGAATGCAGGAGCTTTATGGGTGATATCACCGCATTCTTCCATGGCTCGAGTATCAATTTAAAAATTCAAGGTCAGTTTTGCAGTATCCTTTGGCCGTAACATTCAAGACTTTTGCCAAAAGTTTCAATCCGCGTTCGTGTATGAAGTTGTAGGGAATACATGATAATAATGTTTAGCCCAAAAACGAAGTTGCCGGACTCTCAAATTCCAAATAATGGAATAGATTCTTATTATAAATATGAGAGCCCAACATATAACATTTAAGAAAGCCATCAAAACAATTTAAAGTTTAAAAGTAAATATATTTGTAACGTTTCGTCTTTAACCTAAGACATCTTCAGACAAGTGATATAAAATTACATGAGATTTGAGTATATATAATCTATTTACATATGTAAATTAATGACGGATAGGAAGGTATAAGATAGTACATGACAAAACCGCACAGACGAAGGGACATAAACACAATACAAAAAACTATGAAAACACGTTACAGAAGATTAAGTGGGATTGAACTGCCCTGGATGTTAAGTGAGGGTTTGAGTTTGGAGATGAGGAGGCTTTCATGAATCATGAGTTCATGTTTGTCAGAACATGAAGAAAGAATTTTAAAATCATCAAAGTCGGCACAGTGCCCTGCAGTGGTTATGTGGGAGAAGATGCTGGACAAAACTGGACTAGATGACGGTTTTCCAGTTATAGGGGAAATTCCCAAGTGTTCCGATACTCTGGTGTGTAAATGGCGTGTGGTTTGACCCACGTACGATGCGGAACAGCATCGACACTTGAAAAGGTATACAACACCAGATCTCAGAAACTTGGGAACTTTATCCTTAAATGGAAAAAAGGAAGAAATACGTGTGGTGGAACGAAAAACAAAGCGAATATTAAGATGCGGATAAGCAGCATTACAAAGTCGAGTAATTTGATTGGGAATCTGAAGCGAGTGGGAACCAGTGAAGGGAAGGCAAAAATAGACCATTTTCTTTGAAACTGTGTGAATAAGTGGTTTTGGCTCAAAGGTGTTGTTAAGGAAGCGACGAACTAATTCGTCAAACATATGAGCGGGATAACTATTCAAGTTAACAAATTCCTAACAACCTCAAGTTGGATATGAAAAATTTTCATAACTAGAACAGAGGTTGAAGATTCGGTGAAGTAAACAGGAGATTAAAGAGCGTTTATATTCAACAGGAATGAAACTGTGGAAGTTGGTAAAAAGACCGGTAAATGTGGGTTTACGATAAACAGAGGTGGAGAATTTACCTCTTGAGCGAGTTATTTCAATATCTAGGAAAGGCAGCTTTCCGTCTCTTTCCAATTCAGATGTAAAGGAGATATTAGGGTGCTGGCAGTTTAGGTAATTAAGAAAAGTAGGAACATGGTCCAAGGATCTGAAAAGAAGAAAACAATCATCAACATAACGTCGATATAGAATCGGTTTGAAAGAAGGGGGACAGTTGGAGAGCCATGATTTCTCATGGAAAGACATGAAAATATTGGCGAAGAGTGGTCCTAGAGGGCTACCCATAGCCACACCATCAATCTGCTGATAAATCTGGCCATTAAAGGAAAAATGACAGTTTTTAACAGAAAGAGATAGGAGTTTGGTGAATTGTGAACGATCAAGGCCTTCAAAACACATACAGTTTGAAAAAAATGAGATCTGAGATGATCTCAATCGTTTCATCCACAGGAATATTAGTGAACAATGATACGACATCAAAACTGGCCATAACTACATGGTCTGAATCAATGTCACTGCTCAACAGTTCCTGAACAAAGGAAAACGAGTCCTTTATGACAAAAGAACTGATAGAGATTGGAGTAAGGAAAGGAATGAAAAACTTAGCTATTGCGTACGAATAGTGATTGATACATGATAGAATGGGCCTTAAAGGAATAGAGGATTTATGAATCTTTGGGAGTCCGTATAGTATGCCAATGCGTGTACCAGTGGGATACAGTTCATTGTAAGTTCTTTCGTAGATGCAGTTGCCAGCCTTCAGTTTCTTTAGCAACGCTTTAACTTGATTCTCACGTTTCAGGGTGAGTTTAACTGCGTCGTCTTTCAGAGCAGTTCAATCCCAGGGCAGTTCAATCCCACTTAATCTTCTGTAACGTGTTTTCATAGTTTTTTGTATTGTGTTTATGTCCCTTCGTCTGTGCGGTTTTGTCATGTACTATCTTATACCTTCCTATCCGTCATTAATTTACATATGTAAATAGATTATATATACTCAAATCTCATGTAATTTTATATCACTTGTCTGAAGATGTCTTAGGTTAAAGACGAAACGTTACAAATATATTTACTTTTAAACTTTAAATTGTTTTGATGGCTTTCTTAAATGTTATATGTTGGGCTCTCATATTTATAATAAGAATCCGTTTTCCGCCTGGCAAATCTCTAGCTAAATAATGGAATAATGTAATATCATCAATGTTTAACCTTTGGAATTTGGAATTTCGGTTTACCTAAATTGGTATTTATAATTTATAAGTTAGAAAATTATAGATATGAAAATAACCTCGTCCCCAGTCTTCTGTGTTCACAACGCGCGATGTGGTCCCAAAAGACCCTGGGACGAGACGAGTTTGTATCACTGGGTCGTATATGCGGTAAATGAACGGTTAAGAAAATGCCGTACAGAAAAACAACACGCTTGGTAACGAGTCGGTGGAGCTATCATAAATATAGCCGTGACTCCCTATGATTCAACGTCCGTTATCGGATTGTTGTGAATTATACAGGGTTTATGTCAACCTCTATAACATCTGCTTCGTGGCTAGGGAATCATATATCTCGTGCGGATAAAAACTACCTCAGTAACAATCTAGGAAGACAGTATATTATAAAATTGTTTATAAAATTCCAACCATTTTATCTGGATTAGGTATTCTTTGTGTCATGGATAGGGGATTTTTACTTATGACGCAGGGCCATAATGCACACGATCGAATTCTTAAATTCCCATTCATATTTTATTTTTGACAAGTAAAAATTCTTGATATTAATAGTTTTCTTTGATTTTGGCACGGAAAGTAAGATTCTGCGACGATTTCTGAGCTAACGAATGCGCGTCGGGCAGTCAGACAGTTATGCTGTCAAAACGATTCTTCCCTTGGCAAATATTTTACAAGGAATTTTTATAGTTTCGATAACTTTCGTAAATCTATTGATTCCAGTTAATCCGAGTTTTCCATAACGATCTCCCAACAAAAGACCAAAAGATTAGGAGGAGCGCATTTGATTGGTTGTTCGAACCACGGAGACAAAGTGGAAACAATTTACACGAATTAAACGAATAGCAAGATCGATTAAATATTTGTTTGTACTAATGAAATACATAGAGCCACAGGCAACATGAAAACAACAAGGTCACAATAACTGGCATCGTAGAGAGGTTTTTGCTAACTGACACGGTCATGATTTTTGTTTGTTCTTTCTCAAACAACAGACTCAACTTCAAGTTATACGTAATCATTTATTTATTTCTCATGGACTTGTTTATGGTGTCCGCGGGAGGTAATGCAAGATAAATAATGTCTTCAATGTTAAATGGTATCGTAATATAAAAATCTAACGGCTTTGTTCGCCGATAGAGTTCAGTTCTTTATAGCCGATTGTAGAATTAGTTTGTAAACAGTTTTAAAAGGTTATAGTTGTAAGGTTGTAACGTTCAGTGTCTTTTTAGTTTCATTTGACAATATTAATTTTGAATAAACAAACTATCCATTCAGGTTTCAACACCATCAGCCAAACGCGATTCATATAAATGACATGTGGGCGATGCACTGGTTATAATATAGTTCATGATAATCATATATGTTCCTATATTTTATGGAATAGCTCTTCATGTACATATTGTGATGTAGTCAAAACCGCAGCAGTAGATCTGCCAGGCGAAGAACAAATTCTAATGACTCTATCTGTTAACTCTAAAACCAATTGAAACAGTTACGAATAGAACTGGACAAGTTTTATCTGGCCGTCTGCAAATCGACTTCGACCAAAAGCCATGGGTATAGACAGTTAAGATTTCTGATAATCGTTTATTGGTAATGCGTTCTCACGCGTTACGAACCACGTTTGACACAGACATGTCCTAAGCAGTGAACTCATAAATGTAAACTGATCTTTTCAAGCATACAATGGCTTTGTCGAATGTTCTATGTTGGGCTCTCGTATTTATCATACCACACGCAAAGTCATAGGAATTTACTCTAGGTCGAACTTAGTCAAGTCGTGCCGGCACACGGCCAAATGAAAAAGAGACTGTATCAGACTGTTTTGGCGATCGTGTATAAAGATAATTAAATAAATAAATAAATGATCTGCACTCTAGAGAGTAGAGTGTATAAACCAACCGTTACCGGATCGTCACGACGTAAAAAACTCGATCTGAATTCTTAAATTAACGCTGAAATTATAATTTTTCGGATTTGATTAATTTAATACACTCACATTAATTCATGTTTATGACGTATTTATATTTTTATGCAGATGAAGAAGTAACCGCTAAAACTGTTGAGCAAGTCACTGTTGGACACTCGGTCATTCTTACCTGCAAATTGAAGAACAAGGTTTCTTCGAGGATGCTTCTCGAATACACTTGGACTAAAAACAAAGTAGACGTCACCGTTGACCCACGATTTACAGTCCTCATGTCTGGTGGATTGCTTGTTCGACGCGTGAATATAGAAGATGCGGGAACGTACAAATGTAGGGCAAAAACGCAAAGTGACAAAGATGTACCCAGGGTCTTTAGGGGACTGGAGGTGAAAATGGAAGTATTATGTAAGTGTAGATTTCTAAAAGCATCACTCTTGACTTATTGAGATTGGAAATCTCTGGAGGTGATCTACGGAAGATGACAATCGATCTAAGTGATAACTTGCTTAATTATAGAACTAACTAATCATCTGACCTTTGATAGTCTTCTTACACTGAGCCTGAGGTTCCAAGATTTTTGGTCCAAAAAACGTAACGTTAAAATACCCTAGTACACACGAGGTATAGAACGATTTGTATTTGACGCCTTTCATGCTATGTTTTGTAGATCCGCCCTCTATAAAGTTAAGTAAGCCGACAGTAATAGTAAGTCAAGGAAGCGATGTTCAAATTCCATGCACATCACAAGGAAATCCTTCTCTGATTACTACAAAATGGATGTGGAATGGAGAACAACTCCCCAAATCATTTCTTCCTGTGATCTTCCCGAATGGAACGCTGTTGTTAAGGAGTGTGAAATCAGACCACGATGGGATTTACAAGTGTACACCTTTTAATGAAATTGGTTTAGGAGATTCGGCTGAGACAAGACTTAAAGTGGAAGGTGGGACGTTGGTTTTGTTTATTCAGCAAGTTAATAATTACTTGTTCTGTTTGTATGTTGGCAATGAAGCCATTGAAATTAGCGATTTTGTAATGCAAAAGTGTGAGAGATTTGTCTAAAGAGTGGCTAAAATCTCAACTACCTAATGTGTTCCCCTGAGTCGTGCCACGGAGAGGACTTTTTCACTGATCACCAAAAACGCTATCTCTGAGCCCCACTCATTTATCGAGTTGAATGTTAGTGAACGCTTAGAAAACAGACAAATATGAATGGTGATATTTTGTCTCTATATAACAGGTTCAAAAGGAACAATTCTATGTATTGTATGAACGTTTATTGTATTAGTTTTATGTTGCTATACGTTTAACCATCTTTCACCTATCTTTTTAGCGCAACCATTATTCACCCAAGTTCCTCCGAGGAAATTAACCGCGAAGCTGGGTGAAAGCCTGACAATGACATGTAAAGCAACAATTCCTCGCGTAACATGGAGAAAAGTGAACTCATCATTGCCTAAATTCCGATCAACAACCCACAGTGGGCGCCTGCATATTAGGGATGTACAGTTGGAAGATAGTGGTGTATACGAATGCAAAGTTAGGACATCTAGAAAGTTATTGAGACGATCAGTAGAGCTATCGGTGATATGTAAGTATAATAATATATCATTAGCGCGAGATATTATTATAAAAATATTATTTTGGTTGGTTTACGTGGTATGCTACTGTACAAGCTAGATGGTGAAATCACTGACCTATATATTAGGCTATTTCATAAATGAAAGATCTCAGGTGCAAAAGGCAGCCATCTTGCTGGCAAGTGTTTATTGCGCGATGACCGTGTGACCTATTTCACTGATACGTTGGCATTTGCGGAGATGAAAATTCATTTAAAAATAAATTTCTTAATTTATGTAGTTAAATGCCAACAAATTACTGCTAAAACGGTAGAAATAATGATTCACAAGCAGCCATTAGTCCAGCATGAAAAATTCACAGGCAGCCATCAGTCCAGCAAGTGTCTTGGCGTATGATTTGAGCACACGAAAATAATGTTTAGTTACACTTTTTACGTTAAGTTAAGCACTAACTCCCATCAAACATTCTGATTCATAAAGACCTGGAGACTCCCAATTCCACTAGTCAATATGCAATTATACAGTATATTTGACCATTTTCATTTGCATCGAACCAGTGAAGGTCGTATATAAACCTAACAGCGATTATTTCGTTTATGTAGCCACTCCAACTCCTCCTGTCATAAAAAACGTGGAAATGCTCTCAAAATCTGCTGTTGTATCGTGGGAGACAGGCTACAATGGTGGATCGAGGCAAACTCTGGAAATTTGGTACAAAATATCGAACTCCGATGATTATCATTGGAAGAGTGTCAAAAATATACCAGCTGATCTGACGTCCTACGCCGTATACGATATCGAACCTTATCAGTCATATCTCTTTAGTATGAGAGGAAAAAACAAAATGGGAATCGGAGTTTTCAGTCGAATATTTCGTACTGACCGAGTTACTTCTCGAATTTATCAACATGACAAGAGCAAAGGTGAATTTTTAAGCACTATGCGATCTGTCGTATACGATTCTTACCCTAGAGTCAGAGTGTGTGGTCGAATATAAACAACACATACAAAGATCACGTCAAATTGCGCAAGTAACAGAATGAGCAAGATCGTCACGGAACTCACTTCCATCTGTCAGAATGATAATAGCATACAACCGATCGAATAGTGTCAGTAGGCATTTAGTGATTTAGAACTTGTATAAGTGTTAAGATCCGTTGCATATTTGGTCGGTGCATCCCAGAATTAAATACAATAGATCAAGCAATACCTCATTATTTATTATTCCCGTGTGTATTTGGCACATGTGAAGTCAAGTACGGCGTATACTATTGAGGGCATGCTTACATGGATTTCCATTTGATTGATGTGAATAAGTGGACAAGTTACGAATGTTTTGTTAATCAACATATAAACATGCCATTCGATATATTACTTTACTTGTTTTCGTAAGTCAATATGGAAAAAAGTCGAACCTAATATCTCTCCTTGAGAATCGCCTGTAGGTGCTAGGGTGAGCTTTATGTTGCTACCGTTTCTAGCCTATACATTCCTAATTTATGATCGTCATCTCTTACTTTAGTTCACACGAAGCCACTAGCTCCTAGTAACGTCAGCTGCACTCGAACTGCATCTGGATACCAAATATCATGGTCGTACAGCCAGACTCCCGGCCGACCACAAGTGCAATACTTTCTGGTCGAGTATCGACGGCTGAATTCATCAGCCAGTTGGAAATCGCTTGGAAATCTCATTAACAAGAAGCGACGACAATGGCTGGTCGATGGTGCCATTGTCAGTCCAAAAGTGCCCTATGAATTTCGAATGTTTTCTTTTGGTGGTGCATTCAGTGAACCTTCACGTGTTGCTAATGCTTCTCCAATAACAGGTATATCGACCTCAGTGCTGTGCCGCCTATAACAAGGTTTGGCTTATGTTGTAACCTTCCGACCCTGAAGCCACTCTCTCGCCGTCTGATTTTCGGCTCGCGAATGGTGATTTCAAATTTGTAATATATATTATAGCTATGTGAATTTTGCAATTCTATAGTGTTTTATGCCAGGCTCTTAGCAAGCTATGAAAATTTTTAGGATCTGTTCAATCGTCAACCATTTCCCAAGGAAATACTCACATGTGGGTAGCAGTAAGTTTTGCATCACTCGTGGTCGTCCTCTTGGCGCTTGGAAGTTACTGCTACTGTTATCGATTTAAAAAGAAACGAAAGAATGTAACTCGTAAAGGTATAAAATATCGACTTTTTGTGGCCGAATATTATTATTATTATTATTGATGCCAGCTTTCTTGTGTTAGTCTGAAATTTATACACTAGCAAATTTTACTGAGCTAAAAGTCAGAGTAATTCGATTTCAAACTACACTTGATGTTCAGATGTGTTTGAAAACGGCAAAAATTGAAATTATATTTGGTCTTTATTTATACTTCCCTGCATCACTGCACGATCATCGTAGAATTTCGAAGTCAGTATGGACTATATCGATTTTCACCAGATTGGCCCGATGCCATTAAAAACTATTTTAATAGCGTCTCTTGCTAAGAATTACTCTTTTTTGAAACAACTTATTTCGACATTTTTGTTGTTTTTAGCAAAGAGAATCAATAGAAGTTGCAAGCTGCCTCGCCTGTACAGGTATATTACTTTAACACAGAATGATGCAGTATACTTTTTTCTCTAAACACGTGCACGCATGCATGCAATGTATATTGAATTTCACCGTGACGGAGCTGTTAATTAATATCAAAACCAAGGCACATGCACCAGACTGGAATTTCTGATAGTTGATTGAACAGAATTCAAATGCCAATTTTGGCAACTGGTTACCATATGCTATATTTATTGATTATGTGAACAGCTGTGTCAGTTATATAGAGTTGTTTCTGAAGAAAGCAGGGGTTAACAAAAGCCTACATCGTACAGAGGCAATGGGAAACCATTTCATGCCGTGCCCCATGCATGTAGTTGACAAAATAGTTAAAGTCTTAGGAATGCGCTATATGAAATGATATAGAAATGTAATTCTGCATGCACGACCATATACCGTTCGTTTTGAATCGCGCACATACAGCTTCGATTACAGCAATAACCCTGCCCAAAAAGGAGTTGGTATCAAGCATTACGTATTTACATACTCGATACTTTAATGGAATTAGTGCTACCATGTGCACTATAGATGTGTGTCTCCTATTCTGTTCGCAATTATATATTGTTATTCTTATTCGAATTGATTGGTTTAAATGCTGCTCTCCAGTGTTGCGTTTCTGTAGGTGTACCATGTGTGTCTGGACGCACGTAATTAATGGCCTAGCTTAAACCATAAATGTCTTACTTTATAATACGAAAGATTACAGGCCTTAGAGGGTAACATCCACCCAGTTCCTACGTGACCAAACGAACATTTATCATTAATATTCCCAATCAATGTAACATTTTTAGCACAATTTGACTTCTTCAGTTATATTTCGACGCGCAATTAAAAAAAAGCTATATATATACGTCCTTACAAAAACGAAACATTGTGGTTGGAAAGCGGTTTATATATCCCTTAATTACAAGAATATATTAATAAACGTGGCATGTTCATCCATCAAACTTGTTTTTTACAATTTCAATATTTTTTGCATCTGATTTGCATAATTTTTCACTTACACTTACATGTCGACCACTAGAATATTCTTCGTATGAAAGACAAAGAAATCAATTGCTCTAAATTTAGGTTTTGCATATATATCAGCTCTTCTGAAACATTTAGATGAATGGAAAGCATTCAAATAAGGCTTGGGAATTCTTCCTGATAAAGTTACATGTTATATTTTGATCTTTGCAATGTTTATCTCCCTGCTGCGTAATACATGCATATTTTCTATAAACATTCCCGACCTATATAATGACCTCATGCGGTCGCAGACGTCTTCTCGTGAGCATATATGCGGATATACGGCATGTGAATTGTGAACAGACCGAAACGAAATAGGCTGTTCTTAAGAAGTCGCTAGAGTCGAAACTTTGAGAAGGAAATCGCCAATACCCTGCCGCTTAAGGTGCTAAAGGTTTTAGACGAGAACATCGCTGACTGATGAAACTTAATGGGGAACAACATCGCAACAAGGTTTCTAAACTTTTGTTTGGAATTATGGACTTATTATGTATTTAAGAAAGTCGTTATATTTATGCTTACTCAAGCCAGATCAAAGACTTTTATATCTGTGTAATACAACATGATGTTTGATTTGATTCGATTTTTTAACATTCGTTATGTTATAGCATTAGTATTTAGCCCTGTTGTATATGTATTTAGAGGTTGAATGTGTGCACATATATTCACGAGAAGTCTGAAATGAAAACATGCACATATATACGCTAAGCGCAAACACAGTATTTTCATGCCTGTTGGATATCGCGATAAACACGAATATCGGTGGCATATTGCAACAGACGTTTTTGGCAATTCATCATATCTTTGTTGTAGTTACAGGCTATATAAATACATCCCTTAATTTTAACCGTAAGCTTCAAAACACATTTCAAAATTGAAACTATACGTATTATTCAATATAATCCGACGTTTTCGCTTGACAGAAACCAGATCCATCAATAATATATATTTTGTAGACATGTGCTATGTATATTAAAATATTATACCAACTGCTCTATAGCTTGCCCTTAGATTTAGGTTGGAACATCTGTTTTCGTTTGGATTGGAAGTTATTTCAGTGACAGTGAGGTTTATTTCTGGGTCAGGCAATGCTTCTAGAGTTCTAGTCGAGTGCTGTTTATAGTTAACAAAATGATATAAACACTTAAGAAAATATTTCATGAATTTCATAGTTCCGATGCATTTTCTCGAGACCTCCGCAGTAGCCACGATATGTTTTTCTTCCATAGGGCATAGATTAAAGTATATAGCTACATTATAGGCCAATAATTATATTTAAATCTAGGTCAATGTTTTATATAGATTATAGTCGCACATATACTTTCGACACGCACAGCAAAAATTACGTCGATCGTTTAGCCGAGGAAGTATTTCTCATTCTTTCGGTAATTGTTAAATTCCGTTTGTCATCGCTTATGGTTTACCCAAAAAGACAAGGAAGTTCAAGAAGCGGATCGGAAATGTCGCATTACCACCTCCAGTACAGGCTGAAATGACTCTATACGTCGATCGGACGACGCTAACTTCCCTAACTGAGCAACGTCCCTAACTGAACAAATATAACATTTATAGATTGTAGACTTGTAGTCAAAGCCTTTCTTCTTAATCTGCATGAACGTCTCATTTTTGTGATATGTTCAAATTAATGTTCCAAAATCTGGCAAATCACCACCTTAACACCGAGGAAACTGCATGTGACTTTATATATGCATGCCTATGCACGGTTCGTTATTGGCGTTATAAATGTACCGTTTTTGAACCGTATATTTGTTCAATAGATACATATTTAGGTGTTGGTCAGATAGCCAATGCCTTGTAATATTTTAGGGTACTGACATTCAAACGAACTATAAAGTACCGGTAGTTCAAATTCTCGTCGTCGTATATGCACATGCATGAAGAGGCAGTATATAGGGAACGATTTGACATGAAATATGTCATTTTGTTGTCTGTCAAGGGGAGAATCTAAAATGTAACGATATTTTGACGGAGAGTTTATCTTGAGGGTTACGTCGTGGCCTCGAATTGTCCCAGGTTTAATACTCCACATTGTGCTGAAAAAATGGCGCTGCCTTTTCGCCACGCGTCAGCAATGATGAGAGACTTCAGACGGAAATACTCCCAGCTTGCTTACATCTACTTTTAGATATATATACTCAGATGTAATATCATTTTGGAGCTTCGTGGAAATAGCTCAAGTGCATGGATTAGTGTTTAACAGTGCATTAATTAGGTATATTGTACGAGCGCGATGTCTGAACTAGATTTTGTTAATTAAGGATTATAAATGACAATCCAAAAAGGTTTTTGTTTGTGTAGTCAAAACTGTTGTTCGTCCCACATGTACTAATCTAAATGTAAATCTTTCATTTTTCAGCTCGACGGAGAGTTCCCTGTCTGATTCTGACTTTGACTCGTGCGATTTACATGATGTGAAGTTCATTCCCAACGTGTCATCATTTGTGCTGGAGAGCCAAGAAAATCTCCACAAATCCAGTCTTACTAAAGCTTCCCGGGCGAAATGTGAGCACAAGTCTGGTCCATCGCCATTGTGCGAAGACAATGCTACATCATGCGTCGTTGGAACATTAGCGGACACGTCCAATACACGAGGCCATAAAGGACCGATGGACCAGGATTACTTTCCTCAAAATTACGAGGGTTATTTCCGTTCCCAGGATGATGTGCCAATGGCGTTTAACACTGGGCGTTTGTTACCGGAGTTTCCGGAGTTACGAGATTCTTACGATCAATTCTGTACGACAGCGAGTGAACATAGTTCACGGGACGATCTGGAAGGCGGTAAACTAGGCAACAGAGGCTCAGGTTTGAGTGTACTCAGCGAGCTGAAGTCCACGAGAGGAATGAGGGATTCCATGTATTGTTCAGAAGAGGACATACGTGCTTGCAAACGTCGGCGAAAGTCGATAATGGAACAGGACACTGACGAAAAGAATCATCGTTGGTCAATGCCGGAGTTCACAAAACTTTTGCAAGAGAACTGTGATAATGATCCTGGTTACTTCTTGAATTACCAGTACGATTCTCTCGTGCAACAAAAAGGTGGACAATCGCACAACGAACAATCAACTCAGACTTGTAATACGCCAGTCATAAGTAAAGGAAACTCCGAAGAGCCCATACAGGAATACCTCTCCTCTGTCGTAACCACACCGGACTACCCCAACATAGAAGATCAGATGTTATCAGCTAAAGAAAGGATCATACTTGGCGAGTCAAGGTCTTGCCCGTCTCTGGTTCCAGCCTCGACGTCCTACGATGCTCGAGATTGCGACAGCTCCGGTTTCTACGACGACAGCGGTGATGACTCGGTATCTCCAATTAACAGTCGTGATTCCGTGAACACAGTGAAAGAGAATCCTGAATGGCATGGGTACAAAGCCGATCTGAAAGATAGCGGAATTTATGATTCTAATGAAGATGTGGGTAGTAATTCTTCATTAGGCGAGATCAATGTTTACGCGAGTGGTTCTGCGGGTTACGAGGAGACGAGTAACGGAATACGGGACAGCCCGGAGGGACAGGAAACATCATCAACAAGCTTTGATCAAATCCAGGAAAAGCATGTAGAAAAACTAGGCCAATCCAAACATGCCCTGGAAGATTCCAGCTCTCGTGCAAATCATAGTAAAAATAAGGATTTTCATTTTGTCAATGGACACGTATGCGATTTGCAGCCGAATTTAAAGCAAGTTGATGGCATGAAAACATCCTGTCATAAAAACGCACATGCAGACAGAGATATATCAGATGGGGATAAAGGCAAACGTTGCGCTCATTTAATGCAAGAATATATCGTAAATAAGAGACTGAGCACCCACAGACCAAATAGTTCATTCTACCGAACATCGGCAGTTTGATGTTTTCACCAATGTTCATAATAGGACAAATCATCGCGAACATTGTATAATAATATATAACACATAACGTTTAGTTACCATTGTGAAAAACGAAAATTGAAAGTGTAGCTTGCATTGTGACCACAGACACGATTGCAAAATTGCTGTCGTCTATTTTCAGTTCTACTTAGATTCAAAATTTCTAATCGTCTTCCTTGAGTCCTCTCGTCGTACTGCACATTTTATGAATACCTCCAGGAGGCATCCGAAGACTGAAGTACTGTGCAATAGTTTTAGATCCAACCTGATATTTCAGTGTTCTTTTTGATTCTTTTGGATTTTGTGAGTTGAGTAAAACAGTGTGTGCAAAATGTGCATGTGAAATGTGCCCTTTGTACGATGAAAACTGACCAATTTTGTAGAAGGTTACGCTGCTGTAAATAATTTTCCTTTCCACGGTCTTTTTAGTCTTCTAAAATATAAGCGTATGTATTATTTTGACAGTTAAGGGGACCTTTTCGATTTTGATGTTTTAACGTGTTACTAACTTGCGCCTGAATTATGAATTAAGGTTCTTCTGTACTCCATGCATCCCCATGCACTAGCGTAAAAATCAAGGAATTACATCTCCGCACCTCGAATTTTCGAATTGTTCAGGAGAAAGCAAACTCAAACGGCCAAACCGTAACATATGGTACTTGCAGAACTGACAATCCACCACCTCTATATTTTCACATTTTAGCTGCCCTTTTCAGTAATATCCTAGAGTGGCCATGGAAGCTTTTGCCCCCCAAGTTCTACGCCCCTGTACCAAAAGCCTATAGGCAAACTTCTTTTTGTATTATAAGAGTTTTTCAGATTATATTGCTGTCTCAATCACCCCGGCCCTGGCTATACATGACTATACGTTTTACAGATTCGTCCGTCTTATTTACCCGATTGGATGGTTAGTTGTTATCTCTGTCGTTCGCGGGAGGGGTGCATGGCTTGGAACGAGTACTGTTACTTGGAGCCTGGTTGAGATCCCTACGGCATCTTAAGCTGAACACCCCCCTGCCGAGAGCTAACCTTTCACACCAACTTTGTTGGTGGAAAAGACAAACAAAAAATGAAAGGAGTAAGCAAAGAGAGAAAAAGAAAGAAATTTTAGTAAAATAGCACATTGTAACAAATTGCTGCTGTCGCCGGACGTTATCGCTCGTTCGCAGATGGCATGGGTGGTTAATGCCCTCTGCTCCGCGATGCCACTCGCCAATCCCCTTCGGTCACGTGGTTTGCCTGACGTCACGACCCGACGTCACTAAGCCGGTTTCCTCGTTGTTAAGCTTGGTTATTAAATAACTCCATTAAAAAATTATGGCATCATCGTTGTTTTGGATTTACGGTAACTGGCAGTGTATCACATTATGCCTGGCCGTGTATACATGATGCACAGCCTTCTCCAAGCCATCAATTTTTTGTCAATTCACGTCATTAGAGACATGATATTCGGACAGCTATTCCTTGACCTCATCCTCACTGATATTGTCTGTGCCCTGAAAGAACACATTTAGTGAAGTTGATTCCATGCAAAGTTATTGCGCTTACAATATGAAAATATGAATATGCAGCCGTCATGCAGCCCCTCCCTATACAGGGTGAGTAAAAAAAACTGGCACCTTTGAATATGACAATTCCCATGTACAATCAACAAAAACGGTTTGATAAATTAACTGTTCCTTTGTATTTACAGAGCTTAAGAGCAACGACAATCGAACAATGTTTGCCATTCTGAAATACAGGGTGCTCAAAAAAACCCGAAAACTATTGAAATCAATTTGAATGCCGTGTTCACGAATTTTAGCCCGTGGGGCCCGATTTAATGCAACTTATATCATGCTAAATACGAAAAATTTAATCTTGTAAATATGATTAAATTTAAATTAGCCTTGTTATTGCTTCGAAGGAAAATGGTACAGCTGGCCGCGGAACAACGAGTATTTATTGTGAATAAGACGGATGAAATTAGCACCAAGTACATGAGTGAAATTCATTGCTGTTCTTAAACAGTAGTCTTTCTAGACATTGCGAAATTCGGATTTAAACATGCAATAATGCGTTAACAATTATACCTCTCTGGTATAAGTTTACGGCAAATTTCCTTTGTGTTTGAAAAAATTAAAGCTTCACGTACGGTAATTTTGTCAAATCATTTGTAGTCGAATCTATAGAAGTATGAGTTGATCAGAAAGGCAAGACATCTAAATCTCAAAGGCATGACGGAGACGACACATTAAAGAAGGTTTTTGCCGTGTTTAAATCACGGGTAGTCGAGGATCGAATAGACCAGAAGGGAGAAGAAATTATGCTCCAAAGCAAGACTGCCGTCTTGGAAATCAAAGCAGTTCGAATTGAACGTCAAGATCGACATAATTCTTGATGCCATTTGCGAAGAAAATCAAAAGCACCCGCAGAGCAATATACAATCGAAAAATTGGTCGACGAAGCTAAGAATCCCGTTCGATGACGTGATAAGCCCATTCAGATGCAGAAAGGAACAAAGACGGATGGCACCGCCAATGGCTACTGATTTAAGGGTACGAATCGAACAATAATGGCGTCAGGAACCGAAGACGAGAAGCCGCTTCTCTCTTAAAACACGGAAGGAAACCGTCAGCTGCCAGAGAAGGCAATGAAGATTAGCAAGTGAAAGTAAGTAACAAACAGCCCAATAAACCTTTTTGTAATTTGTAGTACGTTTTGAGGAAAAGCGTAAATCAATTTCTTTATTTTATATAAATGTCAAATCTCATATGGTTTGCATAATTATGCTGCATAGTTAATCACATCACTGTGATCCCATTTATCAACTGTGATTGTCTGTCATTGTTCCGCGAAATAAGTTGGAAAATGTTTCATGTTTGTTCGAACACAGTGAATCAGATCGTAATGTACAATTGTGAAGATCCGCAAACATGCACAGTAAAAACTTTGGAGACGGCAGCTTAAACGAGATAAAAATAGATTATGGCTATTTATGCACAAAGACTACACGCAGATCAAGCTGAATAGAAGATAGTATACTGAAAATACAGCGTAGAAATAAGAAATGAACAAGCAATTAACCTTACCAAATTCTCTTGTTGACTTTTAAGAGATGCAAAATACGTGTTGTCTGTCTTGCAGTATTTTTCCCACTGACAAGCTGGACTTCCAGTGTATTTTTGTGACCTATTTTGTACTACGTGTCGGGAAACAAAAGGACCTTTAGAGTCAGATGAATTTAATTCAAACCTGTATAATGTTACAAAAAATTAACCGTGACTCTCTCGAAATTACCACTCATTATTCTGTCAACGCTTATCAGACAACTTAGATTGCGAATTTTACAGTTGTTGAGACAGTGAATTTCGAAGGCACTCGCTTAGAAAGTTGAATTTGAACGGCAACGCACCCAGCTCTATTTTACTTGATATCAATGATAGCAGTTACGGGACTTGCGATAGCTTGTACCAATCGTTAAGTGACCGAATCATCAACCTCGCACCAAGGGGTTTTTCTACCTGTGTAGTACGAGATTGCCGAATCATGATCATCTTTCCTAGTTACACTACTATTATCGTGCGAAAAGAAAATCATTTTGATCGTGCAATTTGATTTAGTCGGCTGCAAAACCGCGCGTGCATGTTGACATAATTTAATATTGGTTTCTGCAGTTTCACTCAGTGGGGGATCCATCATTTTGGCTGACTGATGCGATATTTTCAACTATACTGCAGCACCTCTAGGGGGTCCCTACTTCAGTATTTTCAACCCTGCCAAGGTCGAATATACCCTATTCCGGTATATTCAACCTTCGTTCATTTTTTTATCGTGTCAGGCTGTTTGAACTCGGTCGACTATACGTACTGTACAGTGTACATCGGTATCGTTATATACCGAGGAGTTTGGGAGGAAAGCTAGTCTTCATTTTTTGCCAATTTCGTTTTAAATATTTTGTGCTTGTAAACTTCGACTGATGCATTCGCATAGAAGATAAACACTTAGATATAGTATCGTTAAACTTGGTCTTGGAAGGTTGCCATAATTAAGTCAGTAAACAGTTTCTGTGATTAAATATATAATCTGGGTAACTTTATCAGCGGCGCTGAAGCGAGGTCAAAAAGATCAAATCAGTTGTTTCTTCAACAGCTCTAGAACACTCGAGGTATACGTCCTGAAAATACTCATATTTCATAGCAAAAATGTATACTGGCTCGAGTGCGACATATACCACGATTTTCATTTTTCCAAGTGGATAAAAGAATTGCTGCAGTTTTTTATTGGCCTGTCCATCAACACTTTCCCGCGCAATGTCTGTGCCGTCTAATTATACTGTCGTGATATAGCAGTGCCGTCATCACCACATTTCAAATGACGATTTCTCTAATCACATTTCCATGAATCATTTTATTTTGTGAAACGTGCGCACAATATGTAAATTATGTGTGGATACGCGAGTTATGCATGTGATGCGAATACTCGATCAATATTCAGCAGCCAGGCTGAAAACGATCAGGTTGTCGTAATATCGACATGAACAGGATTAAACAATGCTGCTGTTCACAGTTGTCATCAACAACAAAGAGTATTGTTAAACCCGATTCAGATTAGCATGGTGGAAAAGACAGAGTGCGGATTTACTCGACTCATTTCCCACCGTGCATTCAGATTAAATAATATTGTTCAGTGTTGATGACAAGTGTGAACAATATGGGCAACGACATTGTGGTTAAACAGCAGTCTCAGTGCACGGTAAAAACGCTCACTTGCACCCAGTCGATGAAAACATGACTGAACACGTGACAACAAGCTAGTTGAAACATATAGATTTAATAGATCTACAGAATATTATTTGAAGTTACTGTTCTATTGCAGGAGTTTATAAAAATACTCAGTGGTTCCCGTAACTAATGTTGTGCTGCATTCCGCGAACATGGTTGTTGTTATCCATGTTAGGCCTCAACAGGTTGCTGTATCATTGTTTAATCTTTTTTTCTTCTTCACTGAACCTTGAGCAACCTGTATGAACAAATTGAATTATGCCCATGGTCACGTATGCGATTTGCAGCCAAATTAAAGCAAGTTGATAGCAAGAAAACATTCTGTCATAAAAACGCACATGCAGAGAGAAGTATATCTCATGGGAAGAACTGTGTCGCCCGTCAGCATGAATATATCATAAATAGAAGACTGGGCTACCGCAGACTAACTATAGTCCATTCTACCGAACATCGGCAGTTTGATGTTTCCACAAATTTTCATAATAAGACAAGACATCGAGTTCATTGTAAAATATATATATATATATATATAACACATTACTTTTAGTTACATTTGTGAATGAAGGAAAATTGAAAGTGTGGCTATATGACTATATATAGGCACTATTGCAAAATTAGTAATTTTTTTTAGTTATAAGATTCTGATAAAAAACAGCATGTCTGTCGTCGTATTACACCTATAACACACCTTCTACGAACCCTTTTACGTATATATTCGCTTGTGTGAACTACGCAAATCTTCAGGAAACTTTGCTTTCAATATTTTATCATGTTTCTTGCATGTTTTGAGCGTGAGTTATGAATTGAAGTTTTCCTATAGTCCATATAGTTTAGACATTTACGAAATCAAGGAACCATCGCCATTGGCGTAAAAATCAAGGAATTTCATGCCTGCACCTCAAATTTTGAATCGTTGAGGCGGACACAAACTCAAGCGGCGAGAACCGCACTTGGGGGTAACCTTGCAGCTTTGACAATCACCCACTCCCATACATATTTTATCTGCCTTTTTTCATATCCAAAAGTGCATCTGGAAGCTTTTGCCAGAAAGTTACATGGCTTAACAATTTTGTAAATGCCAGAAAATCTAGGTAGTACGTAAGACATGGGAGGCAACTGTTCATACTTTGTCTGTTGTTTGAAATTTTGATTATAAATATCCCGTCAGCGAGAGCTGTTAAAATAAGCCAGAGACTCATAATGGAAATATTATGAGTAAAAGTTTTCAAACAATTTTTTGGCTAATTTTTAAAGTAATTCGCTACGTAATTCCTTCCTTCACAGCTTAACTCTTGATTTCGCTTCTATATGCCATACCATGCCGAGGTACGAGGTTAGTATCACAGGAAGCCTGGTATACACGATTTGTATTTTGGCATACCGTATTTACTCGTTTGAGCGCCGCGGCGCTCTTTAAATTTTTAGAACTTCAGATGCAGCGCTTAATCGAGGGCGGCGCTCAATCGGGGGCGGCGCTCTTTAAGAAATATTATTTGTGAATTGTAACAAGAAGTTTAAATAAAAAGAGTTGAAAGTTAGATATAGTCAATTGTCCCCATTTTGACAGCGAGCATTTGGACATTTTACAGAAAATAAACCGCCTCACACAAATCACTGGAATCTCTGCCTTCACGGCTGACCTGCGCCGTACGAAAATTCTAAAGACTGATTCAACAATAGCGTCTTCAACAATTCTGATGTGCCGAATTTGAAAATAATTAGTGCGGCGCTCAATCGGGGGCGGCGCTCAATCGAGTAAATACAGTATGTAATCAAGCAAGCACGCTTGTGTAACACTGATCTCTTGTTGATCATAAGGGAAGCTATATAAGAGTCATCCAAGCATGAGACTGAGAAACCACATTTATTTTTCAATGCTGTTTATTTGTTGTAAATTCCTTTTAATTTGCTGTTTATCTGTCTAAGTTTATACGTAAGTTCAATTTTACTTTTATTAATCGAGATTGCTAATGCAATCAAGATGATAATAGTCCAGTTAAGATATCATAAATGATCAGTAAATTCGAGCTTTTAAAACACAAATGGTCTGATCTTCATCTCTACTTCTCTCAACGAGTAGTTGTATCCTTTCCATGGGTGCCAGTTCACACCATCAGCGTAAGACGTGTGCGGTCCAAGGTAATAGAAACCATTTAAATTTGCTTTGTGGCAAGCATTATACCACCATCCGCCTTTGTATGTTTGTGCACAATTCTGAGCCGATTTATCGTTGTCTTGATCATGAGTACTGAATTCCATCCCGTCATGTAGAACGAGAGCATCACCGGCGTTGCCTAAAAATTCGTTAAATATGCGTGGTGTTCCTCAAAATTGATTGAACTTTTCAAAATGGTAGATTTCAAATCGATGTTAAACTAATATTTTCATACCTGAGTATGCTCCCAAACTCAATTTGTATTTAGTCATTTTGGAGGCGACAGCGAAGAAGTCATATGCAGCGTGCTTCATGTCCCCTGTTGTATCTCCCATGTCGACTCGTAAAATCATCCTTTCCATGTTCGTCATTCTCTTTATATGTTCAAGACCGAGCCAGAATTCGCTATGATGGTCACCAAAACCAAGCATGTAATCTTTCCAATTGCGTTGGAAGCTAACACTGCCATCGACACGTCTTTGAATGATGGTCCATCCCCCTCCTGATGTTGTCATATCGCATCGTACTTTGATAGGACCTTGACCATCAGGATCAACCTGGTAAATGCCGTCAGTCGTGTAACCCTTTTTGTAAAGTTCAGCACAGTGTCTGGCTACAGTTCGCAAAAAAATAGGTTTTATTTAGTAGGTATGGTCCAGTCATGTTCTATTGTCACTATCTCAATAATTGCCAGAATCGTATCGTTTTTTTTCAGATTTGACCAAATTTAATAACAGCGGGGTAGGTTATTCCGGACTATCCTAGAATTAACCTCTTAAAATTTCAAAATTAACTGTGTTCATTAATAGTAATTGAATATACCGCGATCTCCTGGTGATTTAATTAAAGTTTGCGACGCTCAATCAAATGAATTAATTAGTCAATATGACTTTTGTGCAATAAATTCATTACCGAAACTATTTGAGTGAAAGATTAATTTGGACCCGAAAAACATTACTTTTTTAACGGCGAGAATTTATCCAGAAATTGGTATAACGCTCAGTTTAGTAAAAAACAAATTCCGAATAACTACAGGACATCTTGTGAAACTGAGAGTCAAATATGAATCAAGCAAGACTGAGCAAATACACAGCCACAGGTTGAGGCAGTCTCTCAAGATGTCCTGTTTATTCGGAATTTGTTTTTTACTTTACTTCTTTAAATTGTCGGCTGGTCATGGTTTTTAACGCTGAGTTATACAGAAAGTTTATTCCTTACCCAATGCGTTACACTGTTTATACACAGCCTTCTCCAAATCATCAATCTTTTTTTCAATTCGCGTCATTGAAGACATGACATTCAGACATCTATCCTTTGGCTTTATCAGTGATACGGCCCTGAAAGAACACATTTGGTCATTTCGTGAAGTGAGATTCCAAGGCTATTGGCAGAATTGCGCTTACAATATTAAAATAATATGAATATGCACCCCCTCACTATAGTTATCGCCTTTTTTTCCCTTTTTTTATTTATTCATGTATTCAATTTATTTAAGCCTGGTTTTCGTATGTCGTAATTCATCGGCGATGTTCTACGATCTATTGTCGGTGATCAATGAAGTATATAGTTCTCTTTGATACACAATAAGATTTCAGTGCGCGTCAATGAGCACTGACAATAGCCATCGCCGATGAATTACGACATATGAAAACCAGGCTTTAAAATTCGCCCATATAATGGTATATGACAAAACGCAAGTTCAACGTTTTTCAAAATGTTTCTTAAAATTCGATAACAGCCAATGAAAGATCAATAGACAATGTACAAAAAAAAATCAAAATAAAACATTCGCGGCATAGTGTGATAACAGATTAATATGTGCTGATCAGGGTGATGTTAATGTTAATTTAACATTTTACTGTTGCTTTGAATATCAGTGTAAGTTTTTTGTTTTTATAAATTACAAAATTAAGAGTTTTCCATAATTAATTATTTTACATGCGAGAAAATGTTTGTATAGTTAGTTCTTTTATTTAATATGTCTGGGCAACAACTCTCCAAATGGTCTCGACAGGTCACACTGTGTGTTTACATTAGCTGGGGAATTTCTCCTCTGTTACAATGAATAAGAGGTTTCATGTGTATAATTCTTACCTCGAACTCACGATGACAGCCAATAAGAGCAACGCCAATCGAACAATGTTTGCCATTCTGAAATACAGCTAAAATAAAGACGGATAAAATTAGCACCATGCATGAGTACCTGGCTGAAATTTGTTCCTAAATTTGCAATAAAATCAGAATTAAACTTGTAAATAAAGCTGATGCGTTAAAAACGTTTCCCCGCGGGTATAAATATGCAAATTTCCTTTGTGTTTGACAAAAAATTTCACGTACGGTAAGTAAGTCAAATCAATTGCAATCAAATCTAGAAATTTGGTCAAATGCCACACCTTTCCTTCTCTCACTGCTGATTCAAATACAAACGTGCAAACATTGCAGAAACCTCGTTTCCCAAATATGCCTAGCTTAGCTTAGAAACGTGCAACTCAGTCCTAATTATAAGGAGAAGAACGAGTTAATCACGAAGGCAGGTCATCTGAATCTGAAACGAATGACGGAGACGACACAATAGAAAAGGTATCACCGTTTCAGTACTGTGTTGAGATCTTATTCAGGATCGAATAGACCAGAAGGAGAAAAAATGAAGCTCCAAAGCAAGACCTGAGAAGATCGTGAAGTTTAAATTCGAAAAAATTCAGTCAAAAGCAGTTCGAATTGAACACGAAGATCGACACAAATTTTGATGTTATTTGAGCAGAAAATCATAACCAACCGCAGAGCAATAAAAAAAAGACAAAGCTAATAAGCCCGCTCGAAGGCGTGAAAAGCTGACTAGGAATGCAGCAAGAAACAAATACGGTTGGCAATTGCCACTGATTTAAGAGTACGAATCAAACCACCTTTTTAAGCGAGCAGAACGATCTTCAGACGAGCGAATTTGAGACGAGCAGCGTCTTAAAACACGGCAGCTAAAACCATAAATAGATTGCACATAAACTACGCGGATCAAGCTGAATAGAAGATAGTATAAGATAAATACAGCGCAGAAATAAGAAATGAACAAGCAATTAATCTTACCAAATTTTTTCGTTGACTTACAAGAGATGCAAAATACGTGTTGTCTGTCCTGCAGTATTATCTCCACTGACAAGCTGGACTTCCAGTGTATTTGTGCGACTTGTTTTGCAGTATGCGCGCTTATATTTGGAACGGACCGGAAACAAAAGGACCTACAGAATCAGATGATTTTGCGTCAAACCTGTTTTCACACTATAATGTTACAGAAAACTGATCGTGACTTTCGAACTAACCACTCACTTTTCTGTCAACGCTTATCAACTTCAGTAGATTGCGAATCCTCAAGTTTTTCAGACAGTGAATTTCGAAGGCATTCACTTGGGGATGTGAATTTGAAAGGCACCGCACTTAGTTTGTGGCCTCGCGAGATGCGCAATCCAGGTTTACTTCATGTATTTAATGATAGCAGTTATAGGACTCGCGATAGTTTGTGCGTATCTAGTACAATTCTAGCTCTCCGTGAGCCGGAATCAAGATAAGCTTTTCTAGTTATACTTGACTTACTCTGCTGCACAACCGCGCGTGCATGCCGACATGTTTTAAAATATTTTCGTTTTCCAACCATTCCTGGAAGAATGGTGCGAACAAGGTCGTTCATGTAGACAGAGATGATAAACACTTAGATAAAGTATCGTCTTACATACTAAAAAGGGTTGCCGAAAATTGATAATAAATCAATACAGAACAATAGAAACGCTGTTAAGTGAACATGGTTTAGACGATCGACTATATTACAGTCGTAACGCAGAAATTTAATTTTCCAAATGTTGTTTACAGACTATTATCGATCTAGGTAAATTTTATTAGACTCTGTTCAGTAGCTACGTGATTTTGTTATGAAGTAATAATCTCCTTTTAAAAGTGCTTAAGTTGTAAAAATTTATTAATCTGGTCGGCGTTTTTTCGACATTTGCTAGAACATCCTATAGGCATACTTTGCATCCTACATACATGCATACTTTGGTGAAAATGCTATGAGTTCCCTCTCTGAAAGAATGGTGCATACAAGGTCATTTTTGTACTATAGAGGATAAACACTTAGATAAAATGTCGTCAAACGCGAAAGGTTGACATAAAAAAATCAGTAAATAATAGTGTTAGTGTATGATTAACTGCATGATAATCTGCACGTAACTTTATCAGCAGAAATCAAGCTATGTTAAGAAGATCGAATCGATTGTTTTTCGACAGCGTCAGAACATTTGAGGTATGCTTTGTGAATACCGATTTTCCAAGTCGACAAAAAAATTCTCAGAATTTTTTATGACCCGTATTAATCAATACTTTCCTGCGCAATGTCTGTGCCGTCTAATTATACTGTGAGAGCAGTTGCCGTCATCACCACATTTTAAATGACGATTCACAAGGACTTTTCCATGAATCATTTTATTTTGTGAAACGTGCGCACAGTATATAAATTATATGCGGATACGTAAATTATGCATGTGATGCGAATGCTCAAACGATATTTAGCAGCCAGGCTGAAAACGATCAGGTTGTCGTAATATCGACATGAACAGGGTAAAACACTAGTGTTGTGGCGCCCATATTGTTCACAGTTGTCATCAACAACAACAAACAAAATTGTTATTAAACAGATTCAGATTCAATGATATTGTTCAAGCAGTGATGATGAAAAGTGTGAACAATATTGGCAGCACAGCATTGTGTTAAGCCGCAGTCTCCGAGCACGACTAAAACGCTCAATATGCTCCCGTTTTGATGAAAACATCACGGAGCAATGGGGGGGGGGGGGGGGCAAATGGGAGTTCTTGGCACGAAATCTCGAAGAACACCATTTAATTTTCACGATTTTTTAAACACTATGGCCCAAAGGAGACATTACGAATCTACGAAGATGTGACGACAGAGTAGGAAGGTCCACGAAGATCTACGACTGGTTGACTTTGCAGCAGAAAGATTGGGAAATGAAGCGGAAAGCAAATGTTTTTATATTTTGACCTTTAGTTTAATCCCAGCCCAGTATTGAATCTAAACATTTATAAATTGTGGCAAAATATTGGTGAAATTAAGATGCCTCAGCCAGCTTTTTAGGTCTTCTCGATTCACGGAGCGAATTTTAATCACGATTCACGGAATGGCGTTTTCTTAAATCACGAATCACGATACACAAACAAGGCTAATCACAGGTCACCAAAAATACACTTGCCCCCCCCCCTCAATGTTGTGCTGCACCCCCACGAATATGATTGTTATCGACTTGCAGCAACGTGTTAGGCCTCGACAGGTTTCTGTATCAGTGTATCTTATAAGGAGCACCACAACCGACATGTTATTGTTTAGTCATTTTTTTATCAATCTGGAGCAATTTCTGTGTGTATGTTTTTAGCCGTGCAGTGCGTCAAGTTGGTCAAACTGAATGAATCTGATAAAAGCGCGCAAGGTCTTGAAGCCTGCTTTATCAGTCTTCTTCATTAAACTAAACTTAATTATCTGTAACCCCAGCCGCTGATCGAGGACGATACACAGCTGCTTTCATAAACTTTTTTTATAAACAGAAACAAAGACGAGAGGTTTATTTCGTTGTGCTTAATAATATAGAACAAACAAGCCTAAGGGAATCATCGATGGTCAATGCCAGAATTCGAAGAAATTTACATGAGAATTGTGATAATGATCCTGGTTAATTATCAAAAAAATTTCCGAAGAACCTATACAGGAATTCCTCGCCTCTGTCGTGATAACAATGCACTATGTCAAGGTGAATCAAGGTCCAAGCCCCAAGGTGAATCTTGTCTATCTTTAGTTCCAACCTCCACGACCTACGATGCTTGATGCAGCGACAGCTCAGGGTTTTTTTATGACAGCAGTTATATTAATGATAATAGACTGTTTAATCTTCTATAGCGCATCTTCTATGAATATCCAGAAGCGCTTTGCATTAAAAAGTGTACAAAATTATTTTGTTAAACTATATCACAGTAAATAAAATCTTTATATACAGTTCTCAAACTGTATATATCTTAAAACTATCTGTACTATATTAGTGTCTGTGGTGTTCTTGTTAATTATATCCAATTAATTAACAGCCGTCGAACGCGATGAAAGAAAATCATGAGTGGCATGGGTACAAAGCCGACCCGTGTCATAGCGAAATTTATTATTCAGTGATGAAGAAGTGGCCAAGTGGGTGATAATTCTTCATTAGGCGAGATCAATGATGACAATGCCGGAGATGAGTTACGGAATACCGTAAGCAGCATACAGTAAGCACCTGTCCACCGAAACATCATCAGGTTTTGGCCAAATCCAGGAAAAGCATGCATGTTGAAAAACTAGGCCAATCAAAACGTGCCTCAGAAGATTCCAGCTCTCGTGTAGATCATGCAAAAGATAAAGATTTTCATTATGAATGGACACGTCGAGACAAGTTGATAGCATGAAAACATTCTGTCATAAAAACGCACATGCAGAAAGAAATATATCAGATGGGGAGAACTGTTGCGCCCATTTAAAGTCAGTTTATATCGTAAATGGAAGACTGTCACGTAACTTCGAAACTCTAAACCTGAATGCGGTTCACGCACTTTCCTTGCGAGTTAAGCCGTATAACTTGCAGAGAAATATAATTTATTTAAATTGTACAATTGTAGAGTTAAATTACACATCATAATATTTTATTTTCTGGTCTTCCTCAAACTTCCTTGTAAGTTGGTTTACAGCAGCTCCACTGTGATAATAAGATAATTTCTTGTGACAGTGTGCAGCTCCTCCATGCATTAGCTCACGTGTGCAGCGGGCTTAAGACACCACAATTTTGCAGAGGAACAGCTAGGACATTTAATACATTTTCACGACAGCATAGCCATCCCGTAGTCTAACAGTCTTCACGAGCTTAAAGCTGGCGCAGTCGGTCACTGAACAAAGTCAGAGTAAGCAAAATGTGTACCCACCATTACTCATTAGGGACTTCAAGGGTTTTAGACCGTCGTGTCGCAAGCCACAGCCGGTTAGTACTGCTGTTAAATAATTGTTGCAAAATGTTTTTCTGCTCAGCCTGAGAGGAACGGCGTATTCAGATACATAATTGCTCATGCAATTCCCTCAGCCTCGTACCCAGGCGCTTTAATAGTAAAATCATAGTAATATAGAGGTCAGCTGGTGCTTGTGGTGGTTTTAAGCAACCCAGCGCATTTGCCTTTTTTTCAGCTGACCTCTATAAAATACCTGAATGCAACGTTATTTTTTTGCTATTAAGCGCCTGGGTACGAGGCTGCACTTGCCTTGTTATGAGTACAATCCGGACAGCCTCGTACCCAGGCGCTATCCGAATGTTATGAATTAAACGTCAAGGGCTGGCTGTTCAAAAGGCGTTTAGCAGCTCAAATGATGGATAAGCTAAAGTTGAACGTACATCTTATACATTAAATATATGCTTCCATGCATTGAAAATTAAACTATTTACATCGCAATATTTCAGCTCAGTTGTTCAATGAGATCATTTTGTTTAATCCGCAGCTTAAACAGTTTAAACACCTTTCGAACAACCGGCCTCTGGAGTGCAAGTCATATGCCCGTTATTACAGGGTATCTGCACAAGTCCGAACAAGTGGTTTCAATAAATTCCTTCGTAAAGTTCTCTTGAAAAAATTACTACTTTAACTCAAAACAAGCTTAATCGGTGAAAAAAAATAGCCTTCGTTGACTGTTGGTGTCTTTGTATATATAACATTGCATAATATGGTGATGGAATTGCATATTTATTCACGTTTGACAGTTCATATATGGTCATTACGTCTTCATTCAGGGGGGGGGGCTGCTAGACGCAACAACCCTGAACTATAAAAAACAGGGACGCGAAGCAGGGTGCTAGCGGTTTGCAGGTTTGCGGCCATTTCAGAGGCCAATATTTCCGGGGGGCATGCCCCGGACCCCCCTAGCCATAGCCACGAGCCCCGACAATACGAAAAGCTCCGCAGTCCCTGACAAAAGGTTAGATAAAAATTATCCCCGAAAATCTATACTTATTATTCGATAATTTTACTGAAAGTAATGCTATTAGCTTCATTAACAATAGACTAACCTTCATTTCACATTATTATCAACGGTATACCCTTTATTTTCCTATGACATTAATGATACACCCTTTATTTCACTATGATATTAACGACGGACCCAAAATCCACCACTGTTTCAAAATAGACGATGCTGAACTGATTTTTCTGTTACTTTTCATTCCTATAAATACTGATAACAGATCGCATTTTTTGTTAGTTTTTTAAATACATGCAAAACTGTATATACACGTAGGTGTAGATAAGTAAATTGTGTTTGTTTTTACTTTGAGTGAATTAGTCTTCAGTGCCAGAAGGAAATATTCAAAATGCAAAATTAATATGTAATCTAATAATATTCTAATAAATCATAATGTGGACATCTTGCAACTTTATCCTATCTTTTAGTTGCTATAGACGAGCGCTGGAACCACGGGGCCACTCTCTGTCTATGCGTTTCTTTAAGTGGCTATAATGACATAACGGAACAAAGTTATATTAAAGTTATATTGTTTGATAATTAGACCGTTCATCGTATTTTAAGGAGAAGTTACAAATAACAACAGAATGTCTATTTATATTACCGGGACTTGATCTATATATATTTTTAAAGAATTGAGTAACCTCTTGCATACCTTTCTTGGTTGAAGTATGTATGTGGTCTTGCAAATTGGTGACAAGATTGCCGCATTATTCTTTCCAATCTCCAAACACATTTTTTTCGAAGGTTGGTTCATATCAATGATTTGATGACTGGATGAGTTGTAAAATAACATCGCTATCTGAGAAATTGTTATTTCGGAGCAATTACACATTTGAACCTGTTTTCCACGTGGGGCGCGTCTGAAACAGCGTAATGTTGACGGTTCAGCGACAAGCGATCCGCCTAGTGCATCGATTATCGGGAACAATGCCGTATTCCTACATGCCATCTTACCAAGGCATGGGCTCCAAAACAAATTTCTTCCTTCAGGTGGTACAAAGCTTAGCCCTGTTACCTGATTTATGTTCTCTGTGTCTGTGATGACATAAACTGGGTTATCTAAAAATTAAGATAACTAAAAAATCAACATTGTTTACTGGTGTGCAAAATCTTTTCCCATGAAAAATTATACAAAATCCTCAATTCTGAAGTTGACCATTAATATTGAATGTCAATACTGCAAATTTATTATTTATACATAGTAGAGATTGACTATAAGAGTTTTTTAATGAAGAAATACCAAGGCCAAGCTAAGGTCTGAAGTGGTATATTGGTATATACGGCGGAAAATATAAACACATATATACACATACTATGTGTTGTGCCGATGACCAGTATCACAAGACCCAAAATTATGATAGGTACGACTGTTTTGAAAACCATTTTTCTAATGTTACTACTCAATAAGACAATAACGTTATACCACTGAACCACACAATGATTATAGGATATCTTATCGATCGCGTCTGAAGTCTGCTTGTAACTCTGCGGAGGGAATGCAGACCGCCTATATTTCTAGACAATCTAAGTTCTTGACAAGCACTTAGACTTTGCCTTGTTGATTTTTTCCTTCCACAGCCGCAATATCATTGGTTTAAACTTCAACTGTATAACTGACGTCCATTGACATGCAAATTTCCGACATCGCGCGATAATATTAATGCAGGAATTGCGTGGTAATATGAATATATTTTAAGATGAGGAAACGAATTTACAAAATTTTTTCCCTCTTTCACACGATCTAAACTTAGTCCAACCGTATTTCACGTCCACGTTTAAAATTAACGCAAAAACTTGCTAGAGAAGAGGAAGATGTTGCTTAAGTTTGTAGAGCGTAAATATTGTTAAAAAAGTCAGGTTTAAACAAATTTTAATGTCATCATGCATGCAACAAGGTGTTTATAGGCATTTAAACTCTAATTATTGATTTTAGTGGTTTTAATAGTTTATAGAAAGTTTATAAATGAAAGCAGATGCGCGCAGCCGTTTAGTTTTGATCGAGACATAGAATTTGCGTATGTACATGCAGACAGTTAATTTTGATCACTCATGCAGAATATGCGTGCAATTGTCTATAGCTTCGATCAAGTTCACATCATATTAGTCGTTTAGTTTTGATCGTTCACACAAAATATGCGTCCTTATCAACAATGGCATTGATGCTTTAAGAAAATGTAAATTACGTGGCCTTTACCGTTGTACACTGCCGTGTTTGCTGAAACGGCATCGTGACTTGCACCAAGTTCACGGTGCGTGACAACGCGGCAACAGTTAATGTGTACGTTCGATGTTGTTTGGAGTGTTCGAAGCAATTTTGCTGATCGACCATTTTTATAATAATAGTTAATAACCGTTTCACAGAAAGAGGAAACTTGAAGAGGCAAATCAAGTCGATACTAACTCGTATTTTCTTTGAATACCACAATATCATTATATAGGTGAATATATTTTGCCGTTGCCGTTGTATTTCCCAAGCTCACTGATGTTAAGCACAAAGAAACAGGACGTCGAATGAGCCGCCATTTCAGAGGCCTATATTTCAGGGGGGCATGCCCCGGACCCCCTATCCCCATAGCCTCAACCCCCAACAATATGAAAAGCTCCGCGGTGCCTGAAAAAAGGTTATATAAAAATCATGCCTGAAAATCTATATTTATTATTCAATAATTGTACTGAAAGTAACACTATTAGCTATATTAACAATAGACCCTTCATTTCACAATGATGATCAACGATAGACCCTTTTAGTTAATCTCACTATGACATTAACGATAAACCCCTTAATTTCACTATGCTATTCAAGACAGATCCAAAATCCATCACTGTTTCAAAATAGGCGATGCTGAACTGATTTTTCTGTTACTTTTCATTCCTATAAATACTGATAACAGATCGTATTTTTTTGTTAGTTTATTAAAATACATGCAGAACTGTATATGCACGGTAAATTTTACAACTGCATTTGTATAAATACAGGAATGCAAGCTATTTTAGCTTGCGGTTAGCCTGCATGGGTGTAGATAAGTAAATTGTGTTTGTTTTTACTTTGAGTGAATTAGTCTTCAGTGCCAGAAGGAAATATTCAAAATGCTAAATTAATATATGATCCAATAATATTCTAATAAATAATAATGTCTTATGTCTTGTGGACAATGGACATCTTGCAACTTTATCCTACCTTTTAGTTGCTCTCGAAGAGCGCTGGAACCACGGGGCCATGCACTTTGTCTACGCGTTTCTTTAAGTGGCTAATGACATAACGGAACGAAGTTATATTAATAATGTAAGATATTAAAGAGTGGAAAAGTGCGTTCTGTTTCTCATGTAAAGAATTTCCAAATTTCGTATAGTTTTTCTGAATTTTATATATACAGAACATAAACTCTTGTTCATATTAATTTAGAATCATAACGAACCTAAATGGTTAATTAGACTGCATGTTCATCGTATTTTAAGGAGAAGTTACAAATATCAACAAAATGTCTGTTTATATTACCGGGACTTGATCTATATATATTTTTAAAGAATTGAGTAACCTCTTGCATACCTTTCTTGGTTGAAGTATGTATGTGGTCTTGCAAATTGGTGACAAGATTGCAGCATTATTCTTTCCAATCTCCAAACACATTTTTTTCGATGGTTGGTTCATATCAATGATTTGACGACTGGATGAGTTGTAAGCTAACATCACTATCTGAGAAACTGTTATTTCGGAGCAATTACACATTTGAACCTGTTTTCCACGAGGGGCGAGTCTGAAACAGCGTGATGTTGACGGTTCAGGGATAAGAAGGCCGCCTAGTACATCGATTATCGGGAGCAATGCCGTATTCCTACATCCCGTCTTACCAACAATGCATGGGCTCCAAAACAAATTTCTTCCTTCAGGTGGTACAAAGCTAAGCCCCATTACCTGATTTATGTTCCCTGTGATGACATAAACTGGTTTATCTAAGAATCAATATAACGAAAAATTAACTAAAAAATCAACATGGTTTACTGATGCGAAATCTTTTTCCATGAAAAATTATACAAAATCCTTATTTCTGAAGTCGACCATCATCTTATATTCGAAGTAAATAGCTACTGCAAATTTATACATAGTAGAGATTGACTGTAAGAGTTTTTTAATAAAGAAATTCCAAGGCCAAGCTCAGATCTGAAGTGGTTTATTGGTATATACAGCGGTATATGGTATATAAATATACACATACTATGTGTTGTGCCGACGACCAGTATCGCAAGACCCAAAATTATGATAGGTACGACTGCTTTGAAAACCATTTTTCTAATGTTACCACTCAATAAGACAATAACCTTATATCACTGAACCACACAATATTATAAGGATATCTTATCGATCGCGTCTGAAGTCTGCTTGTGACTCTGCGGAGGGCATGCAGACCGCCCATATTTCTGGACAATCTAAGTTCTTGACAAGGAGCAATATCATTGGTTTAAACTTCAACTATATAACTGACGTCCATTGACAAATTTCCGACATCGTGCGATAATGCAGGAATTGCGTGGTAATAGGAATATATTTTAAGATGAGGAATCGAATTTACAAAAATTTTCCCCTCTCTCACACGATCTAAACTTAGTCCAACCTAAATTAGAACTCATTGAAATATTTTACGTCAATGGTTAAAATTCCAAACAACACCTATTGTTACAATTTGGATGATTAAGATTTAAATTTGATTTTCCGTTCGTTAGTTTTTGTCGTGTATATATATAAGGGATTAACACAAAATACTGAAAAGTTTAAAACTTGCCAGAGAAGAGGGACAGAAACAAAAACGGTTCATAAACAAAAATGGGGCATAAACAAAAACTTGCCAGAGAAGAGGGACAAAAACAAAAACAGTTCGTTTTTGTTTTTCCAAACTCTTCGAAAATTGTTAAATTCAAAATTTTGCAAATATCACGCGTACATGATCTATAGGATTGTATTTTCTGTGACGTCATATACCATGCGTCTGTCCTCTTATAGATCATGGCTCTCGACCAACAAAACTGCTTAAATTCTTAACGTTATTATATAATCAATAATAGATCATGCATGCCTTTCCTGCGTAAAGAGAGTATATAAACTATCTACAAAATGGTGGCCAGAAATGGGGGATGTAATCATGCAGTATCTATATGTTTTTCATTTCTGGCCAATTTTAAAATACAAGAATGTCAAGCTTCATTACATATAACCACTCCTGCAGCATTGTGTTAACATACAGCCATTATCACGCAATTCCTATATGAATGTCGGATACGTGCCAATGAGTACTATTTCAAGTTTGGCTAAGTTTAGATCGCGCGTGAGTCGGCCGGATGCAAGCACATCAGTTTTGACGTCAGTGTAAAAAAAATCATTAAGAACAAGTCATTGAATATGACAAATATCACAAAATTTTGTTATGAACCTGTACGTCATTTACGTCAATTGTGTGATACCAAGCATTGCATATATGCAACATATCTCAGTTGAAGAAGAATAATAACAAATAAATTGTTCACCGCGGTGCTCTCTTTTTTGGCCTGTAGCTCATTGTCATTTCTGTTCTGTGAACGAATACAAGCGGCTTGTCCAATTTTGGTTAAATTTTTAAACATCATTGTACTCGCTATCACAAAATTACCTATTCTTATTCGACGGCAAGTTGCATGTGAAAGTAATATTAACAAGACGCCGTTTTGGCGTTAACTCCGGCGCACGTGCCAGTCTTCAATATAGAGCTTCTGAACATAAACAATACAGTTCGCGTATTGTTTCGCATATACATATTCGCATTTAGATGCCTTGCGAACCTAAATGTTCGATCGCGAAATTCAGAAGCACATCGCAGTATAGAAGTTCAATTGTTCAAAAATGTAAATAAACCGCATGATACATTCGCTTCGTCTTACAGTTTGCCTTTGGAATTTGCGCTTATATAGTTATATTAAATCTCCGATCCTGTGCAAACAACGCGACGTGTCAACGCGCCCATACACGACCACATCATCTTGTTAAACGGCGAAATAGCAGCGATATTATTAAAATAGGACCGGAATCTACATGTATTAAATATATTCTTACCCCAATTCTATCTAAACTTAATCGAACAGCATGAAAAGAACGGTTTATTTGTTCCTCTTGGAGAAATTGCCGTATCATGCGAGCGAAATCGAATCGCGCATTGGAAAATTAGCCAAAGCTGTGCACCACAACTCTTGGGAGATAAGACTGGGACGTAGATAAATACGGTCACATACACGTTTTAAATACAAGTAAGATTTCGCGCCATTACACACTTGCGACGACGAAAAATAAAAAAAAAAACAAAAACAAAAACAAAAACAAAACAAAACCGGGGCGAATTTTCAACTCCGTCGCTGACGCCGGAGTAATTATATTGAAAGTGATATCTCAAACTATTGGTAATAATTACATTACGAATACTCGGATCATGTTTATATGGCTTCTATTCACTTATTGTTCATTAAACTGTCCAATGTCCAATATGGTGGCAGGCCTTCCTCTATCCATAGTTCCTTCATTTATCGCTAAAAATTACTCGTGGCTTGTTTTTGCAATGATGTACATGTTATAATCTTTCTGCTCAGATACGCTTATACCTACCTTTTTCACATTTTGTAGTCCCTGTAAATTTTTAAACGGCAATATTGTTATAAAATAATCAACGACATGTATTTACGTTCTAACGCACAAAAATATAACCAAATGCATGAATTTCTTTTACTCCATTATCCGGCCAACATTGGGCGACGTTTCCACAGGATACCAGCGTTGGGAGTTTGGCGTCACATGTCGAATAGCTCTGCCCTCCAAAACCAATAAAAGAGTCTGGTGTTTTACAGTCGCCCGATTCATTGCCAATTATTCCAAGCCTCACTCGACTGCATTCTGCACATTTTTTAGCACGCTGGAGGTTGAAACCTTCTTTACATATAAATCTTTGCATTGACGAGTTTTTTATAAGAGATCTCCATCTATCAGCGCCAAGATACGTAGGACGGTTAGTTTCATCTTTAATCAACTCGTACAAGGAACTTGCAGATGAGTTTAATTGTAAGAACACGAAGTTGCGCTGGCCGTCCACTTCCATTCCAAGGCACATTTCTCTAAATTGTAAACTGCTATACAACCGTACCTTCGTTTCTTCCTTTTCAAAGCCTGTCTGTCCACCTGTAGGATTGTAACTCTTCTTATTGCTCCAGTATTTGGATGAATAATTGAAAGTATTCTAAAACCACAATAAGATTGGAATCATTGATTTTCTTACTTATTATAAACATTGGATTTTAACATATCCTTGACAACGTTGATATAAACAGAAAGACAGCTATAGTACATGCATACCACGTAGTTGTAATAGATCTATTTAGTTTATCCGATAACGAAGTCAAATTCGTGAGGATGAATAAAAAGGCTATTGATATAACTTATACGTTGACTGTTTTTATTTTCTTCCTTTCCTGCTGATATACAAAAATATTGGATTCTTATTTGATTTGTTGCTTTCTACGCATGAAAGAAGAAAACAACCATCCATGTTTTGCCATTTTGATTCATGAAGGCTATTTATTCGCTATTTCATGGAGAAAACGCTGAATCTATATATTCTGATATTTACTCACCTTTGAACCGTTAATTTTCATCATTAGAGTCCAACCCCCTTTGGGACAGTCGCTCATTGATGTCATTTCACAGTAAACTTTCGTGAAATTGGATTTGGAATCTGATCGGATTTGGTAAATACCGCTTTTTGCCTCACTAAAAAGGACGAGATTACCGCATGAATTACGCTTTTCATGCATATAATTATATATATATATATATATATATATATATATATATATTAATATATATATATATATACATTCGTTATCATTAAGGTTGTCCATGTCAATATAATATATATAAAAAATATATAAATTTCAATCACGTGACCATCAAACATTTTCAAGACAGGTGTCCAACGATTTCCCTCAAATTTAACATATGCAATACAATCACGTGATCGATATTTGTACATACAGGGGTGAGTAAAAAAAACTGACACCTTTGAAATTCCAATTAGACGCGAACTTATGGCTGGAATATGACAATTCCCATGTGTGCAATCAACAAAAACGATTTGATAAAACTGTTCTTTTGTATATTTCACAGAGCTTAGAATGCATTTTAACTTCCAAAGGGAACAAACTTTATGTTTTAGGTTAATTAATATGATATATTTCGTACACCAATGAGATATTTTAGGCAACTTCTGTCACATTACAGCTGCTATGCGCCGGTTAATTTGAATTTCAAAGATGTCAGGTTTTTTTTACTCACCCTGTATATATAGTGCATTACAGCAAAGAGCAAAAAACACAATTCAATAATAATACGCCATCCCCAATCGGAAGGTATTTCACCTGTGCATATGGAATATTTCCTTGCATGAATTGAAAACTAAAGTAGAAATTAAAAAATTGATCAGTATTCGTAAAATTAAACAACCAATTTTATCTTTCAATTATAGAAATAATTTCTAATATCCATGCATGCACGATAGTATATATATACAACAGTTTCTAATCTGAGCTAGAATTTTCAGTTTCTTTAACAATCTTCTTATTGTCGGTTACTTTAACCGTTGATGCATGAATGCTGCTTTATGAAAGGTGATGGAATCAAAATTGAAATCTATTGCACTATATATAGTTACATAAGTTCGCACGTCCGCTGCTCTGCGATGTAATCGACATATATTTATTATACCTCTTGCTTTTTTGCAGTATTTGCCAGTGTACTGGAGCGAACATTTACATCTAAAGCAGTCTGACCTGCTGCAATTTGTTTTAAAACATTCTCCCCCATTTTTGCAGTGGTTTTCTTTGCATTGTTTCTGAAATAATTTAATTTCAATTTAGCAAAACTTCTTAAATTTATTTATCAAAGTTAATAGTGTTTAATATCGTCTCGTAGATTGTGTTGGATATTGATGCAATATTCAAAAGGAAATTGTATTTAGGCGGTGTGCTTAATTACAGTTAATTTTTCTCCCATGGTTCTCGCACCTTGTACACAGAGATCTGCATTTGGATTTGATAACGCCATGCATAAGAGCCTGTCATAATTCCTGTCATAGCGATTTTCCCTGGTCAGGCTATCGTGCATGTCTACTAACATGCAGTGATCATACATTTTTTATATGCGGGATTTGGAATTTTCCCCTGCCATTCAGACACTATAGGAAATTCTATAGCTTGAATGGCTTCCTGACATTGGCTATATTTAACATTCGCTTTATTCGTTAAAGCTGCATGCATGTATTGCAATTAGCTAGTAATCATGAAGCTATATATATGCACTCAAAATCATTTGCTTTTAAGCTACTAGCTTGAAACAAGCTTAATGCGATTTTAGGACCTATACTGATAATTAAAGTGCTCTTTCCACTGACGCATTAAAAACTAGGTCAACAAACGAATACTAGAATATGCGGAAACTACGTTTTTCGATTTGTTCGCTCATTTTTTTCAAAGAGCTGTGTTGTAAGAAAATCACGTGGGTGGAAAGCACGCGTATACGTACTTGGTTTGAGGATGATGATATAGTTACTATTCCCTTGTACAATATCCAGTTTCCATCCTTGCCGATTAGATAATCATTATATCCATGGTCATGCATCTTTCCCTCAGTTGTATTGGCAATTTCACAATTTTCTTTCGAGTTGTCAACGACAGGCACTTGTCGGACGTTGAAAGCCGTGCACGATGCCGTATCCAAGCAGTGAAAGCTACATTCTATTGTTTGCTGGACGTAGAACTTGGATATGACATGTCTTGCTTCAAGAGGACCCCCTAAATATAGAAAAACAGATCTGTTCAGGTGGCTGCGGATGAAAAGAGCCCGTATATAGTGTTAACTCTGTTGTGCATTGTTCGCATGTCAATCATATATTGATTCAGACTAGAATGGTGTGTAGTTTACGACGGTGTTATATCATAGTGTATTAGCCAAGGAGGTATAGAACCGAGCAGGAGCTTGAAGAGTTACTTCATGCATATATATGAATCCCTGATTCACGGCCTGGAGAATTTCGCGATTTCGGTAAATGTCATCCAACATGGCGACGATTAAGTAATTTGCACATAATTCATAAATATTGTTTCACCTAGTATCATGGGCTATCAATAATATCGTTCATTTCGAATCATTCGTTTTGCAGTGATTTTCTTCTGTTGAAGAGAAACTTGACGTTTCTTCAATATTTGATATTTGCATATTACATGCAAGCATGTAACAAACGCAGTCGCCATTCGTTGATGAATTCGAACTCGGTTACAAGAGGAAAGACTTAATAAATACGCGAATTGGATCTGCAAAACCACATTCAAAATTTGTCGGATAGCTAAAGCCTAGGTGATTGATTTTTTTAAAAGGCTTTGAGTTATGTGGACAAATGTGGATTACTACTGAAGTTGTTTGGGGACATGCATGGATGCTTGTTTTGCGGTTGAATATATATTGAGCCTACTTTCTTCGTGTTTCATTGTTTATCCGGTAGCTATATATATATATATAGACCTACAGGTCTGCCGTGCGTTTAAATTTTATGCCTATATAGCTAAGCGCCAGCCATGCATGAGAAATTAAAACAGCTCTATTTCAACATGGAACTACTTTTCAACTCATGCAGAAATAACCTACCTCTTCTCATTTGACGGAACAGCTGTTGTCTTATGGTTATGTTGCCTTTGCCATAAAAACACATTGACATGAAAAACGGGATCAAATGCACATAGCCATAGGAAAAGACACGTGACATTGTTTTTCTCTGTGATTGTCTTAGCCTGCGAACACAGGAGTCATTTATATGAACATGCAGATGGTCCACGGCAAGTGCAATATATAGAGAAGCGAGCAATAAGCGTGGTATTTTGTATATGAAATTATATTATGTGTGGCAAGAAATATTATATGTGACAAGTAAACACTTCGCCTGAGTTATACAAATTGTATAATTTACTTCCTAACAAATATACACAACTGCAAGACAGCGAAATTAATAACCGGTATGAAATTGCGTTTTTAATTGTTTTTCAGTATATAACTGTCTCATGCACATAATGAATGATTTCCGAATTTACGAAGAAAGAATATAAAGCAGTCTATATTAAAGTCACTGATTCAATACGGCAATTTTTTAGGAGAAATTTCATTTTCATTAAAATTTCCAATAGCCCACGTATATTTGCATTGCCGTATGTTCGAACGTACAGCGCGAAGTCTATTACAATCCCGCGCGAGACTTGAATTACCAAAACGGTCTCGAGTACAAATAGAACGTATAGGAATAATAGGACGACCAATTCCCACTATGGGAGGGCTGGTTTGGTTGCAGTCCTCCAAACCAGTACACGAATTCTGACTACTTTCACTTTCATTTGTTATAGAAATCCAATTGCATGCGAATTAACAGCTAACCTCACACCTTGGTGGCTTATGCTCGACTTTATTATTGCTACATTAACCTCAAATAAGTCTTATGTAGGTTATTTTCATGGTGAGTAAAATCTTCGCCAATTCTTTTCGCATTTGCATAAGTAATTTACGAGAGAAATATGTCCAAAATGTCGGAGTATGGTTATACACAATTTCTTAAACACGACATGCATCTTGTTTTTTTGCTTTGTATTTGGTAGATTTTTGCTTTGAATTCGACATCCAACCTGTGACACACGGGTGAAAAACATGAAGGTGTATTGCGGTCTTGCGCGCGATCAAATAACTTTAGCGTTTTCGAATCGTTTTTGTATTTACGTGTGGACGCGGATAAATATTTTTGCGTTTTCGAATTCTTCCGGCATTGTATAGACAGGGCCTTGTCAATAGCAGAGGTGTGTCAATATAGAAAAAAGGATAACCACTTTATCATAAGTTATAGGTGCATGGCCTGCGTGCATTGTCGTGGGAAGAGCGCCACATTGTGATAACAAATATTCACTTAAGAGTTTGATATATTTTCATTTATTTTTATTGATTACACCTCAGGCAAGCCGGAGCTTAATTTTCACTGGGTGCCTAGTGTTCTGCGGTGTGTGGAGCAAGTTTACTGCCACCGTTCACATTGCCATCACGGATGCACCTTCACCCGTCCAGATCGAATAGTAAACAACGAGATTCTCTGGGGAAACGAAACATTCTAGGAAACTGTCTACAACAACTATACTGAAGAAGCCGGTACGAGAACGACCACAATCTTGCATGTCTCTCTCCTCCGCAGGGGTTTTCGTCGAATTTTTAAATGGTTTCATGGTTCTATTATTTTGTAATGCATTCTGGAAGATCATAGACCCTGTCCACACGTATCCGGATATTTTTAAAGACTGAGGATTTTTTCTCCGTTTTTAAAAGAAATCGCGTCCACACGAAGCGTATTCGAATCGTTTTTGCCCGTCCACACGTAAACGGTAAAACGAAGGAAATTTGATAGCCCCAGGCGTAAAGCATGCGCATTTCCAAGAAATATGAGCGCTTCCAAACGATCGCAGAGCTGCCAATAATTTATGCGCGCCTAGATAACAACTATATATAGCTAACGCCACCGTTCCACGTTATTGTGTACCATGTAATATACACCAGCTCTCTCGCTCTGTCTACATGTTCTCATCTTGTCAAGAAGCTGTGAAAATGCCTCATTTAAAGAAGCCACAAAGTCCGCCCACACAACATGCACTGATCCAAATTCCAAATACATAATTTTATCAATATTTATATGCTTCGACGTAGATCCATGCATGAGCATGCAAATATCGTTGTAAAAAATAACTAGTTGCCTGATGATGATCAGCTTAAACGCGGAAAATTTTATCTCTTTTTATTTCTTATATACATTATGTAACTATATTTGTATATATACAGGTTTATATTATTTGAACTCCTAAGCTAACTGTTTAGTCTGAATTAGCATTTTAATTTGACGTTCTAAGTCTTTATCTTCTTCGTCAAAATTCGATGTTTTCGTTTTCATCCAACTAAATCGTGTTTTCTTGCAACTGTCGGATTTTCGTAACGTGCTTTTATCTTGATTTAGATATGTCTCTCGCTGTTCTTCAGCTTCAAAATGTTTCCGTTTCTTCGGTTGCATGTTATCTTGTTGTCCGCATAATTTTACATTTTCATTTTTCGTTGAGTTGGCGCAAGATTCTGGTAAACAAAATTTATAAAAACGTTTAAGTAATGCTAACAACCACTACACACATTTCGTAATTATCAACTGCCTTTCACTCTTGGTTCGGAGTCACTCTGTGAAAATGCGATACTAAATGACAATTGTACCGATGTATCATATTATACGAAATATTGCTGAAATTTCATAATGTGAAATATACAATTTATATTTCAGTTTATCTTAAATCTTCTTCAAATTTTTTATATGCTATATACATGCATGTAAACCTATATCAGTTCCAAAACGTGATCCGAGCAATGATTAATAAACACGCGAAGTCTACGATTTCAGTCACTGATTTCGTAGCTCTTCCATACCTTTTAAAGTATGCTCTATTGGTTGCTCAAAAGACAGAGGGACTGCTTGAAACTCTGTTTCGTTTAATACATTGCTCAAATCTCTTATGATCGTTCCTTCATCCAATGTTGTAGCAATCATAACAAAGCTCATTCTCTTTCCCTCAATTGTCCGCAGGTAACTCGGTAGGGGTGGAACATGCGTTAGAATTTCATCGAGTTCATTAAAGCCTCTGGCTTTACTCCCCTCGCCGCTGTTTGCGAAGCATGAGCTCCGTCTATTTACATTATGCTCGTAATAACTCTGATAATTTTTGTTCCAAAATGCGATGAAGTCATTCTCGTCAGGCAATGGCTGATGATCATTGATTTGTGACAACGCCTCCTTTACATACCACGAAGACTCGACCGGCGCTTCGTGGTTCACTCTTTCCTGATATTGAGAGATGTCTTTGACGTTTCTGTAATAGCAATCGGCCGAGTAAATGAAATCCATTTTCATGTTCAACCAATTGGCGAAGAATATAAACAGCAAGGAATCGCCTATACATATAAAATAGAGAAAATGTGCATGAGTATCAATGTTGTAATATATCCTAGCGCTGCCATATGTATATTTCGAAATCATATGCTGGTGAGCGGCTTTTATAAGTCTAGTATATATGGCTCCAATACTAAAATAATTCCAATCGAAAAATCGCTTGAAAATTAGCATACGTTACTTATTTCGACGGGATATCAATTTTTTAATGAGTGGAATTAAGTAATTTAATGCATTAGATCTACAGCTAAAAAGAAGCCTAATACTAAGTTGAAATACAAAGTTGAAATACTATTAGTAAAAAAATACCATTGGCAAAACGCATTATGGGCATTATACAGCTAATGAAACAAGAAACTATGCGCCGGAATTTTTAGAGACGGATGAGAAACTATAGCTATGCCACTGAGCCCAATACACTAGGACTGTCACAATTAATGCTTAATGCGGATGAGTAATCTTATATAAGAAAATGAACGTATACATGATCCACGATACAGAATATCAGGCATTGGACCTCTGTTCAGGCAATCATATGATGGATTGATCCACTATATCAGTGATAACATCGTATAGCTTCCTTTAGATCAAACTTGGATTATGCTACCACTGTGATGGCATATTTTTTAAAGAAAATATTCTGCGATAGCTCAAGTCTATTTCTTTGTGAAAATGATAAACCGAATAAATAGATAGGAATACCATCCTGATTTGCCGCGCCGATATAAACTATACTGTATGTTACCTTGATATTAATCTTGGTTAATCTGAATTGGCAATTGCGCAAATCATTAGAACATACTTGAAGTGGGTGCGTCAGTATCAATAACTGTTTATTAAGATCACTATATCTTCATTGCATGTTCACTATACTGAGCCGGTCCATAAGCGGTAATCAACCCACTATATAGTTTCGTAATGTAAACTGATATATCGATGGGTAACTTTAACTAAACTTTAACATGTACAAAGTACAGCTATACCATGACAAGGCGTTTCTTAAGTGCGACTCAAGCACTATCCCTTCAGATATTGGCACAGGCGAAGGAAATCTTTGACGAAATTGTTCAATATCATGTGTAATTATATAGATGCTTACAGTCGGTTATGTCTGTTCCTGAAGCGAGGTTTCTCAAATACAAATACTAGCTGTCCCATGCAATGCCATGCAATAGTACCATACTGTCCCAAATCGTAGTGAGCTATATACGGTTGGCTAATTGTTTCCCAACATTCAAAACTCCGTTAGCAATAGAGCGTTTAATAGTATATACCATGCATGCATGTCATGTTCTTTGAACTGCTATATTTTCATTAGAAAACAAAGTATTCTGATTTAAATTATCATACTATATGAATCCTTGATTCTGGTCAGTTACATTAACGTTGCAGATCGGTTGAGAGTTAATTATAACAATCGTCTTACAAAATCATTATAGTGAAGAAATGATATAATGAAGGAATGGCAATGGGCATTTCGAAATGTATGAATGGGTTTGACTATACGATACGATGCAATGACTGCGAGCAAAAAGGAGAAATTTCACTCTATATGAACCTGGTACACATGCTTGCTACAAGCTCACCCGTTCAAAAAACTGCATATACTTATGAACAGAAACAGCGTTTGCCCTCTTTTGTTAGGATTTAATCTAGGAGTTAACAATTGACTAGAACCATTCGAATTCAGTTTGCTAGATTTTATACAGTAATATATAGGCATTCGTCTGACGCAACTTTTAACAGAATTCGAAAT